ATTTATGGTATGAGTCACAGAGTTAGATTATAAAAAGAAAGTAAATAATTGCAATTAGAAATCATATATGTCGGAAATCAAATGTTGATGAGCAGAAACCTTTTACTCATCATAAAAGAGATAAATCACTAAAGATTTGTATACATTAAAATTTGATATTTGGTGCTCGAAAACTGTCTGATGGGACTCCTCCAAAATGAACCAATCTATCGCTGAGGACCAAATTAGATGATGTGGATGGTGTATTCTCTAATTCTAACTTAGGAAGAATGGGAACAAAACGAATGACGACAACAACATGTCAAACATAGATTAAATATCTATGAATCAATAAAGTATACGTGCATTGAAGGTGATAACAATCACTTGAGGCTTATAACTCTTTGACTAAATTATGCAATAATTAAATATAATCATTTTTATATTTTATACTGATAGTAATTAATATACTATCCTGCTTAATAAATGGTATGATCAAATTTGTTTGAAAATTTAATTATGTATATGAAACTATGTCTTCTATATAAAAATCAAAATTTTCGGACGAACCTAGATTGAACCTTTATGAAAATCTATCATTTTTGTTAATTGAGTTAATATGAATCTTTTACATATGTATATATAGCATTGATAGCTTATATAATCTAGGGCTGTACAAGATTTAAAAAAACATTGCCGGGTTACCGTAGAGGCCTAAAAAAATCGCGCCTCGGCGGCAAGCCGCCTCGGCATTAAGAATGCGCATCTAAATTTTTATATGTCCTTCTTTCTTTTATTTTTCCCTTCCCTTTCTTTTCTTTTTCTTTTTTTTCCCTCCTCTTGCTTTCATTTACCTTTTTTTTCCTTTTCTCATCATTTTTCAAAATTTAAAATTTTTATCAAAAATCTTGCCTATAAAAGCAGACTATGGAACCTTTTAATGCCTCTTAATCAATATTATACAGCATAAAGCATATTAAATGAAAGTAATTACGTATAAATTTATTTTATTATCTTATTTATTAATTCTTTAGCATGTATTGTTTAATATTAACTTTTCTGTACATTAAATATGATATCTCCAAAGTATGAATGCCTTGTAACGAAACGAAAACTTAATTTTATGTTGAATATTTGTCACAAACATTAGATTATTAAAATATATGTTGGATATCCCTTAGTATGAGACTTCATGACTCTTGTAGTCTAACGTGAGCTTTGGATTGCAAGCTCTGTGGTTAACGAACATAAATTAATTGTAAAGTTTTCAAAATTTTTCATCGTTTCTATCAGCATCTATTTTTCCTTTAAAATAATATATTTGTATGAATACAATATTTAGTAATTTTTTTATTTCCCATAATTTCATTCAAAATTTCAGAAAAAATTAATTTCTATTCAATATTATTTCAGCTTCAAAACACTTCATTCTTATAGATGTTGATTCACTAAAGTGTGATACTCAATGTCTTATTTCAATGAAAATTGTTCTGCAAATTTATTTCACTTTTGACCTCACTTTTTCCGTAATTCAATTTTTTACTTTTAATATTTTAGATCTTCATAATATCATTTGAAAAATTAACCATATAAAAAAATCAAGTTATCAATTCACTTTTTCCGTAATTCAAAAATCAAAAATATAAATAATATATCTTTTTATCAAATATTATTATTATATTCTATGAAAAATGAGGTCCGGAAATTTTGCGGATTCCCGTAACTCAATTTTACGGAAAAAGTGCAGTAAACTATTCAAAATACGGAAAAATTGGTGTAAACTAATGATTTTACGGTAAAATCACGGAAAGTCCCGGAAGAATATATGTGCCTATATGAAATTATACAAAAATGAATCAAACGCATTTTAAAAGATTGTTCTTGTATTATAAATGCTATTCGCAGATTTATTAGTTGAAGAAAATTACCAAATTTTTGCCGATTTACAAAAAATGATTTACAAAGCATATTTTTATAAGGCTTTAAAAATCTTTAAAATGTGACCGGTGACGGAAATCCATGGTAACCAACCGCGGTTCCCGTTTGGAATGCCATAATATAATCATGGTTTATTCCATATTAACATATTTTTTCAGTTAAATTTGTTAATAATATCATGTAACAAATTAATTCAAGATTAGAATGTCTACAAAATGCTAACAAATAAGAACAAAATACGATTTCTCGACTTAAATTTTAATATGGAGTAGTTTTTTGTTTAAATCTAATTAAAAATGAATAAAAACTTATCTTGTACTATTTTCATTCAAAGATTTTAATAATGTAAATCATGCATTTTCATAATTCAGTACAGTTCTTTTTAGAATTAAAGTTGATGAGGATGATATTTGTGATTTAAAATAATTTGTTAATGTTCACCTTTTATTCATCACCTTGTGGTATGCCCTAAAGCAATAGCATTATCAATTCTGCTGAATTGATCAACTCAAAATTCCAAAAAAAATTTAAAATTTCAAAAATGAAATTAAACAATTTGAATTTTCACATGAAAAAATCAATTTCGAAAAAAAATTTGGAAAATCAAAGTATTTGATAATTAGTCAAATAATCAATTTACATCGTTTTTACTCATAAAAAACAACTAATTTTTGATTTTGATATCATATTTGATAAATACTCATTCCAGAGTTGACGTAATGTATTAATTATTGTTAGAGATATTGCTTTCGCAGCAAAATTCTTATTTCATGAAAGAAAAAAAAATGATTTTATTCCAACAAAAACAAGTAAACAGATGAATGGAAACGTACTATATTTTCATAAATGTAGTAATCAGCGTGTCGGCTTTTGTTTATCATGTTCGAGTCAAAATGTATTAACTTGTAATAAGAAATATTCGAAGATTATATGAAGTATTGAGCATTCTTTGTAGAAATATTTGTAATTCATTACTAACATATATAATAAAGTTGTTTTTTTTTTCCTTATTGCAATAATTTTGTCTGATTTTAATAACTTTTCATGTATACGAGTTGTGTGAATATGCATCATAATATGCGTAAATATACTTATTTGCGACGAATAATGTGGTTGCATAATGGAGGTGCTAAATTTTGATTTTTAATATGGGGCTTTGGTATGTATAATCATGTTCTTATCTCAACGTAGGAGTATTGGTGCAATATGATTAAAATTTACGAGGTTGATCTTAAATTGAATAATTCTGGAGTATAAATCACAATGCAGCTAATTCTATGTTAAAGATAGATACAGATTGTAGTAATCAATTAGGGAGTACAAATTCATTCTTTCATTTCTGTCGTATTGAGCAGAAAGGAAGAGATCATAACCCTAGGAAAAAAAGCCCAAATTTGTCACTTTTCATAGTACGTTAAACTCAATTCGCTCGGCGAATGCCGAGCACACGTACTCATCATTCAACATAATATTCTCATTCTTTGGTTATTATAGTGCCAGACAACACAAGATTTCAAAGAATTACTTGAGTTTTCAATTAATCTTAATCCGATTTTAGATTTATCGAGAACTCCATCATCACAATCACATACTTCAGTGCGGTAACTACAATTATCCATATACAGAAGGAAGTTCTTTTCGAACAACTCATTTGGAGTCTGTTTTGGAAAGAACTTCTTTCTGTCCGACTTAATTTCATAGTTCCTGATCAACCAAAAGACAGAAACCACACACTATCTACTTAGGAAAGGAGTTCTTTCTAAATCTTCCTTAAATTGAGATTTTACGAGAGATAACCCTTCTATTGCACTTAAAAATGAACATTTTGATATCTTTAGTATCACACATGGTCATATATAGTATTTCATCTACATGAATACATTCATCTTTCGAAGTCTCTCATTAAATGGGAGGCTTCGAAAGATGAATCGTTTTATTCATACAACTTTAAATCTCGAACACATTTAGAGAGTGAGTATATCATTTTATTCTTGTTTTGAGTTTATTCTGATTCAAAATTGCAGTGAAAACAGAAGTTCACACATCATATCTGAATGTGAGCTCATCTATACTTATACGATCTCAATACCTCCACTCTAAGCATAAGAGGTGAAGTTATATAAAAATTATCAGATGCGTTGAAGTCTCAAAAGTATTGCCTGAATGCTTGTTTCATATTTGTCCAAGTAGTTTCAATGAATAAATATATTGTTTTTTATAATTTCGATTTATTTTTAGAAAATATTCAATATAAACCTTTATTGTGTTATTTACATCTCATAAATTCTCTGTCTAAATCATATAAAAGCGCGTTTTACCCCTATGAATCAAGAAATTCATTCAATATTCATGGTATATTTATTAAATTTATACGATTACTAATAATCAATATTCTATCCTCATAAATAGCAATATATTTTGGTAATCTATGATAATCATATACAATATTTGAAATCAAATTTTCATTAGTTTAGGTTCCTTGTTAATAGTAAACCATTATATTTATTACTAATAATAAAATCTATGTGTCGTATTGAAATTCAATAAAATTACTTATTCGGTCCAAAAAAACAAATTAGATAAAATTTTTCTTTTTTTATGTAATTTTTGTTTTTCATTTTTCTCAAGATCCTAAGTTATGTTCTAACTTTTGACATCATATCCTATCATGCTAGGCTATATATTATAGCATATCCAAAAGGCAAGGAAATCTATCAGAGAAGCCTTTTTGACCTATCGTTGCCCTACCTCTACGGTTAAGCTTAAATTCAAATTTTACGGGGATTTTTTATGTTATGATAATTTTATCTGGTATTGTTTTCTGATCAAAAAGAAAGATTTTGATATATGGTCAATGTAAAAATTGTGAAGGAGAATGTTTTATCTGTTTTGAAGAGAATATCATACTGATGCTATGTACAGTAAATTTAAAGAGCACGGTAATATTCTTTCTTGAATCTCAAAAAAATGGACGTTTCAGACAGTTTTGTGATAAATAAAGTTCTCAAAAATGTAAACTTTTTTAAATAATTGATAGAGAATGTTTATTGTTTTGAATTCAATATATTTCAGTTTTATTATCCATGGAACTGCATGTCTGCATTATGTCAGGTAAAGATCTTCCTATAATGGGTTTGCTTAGATCTATTAATCCACTAATAGAGCTAGATTGCGAGAGTATTCATCATGAAACCCAATTATTTAAAAATAAACGTAATCCTACATGGAATGAGCAGTTTACCTTTCCAATAGAAAAGATCCGTGGAAAATTGACACTAACCCTTAAAAACATAAAACATCAGAAAGCCAAGCCTTGCTCGAAATTCGAGATTAAGATTAAAGAGATACCATTTGGCATTATTTTAGATCAATGGATAGATCTAAATTCGCTATCGGAGAAGAGAAAAGGTGGAATGTTACATGTTAAATTTCATCTCATCAATCATGGTGAGATTCCATTTGTTGAATACGCTTTGAATAATTCTTATCCAAAGCATATCGCAGCGGAAGATTCTAGTTCAGCTCCAAAGGAAAAGCCTTTCTTCTTTGATGATTTTACATTAGGTATTGAATTACCTATTGCTTTCGATAGAAGAAAGGCATTGACACCATGAAAATATTATCTTGTTCGTTAAATAAATTATTTATGTTATGTTCAAATTTTTCTTCATTTTTTTGTAATTGCCAGAACACAATAGGTGTAATTTATGATTTTGCATCGTGACATTATTATGGAAGTCCACTTGATAATAAAACTTTTTAATCAATTTGGAGAAATGCATATTGACTGCAAGTCATGCTTGACAAAAAAATGACCACCGAAGTAATCATCATTTTTGGACATGCTACAAACAATGAATCCCAATAATAAAAAATTCAATTGCTTTCAAGATCAAAAAAAAATTACAGGAATTGAATGAATTAATATACTGTTAGTTAGTTAGTTAAATTGAAATAGATACTAGAAAACTAAGAGATATTTGGAATCGAAAAGAAAAATCATAAAGTCAATAAGTTAGAATATTTGATATTCTCGTCAATATTATAAATCGATTGATAAAATCACTTTATTCTAATGTGGAAAATATAATTATTGCGGATTAACCTATCGAAAGGAATCTGTAATAAATTTGATAAGATAGGAAAAATTTAAAAAAAAAAATAAGATACGGAAAAGAATTAGAACAATACTGAAAATAAGAAGAAAAGGCAATGATTTGAGATAGGCCTGAAATTTTAGATTAAAAAAATTGTGAGAGAATTTCAATTAAATTTAATTCCGGTTAATTTTAAAAATATGAAGATTATAATGTGAGTAGTCTTATTAAAACGTTATTTCAATATTTCGAACATAATTCAAAATATGAAATAGAGATCGATTTAGAAAACTGTGGATTTTACAATAATCTTGAATCCTTTTTAAGGGTGCGCCCGGGAGGATCATGTAAACTTCAGAATTTAGAACCTTAATTTTTAAGCAAAAAATACAACTTGGCTCCATAATAATCCTGTCATGGTGGCTGTTTGTATCCCCTAGTATTTTCCTCTTGAATCTCTTTTTCTGTCGAAATTAAATTCAAATCTCAGAAGTAGAAGTGAATAATCGACTTATTACTGCTATTATACGAATAAATAAATTCATTATATTATTTTTATTTACATAATATCTGTTTGAAGTCCATAATTCTATAAATTTTTCTTCAAAAACATTACAATCTTGATAGTTTTGATACTGTTTAATAGGTTTTTGGCACCTTATTTAGTATTTACTACGTATAGAGTCGATCTGAACTTAATTTTCGGAAATTTAAAATATTTATTATAAGTAAAATCTGATTTGAAATTTATGTTTAACTACTCATATCTTGCATTATCCTGAGTAGCTTTTGTAAAAATTCATCAAAAAAGATTTTAACGTGCTTTAATTTTTATTTTTTAAAATAATGCATATTATTATATAACTAGCATATTTACAAATTTTAGTGCTTTCAAAAATTTAATCCTCCTCCTCTCAAATAAACGTAAATCCGGGTGGCCTGTTTTTTGCAAAAAAATAAAATTTCATTTTTTATGCTTAAAAAGTCAGAATTTTTATTTGCTTCTGGGATATATGATGGCTATATCAGATGCCCATTCTTTTTGATACTCAACATTAAACATAAAACTTAGCCGTTAAGGCTCTTCTGAAAATATTTTTTTTCCGAAAAATTTTCGAAAAAAATCAAAAAATTTAAAAATCCCCGAATCTGCAGGGATTTTAAAAAATTCTTTTTAGTAAAACTTAAGGATATTGTATCAGATATATTGGTATGGGCAAATTCAATTTTAATCCAATATTCATCGAGATATTAAGTTAACGAAGCTTTCAAAATTGAGAGGGTAATCCTCCTCCTCTCAAATAAACGTACATGCGGGTGCACCCTTAATGCTCTCGTTTGATTATTTAAAATTAAATAATTGTTCACAATATTTGTAAGATATCAAAGAAATTTGCCATACTTTTTACAGATCATGTTCAAGATAGTCATTGTATTAATAATTTGTTTTACTCTTTGAATTACTTTTTTCTTTCTGAAAATTATTTTGAATATATTTAAAACTTTTCATTACCGTGCGATGAATATTCTGTTAAAATTATTCACGAATCATATAATATATCAATATTTTACATCTTCCAAAAAAATGATGATAAATGTTCAGATAAAAATTTTCTTCATATTAGTCCATATACAGTATTTATTATATTAAAATAAATGGAATTTTTCTGAGACATCTAAAACCTTTTCAAAATTTCTGCTGTTATCAAAAAATAAAATGATTGGTGGAGATCTTCTGTACAAAGATTTCAAGTACAATGGTGGCTCTAATGATGGCAGCACATTGCTATACTCCAATAAAAATGAAGAAAATTCTATCTCCCTCGCAACTTGCGTTGTTATTATTCTCAATTCAGCACTTGTTGATGATCCATTCTTCGTTCCAGGTCAAATGCTTTCAGGATTTATGCTGACAATATTTGTAGGCGTATTTGTATTAATACTCACTCAGCTGTCCTTCCACATTTTTGTTAAAACATGGGCTTTCAATCAGTTGAATTCGCACGTTTCAATATGGCAAAGTCTTTATGGTAAGTACTCTTCTGTAATTCCAAAAGCTCTCTTATTACTCGCCTTTATTTCAAATTCAAGTGTATCTGTCAGGGATAACGTTGATCAGTTCCATGATCTTTTCTCATATTTTTCACCCGACTCCGTGAAAATAGTTAACAATGACTGGTTAATCAAGTATTTATTCACATTTATATTGACCATCCCAGCGTTATTACATCCAAGACTCGGAAAGATGAAAATCATGTGTGCTGTAGCACTTACATTACTTCTTATCAGTTTACTCTGCGAAGCTGTTTTAATGTTCAAAACAATTAAAGTTGACAGCTTTGACCCTCAGAAGCAAATTAGATATTGGTCTACAGACTTCAGAATGATGAATGCGCTTTTTGATACTTTCAACACAGTTTATTTCAGCCATCCTTTCGTTGCCTTAATTTCCGATGATCTTTACAAAGCAACAAGAAGCAAAATTACAAAGATGACATGGATAATTTCCATTTGCTCTTTCCTTTTGCTCTTATCTGGCGGTTTCTTCGGATATTTCACTTTCTTTGACAGCTCCATCGATGATAACATTCTCTTTGGCTACTCCAACACAAAAGATCCATTCCTTATCATCGCGAAGATCTGCTGCTTATTGAAGACCGCCTTGGCAAATAATATGTTTGTTTTCATTGCCACCGTCTCTGTTCTTGGCATTTTCACACAATACAACGAGAAACTCACAATACTCCGCATCTTTGTCGGTATTGTTATTTGGACACTTGTCATGTTCATCAATTACAGCGGTACAGGTTTGATGAAACTGGTAGACTTGTTGGGTGGATACTCCTTCATGCTTCTAGCTTACTTCCTCCCATCAATTTTCTTCCTTTCCATGTACAAATTCAAGTATCCTGGTTGGTCTATCCTTTGCATCGGTGTCCTCCTTGTAAGCTCTGTTATTCTTGGATGGGCTTCCTATTGCAATGTTGGAAGCTATATTAAATACCTCAAGGGCGAATGAAATTTTTAATATCTAATGTATACTATGTTATTTTATTATGAATAAATTATTGTGAATCATGTTAACTTATTTTCCTTAAGGGTGCCCTATAACGATAATGTAAACATCACAAAATTAACCTTATTAGAACTCGAATGAATGGATTATCCGGATTCTAGTTCTCAATATAATAACCTTAAAAGTGCTTTTCTGAGGGTGGTCTATCGTCTATAGGGCACCCTTAAGATTTTAAGATTTTTAACGTTCAGACAATAAAATTTTACGGTAGAAATTGCTATTTCCATTACGCAAACTAATTAACCGTAATATACGTGATAGCTACAATAAATCGATTATAATATTTCAGCAAATAATTACAAATTTGAATCTTCATAAAATTTCAAATGATCGAAATGGGTTGAGAATATCTTAATTCTTTTTTCTTATATATAATTAGATCTAAGCGTGATTCTTGTGTCCAAATAATGAGATTTTGAAAAACAATATTTTTGATTTAAGGAAATATTCATTTTAAAGTTAAGAGTCTTTTTGTATTATGCATAAAAATAATTACTAGTATTATCTCTAAAACAAATAATATGTTTACTTTTTATTTCTTTCCTTTCTGCTTTCCTTTGTTCTTATTCTTATTCTGAGAAGCTTGGCCACCAGCACCGAGTTGCAATCTGACATCGAAAGGCATCTGTTCAGTTACATAGTTGTCAGGGATCAATTTGATGAGTTGTGTCTGTTCAGAAGGAGCCTTCATTGACTGGAAGTAGTTAGAAATGACTGGCCATGCCTTTCCCTTCTTTGTTTCACCTGGAACGAATTTGACCTTATATTTGAACTTCAAAAGTGCAGAAACAGGAGCGCACATGACGTATGCAGCAAAGAACTCATCAGTAGGTAATGGTTCACCTGTCAAAGCGTTAATTCCTTCTGTGTCCAAATCAATTGGAATTCCTTCTTCCTGCATGATTTCCTGGACACCTTCTTCGATCTTCTTCTCTGGTTTAGGTCTGTTACGCTTCTCTTTGCGTTCTAAACGTCTTGCGGCGACATCTGCATCTTCTGGCTTAGTAAGAGCCATTTTCATGAGCTCTTCGTCGCTGATCTCTTCATCTTCTGAGTTTTCTTCCTCTTCGTTGTCTGGTTTCTTTGGTTTTTCTGGTTCTGCCGGGATATCTTCTTGTTTTTCTTGTGGGAAAGGAAGAGCGGCTTCGATTTCTGCTGAATCAACTCTTGGTGGGAGTTTTGGCTTTGTTTCGCCTTCTTCTTTTGGAATTTCGGATTCTGGTTTTTCATCTTCGTCAACTCTGATCTTTCTTTCGTTTGCATGGTCAGCAACATGTTGTTCTGTGACGTGGAACAAGATTCCGAGACCCATTTGTGGCATTGTCATCGTCATCATGTTTTTCTCGCCGACAATGTAAAAAGTGCCCTTAGGAGCTGTTGGTTGGCCTGGCAAATTCTTCTTTACTTGGTCGGCGTGAACCCAGAAGCAGTTGCAAGGTTCATTAGATTTCCAAGCGCTTGATCTAGCGACCGCGAACTCGGCAGCTTGTTCTAATGATATCGGGGAGACCGGCTTCGATGTTGGATTCTTTATAATGACAGATGCAGCACCGTGAATCTCGGCATGAAGGTAAATATCGTCTTTCTTGAGATAATGGGCCACGAGAACTTCATTCTGGACTTTGTCGCGTCCGGAAATGACCAAATAATTCTCCGTAGTGATGAACCAGTGGAATCTTTCGAACCACCACGTTTTTCTTCTTTCCTGGATGGTAGAAGTGACTTTCTTCTTGGCTGCAATTGCGTCTTTTTCGACTTTCTTCAGGACTTCTTCTTCCTTTGCGTTTGCTCCTTCTAATTTTTTGACAAGAACGGCTCTCTTGTCGAAATAGGCGGAGGCATTGGCGTAGGCGGTCTTCTTAAGCTCGATAAAGATCCTTTCCGTCTTTCCTTCTTCGTCATTGACCAAACAATAAAATCCGGATTTTTCAAAATCGACTTTATCAATCATAGAAGCTAATTCGTTACCGCATTCCTGGTATGCTCTGATTGACATGCGAATTTCGTCCCATCTAACTCTATTTGCGATGAATGAGTTGATGACATTTCGACATTGCTCGATTTGAGTGGCGTTGGCCTGAATTAAGTGGCCGGTACGATTAAGGAGGTCTAATTCGTCTTGGAACTGCTTACGTTTCTTGTCAAAGTTCTTTTTAACTGATTGAACTTTTTTATCTGGAGCTGCTTCGTTCTCTTTGTGCTCTTTCTGGGCGCGCTCGAGCTCTCTGACGCTCCAGAATTCATCACAGGCCTTGTCGAAGGTGTCAAAGACTTGAGATTGAGATGGATCGTATTGCGCAAGAGGGAATGGGCTGAGGAACTTATCCTTGCCCTTTGTGTAGACGTAACCTTTAGGTTTTGGTGGTAATGGGACTTGTTGGTATTTAAATTGCTCTTGATTTTCTGGATCTTCTGGATTTGCGGGTTCTGGACGTTCTGGGCGTGGTTCTGGCTTGGAAAGGAGAACTGCTTCCATCTTACGCATCTCTGCGATGAAAATATCAACTTGCTCTGGATGATATTCGTATTTATCAAATGGACCATCGGGATTGATGCCTGCAACGGTCAAAGAGCTGATGAAGAACTCTGGGCGTGTAAATGGGAAGACTTTGTTAAGGCCTTGACGTACTTTTTGGTTCGAATTGTCATTATTTTTGAAATAATTGTGAACTTGCTCGTCTGTTGGCGATGTATATGGTTTGAATTGGTCATCGTTGTATGGCTGATTGACACCGATGATCGTCTTGCCGGAAATTACGTGATATTTAAGGACCGCTTGAATGATTTTGTCTGTTTCTTGGAATAAGATGATATTACCACCTTGGAAGAGCTCAAAGCACAAGCGGAGATCGCCAAAGCAGAAGTAAACAGCACGATCGTTGAGTGGCTGAATAATATCATTCAATCTTCTAAATCTGAGCAATTTACGAAGTCTGCAGCAGAAATCCGGAGGAACTTTGGGCTTCTCTCTTGGGAAATCTGTAATGTGGAAGCGGACACCGTTCTGAACAATCAAAATTCTTGAAACACCTAATTTCCAGAACTTCATTGTCAATGTATCTTTATCTACTTGGTGAATGTTACCGATTCTCATGCCAATAAGCTCTTGAAGAGAGTCAATTTCTACTTTAACTTCATAGGATGAAAATTGATAATTCATGAACTAAAAAAAATAATTCGTAGCCAAAAATTTTTCCAAAAAAATTAAATAGTTTACTTTGATACTAATAGTAGATAAATGACAAAAGCGAAAAAATATTGACACTTTTTGATCCATCAACCTAAAAGTATCAAAGCAGAATTTCAGCTTCAAATCTCTATAAAAGGTACATTCACTAGGCGATAACAGTAAAATGGGATGAAAATAGGATAAATAGCATCCCTATATAGTGCCTAACAATATTTATACGGGCCAAAAAAATTTGGCTAGAGATTTGGCGAGTTATCAAACTTAGAAAATTGAGAGGGATTTTTATTTTTGAATTTTTTTGGAAAGTTAAAATTGCGATTAAAAATCGATTTCCAGGAGAACTAAGCATCTCATCATATATTTAAATCGATAAAAATATTAAATAATAGTTGAATAGTATAACAACGTGAAATTATGGCTGAATCTACAGAAAAAATGAACATATTTGACATTTTTGAAAATTCATACGTTAGATGGTGACAGACTCATAAACTATACTTTAGCTAAGATTGATATATGGTTTCAACAACACATGGTTAAAATCGTAAAAATATTTTAGATTTCAAAAAGATATTTATGGTAATATAATGGAACAGAGTCAACAAATAGCATGTAAAATATGTTATAATTAACTTTTTATTAGATCCAATAGTAGATATCGAATGGTTTCCAGCTTTATGGTTAAATATTTTCTTTTCGAGCTTCTCTTTAACTGTTGTATTAAGGTTGTAAATTTTTGATGCTAGAAACTATGGAATCTTCTTTGCTGCTGCATTTTTCTTGAGAGTTCTTGCAATTTCGAACAGATCTGCGCATTGTATGAAATGGAGGCTTTAAAATATCTTGAAAACAGAATAGGACTGCTTTTCCAAAGGAATGCTTACTTGTAAATCAGAGAGTTTCAAAATTGACAGCAAGATTATCATCATAACTTTCGATTTTGCTGCGAAAAAGGAAGACAAGTAATTAACAAATCATTTACTGTTGTTCATCAAAAGAAGAAAACATTGATAACAACTAATGATGATAAAATCAAGCTATCTTTTAATATTTTAAATTGATAAGACATTCAAAATATTTGAATGGTTTAAAATATTTTCTTTTAATTTCTATAAGATATTATCATGATTATATAATAAAATTTAAATTTTTATTCAAAATGGCAATATTTCAAACTTTTAATTTCAAAAATCTTAATTCTGCAATAAGTGTATTTAATTGTAGCAAATTTAATGATCCTTCGTCATGCTTAGCAATTTGGAACTCATAAATTAATGATTTCTTCAAGTAAAATTCTGTATTATTTCAAAAGTCAATAATTCTCTAGTAACTTTTCTTCAAACCCTAACCATTATATTATATGTATAATGGAGAATAATTGCAAAGAAAGATAGCCGAATTTACTGGGTAGTTCTTGTGATGCGAAATAATTGCAAATTAACACCTAGTTTTAACAGCATCAATCTCTTTTTGCTCTCATTTAAATGCATTCGCACACTTTAATTTTGAAATATAAGAGTTTTAGAAATTATCAAATTTATCTGCTCAAATACTATAGATCTTCATAAGTGTTAATAGAATCATTAGCCTTACATATAGTGTTTAATATAATGATGCATATTATACTGGGATTCATTCCTTATTCATCTAGTTATTATAAGATTTACAACCCCATGAAAATTTAAAATTTTGTCAAAAATAGTGAATGTACCTTTTCTCTATATAGCTTCTACATATGCTTGTGAACAATACTTGTATAAATCTGGCCAAAAAAATGGTAAGATATTGATAGAAGTCAAAAAAAATTATTCCGACGGGATTTGGTGTTTCAAATTTAAGGGAGTACGTCCATCTGGCATCTAACCGTATTTCAGACAATTAAGGTATATATTAATAGAAACATAAAGACAAGAGGCTAGATACTATTTTCATGTTAAGGGTGAACTTACGCCCCTATGACGGGGCCTTCAATTCAGATGTTTAAGCATAATTTTCAATGTCGCTTCACGCCAGTTGTCAAAATTTTGAATCAAAGTCAGATGGGCGTAAGTGCAGCCTTAAAATTTTGATGAGTAAAAAAAACAAAATATTCCTTTTTAATAAAAATACAAACAAATTAATCAGTCTCTATAGGTAGAGCGTAGACTCTTATCATGTCCTTTGTGACGACAGCCAAAAGGAAGTCATCATTCACAATCATTGCCAAATCAGAAGGAGGTTTAGAAAGTTTTGGAAATCTGTTTCTCCACTTCATGAAGAGATCAACTTGTGGATTTGATATCATTCTGAATGAGAAGTCGTTTTCATCTTCCATTGGCAGTGCGACGTATATCTGTCCTCCTGTTTCAACAAGAGATGGTTTTATCAGTCCAGAAAAGTAAGGAATCTTTATAGAAACAGCTGGCCACGGAGCACCGTTTTGGAGCTTGCAGAACAATGCGTGTGCGTCTTTCTCTCTTGTCCTCGTCATTATCAAGAGCTGCTGCATGTTCGTGAGCTTCTCGTCATTGAATAAAACTGAGTTCGCTGCAGCTTCAACAGGAAAAAACTTTTGTTGGTTCAAATCGAAGATTTGCGTGTGTCTTCCGTTGGCTGTGAGAACAGTCGTTGGAGTTATTGTCTTAAGAGAAAAGATAGGTGGACCTGGTTCGCTCTTTTCGAAAGTTTTTTGCATCGTATTTACATTAACTCCAATAATTGTGCCTCTATCGCCACCAACAATGACCGTGGAGTCATCAAACCAACAGCATGACCATAGAGGAACTCCCATGTCTACTCTAGAGACCCTTTGGCTGATTAAATCTACAATTGAAACGGTTTTATCGATAGAAACTGTAGAAATGATGGATGTCGAAGAGGGGTGGACTGACATATCTCGAATCTGCATCGTATGGAGACTCAATCTTTGAAAATTTTGTGGATCGTCGATATCTCCATATGTTATGCCGAAAACTTGATCTGAAAAGCATTCTGTGTATACTATGTAATCACCTATGAATAATACTCTATTTCCTTCGTTGATTGGTCTGTTTAAAACGATTGATGGTTGATTTAAAACGCGAATTGTTTTTCTTTGCGATTTTTCGTATGTCGGCTGGTATCTAGCAGCTAAATCATCTCGTAGTTGTGCCAATTGTTTCTCTAATTGTGCCTTTTCTTTTATAAGTACTTGATAATCATCTTCTTTTAATCTTAATTTTTGATGTTCTGATTTTAAGACGTCCTCTGAAAAAGGAATGTGATTATCAAAGAATAACATGCGAATTTCTCGTTGTCTGATGGGTGTATTGCAAAAAGGACAGTCAGGATTTAAAGAAAAATAATTAATAATGCAGCTATATCCAAAAATATGGCCACACGATAAAGCACAGGCTTGGTGCTCCCCAGTGGTAGTAGCAGGACGCTTGCAGAGACTGCACATCATGGGGAGCTCCTGACTGTTCAACATTTTTTACCAAAAAGAATTGAATAAACATAGATTTTAGTGGATTTGTATGCGAAATCATGAATACAATGTTGTTTATGTCCTATTTTTATTGTTAAATGAAAACTTCCTTCGAGGAAGTAACATTTTTTATTTATTCCGTATCTTCCATGTAATTGTTTATTTTTTGAAACGATTGCGGAAAATATTTTGGAAATTTCATACCATGATTATTTGCTGAAATCAGGTATAACCTATTTGTTTGAGACCAATATTAAAAATGAGGAATATGTAAGCTTAGCTGAAGCGTGTTATGCTTATTTCATCATCTAAATCATTGTTATGAACTGAAATTCAAAAATCATAAAAATTTTAGCTTGATTTCATCAAAAACAAGAGACTCTTCTTCGTGTTATCATTAATAGACAAATAAAACAAAGTCTGATTTCTGACGGTGTCAAAAAAACAATCAGACTATGAGTGAAAAATCTCTATCAGAAGAATTGAATGAAATCATGAATAAGGGTGCAAATGCAAAATGTGCTGATTGTGGGGCTCCTAAACCAAACTGGGCATCTGTTAATTTAGGAGTTTTTATTTGTATAAAGTGTAGTGCTGTTCATAGATCTTTTGGTACTAATATTTCTCAAGTTAGATCATTGAAATTAGATTCATTAACAGAAAACCAAGCAAAAACACTTATAAATATTGGAAACGAACGTGCAAATTCTTATTATGAAAATTCATTACCACATAACTTCCAAAAACCATCATGGTTGAAGCATGAAGATGTTGCTTCTTTCATTCGTGATAAATACGTTAATAAAAAATGGGCTCCTCCAATGACCATCAAAGAATTCTTAAATCCAAAGAAAGAAACTGAACAGCAGATAGAAAAACATGACGAGACATCACTTCCTACCTTTGATCTACTTGGTTTGGCATAAAATTATGATCGTAAGTTGATTTTCTTACTCATGCAAGGAAGCCGCTAAGCCATCACCCTGTTGTTGATATCCAATACTATTTTTATTTACGAATTGCTGATATAATGAAGAATACTATTTCCTGTTTAAAATTGTTTTGTATCATCCAGTAAATATCCTTCTATCAAATGGTACCTTCATTTATAAACCAAATCGAATCTTAACATGAAATACATAAATTATTTAGAAATTGAACTAAATTTCAGGATCTGTGACCATGTATAAATCTGAATTTATTATACGAAAGGAAATTATCACATTTCCAAAGGATCTGATCGAAAATTTGAATTGAAAATCAATAAATATATAAATTTGGGTATTTTTATTATCGGATTTTAAAATAGTGACCTTTTGATAATTTATTTTAATGCAAATATTGACGGAAATAAAAAAGACCCGATGGCAAATTTCGAAATTATGTCATTTTGGACTTATTTGTCAATGAAATTAAGGATGTCAATTTGGAAGAAAAGTGAGAAAATTCCTAAAATGCTAAAAATGAATTTTCCAAACGTATTTTTTTATCTCATTTTTTTGATTTTGAAAACAATTTGGAGAGAAGAACTCTTCGTTTTTGAATTTTATCACGATGGTTTTAAAGTATATTAGACACATGTATTGATATTACTATTTTTGTATATTTTGAGAGAAAATCCCCAAAAAGTAAGAAAATCTAAGACGGTTTGAGAAAATATATAAACTATTGAAAATTTGAATTAAACTTCTAATTTGGAAAAAAGAAATTTGGAAAGAAGAAAATTCAAAAATCGAGATTTAGACTCAGCATCAAATGGAGAACAAAATGTTTCTTCATATGAAGGAAAAAAATTTTCTTGAGAAAAAATAGAGTTTTTAAAATTTTATTGTATGTAATGAAATAAACAAATATTAAAATTATTTTTTGATAACAAGAAAATTCCCAATTTTATACGTTTAGATGAAAATAAGTGATTTTGCTTGAAATAAAAGTTATTGTTTGCTTACAGCTATCAAATAGATTTTTGCTATTTAGAAAAAATTTATTAATCAAATTAATAAATTTTTTCTAAATATCTTAAATATCTGGATCACTCACTGATACAATGAATTGAACGAGAAAATAATACAAACTCAAATAAGTTTCCTGTTTTTCAACTAAAAAAAATTATGCAAATTAAATTAAATTAAATTGTTTATTCAAATATAAAACAAAGATGAAGTAATTACAGTTATCATAAACTTTATGAATAACTCTGTAATTGGTTCAGATTTTCGTAAAAATATTTTTATTAATATCGATAAGAATACGTTTACCTACTATCACAACATATCGATAAACAAGAGTAGAGTGATTTTTATCATCGAAACTTTTTAAAAGCTGTAAGCTGGAAGTAAAAATCTTGTTTTTTTCTGAGTTAGTTGTAGAACTATTGATGTACGAGTTATCATTGTGATGTAGAAGGATGTCAATGTACTGACTGAAGGATATGAAGTGAATTGAATTTCATTGAATTTCAATTTGATCAAAATTTGTTGAAATGATATGAATGTGTCAACATCTGTATCACTCTCTTTCACTCCTTCCCTATTCTTTCGAGAACGAAGCTAGCTCAGCTTTCGCTGAGCGAATTGACACTTTTGATGCCCTAAACGTACATATTCTCAAATTTATCGAAAAAATTATACCACCCAAACTAGTATATTCTTATTTTAAATATGATATTATCCTTAGAAATCACACTAGAATATATTTAAATCAACTTTTAAAAAAGTTCGAATCCTGCGCGTCTCACTTTTTAAATTTTCCAAAAGGAAAATTATATTCTCCTAAAATGAAAACAATTGGGGAGAAGCTTCCTAAACTTTTTAATCCCATAAATATGGTCATTATCTGGAATAAAGAGTTAAGCGTCATATGTCACTTTTTGTACTAAGGAAACATCGACTTTATGCGTTATGACTTTTCGATGAGGAAACAAGTGTTCACGTATTATAAACTTCCTTATTCCAATAAACCAACCCTAAACATAATTAATTCTAAGAATGATAATGGTCTCTTTTCTATGATAACCAAATCAATTTGGTTATCATAGTAAAGCACCAAAAACAGGAATAGGAATCGACAATATGGAATCACGAATCAACTCTAACAAAATGGAATTGGAAAATTCTTGCATCCATTCTTTATTTATGCAAAATTTAAATTTCAAACAAAATTCTCGTACTATTCTCAATAAGATTTGCGGAAACTTATCATTACTCTTATACGAAAGAAGATTTTTCATGCTAATTTTATCGAAGAACTTTATCTTGCAAAATAAAATACTCATTTCCTAGAAACTTAGACTAAAAACGGTAACAATGAATAAACTTCAGTCTAAAAATTAAATTCGTACTATTGTAATTAAATACTTATCTTTATAAAAAAATATCATTTTTTTTTCCAGTGAAAAAAAGATGTGACTTTTATTGATTGATTGTTTGTAAACATTGCACTTGAATAAGTATATTTTGTTTAAATTTGCACTTGGAATAAATATACAAAACAACACTGAAATTCCAGCTACTTTTCAATACTAATCATTTTTAAACATTCATTGTCCGTTGATTAGTAAGGCAAATGTTCGATTTTGAGCATGCATATTCAGTGAATGAATGCATTAATTAAAATCAATGAAGGAAAGGGATAAAACATGAATTGCAACTATGTCGCTATAAAGATATATGTCTCACAAATTGTTAGAATAGAGTTCTTTCATAATGATTGAATATTCTTTCCTATTTTGGTTATTACACGGAATTTCCTTCCTAAACATATAATGTCTTCCTTATAAAATGACTTGCTTTCTTTGAAAGCTAGTATATTTTAACATTTTTGAAAATTTTTATATTTTTTTTTAAGTTTTTATTAAAACAATAGAGATTTAAGTATATCCCCTCTAAAATAAGTGTTAATAGTATAAAATCAGGTTAAATTTGATCTAATATGAGTAAAAATGTAAAAAAGAACACACTCATTTTGCATGTAAAGGAATAATCAGAGTTATTCAATAACATTTTACGTATTAAATTATGGAATTACGATATCTTTTGAACAAAATTCAACGTAATTAGCAGAATGAATTTAAAAAATTGCTAAAAGAATGATGTACATTGATCATGCATTAAAGTATCTTAATAAAAATGCAGTAATATACAATGATGAGCAAAGCAGATTTGAATCAGAAAGAAGATTTGCTTAAAAAATCAGTTGAGTCTTCTCTAGTTTCCATATTGCCTATTCCTGTTTAAACGCGGTTATTCCTATTCCTGTTTTTGGTGCTTTACTATGATAACCAAATTGATTTGGTTATCATAGAAAAGAGACCATTATCATTCTTAGAATTAATTATGTTTAGGTTGGTTTATTGGAATAAGGAAGTTTATAATACGTGAACACTTGTTTCCTCATCGAAAAGTCATAACGCATAAAGTCGATGTTTCCTTAGTACAAAAAGTGACATATGACGCTTAACTCTTTATTCCAGATAATGACCATATTTATGGGATTAAAAAGTTTAGGAAGCTTCTCCCCAATGATTGTATCCAATTTACGGCTTTGGAGGTTTGAGGTGATCTGAACATAAATTTTTTTATCAAAAAAAATGGCTGTAGTTTGCAATATCGGCGTCATTGCACAAATCATTACAATTTGCGCTGGTGCATTTGCACTTGTCATCAGTTTCATCCTCTTATTCAAGTATTTCTCAACAATGGTTCTCTTCCAAGCCATTTTTGGTATTTGCCTTGGTTTAACAACAATTCTCTGCGAACTTTACATCTTCGACTTCTTCAAGTACTTCGCATTCCTTTTCAGAGCTTGGGGCAAGTGCTTATTCTTCCTCTTCGTCGGTGTTAACTTCTTCTCAAAGGAAACTATCAATATCATCACATTCGCAGTCTTCATGGCCTTGGCTATCTTCTATGCCATTCTTTGCATTGTCTGCGGATCTGCTGTTCCAGTTCCACTTCTCATGTCTGGCGGTGTTAAGTTCGAAGTCTCAAACGATGATTACAAGCCAAGAAAGGAGAGAGCATAAAATCTAGGTTCTATTTTGAAAAACTATTCCTTATTTTTATTTTTTTTTAATAAAATCGCTTTGAATCCAATTATTTCAATGTTGATCTATATTAAAAGTTAATTCTACTAACTCCCTATGGAACAATTTTTCTCTCTTTTTTTTTTACCCCTTGATGAATTCCAAGGTTGATAAAAATAATTAAGAGATTTAAAAAGATACAAATTTGGAAAGAAATGTATCCATTTAGATGTAATTCTTGTCAATTTCAAAAAAAATTAAATACGACAGAAATTCAAACTCTTTGTTTTGATTCCCAATAATCATATACATAAAATGGCTTTCAAATACATTCTCAATATGTCAAAATTTAAGAAAAATCAGAATAAAAAAATATCAATTTTTTTTGTTCAAGCAAAATATATATTTATAATTTACTCGTCGGCCTCAACCTTCTTCTTGCCGTGAAGCCAGTCAGAGTTCTTGACAAATGGGTGTTCCTCGAAAGCGCGGTCCTCCCACTGGTCTGGTGTGAGGAACTTGAATGTCTCCTCCATGGCCTTGTATGTGGCAACAAGGAAGTTGAATGTTGTCTTTGTGTGGCCAAGGGAAGATGTGAAGAGATCCTCGAAACCAGCCATTGTGAGGAGCTTCTTAGCTGCTGTACCAGCGACGATGCCGGAACCACGTGGAGCTGGGATTAAGCGCATACGGATGGAGCCGCACTTGCCTGTGACTGTGTTTGGAACTGTATGTGGAAGACCGATCTTGTTGCCCCAATAGCCACGGCGAACTGGAAGGATGGAGAGCTTAGCGTAGATTGTGGCGCCCTTGATAGCGTTGGCAACTTCAGCAGCTGTCTTGATGCCGAGACCGATATGGCCCTTGCCATCACCGACAGCGGCAATAGCTTTAAAGCGGGTACGCTGACCAGCACGTGTCTGCTTCTGAACTGGCATGATCTTCATGATTTCATCCTTAAGATCCTCACCAAGGAGATGCTCAACAATTTCGGCTTCCTTGATTGGGATAGCGTGGTAGAAGATTTCTTCAATGGATTTTATCTTGCCGGACTTGACGAGACGGCCAAGCTTTGTGCGTGGTTGCCATCCGCCCTTCTGCTGACCGCGTGGAGCGCGTGGTCCGCGTGGGCCACGGCCCTCACGGCGTCCGCGCATCTCACCACGGAGTGGTTGCTGTGTCTGTTCCTGTGGAACTTCTGCTGGGGCCTGCTGAGACATCAAAAAAAGGAACGACCAATGACGATAGTCCTGTTTATTTCGACCAGTTTGCTTTTTGATATTAAATACATAATATATATATCATGATTAATAATTTTTCTCATACAAACTTCCTTCAATGATTCAGATTTAATCATAAAATAAATTGTTTTATCCGTAGCCGCTTAATCTCCAATATAGATATAATGCCCATAGAGAGGATAATTCATATGTTAACCCCATTATGATCTAGATGAAGTTTCGCATCAAACAATTTCGATCACCCATAAAATCAATCAAAAGGATTCAAACAATGTCTTTCTTATGTGATCGAAAACATGATTTTCCGCATTAAAGTTCATTTCTAAAAGAACTATCCAAATCAAATTTGTTCAAAAGATGAAAAAAGAAGGTAAAAAAAGTTATTAAATTAAAATAATGAAAATGAATCTATTTAAAATCTTACTTACTGTGTTTGCTGGATCTTCTTGTAGCCCTCGTAACGAGTCTTCATATCATTGATAAGTTGTGGGAACTTAGTCTCAGCCTCCTTTGGATAGATATCCTTAAGAGCAGCGAAACGGTTCTCGCCCTTGACAAGTGGGTCGAGGTTGTAGTCTGGCTGCTTTGTATCAACTGTGAGTGGCTTTGGCTTAGCTGGGTTGTAACGGAAGAGGTTGAGGTAACCTGTCTTGAGGAGATCCTTGCAGTGCTTTGGTGTTGAGCCAAGTCCCTTCTTGATACCGTGGTTGATGCAAGGAGAGTAGTTGATGATGATAGCTGGGCCGTTGTACTCCTTAGCCTCCTGGAGAGCCTTGAGAGCCTGGTTTGGATCAGCAAGAAGGCATGTTGAAGCGACATAGATGTTCCTGTATGTCATAGCGATGGCACCGAGATCCTTCTTAGCCTTTGTGTAACCAGCAGCAGAGAAGTTAGCAACAGCACCACGGGATGTAGCCTTAGAGCATTGGCCACCAGTGTTGGAGTAAACTTCTGTATCGTAGATGATGATCTTGACGTTTTCGCCAGAAGCAAGAACGTGATCAAGGCCACCATAGCCGATATCGTAAGCCCAACCATCACCACCGACGATCCAGACTTGCTTCTTGGAAAGGATGTCAGCCTGTGACTGGAGAGCGTACATCTTCTCGGATGGGTTCTGAACCTTAGCGAGGAGTGGTTTGATCTTCTCAGCGAGATCGCCGGATTCCTTGTCCTGATCCCAAACCTTGAGGAGTTGCTCGAAGAGTTCCTTGAGCTCGCCCTTGATTTCGCCGGACTCGAGGAGTTCGACAACGAGCTTCTTTGTGATGTTACGGCGGGCCTCGACAGCCTTGAACATACCGTAGCCGAATTCAGCGTTATCTTCGAAGAGGGAGTTAGCCCAAGCTGGACCGTGTCCGCGCTCGTTTGTTGTGAATGGGTTGAATGGGAATGTAGCACCCCAAACGAGTGAGCAGCCTGTAGCGTTAGCAAGGTAGAGCTGGTCGCCATAGAGCTGTGTAAGGAGCTTGCAGATAGCTGTTTCACCGCATCCCTGGCAAGCACCGTTGAATTCGATGAGTGGCTGGCGGAACTGAACGTTGCGAACGTTTGTTGGTGGGAGAAGGTGGCCACGGTTTGGAGCAGCAAGGCACTGATCCCAGTTCTTGCCCTCTTCCTCATCGAGCTTGGCGTTGCGGTATGTCATGGAGAGAGCCTTTGTTGGGCAGGATGTGACGCAGGTTGCGCAGCCTGTGCAGTCGAGTGGTGTGATCTGGATTCTGAACTGGTAATTCTTGATCTCCTTGCCCTTAGCCTTGAGTGTTGTAAGGCCCTTAGCTTCTTCTTGTGTAAGAAGGAATGGGCGGATGACAGCGTGTGGGCAGACCATGGCGCAGGTGTTGCACTGGATGCACTTCTTTTCTTCCCACTTTGGAACTGTGACGGCGATACCACGCTTCTCGTACTTGGCTGTGTCGTTTGGAACGAGGCCGATTTCGACCATCTCATCGACAGAGACGGACTCACCCTCCTGAAGGATGGACATGTCGATGATGTGGCGGATGCCCTCGTGCTTTGGTCTTGGTTCGACTGGAGCGTTGAGCCATTCAGCCTTGTTGTACTTGAACTCCTTGAGGCCCTGGAGAGCATGGTCGACCATGTCCCAGTTCTTCTGGATGACTTCCTTACCCTTGCGAGCGTACTGCTTAGCAATGGACTTCTTAAGGAGAGCGATGCACTCTTCGGCTGGGATGATGTTAGCGAGGCCGAAGAAGACTGTTTGCATAAGCATGTTGATACGGCCTGGGAGCTTGAGGTCGATAGCGATCTGAGTAGCATCGATTGTGTAGAGCTTAGCATCCTTCTCAGCGATGGCCTTGCGGAATGATCCTGGAAGGTCCTTGTTGAGGTCAGCAGATCCTGGGAAGTTGATGACGAAGACACCACCCTTCTTGAGCTGCTTTGTCATGTCGAACTTGTGGAGGTAGGATGGGTTGTGGCAAGCGATGTAATCAGCGTTCTGGACGTAGTATGGAGCGTTGATTGGCTTGGCACCGAAACGAAGGTGGGATGTTGTGACACCTCCGGACTTGTGGGCATCGTAAGCGAAGTAAGCCTGGCCGTAAAGCTTTGTGTTGGAAACGATAAGCTTGATAGCCTGCTTGTTAGCACCGACTGTACCATCAGAGCCGAGACCCCAGAACATGCACTGCTTTGTGCCTTCTGGAAGGTGATCGAATGGCTTGCCGAGTGGGAGCTGTGTCTCTGGGTTGACAACGCCGACTGTGAAGCGGTCCTTTGGAAGCTCGGAAGCGAGGTTCTTGACGATAGCTTCGACATGGACTGGAGCGAAGTCGCGGGATGAGATACCGTAGCGGCCACCGATGATCTTGACGTTGCGCTCGCCAATGAGAGCAGCAGCAACATCTTCGAAGAGTGGTTCACGTGGGCCTGTTGGATCGACAACCTTGTCGAGAACGCAGATCTTCTTGACGGAGGCTGGGATAGCAGCGTTGAACATCTCAACAGAGAATGGGCGGAAGAGGTGGACCTTGATGAGGCCTGTCTTGAACTCTGGATGCTCTGTGATGTATTCTTCGACTGGATCGCAGCCAGAACCCATCATGATGATGACGTTTTCTGGGTCACGTGGGCCAGCATACTGGTATGGCTTGTAGTAACGGCCTGTCTTGTCGCCGAGAGCCTTCATCATCTTCTCGACTTCAGTTGGGAGAGCCTGGAATGGCTTGCGGAGCTTCTCGTGCATCTGCCAGACGTATTCTGGGCCGCAGATTGTGCCGCGCTCAGATGGGTGTTCTGGGTTAAGAGAGCGAGCACGGAAAGCAGCGAGTGCCTTCTGGTCGATGAGTGGCCAAAGTGTTTCGTTATCGAGTTCTTCGTATGTGTTGATTTCGTGGGATGTACGGAAGCCATCGAATGTGTGGATGAATGGAAGGCCTGTGTGGATAGTTGTGAGGTGAGCAACAGCAGCGAGATCGTGAGCCTCTTGGACACCATTGGAGAAAAGGATTGGCATGCCTGTTGCACGGCAAGCGTAGATATCGCCGTGATCGTTGTAGATGGAAAGAGCAGATGTAGCAATGCAACGAGCAGAGATGTGGAAGACTGCTGGGCACATTTCACCGATAATCTTGTACATGTCTGGGATCATAAGGAGAGCACCTTGTGAAGCTGTGAATGTAGCGCAGAGAGCACCAACGGCTGTAGCACCGTGGACTGCTGCGGCAGCACCACCTTCAGACTGCATCATGGCCATGTGGACCTTGTTGCCCCAGATGTTCTTGCGTCCCTGAGCGATCCAAGCATCAACGAGTTCACCCATTGTTGTAGCTGGTGTGATTGGGTAGATGAAGGATGTTTCAGAAAGTTGGTAAGCAACTGATGTGGCAGCGGTGTTGCCATCTCCTGGAATTCTCTTGCCGAAGCTGCGGAGCATTCACGAAAAATGAAGAGCCAATTGTCTTCACAAAAATTTGAGAGGTAGATAGTGAAATTGATAGAATCACGTTTATGTAGCAACAAAAGTTATTAATTTTATCTACTATGAATAGATCATGTTAGGATAATGATTTTTAATTAGCCTCTCAAATCCGAACACTTTGTCGAATTATCCAATGTTAATTCAGTATCAGGAAATAAGATGTTTTTTTGGATGAATATTTTTCCAAACTGTTTTTTCATTCAAAATTCTCATGGGTGATAAAATTATGATGGTTAAATTTAACTTCTTTTGATCCAAGTAATAAAATTATTTGAAAGCAATCGGAAAATAAACATTGATTGTATAAATTGTGAAGATTGAATAAGTTCACAAAATTAGCGTCATGGGCATGATTTTTACAATCACTTAAATAAAGTGTACGAATTGAAAATTATGATCATTATATCATTATAACATGAATGTCATTACCACTGCATGAACCTACGGCATTTCTGTCAGAAAAAAAATCGGTTCAAAATCAAATTCATGAAGAATCGAGCATAAATGGTATTTTACTGTATATTCTTCGTTAAAAAAGCTCTGAACATTATATAGCGGAATAACCGTCACCTCACATATCACTGAAATCAAAATTCAATTACACCCGGCTAATTGACAAACAATTTCACTTAACAAGTGTTATTTGTGAATGTTTTATATTAATGATTACAAAAATCAATTATCTTTTTTTCCTCAAATCATTTGTTCGAAAAATACCAAAGCTTTGCGATCATTTATAGGAATATATAGATATATGTGTAATTTTCAATTATATTATTTCAATTCTACGGTCACTCTACCATTTTTCAAAATCACTCATTTATGATCTTTATCGTAGGAGCCATAATCCATGGATAAAGGATCACAATGCTAAGTATTTACATATTTTCGTTCTTACTATTTATTCTCTCGAGTAATTTCAAAACAATTGATTTTGGATCTTTATTTCTCCAAATTAATTTAGATATTTGTGCTATCACTATCCCATATATCTTGGATGAACTAACCAAATCAAGAATGCAATTCAAAATTCTTACCAATCAAAGAAATGTAGATAATAAACGAGATCCATAATAATTAACAAAAACTAACAAACAAATTTTAGTACAAAATAATATAAAAACTTTCAATAACATAGAGATAGATTATCTTTTTTTGGAGTTTCCTGGACATTAATGAGTTAATTGGGTTCATATTAGAGAAATCGATGGATCAAGAATGTTCGCGGCTGCTTTGACCCACTTCTAATTAATTCTCTGATAGTATCAGCTCTTTGGTACTTCAGAGCATATTTTAATGGGTCCCAACCGCAGTTAGACAGGCTATTGATATTGGCTCCTTTGCTAATTAAATACTTACAGACATCTGCATGACCTTCCCTTGCAGAGTAATGCAAAGGTTGGCATCCGTCTAGATCTTTAGCGTTTATATCAGCATTACATTCGATTAAGATCTTGACTGTCGATAAGTTTCCCATCAAAGAAGCCCAAATCAAAGAAGTCTTCCCATCTTCATCGCATTGATCAACTGAAAACCCTTTTTCCAGGAGTAACTTGACTATCTCATCATTACCTTTATACGATGCTGCGATCAAAGGTGTCCAGCAGTTGATGGTTTTGAGGTTGTCCTCAAAGCTATGGTCTAATAATAATTTTACGATATCTATATGATTTCTTTTTGATGCGTAAACAAGTGCGTTCTTACAATGTCCGTCTTTTAATTCTGGCATTGCGCCTCGATTTAATAAATCTTTTACTATTGGTTCGTTGCCTGTACGTGATGCTACGATCAATGGTGTCCATCCATTCTCATTTCGCTTATTAACATCACCCTTATAAGATTTTGAAAAAATTCTATAAGCTTCTGTATTAAATGAGGAAATACAAAAGGATAGCTCAACTTGTAGATTTTTGGATTCGTTTAGGAACCATTCGACAATATGATTTCGATGAAATGCGACTGCTTCATAAATAAGATCTTGATATTCGGATTTTTTTGGTTTAACTGTAAGGACTATATCTGCAGAGCCACCACGTATGGCGCATTTAACTGTTTGTGAAGTAGTTTTTGCTCCGATTGAGTGAAAAAAATCGAAACAGTTCTTACTACCACAAAAGGCAGAATAATCTAAAGGTGTATAAAAGGTGTTATTAACTTGTATAATTTCTTCGTATAAGTCATAGTCAGTCGAAATTTCCCTTATAGCATCTATATTTTGTGAATATATTAAATCTGGCAATAGATTCGAATGAGGATATCTATTTATGTATTTGCATTTGGGGATTCTTTGTTCTTCTAATTCTGTTTTATTCTGTAAATAGCTCATAAACATAGATTTTCTGTTAGTAATGGGAAGATCTAAAGCAAGCCAAAGATTTTTAAGCAAACTAAAGTTGAATGGACGTATTTCTGCAACATATTGAATTAATTCGTAAATATATGATTTGAATTTTTGATTCATTTCTCGAAGAAAAGATAAAGTACTTTCGTAATTATCCTTATTGAGATTTGTGATCATTGATTCGATCTGAATATGTGTGGATAGTATATTGTCCGAGATATTATTTCCTAATCCAGATTCCAGACCTGGATTATTCATAAAATCTTTGATTTTTAAACGTTCACTTTTTTATGGGAATTCGGAATCTTTTGATGCTAATCATGAATAGGAATGAAGTTCAAGTTAATTACATAGTTAATTCATTTGTTTACATGACAAACAGCGACAATTAATGTACTTTCTTCAAGTAAACACTCATGTTTATTGAAAAATATAATAAGCATTCATGACCAGCCAAATATTCACAGAAAAGATTATCACATTGATGTGTTTATAAAACTTTTCGAAATACATACCTAGTTTCAGATTTGTAATATATTTCTTACAAAATGTCATCGTTGTGAAATTATACGCTTAAGATCTTTCATACTTTTGTGTTTTATGTAAATACTTAAACTACTAGATGATATATCTATACCCCTTTTTTGAAATATTGAATGAAAACTATGATTTGATATAAATTTTTAAGTTTTGGCTAAGGCATAAAGTTTGTATCAACAACTACATCTTGTTTGTGGGTTCAAACACGGATTTGATTGAGTTTTTTCTTTCTCGAAATTCCAAAATTTTTTTGATTTTTAAAAAATGAAATTAAAAATTTAGGAGTTTATGGTATTTTTTTTGTAATTCGTAATTTTTTTGGAATTTTTATATCTATAAAATCAATTTATTTTTAAATAACATTTTAGTACTTTCAACAAAAGTTCTTCAACTTTTGATTTATAATAATATTATATGATATTCAACTATTCACAGAATATCTTGTCAGAAATTCTATTATATATGTATTTTTACGAATAATTGATTCTTTATAATTCCACAATTTCATTGGAATTGTCAATTTGAAGATGAATTTGGTAAAAATCAAATCATTATTCAACAAAGCAATGCAATATTAGAACATATTCAACTTAAATATGAATATCCCGTATGAAATTAGGGAAAAGAGTGAAAAGTTAACGAAATAAAAAACAATTTATTATAAAATCAAAACAAATAACTATATTGCGAAATGAAGGAGTTGTCAATTTCTTCAGTAAAATCATAAAGTCTTCTCAATTCGAAGCAAATCGTTGTTAATTGACTCCTGTGGTAAATAGGAGCATCTTCTCTATGAATGTTCTGCAATTTTGAGTATTTTGATAACAAAAGAATCCAATAATCAACCATCTTTTGTTTCAGTCCTTCCAAAATCAAATTTGCAAATTTACAAACGTCATATTGATTTAATTCATCAATCTTCTTGATAGAATCACTTAAAGCCATTGCCTGCGGATACGGGAACTGCGTTGAGTCAAATCCTTTAACAGAATTCCAAATTGAAGTATTTTCTCCAATTATGTAGAATTTATCGCAAAAGAACTTGATCAATGTTGAGAACAGTTTAATGAAGAGGATATGAAATGATTCTGACTCTTTCATTTCCATGAAATCCAAAATAATCTTTTTGACTTGAATTTCAACAACTCTTCCGTATAAATACGAATTGTATGTCTCGAAACTCGATAATTTCTGTGGTATTTGTAACAAATCAAATTTTGGAATTGTTTCTAAACGATTTATGCGTTTTTGTAAGTCGGAGAAGAATTCCGGTACTGTAAATATCGAAAACTCTGTGAAGACATTTTCGCTAAACGATTTGTTGAAGAAAATATCATCAAAAAATTGAGATAATTTCTTGTTAATGAGGAATCTGTAAAGAATAATGATTATAAATTCTTCAAATAGACGATCTTGATCAGGAACATCTTTCGAAAACTTCGAACTACTCAAATAAAAAATAATATATTCTTTGAACATAATTTCCTTGGTTCCTGCAACTAACACGGATCCCAATGCATGTAGTAGTTTAAATAACACTTCTTTCGAATGGTTATTTTCAATTTCGACGATAAATTTTTCGATTTTCTGAATTACGTCATTTATATTGAATTTTTCATCGTCTAATTTGTAATCTATTGAAAGTAGGATATTGTCGAACTCTGAGCAGTAAGAATCCGATTTTTTGTAAATTGTATCACTAAATTGAGGAAAAATCGATTTAGAATCGAACAAATTATCAAAGTTCCATGAATTACTTTCTATATAACAAGAATTCTCAAGTTTCGAGAAGACGTTATCGATTTCTTCTTTGTAAATTTCATCTCTTGTTTTATGCTTCAATTTTGCGGCTTGTTGGATCATAGATGGTTGTCTTATGATCGGTGCTTGCATGTAATCATGGTAAAGGATTGTTCTATGGATAGTTTTTCCGAAATCAAATATATTTATGTCACTTGTTGCAGGACGAGGGATTAATGAACCGGAACTAATCTCAGAAGGCTTTGTAGAGAATATTTGATGGATTACAGGTTCTTTCATCATTGAAAAACAGTCAAATGTGAAATCAGTCGTAATTCCATCGATTTTCGTATTTCTTTTATAGATATGTGGCCTTTCGGGTGTCTGAATATTCTTAATATTCAAGTAGTAGTTGATGGAACAGTATATAGCAATCAATCCATCAAAATCTGAAAATTGAAAATTAAATTGGTTGTTGATTTTGTTGGAAACAACTAAACCGTATGGATTAGGGACCTCATCCCTGAAGAAAGCTGAGCAAATAATCAGGTTCGTGTTGTAATCGATAGTTTCAATCAAATCTCCTCGAAAAGATAATAAATTTATTTGATCTTCTTTTACATTTATAATTGTACTGGATGAAACTTCGATTTGGGGTTCGAATAATGGCTTGGGCATAGTACCACGAGCTGATATTAATGAGGAAAACCAAGAATCTCGATTTTCTTCGGTATTAAACGTGATTTTGATGATATCTTTTAATAAATCGGGTAAAGGAATCAACCATATGTGTCTTGTTTTCATTTTTAATGGCATATAAGTCGGAAGGAGAATATTAAAATTTATTTTTTTCGCTTGAAATACTTTGAAGAAAAGAACTGGACCAACAATTGACAGTTCTGCGGTAAATACTGAGTTTGGTTGGCTAGATTCCTCTGCAACGTTATCTTCTGAGTTTAATAAGAAAGGAAGTTCAACAAGTGCTTTACTACTGATGCTTTCCTTAGGAAAATCAGTGAATAAAGTGTTTGAAAACTGAAATTTCTCTTCAGTACCGCAGATATTGATATTTATGCATTTTGACATGAAGAGAATGAGATAAAAAGATTTGACAAAATTTTGACATGAAATCCGATAAGGCAATATTCTACCTACATTAACCAAAGAAACATTTTTATTAGAGAAAACTGCAAAATACCTGATCAACCAGAATTTCAAATTTCCACTACACAGTTTGATCATTTTATAATGAGATTTGATTGTGTACATCAAATAGGACAATATCATTTAGTTACTTTTGAAGATGAGTACTTTTGAATTCAATCCATTCAAAAATATATTAATTCTTTCTCCTAACCGAATTACTAACAATTTCTCAATGTAATCTTTCATGTGTGGTCATTTTTTCATCTGAAACACACATAATTTATTATCATTTAGTTCATCATTGAATTATGTGTTCATGATATTAAATTTGATGAGAATTGTAGAAATTCGGAACTAAATTGATTTAAGTGTTTGATCCATCAACTCCTCAAAGTGCCAAGATCTATTATAATCCCGCGACAAATCATAGTACTCAAATGATATTCTCCATGCTATATCTTTACTACGCTGTTATGGAAGATTTGGATGTTCTATTACAATCATTCATTCATATTTTCAAACCATTATAACACCCTGTGAACTGATCATCTGATCATTGGAAACTAATTTTAACATAACCATATTATAAATATTCATTTATTTCTAAATATATTGTTCTCTGGATATTGATATTTTCATTCATTCTTATACTGAATCAAAAAACCATTTAAAGATATTCGAATTCATCTAGAGCGATGCTAGTCTTCACATTTGTGAACATGGAGATTATGTATATATTGCTTAAAAAGTTGTATATACTATTTATTTGATATATTGGACCCTTCAATCAATCATCCCTTTCATGCTGTTTTATCAAGCTTTTTTCATATTTTTCACATCATATTATAGGAAATTTTTCATTTATTGTGTATATATTTCCTATACCTATTCAACATTCTGAGTGAAGTAATAATCAGATACTATTGATTTACATCATTAAACAATATCACAATACTAAAATTGGTAAATATCTCCAACAAAATCAATATTGATGTCCTTTTGATGTGATGTTTTTACATATGAAAATATTGCAAATTCTTGTATATTTTTACTCAAAAATAATAAACATAAAAAATGATATTTAAATTAACAATAAAACACAAAATAAAACAAATAAAAGTAGTTAGTTGAGTGATGATTTCGCCTTTTCAGTTTCATAATCTTTGATGACTTTCTGGACAATATTCGTCAACTGCAGAATTTGATGATACTGAGGAGTTCTTCTTTCAGCTCTTGCCTGTCTCTCCTGATCTCTTCTCTTCAGCAACAAAGCCTTTCTGTTCTTTTCGTAAATAGAAATGATCTGTTCACTGTTCTGTGACTGGCTGAGCATTGCTTGCTGTTGTTGGAGAGCGTTTTGTGCAATTTGTTCTGCAGACCTTCCTGTGTACAGTTTCGGCAATCTCGAAGTGACCATGGGTGTTGCTGTCTCTCTGACAGTCGAAGAAACAGTTCCGCTCTCTGCTGGTTTGACTTGGGACCAAAAGAATAATTCGCCATCCCATTGAATGGAAACCCATCTGTCGCTTCGTGGCGTTGAGTATATTCCAACAATTAAATCATTGTGGCCAACGAAAATTGCTTTTTCTTCACGAGTATTCAGAGAAATTAATCTGATTGTCTTGTCATCGCTAGCAATCAAGATTGTATTGAATGCAGCAGGAGCTAAGGCTGTTACATAGCATGGGGATGTAGAGAAAACAAAGGTTGCTGCTCCAAGAACGTTAGATGTGTGCCAACCTCTTATGTAGCCATCGGATGAGGAACAAATGATCATATCCTCCATCTGAGAGAGGACACAAAATGAAATTGAGCCAAATTGAGAGTGGTCGATCAATAAAACTTCTTTGATGTCATTTTTAGAAACTTGCCATTGTCTCATGAAGCCTTTTGTATCGCAGGTGTACATTTCGCTTGTATTCTTTATAATGACAGCGGCTGTAATAGGATTATCGTGTATTCTTTCCCTTTGCAAGATTTTTTCTAGCTTATCTTGGCAATCCCAATAAGCCATTGATAATTCATCACCTGCAAATGTAATAGCCTTCGAATTATGAACTAATATGATGGAAATTCTGGCATTTTCTGTATGTACGGCTGTAATATTTCGAATTTCTGATAAACAGATGCTCATTAAGTTACCATTCTTGAATCCTGCTAATAAACATAATTCTGGATAGCAGAATTCGAAGCAGGAAGCATCCGCAACGCTTAATAATATATCAGATTGATATAAATAAGAAGAAGCTTGACGTAACGCGAATATCGATGATCCACCAACGAAAACATTAAGTCCTAAAGCGACCATTGAGTTGTTTGGTCGCTTGGTGGTAATGGTTTGTACCGAAACTGTTCTTTTCTTGTTAGTTGTGACCGGTGAAGGTATCATATCGTCAGAGAATATGAATCCTGAGAAGGCAGAGACTCCTTTGTCGCGCATCTTGTATCGGAAAAGGTAAGCTGAATTCGACCATTTCCAGGAATAAACGTATTTGTGGTTTACAATTGCTGTTACTCTTGTGTTCAATCCGTCACCAAGAATTACTTCGAAATTGGCCTTCGAAGAACCAGCAACTGGTAAATCTTTGAACATCTGGAAATTTTCAGAGATATCGGAGTTCTGGTGGTGCTGATCTATGATGTGTATGTTTCCATCTTTCGAAGCAACCCAAATAAGCTGCATAGCGTTATCCATGTATATGGAGTGAACTCCTCCAGCGAGATTTTCAGCGACAGAGCCTAAATAGAGGCCTTCAACTGAGTATGTCTTAATAGAGCCGGTAAGGTCACCAACAACGAATGATTGCTGTGACATCTCTGCGTATAAAGCTGAAGGTGTTGTTGGCAATTTCGCAACAGTTTTGGAGACAGTGAGATCCATGAGCTGAGTTGTGGCTACTGTATGATCGTATGAGCATGAAAAGAGACGCCTTTGGAAGCCGGCTAATTTATGAATAATATCATGGTGAATTCTTGCTGTTTGACGTAAAGTAAATGGACAAGAATCACCATTTGCAACAAGTTGTGACATAATTGTTGGAGATAACTCGAAAGTAACGATCTCTCCGTCAAGACCAATTACTAAAATTTCGTTTTCTTCGTTAAAATATATTGAATAAATCGGGGAAGGTGTTTGAACGTGTTTTGATTTATTCTTGAAATGCTGGTAACGATGCACCATTGTTGTACCGTGCCATGTGATAATTGAGCCATCATAACCGCATGAAAAGAGTAAATCATAGCGGGAGGAATACGCAAAACCAGTAATTTTACCTGTATGACCTGACTGTTTCAACCGATCTGGTGGAAGTTTTCTGAATAAAGTTGAAGTCTGAGTATTCCATACACGAATTTCGAAATCTTCATTTCCAACGTAAAGATATTTATCATACTGAAGACTGGCAGTAGTATTATGGATCGAAAAAGCAGAGTCCAATACCCAACTCATATTGCTCTTTCGCGCCTTTAATAAAACGTATTTCTATTCAAAATCCGATCGGCATATTTACTTCAATCACAATTTAGGTATTAAAAAAATGTAAATAAATAGTATAGTGATTAATTTTGCTTTAAATAATTGAATTAAAAATAATCATAAGATTTATAAGAATTTTCCATTTTTGGAAAAAAATTCACAAAATTTATAATGCAAAGTTATGTTAGGAACGTGGTTGATGAGAATTGCAAACCACGTTTGGAAGAAATCAGATATTTCATACGTTCCAACTTCCCAGAACGAGCAGAAGTCCTTCAAAAATTTCAAGAAAGGAAAGATTGTCCTCTTTTATGCACAAATTTTCTTTTTGAGTCATTGGTATCTGGCGGTGGTTCATTTTTCGCAGAGTTTTTGATTAAATACTTTATTACAAATTGGGATAATTTAGAAATTACCGAAAAGAAGTTCTACATAACAGAAATAACGAAATCACTCAAAGAAGCATTCAATTATACATCATTTTACGAGGAATCTGCAGTTTCAATCCATCAATTATATTCAATTTTGTTAATTTTATGTTTACCAAGAAATATTGAAGCCGGATTTGAGAATATTCTTTTCTTTGATCCAGATCAGCGTTTAACTTATCACCATTCATTACATACTTTACAAATTTTTTATTCTATGCTTCTAAGTGGAGATTTTCCGAATATAATAACAGAGGAATCGAAAAATTACGTTATATCAGAGTTAACTTCTAAATATTCTCAAAGAATTTTTGAAATAATCGATATTGGTTTAAATGACAATGGAAGACATCGATTTCAAGCAATAGAATACTCAATTAAGCTTATAAAGATACTAAGACAATACATTACAGTACCAAATCTTATGGATTTTGCTTATTATGACCAAATTGTTACAAATTATTTCAAAGAATCGAATAATTCTAATCTAGGAACAATTATGATGTACTTTCCAGTTTGTTTTGATAAAATTTTGATTCCAAAATACGCATTTGATTTAATTCCAGAAATAATCGGGAGAATCAATGCATCAGACTATATAAATTCTGATGAATTCGATTGTAATGACTTTGTTGAATTTATTTCTTGTCTTCTCGTTGATCATTTCGAAAATTTCGAAAATCAAAATTCTTTTCCATTAATTGAAGAGATTTTGAGACTTTTAGACATGATGTGGTCACCAAACAAAATATCATACAAAGAACAGTACGTTTTATTCTGGATTAACTTGTTTTCAAAAGCAAATTTTTTGAAATCTTCAAATACAAATTTTGAGGCTTTTTTTAATGTTTATTTGAACCACATGCATGATGTGATGCAAAAGATCATTCCTTCTTTCTTCCCTGTTCGTGAATTTCGTGAAAGTTTTGATGATCGAGAAAATCTTTTTAAAAATATCGAAAAACTGTTTCAGTTGATTGTTTCTGTTGATGACAGAATAATATTTAGACAAATTGATGATTTTTTGGCTGCAATTTCGATTGGATACGAATATTCTATTTATATTCCTTTGATTTTCACTTTAGTGGCTATCAAAGATTATGTTCTTGCGAATTTGGATCATGTTGATCTTCTTTTTGAAACAAAAAAATGTTTTGAAAAATTAATTAACAAAAAAGTGACAAATCAAAGTATTTTGTATGAGAAACTGTTTTATTTTAGCTCGTTCTATCAAGCTTATTACAAATACTTTATAGAATTCAAAGATTTTTCTTTAATTTTTATTCAAAAATTGAAATTACAAAATTTTGCATTACAATACCAAATAATGAATACATTGATAGAGATCAACAAAGAAAATGACATTTCTCCTCTTTTGGAATTGATTTTGAAGGAATTTAATTTTTATTACAATTCTTTACTGAATAATGACTTGAAAATGAAATTAATAGGTGCTGTTTGCCAGATATATAAAGATAATGATCCATTTATGTTACTTCCTTCAATTTATCATAAAAATTTTGATAAAATTTCAAAATTAGAATTAGATAATGCAGAAAATGCAGAGAAAATCATTGAATCGCTATTTATGTTAGAGAATCTCATTGTTTTCTCACAAGGAACTATTTCAGAAGTTGATTTTTCTGAAATTGAATTTTTATTTAATATTTGTAACAAAACATTCGAAATTATTGATGAAAACAAGTTTAGTATAACAGCAATCGACCAAATGAAGCAAATTCAGAAGCATATTTTCACAATTTTGTCATTTTTGTCAAATTTACCTTTAATCAACAAAATTTTGTTTGAATTACCAGTAATTGTTGAGAAATATTTAATTTTACCACCAGAATTCCGTGAATTTTCTATAATTGGCTTAATTACATCAATTATTCGAAATGAAATGAAAAATGGAACAGATAACGCAGCAAAATTAGTTGAGAAGTTGTTTATTTCTTATTGTACAGAGATGATTCCGTTCCCTGATAATTATTTTGATGAAATTTTGAATTTCTTTGATGCAATATCGGAATTACGCCTTGATTTACTTATAAATTCTAAATACATTGATGCCATATTCGATGTATTGCATCGCATCATTAATAATCCAAAATCAAAATTCAAAATTCAAATTTTAATTATTTTACAAAAAATTTTGGAACAAATTGATTTATCAACAATTAATCTATTAGAAATATTGAAAATGCTGTTCTCTAAGATTCTTAATTGCTTTGAAACTGAATTATTTAGACAATTATGTTTTGTTTTTGATACTTTGTTAAGGAGACTGTTAAGAGATGAACAAATGGAATGTTTAACTGAAATGTTTACTTTTTATGGTTTCGAAAATTTAGATTTAATTTCTGAAATTTTAGAAAACTTAACAAATACTGACGCTTTTCTTGATTTGATGGCTGATGTACCAAAACACTATTCTTTGTTTTTGTATGCTTATGTAAACTAAAATGTAAACATTCACTAAACTGCTTGCCCTAAGGTGGACAATATTGAAAGGAATTCAATGAGTTCTCTCAAAAATAACCACCTTTTCATATTCAATACTATTGTCCACCTTTCGTCCAACTTAAATAATTTATTTAGAAACAACAAAACAAAATAGATAAAAATAAATAATGCAGCAAGGTCCAGAAAGACCTAAAAAATCGAAATGACGGAGTGGATTTTTGATATAACTCATTAAATGGAAATTATGAGATATTATAATTAAAATTTTCACACTATCCGAGATATAAGAAAACTAGCATCTAGGTAGCTCGGATATATGGGTAGTATCTATTTTTGGAGAAAACTCCAAAAGTTAAAGTTATGATTTATTAATGAGAACAATTATAAGAGAAACAAGTAGCTGAAAAGGAGCATCATTTGATATGACTAACAATTACTTATTCGTAAGTTTCTGCAATATCTGTTCGAGGAGAAATGCTGCTTGATTTGGATGAACGTTTATAAGTTTTTAGAGTAAATAGTTGAAGAATTTGGAGTTCCTAGCATGAGTATGTTAAGTGGACAGTAGAGAAATTTGGTAGCAATGCATAACGGTTGCAATATTTTCAGGTAATTCAGAATAGGATCTGTTTGAGCATAAAGAGATGCAATATTATTGCATCTCTAATCATTAAAGCCATGCATCTTGTGATTTCAAAGCGTGTTGTGTCTCTGTTCCGCTCACTAAAAATGTAAAAAAAAAATTGACTATTATCCACCTTAGGGCAAGCAGCTTATTTTTGACAAAATTTTAAATTTTTTCATGGGGTTGTAAATCTTATAATAACTAGATGAATAAGGAATTAATCCCAGTATGATGTGCATAATTATATTAAACACAATATGTATGGCTGGTGATTCTATTAACACCTATGAAGATCTCGAGTTTTTGAGCAGATAAATTTGATAATTTCCAAAGCTCTTATAAATATTGTTAAGCACTATATAGGGATGCTATTTATCCTATTTTAATCCCATTTTGCTGTTATCTCCTAGTGAATGTACCCTTTGGGTGACAAAACAATTTTTTTTATTGAGAATTCAACATTATTCCATGTTTAAAGATTTGCTAGTGTGGAGAAAGTTTTTGCTTTTTGTGCAACATTAACATATGCAGGTGTTAACTGTTCATTGAAGGATCGGCAAATCGTTATTTCTTGCTTTGATATAACTCCAAAAAAACAAGTAGTTCATTTATCTCATATCACTAAAAATATTCCAAAGGCATAACAAATGATTTCGAAAAACCGAAATACTTGACATAATTAAATAATTTTCAGATTTAAATTGCCCAAAGAGAACATTAACCTGACAATTATTGATTCTGGTGGTCAGCAGGTAAAAACAATTAATTTATAATTCTATATAATCTTTTCATTGGAATATTATTGGATTTTCATTCAAATCAAAATTGAGTCACTCAATACAATAAAGGGCATCATATATTCCTCACTGATAATCAAACATAATTTCCTGTCATTGGTTTTGATTACCCTTTCACAATTTTTGGCGGATAAAAAAAGCGTATTATATGAAAAAGTGGACAACGGCGTTTTTTTTAAAAAAACACTATTTACCAAAAAATAAAGTACATCCATAAACAACACAATTTAAGCGTATTTTTTTTCACCGGATATTACGATAATAGGAAAAAAAAAAGATGTTCTTCTTAACTGCCTTCGCGTTATCAAGAAAATCAATAGAGACATCATTCGGATATCATGAAATAATGATTACAGAAGCAACAGATATTACTCTGGACCAAAATTCGAACAACTCCGACACTTATATTCATTCACTTATCTTTAATTACGAAGAATTCCAAGATCTTGAATATTCATATATTTACCCCCACAATCAATACCATCAAACTATTTCTCCAAAAAACGGTTCAACTTTGTTAAAGTTTTGCATTTTCCCCATGAATGCATATGGTGACGTAAATTATATAGTAATTTTTAATGGAGGTAATGAAACTTTCAACTTCATTGATTTATACTGGTACGCAATCATACTATTTATTAGCACAACAGAATATAATTACAAATTTGAAAATTTACCTCAAGCTAATTATTATATCAGTCCATTTGGAGCTGAAACTCTTCTAGTTGGAAATCTTGATTGTCATAATCGAAAGTTTCTAATTATAACTCCATGGAGAGGCAAATTTTACTTCAAAGCTGAAAAAGTGAATAACAGCATTGAAACTCAAGGATTTATCATTGATAAAACTAATGCATTGGGATATAATGAAAGTTATTCATTTGGAACTGAACTAGCAGCTCAACTTGGGAATTATGAATATTTAGTTGATGAAACATCAACAGTTTTAAATATTCCAAAATATAGTTACATCATTTCTCACGAAAATAAAGATATACTGTATAATGTAGGTAACGATCAATGGGAGGAATTTCCTGTAATTAAAAAGATTTCTAATCACGAACGTATAACAATAAAATCAAAATCAGGAACAAAAAGTTTAAAAATACAGGTAATTTATATAAATTCGCCTAGTTATGATCACTTTGATGTAGTTTTGAATCCAGAAAATGGCAAAGTTTATATGGGTGAAACATCAAACAGTTCAGAAAAAGTTATTTTTTCATCATGGAATCCGATGAATTTGAAAGAATACTTTAACTATACAGCAAAAATAGATAAAGATTTTGGTGTTTATATGCCTATGAAGAATTATTACATTGAAAATTGATTTGAGTTTAGAGGTATATATCATGTTCTCTATGAATTTCGTTCAATGAGTACATTCACATTTGGAGCTTATGATTTTTTATCACTGATCGAAGAAGAACAGCCATATTTAAATCAAGGAATTTACCATTTGGGTTCAGAACCATTGATTGAAGAAAAGCAAAAAAGCGATATGGAAGAATTTGTAATATTCTTCAAAGAAGAGGCAAAACAAGCAACAATTTTATTCAAAGAAAATGAATTAAGAACAATTGTGCAGTCATCTCTTAAAGAATATTATTCTCTTTTAATTTTCACAAATGCACACGAGTTCATGTTTGAAGATGGTTCCCCTGTTAACACAGTATATTCTTCAAAGATTGGTGAAACTGTGATATACAAAATCAAACCTATATCGGGCTCCCCCACACTTGAAATCCATTATGAATCAGGAAGATATAGCGAACGCTCAAAAGTTGATGTAGTATACAATATTTTTGATGTTGCAGTTAAATTTCAAGATTGGACAAAAGGAATGTTAATTATCATGTCATCTGTGGAATCAGAAATATATATTGTCGATAATTTAGGATCTAGCTGCTATAGTCGTAGAGGAAGTTATTTTAAAATTATTTCGGGAATTGGTATTTTAGCATTTAATAACTTAACTCAATTACCAATTGGAGCTCAAATTGGAAGGTTTACATTAAACAAATTTAAATCAGAATTTGACAACTCGGGTTTAATTATCAGAGATGGTGAAGTCAGGACAATCACAGTTAATGAATCATCAGTTAATGTTTATCCTTATCATTATCTGGATTATCAATTATGCCATTTTTATAGTGAAAGCGAATTAGCTATTGAAAAGATTGATTATCACTATAACATCAGATCCTACAATGGAACCCAAAATGTTACAATTGTTATGGAAGGATTATATGAAAATACTTTTACATATATGAGAAAATCTTTCAATTTCGCCATCGATGCATTATCCGACAAAACCAATAGGATACAGAATTCGAAAAATGGATATACCTCAAGAAGTATATTCATTTTATTCATTCTCAACAAATATCACATGTCCAGATCAGGTTTCTTTTAATGTTACTGCTTGGACTAATGATCGAAAAGTCCAGAAATATATTGTTGAACCAGGTCAAACACTCACTTTGAAGAGCATTAATCTTCTTATATTTGACCCAATTATAAGAGATATCACGTTAACCAGAATTATTTTTGATGAGCCTGACAAAGCTAAGAGGTTTGGAAATTTAACATACGATTTTTTGTATGCAATCTGGCCACCACAAACTCCAAATCCAACGCCCGAACGAACACTTGCAATTACCACCATACGACCACAAACAACTGCCCGAGGAAGTAATCACGCCTAACAATGACCAAGGAAACGATCAGAAGTCCAAATCTGGAAAACTAGGAGCTGGAGCTATTGCAGGAATAATTATTGGCATCCTCATTATTGCTGCCGTATGCATCGGGGCATTTTTAATCATCAAGAAACATCAATTGAAAGTAGAAAAAGATTCTGAAGACCAAGTTCAATTTATGAATATGGTTTAATAAGAAAATATACTTCAAAATCAGAATTTGATTTGACATTGATTAAAATTAATTTTTTAAAAAACATGGTAATGAATTTCATAAGGTATAAATACAATAAAATTAGCATAATAGTATGTGTTTGATTGTATCTTTTTTGAGGCGAAAATACTTTACAGAATTAACAGAAGGAATGTATTTATAAATTAAATTGCATAATTTGAGTTATCTCTGCACGAAATTCATGAAAATGTCATAAATGAAATTTAATTTCAGAATTATTTCGATATTGGAAAAGGGTGAGATCACTCTTACCGAATTTTTCCACTTAGATTTTCAATTCTTACTGTATTATCCTTGAATCTCTCGAATTTTCCATACAAACATATATTGATGATTATAAAAATATAGAAATGTTTTTTGATTCTACAATATTTTTTGAAATGTGTGCTAATCTTTCTTATATATATAATCATTTCTATTGGCGCGCTGATAGAAATGAATGAAGAGATTTTTTTCAAATTGCAAAAGGGGACCTAACATGTGAAGTTGTCAAGGAAATAAAATATAAAATTTAAATTCTTTTTTCACATCAAATTTATTTTCATCGAAATTTAGAAATTTCATACAGATAGTAGGTTTTTTGTATTATTTTAAAAGAAATTATGCAAAACTGTCCAATTGAGCCAAAAAACGTCGATCATTCAAGCGTTAGTTTTTTGTATATTTTAAGGAAGAATTTGATTAAAGCCAATAATGATAAGAAAAATATCAACAAAATTTATTCATATTCTCAAGTGTTTTATTGTATATTATTAGTCATATCAATTCAGAATTTGATTTCTGTAAATTATTTTATTTATAAGCAATCATTCCCTAAATGATGTATACATTATCTATTGATTGATTTTCAATGAATACTACTTACAAATGAATTCTAGTTATTCATTCATAATTTTACAATTCATATAGAAAAGATGAATTATTCTTTGAACGCTAAATATACTATTTTTTTCTTGTGAAATTGGTTAATTTATACTATTATTAATGGAAAATTAAGGGTTTCCAGAATTTTGATATCAAAATGCCTTATTAAAATGAAATACGTTATAATTTTTAATAATAAATTATACATTAATCTCATAGAATTAAACTAAAATATAAAAATGTGAGATATTGATCAAATCTTCTAAAATAAAAATTTATTATTAAAAGACATGTCAATAGTTTAATTAACAATCAAACAATAAACAAACTCTATGAAATAGTCATTCTACTTAAATGAGTAAGAATGGATCATCAAGTTCATGATATTCGAAAATATCATCATTAAAAACTTCGGACGAGGAGTCAGAATTCTGATTTTCAACAACTGGAGATTCAGGTTTCTTGTTATGCCTAGGAGCTGTAGCAACAGTTTGAAGATTTGGATATCTAAGTGCAATAGACTTATACCAACGATTCTTAACATTATTACCACTTCTGTTATTCAAAAACTTAGCAATTGTCGTCCATCTTGGTCCATATTGCTGGTATTTTTGAATGATAATGAAATCTTCTTCCGTGGTCCAGTTCTTTAAAACAATCTGTTGGTTCAAGTAGTTATTGTATCTATCCTTGCATTGACGGCCGGTCCTACCTGGGAGGTAAGAAGCTATTTCGTCCCAAGTCATTTTGTCGTTAGCACGAAGAGTTCTAAGGAGATTATCTTCAGCCTCTGTAAATCTCTTTCTAAGTGATGTAGAGTACTGTGCATCAATTTTGAAGTTGGCAGGAGCTTGCATTTCGCAACTATAAAAATGATATTGGTAACAATACTCAATCAAATTTATTGAGAGACATTTGAGAGGGCACTCAATTTTTCTGTTTATCGTCCGAGAAATTGCTGTGTGGATTTCCCATTGAATTTATTATATAATAAAATTGAAAGGAAACACCATTAGAAGCAAACATGCTGTATTATATGAGTACATTAAGATTCCAAAAAATAATTTTTCAGCAACCCATATATCAATTTTCAGACCACGCATTTTATCAAAAAATAATCGTTTATTAAAAAATCAAGAATCCACTCTCCAAGTGTCCGAAGGAAACCTTCCATCCAACAAATTGCAGTAGATAAATTCATCTATACTTGCATTCAGGATAGTCATACTGCAATAATCTTGACTTTATATGGTTATTGAAAAGGAATTTTTATTATCATTGATGATTCGGAGTTCTAACGTATTAGATGGAGTATACTACTAATGGTCCAAATATTAATTAGGGAATATCTTGTCGTCTCTTTGAATCCAATCTCGAATCATGATTCATTGAATTAATTTTTCGGATAACGCCAATATTATAAATTCATTGGCTTTGACAAATCAAATAGAAACGAAATTTCAGAATTATTCATCTAATCAAATTTGTTCAATCACAAATTTATCGATTTTAATGAAAAATTGTCTGTTATCTCAATATGATATGAAAATAAATCAATAATATAATACAAAAACAACGAAATTATAATGAAATAATGCCATTTTCTAAATTTATAAAAATTATAACAATCCTATGAAATATCATTAAGCTAGTTTATTGTTATAGGACCTATTTAGTTTGATTCTTTGTTACTTTAATTGAATTTGAATATAAAGTACTCACAAAATCTAGATTGAGAGGCGGTCAATGACTTTTGAGGGGAAATTAACGCATGGAATTTAATATTATTTACGTTGATATTCTTGCTTATTATTTCAGAAAAAAATCTTAAAAATTTCAATATGAAAATTGAAAGCAATTCAAAAAAATTGCTAACATGTAAATTTTAATATCCTATGCATAATTTCATATTTTGAAGATTTTTTATTTTTGTTTAAAACTTAAAATTTTGCGAATTTAATATAATTTTAAAATATAATACGTATATATATTTAAAATACACTAAATTTAATTGTTAATTGACGTTTTTGGGAATGAATTTTATCAAAACATGCCTGAACCGAAAATTTGAAGAAACGAATTACACAATCATATATGTAGAATTCAAAATACAAACTTAAAGATTGTATACGTTTAAAATTATTCAGATTGTGTTTGATTTCCACTCATTCTGTTTCTTTTGAACTCTAACACTAACATTTCATGATGATTACATGATCCATTTATACATGGTTGAATTGTTCCAGATTCTACCAGAAAATCAATCCAAATTTCTCAATGCATTCATGTTGATTGGACAAAATTTAAAATTTATCAGCCTGTTTCCAGAGAAACTCATATATTCCCTAATGAAATGTAATTTTTGCTACATTTATTTCAATCAAATTTCAAAAAATTGACTGCAGAGCTTGAAAAGGTGATGAATCATGTTGTTATTAGATGTACATATTAGATTTACTATTTCCAAAAAAATGCTCAAATTTGAATAGTTTTTAGAAAATTTGGAATTACACTCCTTACATTATATATAATTAAATGTTTAAATTTTATTTATTTTTCCCTTTTAATTTTATAACTTGCTCTATCAAAACTAACCTCTCAATTGAAGGCCACAAAATCTAAGTAGTGAGGGTACACAAATTTTGTATGGAGTACGGTTCAATTTTTGAGAGCCTCACTACTTAGATTTTGTGACTACCTTATTTTACTATTTGTTGAATACTTCTTTAGAATTTTAATGATTTGTTTCATTAACACACTTGCAGACAGTATGTTATGCCGATCTGAATAATATGCATCCTTCAATATAAGTTATTATGACATAATGTTCAATATCCCATAGAATTAGACATAGTTTTGAGTTTTTAGATTATATTTTATATAAAGTAATTGAATGAAGTAGCAAGTTCAATAGAATTATTAAGAAATAATCATGATCAATAGTTGTTTTAAATTTTCATTAAATCCTTTTGAATTATAAATATTTTCTAGATGTTGAGGTACAAGAGAACATTTGCATCGCGTTTGATTTATGAATATATTAAGGAATTCAAAAATATTTATAACTATTAGAGATTTAAATGGATAAACTAAGATAGATTATTTCCACCTATTCTACTTTCAAATATATGAACTCAAAAATTAAGTTGTGAAGACCGTCTTAGGAAATTAAAATGAATATTAAAATATATATAGATTTGGTAAATTTTGAATTCATTTATTTAAAAACCAAGTTAAGGTTATTCATTGTTTTGTGCTGAATTTTAACATAATAAATAAAAAGAGAATTTGATAAAATATCGAAGCATCTAAGTGCTTTTGTTTGAAAACAACCAGGGATTATCAATGACAAAAGAAGATAAAATGTAATTCATTTCATCTGAAGAAATAAAGAAGTTTTCTCGGTTCATCGTTGAAGATTTTGTCAAAAAAACAATTATTTTGGAAAAATTCAATATGAGAAGTAACAAATGGTAGTATTAGATATGTTAAACGTGGAGAATTCAATCCAAAAAAAATTTGGCAAACTGAAAGTTCAAAATTTCAATCTGATTTCTATATTCGGGACCAATCAATAGGACTAATAATTGATAATTATAAATTAAGCATAAACACATAGAATATCAGATTGCTTTTTCAATAAACATTAACAATTTTATATGGAAAAAGTTTAAAAAAATTGTGAAAAAAATATTCGTATGTAGTTTTAAATTTTAAACATGATTTACCAATCCAATACAACGCAATTTTTGAATTAATTGAAAATTTGTCAAAAATTTTGAAGGCTTGATTTTGTTGCTAACGTACATGTTGTCCACTTAAATTATTTAGCAAATCATAAACAAAATATGATAATAAGAATTTTTACCATCAACCTTTAAAATAGAAAGTCTCATCACACTTTTCAATGCTCGATTTTTAAAAACTGTTTAAAAATGGAGCTTATATTGAAATAGTGTAGAGACTAAAAATTACCACAGACTATTTCAGAGGATTGAGTTGCCGCTCAATCCTCTGAAAAGTCTGAGGTAATTTGCAAAATTATCCCCCGTTTTTGTGAATGTATACAAAATAATTTGAAAATCGATAACATTATATATTAAATCAGGAATATTATCATAAAAAATTCGCATAAAAAAACGAAACAATAGCTTTCAAAAGATTGCGAAATTATTAAACACTAAATTAGTTATGCCTTATAAATTAATATCATTCTTATGAGATTTGATAAATAAAATTACATAAACTAAAAGCGACAAATAATTTTGTTAAATTGAAAAAATGATTTTGCTTTCAATTGATTTATTGTTAAATAACTTAATATATTGCGAAATCTATCTAATTTCCATAACTAAAAAATTGAATGTTAATGAATTTGAAGCATCTGTCAAAATATCATTTTCATGATCAAAGCGAAATAATATTTTGATTTTAAACATCAAATAAGTTATTTTATAGATATTTTTCAATTTGAATGCTTTCAATTTGAAAATCAATACTTTAATCCTCTCCGCACAAACGTGCTTTTTTTTCAATTTATAGAGTCTGAACCATTGATATTGCTAATTACAATTATTTTTAAACCAAATTTGTTATTATTTTTTAGGAGATTTTCAATCTTTTTCAAATGATTTTATTTTTCTGTTCTCATTAATCATCATACACATTCCCATCTTAATTTCAATTGTTTGTTGATTATAATTTATTTATATCATTTTATTTATAATTTTTAGCTTAATTCTATCAATTCAATCAAAACCCATATATCCTTCCATTACTATTATGTTCTAAAGGCTTCTTTGTTCACTTATCATCTTTTTTAACCTCGAAACTTACTATTCAGAATTGAAGAACTTTTTTTCGACGATATTATGCCTCTAAAGGTTCAATTTAATCACAAATACCAATCCTTCATTCTCACAGACTTTCATAATTTCTTCCCATCATCTTCAAATATCTCAAACTTTCTTTTTTGAACCAAGCAGAGTTCTCGTTTTCGAGCAATTAGTGATTTACGCTATTTTAATTTTCATTAATTTTCACGAGACTCAAGTTTAGCCCAAATTACTTTACTTTAAAATACGAATTGATAATTTTTAATATTCGCCTCTTCATTTATTAGAAATTCGCTTTTCAAACTTGAAAAAGTTCACAATTTTTTGCAAATTTTTATCATCAAAAAATTATATTCGCTTATAAGCATCGATTTCATTGGATATACATATTATATCCATTTACTTCGATTTCTCAATTTAATAATTTTATTAAATTTTTTTGAGTTTTTGAAATATTTCAATCGTAATATGATATGATATTTTACTTATTATTTTATTTTTAATCATTCTCCCGGTAGAATAATGTTATTGTTTTTTTTTCGTAAAAATTGAGATTAATAGTAAAAAATCTTTTGTTTGGAGCTAAGTTCGTATTATTGAAATTGGTTCATGCCTTCGATTGTAGTCAACCATTCCAAAAACTCCGCTTTCAGTCACAAAAATAGATTAATAATCGTCAAAGATCAACTTGTAAAATGGCATCACCTTTTATTTTGGAACCATTACAATACTTAAGTCAGCTTATAGTACACTTGATGGATGAAACCAACTTAGAAAATGCTTTTCAATTGAAATTTGATAAAAAAACGATGATTGTTTGATAATTTATACAAGTGATAAATTATCTACATTTTGAAAAGAAGTTTGATTTTAACTTTCACAATTTTATTCAGGATTCCTCAGAAATAAGATTGTCGTAAACAGGGAATTTTCTACGCCCTTTCAAATTATTGAATATGTGTCAAATCTTTATTTCAAAATTCCTAAATCAAAATCTCTTCAATAAGCCTTAATTTAGAGTTGTTCGTTTTGATATCACAATCGATTGCCAGTGTTGCCCAATTCGACATGGTTTTGAACTCCCCAGCTCCTATTTCACATTCATTTTCACAATTTTTTTTTAAATATTTGCTATTTTAACATATTGTTTTGCCTTTCAAAATGTTAACCGATGTATAATAATAATTCAAAATCATATTGAATAATTTCCATATTTTTTTCTATTTATTCTTTTTTCAAATTTCGAAGTTTCAGACCACAATACTTTAGGTAATTACAAGCTAGAGTTTCCGAAATACGAGTATCATATTTTTATAATCATATTCCTCCCTTTTTTGCCGTTTAGGCTCGTGAATAAATTTATTTAAATCATTGCTCCTTTAAAAAATTGAATGAATATTACGGTTCCCATTCAATTTTTGAATACATGATTATTCTTTTGTTTCTGTATGAGTGAAGGACGCAGGTCCTCTCACACGAAGTCTGTTGATGAGAGCGCATGGCAAAATTTCCTAACTCAGTTCTCTGAGGAACTTAAGATGAGCAATCCTGATATTTCAAAACGCGAATTATACAAAGCTGCATCAGATGCATGGGGCCAAAAATCAGACCAAGAGAAGGATCAATATCGAAAGCCTAAAAAGAAAGGGCGCTCAAAGAAGATAGAAAGTAGCGATGATTCAAGTGATGCCTTTCAAAAAGAGAATATCAAGAAGCATATATCAGCATATAGCGTGTTCGTTAACGAAAAACAGAAAGAATTAAAAGAGTCAAATCCATACTTAACTTTACTTGAAAGAACAAAAATCATATCAGAGATGTGGACGTCCTTGGATAAAGACGCTAAAACAATATACAACAATAAAGCCAAGTGCTTTAACAGAGTTATAGATCGTGCTTCAAGTGATGATGAAAATCCTCGGTATGAAGTCAATATTCCAGCATCAAAGGCAAATATTTAACATATATACAAACATATAAATTGTTTTTATGAGTGTTTCTTTGTTAATTTAATAAATGATATTTTTCGATTTTATCACATAGAATTTGAGCAAAATTCATCAAAAAATTTATAAAATGAAATAAAACTTTTAGATGGATTATATATATAAGTACCTTTTGTTAGGTGTCTATCCATCCTTTCTATGGAGATTATTCTCAATGGTAAATGGATAGGCCAATACATATTAATCAATTCCACATTAGATAGCTTATTTAGAGAAGGCGCTGTTTCTTTCTTTTATATAGACATGTGTTAACTTCAATCCAATGCAAATGCATTTTAGTTACAATTTACACATTTGTGACACAATACATCATGGTATAATAAATAATACATTAATTTTAAAATTTAATGGCGATAAAATCTTATGAATGAAAATATATTCAAATTTTCACATTTTAACCATAGAAATAGATATTTAGTCTAATTAAACAATAGTTCTTAAAAACACAAAAGCTTCTCCATAGAAAATTTCATTTGAAAAATCAAATTCTTCAAATCATTCCTTTTGGAATTATTCACATCCACATCTGTACTACAACTCCTTCATTGATATTTTTGTTTTGATATAGATTCATCGGAAATGCATCTAATTGAACAGGTATTGCAGGTGATTGTATGGATATTTGTTGGCATGGATTAAGCTTTACGCTACTTTCGCATATGGCTCTTTATTTTTTGGTGGCGACACAAAAGTTTGAACCTATTCTTTATCATTATAGGTGTTCTTCCATGTAAGTACTTCGATATTGCTGACCAATGATTTCCAATTTTTGTTGCAGTTGAATTAGCATTTGATCTTCATCATGTGTCCATGCTTCTTTTTTGATATCTGGTGCAAATCGGATCATCCATCTTTCTCTACACTGGCGCCCTGTGCGTCCAGGTATAAATGTAGCAATAAAATCCCACCTATTAGATCCAAACTTACCAACAGTTTCGAGTAACCTGGCGTCTTCTGGTTCTGTCCACTTCACTTTATATGTTCGACTAATATTATCTGGTGAATAAGCTGTATTGGGGATGATTGAGGTCATGGGAATAATTGTTATGCTTTGTGATATGTTTATCGGTTTTTTGTGCCATCATAAATTCCTCAATTCTATATTCAAAACCGACAATTATTGTAAAATGATATGTTAGAAATGCCATCAAAAATAGACGTTTGAATTTTCCATCTTATCAATAATTCATGAATCGTGATTCTCCAATAGGGGAAAACTCATTTTTTAGGCCAAAAAGTGGCACCTGAGTATTTTGTTTCTGCTTTATCTGATCATCAAAATGGAATCGATCCACATTATTAGTATAAAACAATCATATACTAGGGACTAAAGAATATTATTGACGCAAAAATCCAATTATTCGATGTTCAACTCATCATATCTTGTATTAAAGTTGATACCTTTATTTTTTCGAAATATTACAACAGTATCAACCTTACGTATTACCAATGAAAACCAAAGTACTATTTTGGCATAATAAATTTAAAATGATATTGAAACAGCAGATTGACTAGTAATTCTGATATAGTATTATGCATACTATCAAGTGATAAAATCCCGAATATCTTTGCTTAACTTCCGTTTGATCATGAGATACAGATCTAATGTTGCTTGTTATGTAACAACAATCACTAACTGATAACATGACTATGATAAGAGATCTAAATGTGCAAGTTTAATACACATTTTATTCAGATTTATTGTCGAAATGTAAATCACAATATATATCTTGAACTCACCTGTGAATAAAATCATGATATTTACTATGTTTTCTAAACATGTGAAACAAATCCTTAATTTGAACCAGAAATAATTTTAGATTACTTACAATGGCTGGTTATCTATATAGAATTATATACTATATTTGATGTTAAAATATTAGTGATTTATAGTTTTAAAAATATGCTTCTTTTCTATATCATTGAAAAATAATTATTTGATTCTGCGGTAGAATTGATATATCTTAGTAGAAAAATTATAGAATAACAAAAATGAAAAGGATTTATCTATTTGGAATATAATAAAAATTGTTTGTTTCTCTCCAAAATTTAAATTTTCAAAATTTTTAACCTCATTTCTCCAAAAAATTTGGAGAAATTCACCAAGGAGGACTTCATTCTAGATGTCCAAAACAAATGCTTTCAGTCAAAAAAGTCTCGAAAATTTTAAATATTGATATCGATTTTCATCAATCACTTAATATAGACTGTTTGCAGTAGATGTTATCGCATGTTATTAAAATCCAATATATTTGAACATACTATAAATCGTTTTTGAAACGAGTCAAAATTTCGGGCAATTTAACAATACTCCAACTATCAATACACAGTTACCATTACCACAGTATCATTTTAAGAAGAAATGATTAATAAAATCTAAGGTCTAGCGATTTATTTACTCGATTCGAAAAATATATTTAATTATAAATCCTTATTTGTGCATATTTTATATAAGTTCGAATTTTGCAACGCTGTTTTATACATGTTGGACAAGCTTAGAACTTCCATATCACAAGAATAAAAAATTTACTATATATACTACTAATATATGTTTCAATACCATTAATATCTTTACTACAAATGAAGTTATAAGCAATATTTATTTTTTAAAAAATGTCTGGAATGAATGATAAGATATCCATTCCTGAGACATCAAGTAAAGTTGCTCCTCCAATGAAAATTGATAAACAGCCAAGCTATGCTTCTAGCCCACCAACAGAATCTAAGGGTAACGAGATTAAAGATGAAATTCAATCTTTGATCAGAGCCAAAAAATACATTGAGAACATATCTTCAATTACACGAGTACTTATTGACGATAGTGATGCAATTCCAGTTATTCAAAGTTTACTCAGACCATTAATTACAGGAATCGAGACAAATTATCCAAAATTAATTGCAGTATGCACCCAATTTTTTACTTATGTTACAGACAAGAGAAAGAAAGGTTCAAGAATTGCTTTCTCAACAGGTCCTGTACTACCAACAATGAAAGAATTTTCTGATTTTTGGGATCCATTCATTTCAGCAATCCATGATTTTTCACAGAGAAAACAATTACCTCATACAAAAGAGATATCTGTTAGATTTCAAGGTATATCTCTCACATTAGATACAGTTCAGAAATATAATCTCGAAAGGAAACATCCAAGCGCTACAATTACTGCCACAATACAAAGTATGAAAGCATTATGCAACAGATTATCTAAAAGTTGCATGGCATTATATGAAAATCCCACTTTTCCAAATTTTAAAGAATCTGTTATGGATCTTTACATCAAAGATGTTGATTCTTTCCAACAAGTTTTGATGGATGGATTTAAGAACGAGCTAGTTCAGTGCGGATTGACCGCAAATGACTTCCAGAGAGTGAAAATGACTATAATTGGAAATATTGGGCTGATAACAAGTGCTTTGAAAGCATCATTTAAGTTCTCTCATGATGTAAATAATATCTGGGATGAAATACACAACTTTAAAGGCGAAGTTCAATGGATTATTGATGAAATTTACAGTAAGTTCGTTGTTTTTAGACAAGAAGGATACGAAGACATCCCAGAAGAAGTACCAACTCCCAAAGAGAAGAAGAAAGAAAAGGATTTGCCAAAAGTTCAATCACTAAGTAAAATTGTCCAGTTTATTGGTAACGATATCGGATCATCGCTTGTTGCAGTTGACTATGAGCCACGCCTCAGAATGTTTTTAAGAGAGGTTCTACCTGCTTTGGAACAGACTTATGACAATGAAGGGGATATTTGGGCCCAATTGCTTCTTGTTGAGAAAAATATACATAATCTTGCCGAAACAATTGAAAAGCAAAGCGTAAATATCAAAGAAAATGATGCTTTGCTGATTGAATTAAATAATGAATTATATGAAAAGCAATTAGAGCTTGATAAGATCTCTAATTCAGCCAAACAGGTCAATCAGACTAATGTTAGATCTATTGAAGATCTAAAAAACGAAATGGCAAGGCTAAAAGAGGAAAATGAAAAATTAAACTCTCAACTCCAAGAGAAAGATAAAGAAATCTCAAGCCTGAAAGAGAAAACAGACAATAAAGTCTATAAAGACTTCATTTCTAAGCTGAATTCCAAAATTTCTCTTGCAATTCAAAAAGATCTCAAAGAAGAGTTTGATTTACAAGAAGCTGATGACAATTTGGATGAGTTAATCAGGAAATTCAATGAAAAACCTATAGAAATCCCTGTAAAACTCCCAGAACCCGAAATTATTGAAGTAAAAGAAGAAATTAAACAAGAAGAACCTAAGGTTGCACCAATAGTTATCCCAGAAAAACCTGCTGAGGAGGTTAAACCTGCTCCAGAAGTTGTAAAAAGTCCAAGATTTGAAATCCAACAAAAACAACCAAGGAAAAGAGGAAGTTTGATTGGTATTTCTCCAGGACAATCCACATCAATAGAATCATCAAATGAAACAGAAAAACCAAAGACAAGAAGCAGAAAAATGACTTTACAACCAGTTCGAGCTCCAAGTAGCGTTGGAGATATTAAAAAGAAGGAGGAATTCGATTATAAGAAGCTCCGACCAATTTTGGAGATGATTGACATTGTTTCTGGGATGAATTCGACAAATGAAAAACTTGAAAAGCTTGATGACTTCAAAAACATGGTCAGAGACAGATGCGACAGGATACAAGACGTTTATGACCAAGAAGCAGAACACGTTGAAGAAATTGAAGAAGAATTAAACATAATTCAAGAGAAACTCGCTGCTATTGGTATAAAGAATGAAGTTGCAAGCGACTCTGTTGCTGAATTAATTGAAAAATACAAGTTCCAGATTGATCCATTAAATAAAGAAATTAAATCTCTTCAAGAAAGCATCCAGAACAAAGATATCAACTACAAAGCTTTAGTTTCTAGAATAAAAGCACTTGCAAAGGCAACAGACTCAGAATTTTCAGAAGAAAATGATATTCAAAGTTGTTTAGATTTGATTCAAGAAAAAAACACACAGAACACAAAATTGTACCAAGAAAATGTATCTAAAATAGACACATATAAACAGTATATTAAGGATATAGAGACAAGATTGATTCCTGTGCTCAAAAACAACGAAATTTCGGATGATGACGAAAAAATCGTTGAAAATATTCACAAAGGTCTTGACATTTTACTTGATTCTGCTTACTCTGATGACTTCATACACGTTTCATTGATTAATAACATCTTTAAAGGTGTTGTTGACGTTGAAAACCAACTTCCACAGGATTATCTGAAAGCTTTTGTAAAAGATTACGAAAAATCCAAGAAAGCGATTAATTCTGTCCAGAAACTAAAGACATTTTTGGATTCTCTTGACAGAAACAAACCTCTTGCAACTGATAGCGTAATAAAGATCAGCGATATCATTGCTGATATCAGTTCTCAGAGTGAAATTAAAGAAATAGCCCTAACTATCAATGAACTCTTCATTAGATTTAGAAATCAACTTTATTAATATTTTTTTTTGTTTGTATTATAAAGATTATCTTTAGTTATCTACTTTCATTTATTGGTGCGACATTGTCATATGAAAGATCTTACATTTTGTAAAAATCTTAAGATTAATTATTATTTTATAGGACTATTATATGGAATTAATTGCAATATGGCTGAAGTATAGTTTGTTTGTATGGTTAATGATCATAAAATCAAAAAAATCATTTTATAATTTTTAAATAAAAGAAAGTAATATGAAAATAATGTCTTTGTATAAAAATAATATTTACAATTATACTCTAAACAAACATGAAATCTGTTAAAATATACCAAATAATTAAAAAAATTAATAATGACCTGATTCATCAATAATAACTCTTCTTCGGCCTTTCTTTCTATATGACTTCTCTATTTGGCCGAGTTTCAGCTTAATTCTGTTGATATTATAGTACTCTATAACGTCTTTGATTGTTTTCAGCGGCAAAGCAGCGGCAATCTTCTTAAATTCTCTTGGATGCTGGGCGTACTTCTCCAGGAAAGTCTGCTTCTCGTTCTCTGTCCATGAAAGTCTGTTCTTATATTCTAAATGAGCGGCAACAGGGTCTTCTACGAAGCTGTTCTCGTCGTAGTAGAGGTAAGTTTCTTTCTCTGTATCATCGAGGTACATAATCTGGTCTGGAGCAACGTGAACTGTGTTAGTTTTGTCATTTGGCTTAATATATTGAAGACATTTATCAAATTCTGGCGGCCATCGATCGATTTTCTCGTGCGCTTCCTTGTGGTAGATCGAAAGTTGTCTGTTGCTTTCGTTCCAGAGCTCGTATCTTTCTTTGTATTCAATCGCAAGTTTTTGAGCTTTCTCATCTGCAAGAGATAATCTCTGGCAAATAGTTTGGAAGATTGGCTCAGCCATTTCTGAAGAATTACCATCTTCTTTCTTGTAAAATGGTAAATGTGTAATATGGGTAAAGCGCTGACGCTTGAATGGCTCAGGAAGTTTATGTTTTTCTTTTGAGCGTTGAGCTATTTCTTTGTTTTTCTCGATAATTGAAGCTCCTAAAGAATGAGAAAAAATTGAGCCGTGAAAGTCTTGTATTAAGCTACTTGCTGGCGCATCAGATGTGATTGGAGCACTCAGCATTCCGTAGGTTCGTTCGTTTTCTAATTCTGTAAGTTCTGCTTTGTATTTGGTCAACAACTTATCGATATCAGCTATTTGCTCGACTACATCCTTTGCGGTCGGAAGCTCTGGATAAGGAGCTGCCGGAGGGTTGACTTTCGGAGTCACCTTTACGACCACAGGATTTAATACCTTTTGATGGCTTGGCTGAGGTACAGAGGCTGGACGAGCAGTAGCGTTAATCATAGATTGAAGGGAGTAAGGTGTAGATGCAGTAACAGGCTCAATTGGCTGGATTTTATGATCGGATTGTAAATTGAGTAAATTTATCGGAGAACTTTGAATAATTGTTGGCGCATTTATTTTCTTTTCTGGTACACCAACTTTTATGGGCTCAGCGCGCTTAATAATTGACACAGCCCTAGGGACTTTTGTAGGAGGTGGATTAGCAGGTTCTGGGCCTTGTAAAAGTGCTTGAATATGCATCGTTTTTACATTATTCTGAGGAGCTTCTGCATTCGTTTGATGGTTTACAAGCATACTAATATCCGAAGCGGCCGATGGCTTCTGAGCTTGTTGTACCGGCCCCGATAACAAGATCTGGATATCTGTAACATTTTGGGTACCATCTTGCGAAATTGTATGGTGCTTTGGCTCCGATTGAATTTCTAATTTTGTTGTTGGATTATTCACCAAAATAGTACTGATATTACTATTAAATGGTGGTTTATCATCTATCGACGGGTTTTTAGTAACCGTTGGCGTCGCTTCAATCCGTTTTGGTTTTGGCGGTTGATTGTCGACTTCTTTTTGCCTATTTTGGACAGTGTTTGGGACGCTTCTGATAACCCTAACTTTAGGTCCATCTGGTTTCCCTTGGCCGTCCATAGTTTCTACTAATCTTCAATAGTTCCTTTATAATTGAAAAGTGACAGCCAATTTGTCACATTTTATAATGAATCACGTCAAATAGATTCATTTTATATTTAACAATATGCAAAAAATTTTCATGTAAAAATATAAACTTCTGAATTTTGTCACTTTTACTATAATTTGAATGTGTTGAGTCTATTGATTTGTGCTCTTTTTCTTATGTCTGGTCACTCATCACAGCGACTATAATACGTGTGAATAAAGAGTGATTAAACCATTTTAGACCGTATTTCCCACAATTCCAATAATTTGACTCTTTTCTTTTTGCATTCAAAAAATAACTATTAAAAATAGCAAAAAATATTCACCACTATGCATATCTCATCAGAAATCTTTCAGACATTTACCCAATAATTTTCCTCAATTTCGAAATTACCGATTCAGAGGACGAATTATCACCATTTTAAATCGTCTAAGAGAAAAAAATTAAATACAACCCTAATGAAAGCATTTGAATTCTTTTTCGTAGCTCACAGTGAACAAAAAAAAATGGATCCAGAAACAGCTGCTTCCAATATTATCATAGGCCATGAAGTAGCAGATCTTGCACGTTGCTTTGATGTTCTCCTCCAAAACAACTGCGGTGATACAACTGTGCTTGATAAAATTTTCCCTTTCCTTGGAAAAGATCTTTTAGAAAGAAACATCATTGATTACTCTCGCGATCCAGGTGTTGATATCACAGACAGCTATTTTGTCCTTTACGAACCATTTTTACGTGCCAAAGCCGCTTTATTAGTTGGAACTATAATCGAAAACTGTAAAGAAGTTCCAGATGTTACAAAATTCGTCAACCCGCTTATCGATCTATTCACAGGCGAAGAAGAAATTGAACAATGCTTCGCTTTAATCGGCTTGACAAGTATCGGCCAGGGTAAACCAGAGTTAATCTTACCGCACTTCCCCAAGCTTGCTAGACCACTAATTCTTATTATCGGCGCCGCATCTTCTCCAGCTCAATCTTTCTCTTTATACCAATCTAATGTTTTCAAGTCACAAGTGTTTGAATCATTCCTCGATTTTATGGAGATTCCAGGACTCCTTGATACACCAGAAAATGTTCAAAGGCTTTTTGAATCGAATATTACGTTAGCAATCATCCAAATTGCTCTTTCAGAATATGTCTACATTCCAAAGACTCCAAGGACTCTCTGGAAAATGATCTGGCTCTTCCTTCGCATTACAACTGAGCATCCACAAGGAATTAAAATGTGGGACCTTGACCACATTCCAAAGAATGGACCACAAGCATGCAATTTAATGAGAATAGCTCTTGCATCCCCTGAAAAAGCTGCCCTTGTTAGAAATGAGGTTAATAAGATTTCAAGCAATAATCCATCCTTTGAAACCTTTACAAAGTTGGTGAAACAACTATCACAGTAAATATAATCTTTTCTGTATATAGGTTACTCATTTTATTATATTTAGTGGTAAATTTTATGCTTGAATTTTATTTACGGCCTTTGAACACTTATAATAAACAAAACGTAATCAAACAAAATTTATTAAAAAGTCATTTCATTAAATCCGAATTTTATTGATAGAGTTGGCATGGAAAAAAATGTCTCAAAAAAGATTGATTTAAAATCGGCAAAATATTTAATGACAGAATTTATAGAACTTATTAATATCATTTTCTAGTTCATATAATTTTTCAATACTTCAAAATATAGAGGTTTTTTTTCCTCATCAATTTTCATTATAATGAGCGCTGAAACACATTCCTTTGAGTACTTAAAGGACAAAATTATGCATAAAATCACTGATCCATCCATTCCTTGCTATGAGAGAGCCAAAATAGCCGCTTCATTAATAGATGACATTGAATTAATAATGAGTAAAAGAATACTGACAGAATCCCAAAAAAACGTTAGAAAACAATATAAAATAAGACACACAGGCGAAAAAGATATGAATCGAAGAAAAAATTATGGAAAAGAGATGAAGTGTGTTGATATCAAAACATTAGATTCATATAAGTTATTAAGCAAACATTACGAAAAACTACCAACAGCTAGCCTTCTAATTGGGCTAATGAAAATAAATGCTTTAAAACATGGAGAAAAACTTGACCGGGAATCTTATCGTGACAATAGAAATATTTTTCTATATTGGAATGCTCACATAGACCAATTGAATGAAATGTTGGAGGGCAAAACAAAAATGGAGTCGGGGTAAGCAAAAATATATAATAACAATATTCTATATTAAAAATTCATGAATAAATGTATATTTATTTTTTATTGAATAGTGAATGCTCAATAAATTCTAACTTCTCAGTGCTTAGTGGATTTTTTATTCATTTGAAGTTCTTCGAAATGATATACTCAAATTCTAATGATATGCTATGCATGATTGAATCTTATGCACCAATATCTAACAATTGTAACCTCAATTCTTGAAATGAAAACTAAAGAACCATTTCTTTTGAAAATAAACAACGTTAGTATATACCATATCATCATTAATTGTTACTGGACTATGTTTCAAATTCCAAATGATAGGTGAGTTACAGAAAATCACATGGAATGACATTTGTTCATTGATAAGGATATTATTGCTTCGGAGTATACATTGTGAAGCTGAATGTGAGCTCGTAACACTGCAGGTTTTGCCTGATTAAGTTTATAACTAATCAAAATTTTCCTACCAAATATTGAAGAATAAATTTTGCCAAAAATGATTGATTATGATACATTTCGATTAGTTGCGAAAGCTGTTCAGAATTCACCAGACGATCTTTTTGAAAACTATTCATTAATTAAAGGTTTATTGCTAAAACGACACCCTATTGCCAAAAATCGACCGCTATTATTTAATATTCTTGAATCTTTAGAAAACTTTAAGAGAAGGAAGACAATTCTGATTCCAATGCCATACCCATTGATTAAATCATGCGATACAACAGCAGTTTATCAGAAATTTAATAAAGATTATGAATATGAATTAGAAAAAGTTGATTTTTCACACCCACAAACAATTATAGATCTATTTAGATCAATTGGATTTCGAGGTATCAGAATTCTTGCAGGAATGCGTCATACAACAGGAAGTATGTATTTTATTTCATAAGTTGCCAATTTTTCTTTTAGTATAACCGGCAACTTATGAGTTTTTATACATTACTAACACACAGCAAACGAAAATCTTTTCCCTCCATGTACTGAAGATCTTTATGAATCATTTTATAGACCATATAACCATGAAGGACTAACTCATGGTGGCAGAGCATTTTCTAAACATTGTGTGAGAGATTCATCTAAGTTTTGGGGTACTGTAAAGGGTACAACAAACGAAGTTAATAATCATGCTCATGGCTGCTTAGAAAAAGTTATAATGAATTCAGTATGGCATAATGTTATGGTTCTTAGCGCAGATTGCTATACATATGAAGTTAGAAATGAAAATGGCTACGGTGCACGGTGGGAGTTTAAAAAAAGACCAACCAATATTCTTTAGAGGATTTGTAGAACCACCAATGGAGAACGGCCATGAACTTAAATGGAGGCATTAAAAGATAAATTTCATTTGTTATTTTATATGTTGAAAATTCATAAAAAAAGAAGTCTTATTTTTTAACTAGTATACGATATTTTTACTACAATGAGTTTATGCTTGACGGGGGTTGTTCAATAAAATCTGAACTCAGATCGTTTTTTTAACCACACTAGATTATTGAAAGAACATAATTTTGCATTAAATAAGTCCAATAAATGTAAATAAACTTAGCAATTATGAATTTTCAAAATTAATCCTATTGGCAGAAGTGTTTGATTTAAAAATTATGAATAGAGATTATTGCTCGTAAGATAAAATTTATAAAAATAAATAATATTTTAAACAATAGTCACTCTAAAAATCCTTTATTTAATAAACAGGAAAATCAAACATAAATTCCGTATTAAAATCTTCAAAAGATATACTTTGGAAGGAGTTATCATTTTCACTTTCGTCAGTTGAAGTGGTTTGAGCTTGAACTTGCTCAGATTTGTTTTCAACAGGAGAATTAAGGGCTGTTTCAATTTTCTCAACTGTTTCTCCATGTCTTTGAAGGAGTAAATATCTGGATTTGATGCTAATATCTGTTCTGCCCTGGAAGTGCTTGGAAATCTTCATCCACTTTGGACCGTAAAGGTTATAACATTTAAGGATTAACAAATCATCTTCTGGAGAGAATGGCTTCCAATTGATATTTGGGGAGAGGTATTTCTCCCATCTGTCTTTGCATTGTCTGGCATTCCTTCCGTTTAATAATTTAGAAACAGCTTTCCAATTATTAGTACCGTATTGTTCTACTGCATGTCTAAGCTTGTTATCTTCTGACTCGCTAAATTTGTTCTTGGGTAAGGAGCTGCCAAATGCAAACATAAAAATAATTTAGTTCACAAATTATTGAGGAAATTTTTCCTTTCAAAAAATAGAAAGAGCATCAAATTATTTTGAGGGGAAAACGATTACGTGGCCAATTGTTGATACTTCTAAAATTATAAATAAATAATGTTATTAATCTATATACTTAATATTGATTGAATTGATAATATTGGATAAATTATGACTATAGTTCGCATCTACTTAATTTACAAATGAAATTATCTTGTACTCTTCTAAATTAATTTGTTGTAAATTCGTTCCCACAATTTTGAATTAGGATGGAACCTCGGTTTATCTCAAAAAATAAAATTAACATCTCTCAAAAAAATAACGGGGATAGGAATTGATAAGAATGATCTTATCTGATTATTAATAAAAAATTTCCCAATCTGACAAAAATATATCCATTTCAATGTGATATCCTTTTGAATTTATTGATGATTCAGCACTAAGTATTCAATAAAATTATCCTAAAATTGCACAATTTTCAGGATTGGCCGGAGGTTTTCTTCACAATTTATACTATTAATTTTCACTTTGAATTAAAAGCCTTCTCTAATGTGAAATATTCATTTCTTCAGGGTTTCATACTTTAATATGCCAAATGTAATTTTTAAAATTGCAATATAATTAAAAAACCAAGTGATCATTCCAAATTTCAAAACATTTCTTTTTTCTACCTCGCATCCTTATTGGAAGACATATGTAGCTGAACATTTAACCATTAAATTTATAGCCGCATCTATTCTGAGCATTTCTTTAAGATATCTCAGTATTTTTTATATGTTTAAATTTTTTGAGGAAACATTTAAGCAAGCCTGATGATTTTACTTTGCAAAACCATTTAATACGCAAATATCTTCTCTATCGTGCTTAATTATATACATTAAACTGTAAACAATCAACGTATTTTCAAAAGTATTTAGAGTCTAATTTAAAATTCAAGAAGACCGACGAAGATCCGAAACATTAATACACTCTGAGAATAATACCGTAACATAAATGACATTATATAGATTTTGAAATTTTCAACGTTTGAAATATTGTTACAGTTTTCAAAAATTATGAGAAAATAATAAAAATATCTCAAAGGCAATAATATAGCATACTGAAAGGGTGTAATTTAGAATTATGGAGAAGTTGATTTTGACTAAATATTAATTTTAAATAATTATTTTCTCAAGCAGCTTACAGAAATACCTAATTCACTTAAAAAATAATTATTAACTGTAATGATGGGTGTGGAAATATCATTAAATATTCAATTAATAATAAACAGTCGAAAGTCCCAGTAGTATATTGGTTAGAATAGATCCTTGACACGGATCAGAGGCCAGTTCGATTCTGGCCTGGGACATTTTTTTTATTGAAAAATTGATAAATCCCCAATCATGGATTAAGTAAATATAAGATTTTTCGCTTCATAATGTTAGTACTTTCCGACTTTATATTAAAAAGTTTGCTTTTATATGGAAAATTATAGATATTTTCCATCCCAAAATTTAAAATCGGATTATTTTATGTGATTGAATGGAATCTATTAAGCTATGTAAACTTAAGGAGTAAGGCAAATCAAATGTTTGAGTATTCTCATATTCAGTATAAATTAAAGAGTTCCTTTCAAAACATCTGGCAGTTTTAATATTTATAACGAATCTGAATTATAGTATGAAAGAGATACGCTATGAGATCATGATAATATTTTTTTTAATAATCTCGTTATTTTCTTGAATAATACTTATAAGTTGTAATATCCGAATTCATTTATGTGCACTCTTAATTTAATAACAAATTTCGACCTGATCACAGATATGAGGACGTTTTCCATCATTTTCCAACATAAATTGGCAACACTATAAATGGCGCAATCAATTTGAGGCCAGATTTTGATTTTTAATTTTTGTTCAGATTTTTTGTAAAGTGACAAATTTTCAAAAGTAGTTCAGGACATGAATCTGAATTACGAATACATTACTGCTCATATCAGCGATTATATTCAAAATGAAAACTTCTTTGATACATTCGACATCCAGGATATCAAAAAAATCATGAATTATTCACGTATGACAGCTGATCAGTACGTTACTCTTCTCAAACAATCATCTTCAGCTCTCAAGGCCAAAGAATTATATATGTGTACACGAAAGTCAAATGTTACTGTCCAAAATTTCGAAGAAATTGTTTCAATCCTGAAATGTATCAAAAAATACATGAAATTCAATACATTTGATGGGATCATTGATATTTTAAGTCAAAAGGAGAAAGAAATAAGCGATTCCACACAGGAAATTAAACAACTTCAAGATAAATTAAAAGCATTTCAAAACCAAAGTCAAAATTCGGCCAAAGAAACGACTATTAATCAAACTAATGAAAATAACAATCAATCAAGAGGTATTATAACTCAAATTGCAGAACTTAAACAATCTAATGATTTTGAAATCGTTTACAAATTTCTTGATGAACTTTCTGAGAAAGGAAATCATGAAATGATGTCAAAATCATGCAAAGAAGGACTTTGGGAAAAATTGACTCCTAAAAAATCAATATGATAGTGAAAAGAATGTCCTTCATGTAGCAAGTGAAAAAGGAAATCTCAGACTTGTTAAATCACTCATCGAATGTAGTTGTGATAAAGAAACAAGGGATTATTATAAATGGACTCCACTCATTTATGCATCATCTAGAGGTCATCTTGAAGTTGTTAAATATCTTGTCTCTGTTGGAGCTAATAAAGAAGCAAAGTCTAGAGGTGGATATACTCCACTCATTTTAGCATCAATAAATGGTCATCTTGAAGTTGTTAAATATCTTATCTCTGCTGGAGCTGATAAAGAAGCAAAGGATAATGATGGATATACTCCACTCATGGCTGCATCAAGATATGGTGAACTTGAGGTTGTTAAATATCTTATCTCTGCTGGAGCTGATAAAGAAGCAAAGAATAAAGATGGAAAGAATGCATTGATGATGGCAAATGATTATGTAAGAAATTACTTGCAGGCTATTTATACCAAGTAACTCAATCATCACCTCCTCCAAGTCTCTAAAATATATATTTTATGGAATATTTATTTATTTTCAATACCCTTAATTTTTAACTTTTGCAACTTTCCCCATCCAATTTTAAATTTTTGGATGGAAAATACAATCCAATTTTCAAAATATCCAAAAATTGAATCAAAATAACAATTTTGGTTTAATGTTGATAAATAATTATATGAAAAGATTATCATATAGAGTAGGTGCCAAAAGTGCTTACTCTTAAACAACCGTCGGATTTCCGGGTGAAATCGTGACACACTTTCGTCTTTCGTAGGCAGTGGTGGTTGTTACAAAAGGTAACTTCGAATGTAGCGTGAAATCTGCAAAAAAAATTCTGAAATTTGAATGGAGAACACAAAAATTGAATAGTTTACGTCAATAAAAAAGAGAAAAATGAAGCCAATGTGTCTCGAACCTAGGACTTAGAGCAGCAATCCCACGGTTTATCCCATTACACTACATGCATCTCTCACCTTAGTGAATTAGATCAACTATATGATAACTTTTTCCCCATTATATTCTTGTGGAAAAGTGACAAATAGCAACTTTGACCCTCTCTCTTATCATATATTATGCTATTTCTTCTTAAGTATATATATATAAAGATAAAGCCTTTTTGAACAATCAATACCTTGATGTTATTCAATAATATCCCAAGATAATCAATTTAACCACAATTTCTCTAGTCTTACAATAGAATCGTTTTAAATCTTCAAATAAAGAGAATTCTAAATTTATAGAATGCTTTAAGCTCTTGCATCATCCCAATTCAAACTCAATGCAAGATTGATGAATATGAGATTAGTCAAAACGGTAGTTCGTTGCTGCTGTTAGGGTAATTGCTGAAATGATCTTTCCTGCAAGATTAATTTGATTTCTATCTTGAATGCGTTATTGATTTCGTAGTTTGATGCTCTAAAGTTTGTTGCTGATGCAACAAAGTCCATGAGACCATTTGAGTCATCATCCTTCTCAAATTCTTATTGGTTTACCTTGTAGAAGGATGATTTGCCAGCAGAAAGTTCCATTTCTTATTATGCCATCAGTTGATGTTTTGCGAACTTTTGGTTAAATACTGGAAGTGTAGGTAAAAATCTAAGATTTAGAGCCGATGAAGTTCCTTTTTTTTGTTCAATTTTGACTTCCAAGATTTACAGTCTTTCTTTATGTATTAAAAATATATGAAAAGACTTTACAAAAAAATTTCAATTTAATTATTTTGATAAAAAAAGATATCTGATATATATATATGAGAAATAATAAAATAAAACCAACAAATTATATTCTATCTATGATAGGTGAGTTAATCACGGAAGAATAATGGGTTAACTGAGATAAGTCCTGTCTGTTCATTCAACAAAAGAACATGATCCATTTGAATCAGTCTAAGAATGATCTTCTTTGTAATATTAGCCATCATTTCTTCTGACTGCAAGTACTTCAAGATATCCTTATTCTCTTCTGTATACCAGTTAACGAGGTCTTCAAGTGTCTCTCCAGCTCTTCCTTGTGTTGCGAGATCTCTAAGTCTCTGAATAATTCCTGTTGCAATTGAATGATAAGTATCGAATTGAATGACATTGTGATCAACAGTTTCCTCTTTCTGTTCTGTCTTTGGCTCTACAACATCATCATCTGTTGCTTCTAATACAATTGGTTCCGAACCAATCTTAGAGATTGAGTATGTCAACAATCTTGCTGCTTCATGGACATACGTCGGTTTAACTTCCTCTGCGAGATTCAATTTCGCAATGGCTTCTGAAAGACGAATAAGAGCTTCCAACTGTCTAACAGTGATTCTTGATGAAGCACCACCACCACCGACAGCATCCTGCGATCTAAGTGTTACGTAGTGCTTAACAATTGCATCAACAGCATCGTCTTTGAGAACAGGTGTCAATCTTTTTGCGAAAGTAATGTATGTCTTCAATTCGTGCTGTGAAAAGATTGCTTTTGTTGTGACTTCTTTGCCCATGTGGACATTGATGATCTGTCTGGCAATCTTTCTATCGAGATCTTCATTGACATCATCTGTGATGATGAAGAAAAGATCAAATCTGGACATGATAGGAGCAGGAAGATTCAAGTTTGCTCTGAGAGATCTTGCTGTGTTGTATCTGCCATTTACTGGGTTTGCAGCAGCAAGAATTGATGCTCTTGCATTAAGTGTTGCATGGATACCAGCCTTTGCAATGGAGATTGTCTGCTGTTCCATTGCTTCGTGAATTGCTGTCTGATCTGTTGGATTCATCTTATCGAATTCATCAATGCAACAAACGCCATTATCAGCAAGCATCAAAGCACCGGCTTCGATCATGAAGTCGCCTGTCTCAGAGTCCTTGACAACCGTGGCTGTGAGACCTGCTGCGGATGAGCTTTGACCACTTGTATAAACTGATCTCGGCATTGTCTTAGAAATGAACTTCAAGAACTGCGATTTTGCAGTTGATGGATCGCCAACAATGCAAACGTTGATGTCACCTCTGATCTTCATGCCCTGTGCTTGCTGCTGGACACCACCAAGCAACATAAGAAGGATTCCGCGCTTGACATCTTCGTGGCCATAGATATCTGGTGCAATTGAACGAGCAAGCTTATCGTAGATAGTATCTTGGGAGGCGTTTGCTTCATGCATCATGTGGGATGGTGTTTCCATGTTGTTGTTGAGGATTTCGTCCTCAATATGGAGAGGTAAAACTGATGATGCAAGGAAAGAAAGACGATATGTAAGTTCTCTTACACCGTAGCCTTTAACACCAGTAACACCATCTGCCTGGAAGCCTGCTCCACGTGTTAAAACTGGTCTTTCACCAATTGCACGCTTGGCTGTTGTTGGAACAGCAACTGGCATGCCAATGAATTGGCATCTGTCACCTGGCTTGGCTGTATCAACAAGCTGATGACGAAGGATGACTTCCATTGTACGTGGCATTCCAGAATCTGGAGATTCATCTGGATCTTCCTGAACAATGATACGCTGGAAATCTGTGAATTCGGATCTGTCTGTAAGGAGTTCGAATCTTGAATGATTGTTGCATGATTTATTAGGGCAAACGCTTGGTTCGGTATATTGGAAATTCTGAGTTACGTTTGGAATATCTTGTCCACATACTCTGCATCTAAATGTACCTTTGAGAAGTTCTGGCTGGACATCGGATATTCTTGTCACTGTACCTTGGAACATAATGAGTGTTCCAACGTGTGATGGCTTGATTTGACGAAGTGCGCTTTTGACATTGTAATCTGTAATGGATAAAGCAAACGGACGAGGGTTGTGTGTTCTTCCTTCTATAGCATACATCTTATCTTGAGCCATAACAAAATCAACTAAGGCAGCAACTAAAGAATTATAGAATCTATATAAGTTTTCTGCGATAATTTCGGCGAATGTGCTATCAAATTGATATAAATGCTCGTATGAGACTCTTAATGTAGTATTTTCTTCTTCTTTCATTTTTTCGAATTGAACATGATAGTACAATTCATCGCTACCTTCTTCCTTGTATGTATTTAGAAATGTAAGGAATCGAGCCTTGATCTGGTTTTGCAAATTCTCAGCTTCTCCCATTCTTGATGTTCGTTTATTATTTATTTTTTTTCTTGCTTTGGGAAATGTAGTATCTAATTTTTCATTTCCAATTAATTTGTTTTTGGCTTTATTTTCATTTTAATCTGCATTTGGATTAAAAATACAAAGAATTAAATCAATTCATTTTAAAATCTAATTATAATAAGTTGATTTGCAAAAATATAAATTACCTATATACAAAAAATGATAATGACATTCCAGTATGAATTTTCTACAAACAAATGGAATGTTTTATATGACCAATGCGAAAACAAGGAATTAAGAGTGAACATAATCCAAAAAGCCATTGAACTCACAAAAGACAAGACTTTATCAATGGTTAAAGGTGAATAGTTATAACAAAATAATTTCTATGAAGTAAACTATAGTTAACTCTATCAAATGTATTCCTACAGACAGAGAAAAATTGTTCCTCCGGCAGTCAGAACGTAAATATTCAATATTGAGCCCTATTGATTTCGTCGACTTCGCAAACCTAAAGCGTTGGTGAGAACCGTAAGATATTTATAATATACATATTAAGCCAATCTTTACGATAGCACAATTGTTCGTTTTAAGAAAGGTTTAATTTGATAAAAAATCCAAAAAGTTCAAATGAAAGTCCCTGCTTTAATAAAAACTTTTATGTAGCATATTTACGAGTCCATTCGCGAGCATCACGCTCAAAAGCGGCCTTATCTGCCTTGTATTGACGAGCAATATCTGGAACAAGTGGATCATCTGGGTTAGCATCATTTAACAAAGAGCAGATAGAGAGGAGAACTTTAGAAATGGTCAAAGCTGGAGCCCACTTATCCTTAAGAATATCAAGGCAGATAGCACCGCGTGGAGAAATATTTGGATGATAAACGCGTGTCTTGAAAATGATGTGCGGTGGCTTGAATGGGTAGTCTGGTGGGAACTGAATATCAAGCATGAAAACACCGGATTCATATGGTGTGTCCGGTGGGCCGACGATTGTGCCGGTCCAGTGGAAAAGATCTGGTCCCTCTGGTCCAGCCGAGCAGTTGCACGGTGGATCTCGGGAGATTTCTTGAAGCTCTTTCTGTATTCTACGAAGAGCCATTAAAAAATACACTTTTGTTTGACCAATTATTTCTTAAGAAACGGCTTAAAAATTTTTTCTCAAAAATTTTCCCATGATTTTGATTAGCATTCATAAGGGATCGTTTAGATCAGAATTTCTGAATATTTGTAAAGTCGTTATAGCTCCGATCAATTTGAAAATTTTCAATTCCATATGGCTTTCAATCTCTTCAAAAAGATTATTTCTATGAGAACAGTAATTTATTAAGACTGCTTAGAACAATGATAAATATCAATTTGGATCCAAGTGAAAGAAGAATCCAAATCTCAAATTTCATTGAGATTTTATCAAATCACTAATAGATTCTACTATCCTGAGGCTAACTATAAATATTCTCCAAAGTAGATATGCTTTCAAGCAATTTTTATATGATTTTGATGTGAAATTTTGACTAAAGAATAAATTATCCCTTCAAGACACTTGAAATAATTCTCATTTTTAGTTGTAAGGACATAATATTAATATGAAAACTTACCAATAATATGTTTTTTTAGTTTTGTTTACCAAAAAAATTTGGGTTTTTTAATTATGCCGTAACACTTTGAAAAATTAAAAAATTTCAAATATTTACGCGGAATTATTATTAAATTTTAAATAACATCATCAAATAAAACGAATTTAATGATTAATTCTTGAATTTGAAAATATGATCAACATATTTTGATCAAAAATTCTCTCAAAAATAAATTCGGTTAGATTTCCTTTCAAATATGCAAAAGTGAAGTTAAATCATTATGAGTGAACTCGCTGTAGACGCACCAAAGGTTGTTGAAGCTTTCAATGGCGGCCTCACATGGCTCAACAGAAAATCAAACTCCCTCCAGAAGTTCCAACTTGACAAGATTTTAAGCGCTAAGGAAGAAGCAAACGGCGAGCTTATTATCGAGAGCAACCTCAAGATGTTCAACAAGGATCACCACTTCAGATTCGTTATCGATACATCCTTGGCACCAACAAGCCCAGAATACTTGAAGGACTTCAAGCAATTATCTCCATAAAACTTCTATATTTGCTTTTCGAATTATTTATTCTTTTAATTTAAATTACTTTACGGCATCTATTAAAAGCTGAATAATAAGTATCTACAATTTGTTTTTTTTATATATTTCAAGTCTTATATAAGTGATCATAACCTTTCATTGCTAACATATGATTTAGCTCCTAGGAAGTGAAAATGTTTTCATGGCATAAATAGTTTTAATCACTAATTTGTTTTTTTATTTTTTTAATTTATAGTCATATGTTTTTCGAAATTTCACATAATATTTGTACAATAATTCTAATGTTTATTTGCTATTAAAACGACTACCGAAATTTCTGGTAACCGGAAATTTTTTATCACTCCCTCCCAAGATAAAGATTTTGATACTGCAACACTTACATTCTTGGCAAAATTCGCCAAAATTTGCAATCAGAATCGCTATTAGTATCGCTGTATGTGCATCTTTCGTATTCACATTCCTTGCGATTAAAATGAAGAACGACATTTTTAATGAATCAACTTTTATTGAACCAACATTGGATGATGAATTAGATTCACATTGCTTTGATGCTATTGAGCATGAAGGTCCTCTAGATGAGTCAACAACAAAGTATTGTTATGATAGAGATAACAATTTACACTATCTCGCGTGCCAATTAGGCTTTTCACCATTCGAATCTCATGTTCCTCGAATAAACATATTCACAAGCAGAAATACTGTTGGCCTTGCCATTATGGGTTTATTACAATCCCAAGAATTTCAAATTTCTGAAGTGAAATCATACTTTCATTTTTCAACACACAGCATCAAATACGCCAAGATCTTCAATAAGTTCAATTTTCCAATACATATTGCAATAGATCCTCAAGATGATCAATGCGAGTTATTATACCACCTAAAATCACCAGTTCTTATCGTTACATCATTCAACAACACATACAAGGATTATCCACACCTACATGTTATTAAAGCTCCTCACATTTATGGCCCAACATATCCTTTTATTTACGGAGATCCAAATGCCGAGTCCATTCTTGATGCCTGCATGAATAATCCATGGCAACTCAATACTACTAGTCTAAATCTATCCCAAGAATATGCTTACAGCGGTGATGTTGCGATAGAAGTTGTCAAAATTATGAAACAAATTTTGTCAGGCGAAAAACCAGATAATTTTTCAGTCAAAACAATAAAACAAGGATCTCTTATAGCAGCCATCCGTGATAAGTATCCCAAATGCAACATTCCTCCTGTAGATTTCAAATACACACAAGATATCAAAACAAATTTGAAAACAATGATAAAATACAACAAAAAACAGAGAAGAAAACCAACGGATGTTTATTTATCATGGGTAACAAGTGTCTGTGATACACCAAGAGTTATTGAAAGAGCTAATGAACAGTTAGCTTATTACGCTGAATACTTTAAAAGAATACCAACATTATCCATGGAATTTGTTTATGTTTATGCACATTTATCTGAGTTTTCTAAGCCATTTAATGAAGTTTTTACTGTTCCTAAAGAGATCAAAAACAACATGAGAATTATAGAGATACCTTCTATTGAACTGTTAAGTTTGAACATGCATCCAAACAAGACACAATATCCTGAATTTAAATTAAAAAACATTGGAATAAGAAAAGCAAAAGGTGAATACATTATTTCAGGAAATTCAGATATTTTACCTGGTTATCCTATAATTGATCATGTAGTACGTAGATTGTTTTCACCAGGTTTGTATAGATCTCTAAGATATAATGGAAAAGAACAAGTTCCAAGAGATTTCGTAAATTTGAGTCAGTTTTATACTTATCCTGATAATTGGCTTGCAAATTATGATTACATTGATTACACAGCAGCAATGAGTTCTCTTCTTACTAAAGCTAGTGGTGATTTCCAAGGTTGTCATAGGAAACAATGGGAAATAATACATGGTTTCTTAGAAACAGGACAAACTTTTTACGTTGATTCTTGGTTTTTACTTGAATTTTGCGGTTTCAAGTTTCCAACTGTTGTTAGATCGCTTGGATATCATGTTCACTTAGACCATGTGAAAGTATCTCATTATACATCGTCAATAGACACGAATCAGTACTTCTGGCGCGGAATGGTTTGCGATGGATGGTTTTCGAAAGATGTTGATTCTTACAAAAGAGATAAATGGGGTTTGAGACAAAGTTTCACTGTTTTGGATCCAGATATTACTAATTTCAGTGTTAATGTGAGTGAAGGAGAGTTTAATGTATCATATACATTCGATAAAATTAGGAATGCAACAGCAACTCCGATACCTGAAAATATATCAATTCCAAAAGTTGAATATTTGAATGATGTAAGTAAACAGAATGAAGAAAATTGGGAACAGTACATAAATAAGACTATTTATTGGAACCAATCAGTTGAAACACAGGAAAACAAAACTTTTTATGATGATGAAAACGAAACAATATATTAATCAAAATACCATTGAATATTTATATTTATTTTTTTTCTTTCTCTCTTTTTAGAGTCGATACGAAAAGCAGACTTTTTTTTCGTACCCCCTCTCAATTTTTTTTTCCAGTTTTCGTACTTTTTTACAGAGCATAGTATTTGATGTCCAATGTTTGCCTATGATCAGAACTTGTCTTTCTCCTGTTCGTATTTCAATCTCTGGTCTAGACATATATCACATCAAATATCATATTTGATTATTTATAATTGTTTAAAAGATTTTACTAGTACAAGCATAATGTTTTGTGCAAAGTACAATTTCAATGTGTTAATCTATAAAATTTGATTTTTATTGCATATGCAATTAGGCATCTTTTTTAAAATAGAGTTTTGAAGATAAGCATATATGAGAATGATATGTACTTGTTATTGTAAATACATTTATTGTTATAAATTTACTCAATTATCATTGATGATGAAATAAAGATTTTATTATATAAAAAAGAGTGTTTATTCATTATAAATAGAGTTCTGTTAAGCAAATATTTTATTTGTAACGGGTAAACCCTAAATTTGCATGTTTGAATTATTGAGATCAAATATTTGCATGCAATCAATAAATTTGCTGCAAAATTATAATCTCACGCATGTACTATTTTGAAACAATAAAGCATCAGAGAGCCTTTTCACTATGATCTTTCAGAAAATGAAAGAACATAGAAAAATGCCATTTATAGAGATGCCCTGACCTCAACAAGGGTCAGAGCCTGTATCTGTATGTCTTTCATGGCCGAGATAAGAGGATATCGTCATTGATGTTGGCGATCTCCCTCAAACTCGGCCCTGAGGATTAGTATTGCAGGCTCTGACATATGTTGAGGCCAGAAATTCAGGTTTGCTGTTTCCCAGGGTCGGATTCCTCTCCTGTCGCCCTAGATCAGGACGGCATTTGGGAAATCCGGCCCTGAGGATTGTAAGCGAGGCCCTGAACCTTTGCCGAGGCCAGAGCTTGGTGTTTGTTGCTTCTCAGAGCCGAGTTCCGCTGAGAAGTGTCCGTGATCTGGACAATCTCAGGGAACTCGGCGCTGAGGAATGTAAACGAAGCACTGGTCTCTGCTAAGGCCAGAGCCTGTATTTTGAAGTCTTTCAGGACCGATATGAGAGGAGATCGCCAATAATGTGGACGATCTCCCTCAAAATCGGCCCTGAGGATTGATCTTGCAGGCTCTGGCCTTTACTGTGGCCAGAGCTTCGTTTGGTAAGTATCCCAGGGCCAGATTCCTCGCCTGCCGCCCGGGGTCAGAGCGGCATTTGGGAAAGCCGGCCCTGGGGACTGTAAGCGAAGCTCTGGCCTTTTCTGAGGCAAGAATCTGTGTATTTCTTTCTTTCAGGGCCGAATTTGAGGGAGATCGTCAATGATGTTGACGATCTCCCTCAAATTCGGCCCTGAGGATTGTATTTGCAGGCTCTGGCCACTGCTAAGGCCAGAGCTTCGTTGGGCGCTCTCTTGGGACTGGATTCCTCTCCGGCCGCCCCGAATCAGGGCGGTCTTTGAGGGAACCAGCCCCAAGGATTGTTTGCGAAGCTCTGGCATTTCCTGAGACCAGAGCCTATGAATTTCATTCAGAGCCAAGTTCCTCTCGGATCGAACCTAATGAGGACGACCGTCGAGGAACTTGGCTCTGAGGAGATCAATCGTGAGCTCTGGCCTCGATGAAGGCCAGAGTTTTCAAGGGAATGTTTTGATGGGATGAGTCTATTATCAGTAATCTCGTCCCATCAAAACATTCATTTAAAAATTGAATGAATAATTATCGCATGTATTCAAAAATAAAAAATTTAAAGATGAATAAAATTATAATACATATGAAAGAGAATTAAATTACATTGAAATTGAATAAAAATTTCCAAAAAAAATTCAAAAACTGAAAATAAAAAGAAAAAATATAAAATTTGATAAGAGAAAACGATTTATTTGAAAAAACGTTTCTGCAAAACATGAATATTTATGATTTAGATTAAATTGTGAATAAAATTTACTAGTTTAAAGAAGAATGAGAAAATTAAATTATATTGTAAAGAAGATACTTTAGAAAGGAGTTTACGATTGAAATATTATATGGTATGACATTATACTCGTAACCTCCTTTCGATAATCTAATTTCTAATGCAACATTGGGATATGAAAAAAATTAGCTTTCTTCGAAAGGGGTTTATAATTGCAATATAATATGACAGTATATTGCAAATATAAACTCCTTTCGGGAATTAAATGTCTAATGTTACATTGCGGAACAAAAGTGAGAGATTCTCCCGATCTGAGTACGTGATTGCAGGGTGCCATTGCAAGACCCTGCAAATATGTACTCAGATCGGAAACTTTGTTCCCAATGTCACATTGCGGAACAAAAGTGAGAGATTCTCCCGATCTGAGTACGTGATTGCAGGAACCTAGACATATAGTATGCAACAAATGCTTTTATTAACTTATTTACACTCATATAATTATATTCAAACTTCAATCTTGATTATATTTCATATTTCTGAGCAAACATAGAGCTCCCACTCATAATTATAAAGATTACCAATTGTAACCATATAAAAACACAATTTTTAAAAAGTTATTATTATTCAACTTCCTGTGATACGGTTTTTTGATTAGATTTTGTAAATTAATGTAAAACAAGCATAGATCTATCATGAGCAATCATACGATAGTAAATATATTGCTTCCATGCTAAATTCAATTGAGATTATCTTGACATTAAACTTAGAATCCTCTCAAATTCAAGGAGATAATCACAATGCAGCTATATTTTAATGCTGCAGTATAGCAAAAGCTCTATGATTATTATAAACTAATAATACCATATGAGTACGAAAACTGGAAAAAAATTGAGAGGGTGTACGAAAAAAAAGTCTGCTTTTCATATAGTTTCCTCTTTTTATATATGTTATAGTAAAAATTGTCTTTTAGTCTATCACCGCGAATAGCAACAATGGGATGAAGACACTATATATAGAATACAACCAAAATAGTTTTTTTTAAACATCAAAACTTCCTCAAAATCATAAAGAATTAGACATTTCACTTGGAAAGCATCCACCAAAGAAATAAATCTTAAAAAATTGCTTTGCTATTAAGTATACAGAGATAAACTATCTTTAAACGTGGTCAATTCTGTTTGTTAATTCTGAATGCGAATTCCTTTATTTTTTTTATAAACGGCTATGATGAATCGCAATGAGGAAATATCTTTAGAAACATTGGATAAAGTACTTTCAGACAGAATTAAGCAAATGATTGCTTTAACTCCACGTGATGATATAACAAGAAGACAAATTTTATACCAAATCGAAGATTTGCCAACTTATTCAAGGAGACTTTCTGGATTTTTAGATTATATGATAGATTATTCTTCATTTCTTCAGCAAGAAACATGGAATATTGAATCAGCAATCTGGGCAGAAAAAGAGAAATTACCAACTCGACAAGAAAATCCTAAAATAAACGAACGTATTGATAAATTAGCACAACATTTGGGTGTTAAATCAAACAAACTTGAAGATGAGGTTAAAAAACTTGTAGATTCTCCTAAAATGTCAGATGCTCAAGCAGATTACTTTAAAGCAATCCAGCTCTTAAGCTCAAACTACGGCCGTTTAAATATTGATGTTTCTGAATTAGTACAAACCAACAAGTCATTGAAAAAACTTCACAAAATGACTACACAAAGGTTTTCTCCAACAACATCACCACCACAACTTCAACATTCAACTCTATCAGATATAGAGTGATGTAGAATGTACCACGATTTTGACAGTTGTTTGATTTTGATCAATATTGAATTTGATTGTAATTGTTATTTGTATATATGATTGAGTAACATCAAAGAGCAACATATGTTTGTCTCTTACTCCTAAAGTTGAAATATTTATGCAAACATTTTTTAATTTTTTTTTATTAGAAAATTGAACAACTAAAGTACAATTCCATTAACAGCTTGCTGATTTAAAAGGATTTATTCCCATTTAATCTATTCTTATTCCATCATATCTAGAAATATTCTGATTAAACTCAAAAAAGATTGCTCAATCAAAAGTTTGTTGTATATTACAATCCGGCAAATTCATAAAATCACAGTTTCAACACCTAACAATTATAAATTTGATTTTTTGAATTTGAATTGATAATTAACAAAATTTTTCATCATATATATGTTTATTAAAACAAAGATAATATAGAAAACATAATTAGAATGAAACAAAAACGAGATATTTTCATAAAAAAATTATGAATTTGAAATTTCTTCTATCCAGCTAAGCAACTTCGACATAATCTTAGACATACTCAATTCGTTGCGTAATTCTTTAACAGGATACCATTGTTGCGAATAAATTTCGTTTCTTTGGATTGTACTCATGACTGCGTTCTCTGGTACACCAACAACATAAAAGAAATGATAATCTTTCTTCTTGCTGATGCATTTGTATTGATCTGGTCGAAAATAAGGAGAAACGTCAATTCCAATTTCTTCTATAGTTTCGCGTATTGCTGCCTGTGCAATAGATTCACCTTCAGATATCTTACCCTTCGGAAAACCAATTGAATGACTACTTGAATAATCTCTTACTACAATGACTTTAGATTTGTCTGCATTGAAGCATATGATACCTGCAACAGGGCAACTCATTTTGAATTTGTCGAAATTTGGCATTGCATTGAGAATTTTGCTTTCAAAGGGCTGTAAAGGAGGAATTAATTGAATTAATTCCTTTATGAATGTTTTGTACTTATCCTTAATAGAGTCTTGATTTTTCTTATGGAATTTGTTTGAATAAAAATCAATATAATGCCAATAAGCTTGTTCGAATTGGATATAAAGATCGAATAAATCAATTTTGGCTCCTTCTTCGAAATATGGCTGATTGATAATAAATCTAACAGCAATATCTTCTAAAATTTTCTGTTCTTCATTCATTTAGAAAAAAAATGTCACTAAAAGTGACAAAAAATTTTAAATTCAAAATAATCGTTCCTCAAAAATGTCTATAATTCGCAATCCTAGTGGTAATTATATAGCAACATACGATGGTTCTACGGTCACAATTATTACTCACAACAAAATAGATCAACCTAAAGAAATTAATGTCATTTTTGACCAGATAGATGCGCTTTCATTCTTACCATCCATCTTTGGCCCATCATTTTTGATAGCAAACAAGATGCAAAATAAGATTGCTTTGTATATGTCAAATGAAAATTTCGAATATAGCGAACCAACAACTTTTACATTAACAGAAAAATATCATTCAGAACTTTCTGTTTGCCCACATTCAGCAACTGTTCTTTTTGGATACATAACAACTAATTCTCACATATTTGTAAGTGAAATTTCGTTATCAGGTAAAAAATCATTGATACCAATTACGATTTTTGAAGAAAAGTACAAGCATTTCAGCTTTGCCTCTGAAGATAAGATATGGGCTTCTCAAGATGATAAGCTTAAGTTCTATTCATTATATATCATGGATCCAATTGCAGAGAAAGACATTAAAGGCATTGAAAACATATTACCTTCACCTGCTTATGATAATTACTGCATAGTATATATATCTGCAAATGAAAATGGTCTATTCAAATGCTTCAGAGCTGAAAAGAGCGATATAAGAGAAGAACAACTAGGATATGATGAAATTGAGATCGAAAATAATGATGTGGAGCATAGTTATATGAATTGTTATTGGAGTCCTTATGGCTCTTCATTTATAGCTGAATTTACCGATGGATATTATCAATCTGATGAACTTCCAGAATTTAAATGGAAGTCTACATTTAATCCTTATTAAAACCACAATAGAAATAAAAATAATATTATTTATCTTTAAATCATAATTTTTTTGTTTGTCCCGTATTGGGAATTTACAAAACATTTAGAATATCATATAATCATATCCCATTAAAGAGTTAAGAGAAACAAATTTCAAGTATAGTTTATTTTTCAGACAAGAACATTCAAAATTAATGATCAGATTGATAAGATCTTATATGTGAACTTACAAAAAGTTAGAAAATAACAAAGAAAGTAACAATTTATAGAAAATTAAAAACGATCTGAAACAGCCTCTGCTGTAACAAGGAAAACAGCAAGTGTAGCACCTTTAGCAGCACCGATACCCATTTGTTTGAATCCTTTGTAACAATTTAATGTTGCACCAACTGCTGCACCAGCAATGATAGGATCGTAGAATTTCTGTTGGCCTCTGTATATAGCTAGCGTAGTTTCGCATAAGTTTGTTAATGCTGCCTGAGCACCAAGAGATACACCGATTTGGATTCCTTCTTTTAATGTGCTCTTGACTGAAAATGGTTTTCCGTGATTAAAAACTGGTAAGTTTTTAAGTGCAGAATATCCTGTGCCAAGAACAAACATTCCTGTTGAAATAGTTGCAAAATCTTTTGCTGCTTGAAACACTGGATTTTCTCCAGCATTACGATATAAAACTTCTTCAGCTGTAATTGGAATAAGATATGATGCTAACCCTTTTACTGTAGTTGCGTCTGGTTCAAGTGCAGTATGAATCATTTTTGACAAATTAATAATTTACATGGCAAAAAAATTAAACATATGAGCTATTATTGCAATTATTGAGTGAAAAAGTAAACTATAAAGTGATGAAAAGTCTATTGCGATGCTTAAATATTAATAGTCTAGGTTATGGCGCAAAAGTAATGTGAGTTTTTGGATATTAAGTTCTAATTCATAAATTAAAAAAGAAGTTTGTATACAGAAATAAAAAACAACAATTTTATCATATCATATTATACTTAACACACATATCATATGAGAATTTAAACATTTTCATGGTTGGATGTTCTTCCTTTTCCTTGGAATTCAAATAAATGACGATTTTTATGAAGTCATCGAGTTTCTCTTCAATAAAATCGTGGATATCTCTAATACCAAAGTAAATATTGTGAGGCATTAATCGAATACTGATATCATCTGATAAGAAATCAACAATATACTTCTCAATAGTAGCTCTTATAGAAAGAAAGCTTGGATCTTTGCTGACAACTTTAGATTTCAATTCATCAAGTTGTTTTTGCATAGAAAATGCAATTGCAAACGGTCTTATTGTAATCTCTAGAAGCATGCAAATAACGTCTGAACCTGTTTTGTCACTGTATGCTGCAATTACTAGTGCAATTTTAAGAATGTAAACAGCAATGTCTGATATTTTATTTTCTATAATCATATTGCATACAGTTTTCACAATAGACGATATTCCACCATCTGGTTTTATCGTTGATGTCCAATTATATGATTGAGAAATAAAAATATTTGATAATGCAATAAGTTCCATACAATTTGAAGTGTTATCTTTCTGTATATCTGAAAGACACGATACAGAAAGCGCTCTGATAAAGAAATCAATTCGATGGTCGTTTGTTAAAATGTTTAAAAGGGAAGAAATGATTTCAAAATCATCAGGACTAGTAGACAAAACACAAATAGCTGTTGAAAATGACAAATCTATCGAAGAAAGTGCAAATCTTAATGATTGTTGATAATCTGAGGGTTCTTTTGAATGATTTAGTACGGATAGGAATGCGTGGTATTGAATTCGTCGCCCTCTTTTCGGAGCTTCTTCTAAAATAAATTGTTTTATACTTTGTTCGTCTGCTTCATTTAATCCTTTGAATCTGAGTGATGGCGGTAGTGTTGCTGACTGTAGTGACTGACCTTCCTTAAATTGTTTAGGTATCAAGGGAATTCTAATAATATTATCGATTAAATCTATAACTAAATTAAAATAACCATCTACATACGCTTGTATTGGATCTGGCTGCATCAATTTTGGATGAAGAAATACTTTTGTGGTAAATAACGACATTTGAGATAAAACTACGTTTCGAAGTGGCAAAGGATTTGATGGGATAAGCTTTGTTAGGAATAAATTTAGGAGTTCATCGATTTTATTTTGATAAAAACGAGATATCTGTTGAATATGATTTTTAATTTTGGAAAATAGAGGATGAATTGGAATTGCCTTATCATTTTGAAAGAATGACTCAATATATGTCTTAGATGATAGTTTCAAAAATGTAATAACAGCACGACATAGTAGGATTCCATCTTGCTTTCCTTCATTGAAGTAATATTGAGCAGGAACTGTTGCATGTATTCGAGCAACTTCCGACATAGTCCTATCTAGATCCCTTTCTATTGAACCCCCTGGGATCTCAGGGTTAGATATCATTCAAAATTTTTATATTTTTTATAAAATACATTATAATTAGTTTCTAAGATACATAAAATTATCCTATTTAAATTTTACTAATGCACATATTCTTATTAACTTCGATAAAACTCATATGCATGAAATCGCTGTTATTTATCAAGACTTTTTGGAAATATAAATATCAAAATTATAGTTCTTTAATCCATATGAGATAGACATTTATTTTATCGATACGTTTGTTGTACATATTAACTTCGTGATAACTAAAGGAATGAGAAAGTTTGCTGAAAGATTACTTCAATTACGAATATTAAAGGGATTTTCCCAAAACCCATCAATGAATTAAGTTTACAGGAAGTTAAACATACAACATATCTTTTCACCGCCTCATGATATATTACAGATCTTTAATGAGACTAAGAATCATTATAGTTAAGCATGCAATGCTTACCAATTCATCATTGAGATACATCTATCATAAATAAAAGTTAATGAACCATGATTTTAATATTTATATGTTTGATATATAAAATTCTCTGGGAAAAATCAAAAATTACTAAATCTTTTAACTACCAAAATAATGATCATAGCTTCCAATATTAGAATTCATAATAAAATCAGGTCAATGTAATTTCGTTCATACGAACAATGCGTCATTTTTTCCAAGAATTTACTAAAGAATATTTGAATGATACCGAACGGTTTGGGTGGCCTTTCGTGATGTCAGCTAAGGGCGGTGCTCGTAAGAAATGGACAAAGACAACCAACAAGGAGAAGAGGGAATGGTCCTGCATTATCTCACCAGAACAGGCTGCTGATATGCAGAAGTCTGTCCCAAAGCAGAAAACAATTACAGTCAACAAGCTTGCTGAAAAGTATAAAATCTCTCTTACAGTTGCCCGTAAAGCTCTCGAGGCTATGGCTGCTGAAGGAAAGATCGTTCCAGTTATTTCATCTCATGATCTCAAGTGCTATGCTCCACACCCAGATCATGTTGTAGAAAAGGTCGAAGCAGCTCCAGAAGAGCAGACTTCCAAGAAGGCTACAAAGAAGGGCAAGAAATAAGCTTTTATTTCACTATCAATATAAAAACTTTATACAATTTCGCAAATTTTTCATATTAGTTCTTCTCTATTCAAGCATTTCGATGCAAAATTGCAGGTTATGTTCGATTCTATTTGAAATTGAGCTTGGTCACTTAATTTTACTTTGTATTTTACAAGAATGCCCATTAAGTACAGCATTCCTATACATTGAAAACGAAAGTTAATGTATTAATTTTCATGGGTTATTCAAAATAACTTGATTTGTGTAAATTCGACTTTCGCAACAGCTACAATCATTAAACATGCTCGATTATACATATAAATTAATATATCAAAGAAGTAAGATTGTATAATTAACATAAAAATAAAAATCATTTGTTTATTAATTTTTTAAACATATTCTACATTTGATGTAGAGAGAGTTCTATTTCTGAAACGAAGATAATTGATAGAAGCATCATAAATAACAACACCTGCTGCAACACCAGCGTTAATTAATTCCATTGGATCGTCAACTTGGGTATTTTCAACTTTGCACCAACCACGTAGCGATGTCAAGAAGTCTCCATACGAAACCATTGACTTTCCTACAAGTTTCATTGATTCAACAAGCGGCTTGAATTGTGCACTAACTTGGATAGCTTTTGCACCAGCATTTGGAGCTGAAATCCTCTGTGTTCTAGCCTTGCTGGACTTAGCTATCAGTGGAGGAGAATTCTCTGATTCTTCCTTTGGCTCTGTTCTGTTGAAGTTTAATCTCTTGTTTGATTCAAGGAGATTTCTCTGTGCAAAGACTGGAGATGCTGCAGAAATTGGTGAATTCTGGGATGGAGCTGTTTCATATTCTTGTGAGATTGAAGCCTGATCATGCTGCTGTAATTCGGACTCTTCAGTGTTTTGAAGAGCTTCTTCGTTGTAAGAGAATGAATCTTCTTCAGCTTCTTCTGAAGAACGCTGAATTGGTTGTGACTTCTGAGAACTTGGTGTTGTTCTTTCAGATCTGTTAGATTTGGCTTCTCGAGCCTTCTTTGGTGGTGGCTCCTTTGGTGATTCTTCTTCGACATGAAGATTGCTGCCAGAAACATCACCATCTATTATATCTAAGTTTGGCCAGCTGTAAATTTTGGTTGGAATTGTTGGAGGCAAGAATGAAAAATCAAAATCTTGGCGCGGATCTGTTGTTGAGAAAATGAAAAGATTTGATGGCTGCTTTTGCTGGAATAATGAAAGCCAAACCGAGAGTTTTGTGGAAACGATTGCAATATTAAATTGTTTCTTTCCATTTAATGAGGCAATTAAGTTTGAGATCACATCATATAAGGCATAGTCTCCAAATGTAACATTTGTATTGAAAGCAATTGATAAATCGCTGATTGCTTGTGGAATTTGATTAACTTGATTAGCAAAAACGAAAATTGTCGAAAATGATAAGCCAACTATGTCTTGAACAGCTTCAACAATATCAATAGATGTTGATTTACATGTTGATACATCCCAAATAAGGAATGTTGGTACTTTGCTTGACATTCTTAATTGATATACGTTTAAAAATTCGAATCAAAGATTCAAAAAGAAACTGTGCGAATTTATTTGTACATATTCATATATTGTTGGTTTTTCAATAAAAGACACTTTGAAACACAGCAAATATGCTAATTTGCTTACTAATAATCCTTATTATCGCAATTAAATCATTCATGAAATTGATCATTTGAAGGTATAGCAAAAATATCATCATTGTGCATAATCACACATGATTTTTATTAATCAAGATTCCGTCATATGATTTAGGTTGAAAACTTTAGAAATAATAAGACATTTGAAATTGCAATGCTTTTCTAAATAATATACTTGCTTGTTATTCATATTCTTTGATTTTTTGAAATCTTCCAAAAATTATTGTGACAACAATTGCAAAAAATCAATATCTATAATACAAATTGACTCTGGTTGTATTTTGCATCCTCTTTTTAGGTAATGATTAATCATTCTTTCCAAATAATGGATAAATGCATGCGTTATAAATATTTTGTAAATAAACTTGATATTTCTAATGCTATTTGCGCTTCGAAATCGCATGTTCTTATAAAAATATGTACGTTTAAAATATGTTTAAAATTTTTACTTCTCTTCACAAAGTATGGAAACCGAGAATCTAGTCGAGAACCAAATAATTGAAGAACCAACAAACGAAGTTCCACAGCCAATTATCAACGAAAATGATTCATCCGTAGCAAATACCGATGATGTCGCTAAACTTCCAATTCCATTAGAGACACCATCAAAAATTCCAAGAAAGATGAAGGCTTCATTGAACAATTTTGAAACACCAAACATTAAAAACTCAGATAGGAGACTTTGCGACCTATACATGTCTGCCCAAAAGCCACCAAAGGAAGAAATCCAAACTCCAGCAAGAAAAATATCAAAGAAGGAATTAGATTCATTCCTTAGAAGAACAGAACAACAAGATGAATTACGTAAGAAGAAGCAAGAAAAACTCAAACATCAAGATGATGTTAGAACTTCTAAAATAATGGGAACATCAAAGAAAATGAAGAAGAGTGAGATTGAAAATGTTGCAAAACGTCTTTCAATGACACCAATGAGGCAATCAGTCAATCCAAAGTCAGAAATACCACCAGAAACTCCAGCTCCTAACTCTCATGTATTTGATCGTCTCTACTTACTCTCTACATGCAAGAAGAGAGCTTATCAAAGTGAGGAACAAGAGAACACCACTGTTCAATCTTGCCCGATGAGTGTGATTAGCAATAAGTCATCAATATTGGCTAACAAGCACTCAATTCAACAAATTGCTGAAGAATTTGGTGATCAGCAGTTCTGTGATCTTGATCAAATGTTTGAACATTTGAGAAATCTCCATATCATTGATGATATTTCTCCAGAGCATGAAGTTGCTTTGTGCACAAAGACAATTGCCAAATGCTTAACAGCTGATGGCAATTACAGTGCTTGCCAGCTCAAGGAAGCATTGATTGAATTATTCACAACAAGAAATCCAAATAAGTTCGGCAGACTTGTTTGCTCAAAGATGACATTAGCTCGTGCAAATGAGCGTTCTGTCATCAAGGTTGAAGAACCATCTGAAGATGCAGAGTCTATCAAATGCGCAGCCAAAATGCAGAAAGAAACACTTGAGCGTCTTCTTGCCACCAAACCTCAAATTGAAGAAGAAGTTGAAGAAGTCAAGCCAGTTCAAACAAAGATTCTTTCAGATGCTTCCAAATCAATTCTTGCTAAGTCAGAGAGAACTAAGTCAATTCTTCAATTGTCTCTTGAAGACAGAAATAAAGTTCTTCTCCAGAAACGCGATGAAATAGTTTCTCAGCTTAAGAAGACTATTGAGCAAGAAGAAGAGAGTGAGTTCAAAGCACCAACCAACCTTGGTTACATGCCAGATTTCTATGAAAAGCTTCCAGAAGAAAAGAAGAGAAGGTCCAAGAAAGTTGAAGATAAACCAGAAGAACCTTCCTTCAAGCCAAAGACAAATTCATACCAAGATTTCCAGAGAATCAAGTATAAATTCGAAGTTTCTCAAAAACCAACGGGCTGGGAAGAAACAGTTGAAAGACTTAGACTTGCTAGAATCGAAAGAAACAGAATACAGGAATCCCTCGACATCAGAAATAGTACCGTTCCGATCAAGAAGAGAGTTTCCTTTGGTGCTCTTAAGAAGAAGATAAAGAAACATGCGGAACAGAACAAGGCTGCTGTCGAGACCAACTCTTTGTCTGAAGCTGGTGCTGTTGATAGCATTCTTGGAATTTAATTTTAATTTTATTCTTTTATTGCATTTTAAATCAAAGGATAGGAATTGATATGATATCTCAAATTTTGATTGAAAAAAATTGATTGAAATAAAGGTTTCGAAGATGCGAATGCTATTTTTGAGAGAGATTATAAAAACTAAAGATATAAATTAGAGATTAACGATACATTTTAAAAAATCTTAACTAAAAAAAAGAAATAAAAGTAAAAATTACAAATATCTGATAATTACTTTTCCTCATCCTCTTTGATATATCCGGAATCTTGAATGTGGTGAGCTAATCTGATATAATGAATCTTGCTGTTGTAAGAAACAGCCCAACCCAGTCTAATCTTCGAATCCAATATGATTCTATGATTCTTCGATATAATTGTGCAAACTTTTTCAAGGTATTCGTCATCAATTTGAACACCTTTGTCGATAAGCATCGTTGTTAGATCCAAAACAGAATACAATGCTTTCAATCGTTCACCTATATCGCACGACATATTATTTGTCACGACTTCAAGCATATTCTCCAAATCTTCTTTCAAAATATCTTTTCTTTCTGTTTTTGTCCAAGTTAGAAGGATAACGTTACGAAGAGCTTCAATGTGCTTCCTCAGAGGAACAAGTCTTCCTACCATTGTCCTGATTGCTTCAAGCAAAGCAGAAGATTTCATTTCATAAGAGTCAAAGAAATTAGCTGCAGCAAGGGAAACCGTGTAAATATTTATAGTTCCTTCTACTCTTGGCAATATATCTATTATGTTTCCTAAAAACTCCTTTGCAATATCGAATTTTTCCAAATTTGAACAAAACTTGAAAGCATCGATATAAACCATAGCTGTTTGTGCAGGATATGATTGATCATTATCATTCAAATATCTTCTGAGGAAATCTAAGGCCAAATCGAAGTCAATTGGCGAAATTTGCATAAAATGCAACAAAATATTGCCAATTGGTATGATAAACTTCTGTGCCACCACTTCAGTGATGTCATCCAAACTTGTATAGAACTGTTTAATCAATTCTAATGTCTGTCTGTGCGTTGAACCTTTTATCAAATGAATAATTGAGAAGAAAGCGCTTGATCCTTTACTTTCTCGAACCACAGCGCCTGCACATCTCAAGTAGAATGATAATTCATCTTCAGAAGTGATTTCCGTTGCGGATGAAATAAATAATTTTACAATAATGTCTGCAACGACCAATCTATGCTCAGATTTAAGTCTTCTGACTAATACAGGCAAGTACTCTATCTTGTACAAGTATTGAGCCGATTCCAAGAAAACTAATGGAACTTGCAAGAATTTCATTAATTCAAGGGAAGCTTCGTTATCAGTTAACGCATCGTCGCCGATAGCCAAGTCTATATGGAAATCTGTGAATTTCATGAGGTTCTTTACGTTCTTGATATCACTTGAATTAATCTTCAAAGCGAACTTGAGCAAACGCTGGAGTGTTTCGAATTTCGATGTTAAAGAGAGATGTCCTTCAGCGTTGAACAGTTCTTCGATGTTTTTCGCAATTGTAACGAAAACTGCCGTACTCTTTGTAGAATCGAAGTGATGACCAATGAGAAGAAGGAAACGTTCAAGGAGCTGGTTGACAATTTCAAGGATTTGAACGCCTTGTTCGACTTTTCCGATGACAGTGAACAATTGATCGATTGTAGCGATGTGGAACTCTTCTGGGAACGCGTGAATGATAGATCTCAAGATGAAATCTTGTGCCATCGCATCTTCACAGAGCTCAACGTGCTTTGCAATGAATGGCAAAATAATATTTGTGTAACTATCAACAGTAATGCCATTTAAAGAGGAAATACGCTGTATATTAGTACCAATGAGTACAGAGAACTCTTTTCTTTGGGATTTACGCTCATCGGAAGCCATGATATCTTCAATTCTAACCCACATTCTGTTCATCTGCGCAAAGTTGTTCAGAAGGAATGTAAGTGATTTCTCTGTATCACTTTCTGTAGAATCTGGTAAATACTGTTTGAAAATTGAGAGTAAATAATGACGCAAAAAGAGAGCTCTAATCGGATCTTGCGCAGCTCGAGTCATATCTGAAAGGTCGTCAAGTACATCAACAATTCTAACAATTTTGCGACGTGATAATTCAGGAGCAATGGTAATCATGAGGTATAATCGCTGCATGCAACCGGATAAGTATTGAACTGTTTCATATAATTCTGAAATGACTCTATTTGGAAATCTAGTTTCATCTTGAAGTGTTGAATTAATTTGCAATAAAGAAGTTGATACAGTATGATATATCATATAGTAATTTCTTGGTGTTAATTTTGATGTTCCGAGAATTTCTATCAATTTTGAGGCTTTTTCGATGACAATAATCAATTGATTTAGATTAAAAGCACTGTGGATAACAGCTGCATATACTTCAATTTGTTGATTCATTTCAGACATGATTTTAAATTGTTCTTCATCTGTCGAAAATGTCTCAGGTGTGTTAAATTGCTCTTCAATCATCGAAATTTCGTATCTTTTATCAATAAGATTTTTCATGTTTTCTTTTTGGATATTTAGAATTTATTATCTATTAAAAGAAAAGTTCACAATAAAATTGATGTGTGTTCAGAAGGAAATGAATTTCAAAATTTCTAATTATGAATATTTATGAGAAATATTATCTTCAATATTATCTATTAGTGCACTATATTATATCTAATACGTTTAAAAAGCATATTTACGTAAAATTATGTTCAAAGATATAAAATATTGTAATTCATAACGATATCCTTGAACAATAAAATACCCAGAAGTAAGGATGCAAATTTCTATATACATATATAACCAAATGAAAATTCAAATTGGACAAAGAAATATTTCACGCGAAATTCGATCGAAACTAATCAAATAATACAATGCTCATATATTCAAAGCGAATTGATAACTTCTGATACTTAAAGAAGAAAAAAAATTTACTGAAAAATATTTATTTTTAACAAACATATGATTAAATGTAATAATAATACTCAAATGGAATAAGTATAGCATAATGATCTGAAATTTAGGCTTGATTTGATTTGAAATGAAAATTCGAAAATTATCGAATGAAAATTCATAAGAAAGGACAAAAATGCACAAACTATTGATTGTAATTTGAGTCCCGGATGATTGGAATCATTTGAAAGCTGTAATTTCTTGACTTTGTAGTCTATCTTCTTGAGTTCTTTCATTATCCTCGATATTAAGCTGAACGAATGGTCTTCTTTGCGATTCGTTCAATGAATTCCACATTGTACTCAAAGGCTTACCAATTGCCTGAGGTTTATCGCATTCTCCATGAACTTTAAGTAATGGACGAATATGGCGTGAGAAGAACATGAAAGCAGAGCGAGGATGCTTAATTGGAGGAATTATTGAGATATCAATTTGATTTGGTTGAATTGATCCATCTTGTAAAGCTTCTGAAAGACGTTTGAAGAACTGCTGTCTATAAATACGCTTTTCTTCTTTGAATCTACACTTATCATAAAGAGAACATTCTTCATAATACTCTCTTTCTTCTGGAGATACGTTTTTCCACATTTGACCAAGGATTGCAGATACTTGCTGGAACATTTTTTCCTTATTTCCTTCATTTATCTGGTTTTTTAATGATTCAGTAACTTCTTTTCGTTTATCTTTAGCAAAAAATACAAAAGGGCTGCAGGAAGCCTTTGGCTTTTCCAACCTAAGTGTTTTTAATATCTGCTTTATTGGGTAATTATTTTCTTGATTCGTCATTGTCACTTTTTTGTTTTCTCATTTGCAAATTTAATAAAAGGACTTGATAATGAGCATTGTGATTAATTGATTTTTTATGAAATAAAAAAAGTGTCAAATTTATTTTGTAAATGAATAAACCTGATTATAATGAACTAATGGAGTTGACAAAAGATTACATTGATACATTTGATACAATATTCAGGTTGACAACGCTCAATGAAGACGAAATAGATAAATTGTACAATGATATCAAAAGTAAATTGATTGAAACTAAAAAAGTTCCTCTATCTGATATTTTTAAAGCGATCCAAATGGCAGCATTATATAACAATCGCTATTTGAATTCATATTGGCTACTCTTCAAAAAGTTTTTTAACGAATATCATCCGCTAAACGGAATAGAATTTGTCAACCAAGGTTTTGCAGCCCTTTATATTAAAGAATATAATACTGAATATGATGAAAGTTTTGATAATTTATTCTCTAAAACTACACTAATCAATGGATCATTAAGTCTTCATGAAAAAAACTCAATATATTGGGCAATAATGTTTGACAACAAAGATTTATTTATTCAACTCATAGAAGAAAATGATTTTGATATTAATCAAATATATAGTAGTGCTTTCTATCCAATTCATGATAGGGGATTTTCTTTAATTGAATTATGCTGTTATTATGGAGCTGTTAATTGTTTTAAGTTATTAAGAACAAAGTTCAAATCACAAATAACAGATTTTTGCCTTGATTGTTCATTTTTAAGTGGGAAACCAGACATCATGAATGAATGCTTGAAAGAATTAAAACCATCCTATGAAACCATGCCATATGCAATTATTTCACATAATATTGATTTTGTCATGTTTCTTCAGAACGAATATGATCTGAAATTTTCTTTAGAAGATTGTGTGAGATATTATAATCTTCATCTATTCTTGGTTTATTTAGATCAGACAAAGAATATTAACGAATGCTTTCTATTTTCACCACATTTTCATTGTAAATCTCTTTGCGAATATTTACTTTCTCATGGTGCTGATATTAATTCAAAAAGTCCTTACGGTGAGACTGCTATTCATAATGCAGTCTTAGAAAATTGTAAAGAAATAGTGGAGCTTTTGATTATACACGGAATAGAAATTAATGTAAAAAACGATTATAATGTTACTCCAATCGATATTGCAGCAACACATAAAGATAATGAATTAGCGGAGATTCTCATCTCAAATGGTGCAGATATTAGTGACTTGAATCCTTTTGGAAAAACATTAATTAATTCTTCTGTAATGTATGCAAATGAAGACACATTGAAAGCACTTATTGCAAAAGGAGTAAATTGGAATGCAAAGGAAAAGATTCATGGAAAAACAGCACTTCATCATGCTGCAGAAAATAATAAGTTTGGAATGGTTGAATTTCTTGTTGCGCATGATGTGGATATTAACTCAAAAGATAAATATGATAAAACACCTTTACATTATGCAGTAATCAACAATAATTTGCAAATCGAAGAGTTTCTTATTTCACATGGCGCAGATATCAATGCCAAAGATAATCAACTTAAAACAGCCATTCATTATGCTGCAGAGAAAAATCGAAAGGAAATTTTAATAAATCTAATTTCTCATGGAATTGAAATAAATTCTAAAGATAATTTGGGACAAACTGCTCTTCACATAGCATCAATGCTTAATAACAGTGAGATAGTAAAAATTCTCGTATCTCATGGCGCAGACATCAATGCATAAGTTAATGTTTACAAAACGCCAATATACTAGGTTACATTCAACAAATGTATTACGATTTATTTCTCATTCACCTCATAAATTATATGATTACTTCAAAATTCTATATTAAGGTAAGCCGAATAATTCGTTCAAATTGTTGAGCGGTATCTAAGGAATTTTATTGAATAATATCTATTTAAACATGCTGTTTTCCCGTTGTGTTTGGTACACTTTAGTGTAATTTGCAAGGAACAATGAATAAAGCGATTCTACATCATAAATATGATTTCTGATCATAGACTGCACATAATTCTCTTTCTATTATATTGTACGGTAGATGTATGAAGCAAAAACTGCTTGTTGTAAAATTAAATCAGATGGATTTTTTATCCATCTGACGAAAATAAGTATTTTTCCTCAAATAAAAATCAGAATTGTAGTTAAGGGTATTCTGTAATTAATGTTTTTACGAAATAAATCCTCTGATAAAAAGGGAGAGTCATTTTTCTTATCTGTGATTTGTTATTATAAGCAAGTTCAAAGTTTACTCGGCATTCTGGTCATCTGTCCAGAGTTGGACGTTGTCCTTGAGGAGCTGAAGGATAAGTGTAGCCTCGGAGTACTCATCTTCCTCAAGCTTGTCAATAAGGCCGACAGCTTCCTTGAATGACTTGTCAGCGAGCTCGATAGCTTCGTTCTTCTGTCCAATGATTTCGTAAAGGAAGACTGAGTAGTTAAGAGCAAGGCCGAGATACTGTGGGTTAGCCTTGGAGAGGTCCTTAGCGAGATTCATAGCCTCTTCGTATGCCTTCTTAGCGGCCTCAGAGCCCTGAGCACGAGCAGCCTCATCTTTGAACTCAACAGAGTAGCGGAAGTAATCGGCCTTGAGCTTCCAGTAGAAAACCTTGGAAATAGCATCATCGGCAGCTGGAAGAAGCTTCTCATCGACAAGATTAACGATTTCGTTGCAGTAGTTGTCAAGCTCTTTGACAAGTGAATTGCGAAGTTCGATAAGGCGGTTCTCGCGCTCCTTGGCACCCTGGATTGATGGATCTTCAAGGAATGCATTGACGCTGCGAAGAGCTGTACGGCGGTTGCCTGTGAGGGCCTTGTAGGCGACTGATAACAAATTGCGTTCATCTAAGGAAAGCTTAGCATCGAGATCGATAATTTCCTTGATGTATGTGATGACGTCCTGATGGCGCTCGGCCTGGTCGGCAACGCGGGCCATGAAGAACTTGAGTTCGCGATCGCTAGACATGTGCGTCAAATGGCCGTACCAGTCCGGACCGGTACTCTTCTCAAAATTGTGATAAATTATTAGGTTTACATCTTGTAAACTTGATGGTCAGTGAAGCGACATAAACTTATCAATACCGTAATAATTTTAAACGTTTACATCACCAAATTAAATCGATCTATTGATGAGATATAATTCAACGATTTAAATTGACAAGTGATATCAGAAATCTACTTTTTCAAACCTATCGTTCTCACTTGATTGCTTTTCCTTATTTAATAATTGCCTCTCAAGAAGGATAGCTCAAAGTCATATCTCGGTTATATACCTGTTTTCGTTGTATATGCTGCTGCTTTATTACGAAGCATTTCACTTTTCGAATATGATTTTATAACTATGACAATGCAAGTCTTAAGAAAATTCTCAAGCTGGTGCTTGCCATTGGGAAGTTCTTTCAATGAATTAGGCTAAATTGATTCAGGATTCCTTTCAGCTATCGATATATCGCTTTATTTTCCAAGTCATTTATTAAAGTTGAGTTATTTCAGAATTACTCCTTTTTTGCTTGCTTATTCAAAGGAACTTCGGAACATTTTCCCTTGATCCTTTGGAGATATCTTTGCAAAGTTTGGGCAGATTTTTGCCTAAGGGTTTTGAATGTATTTGATATTTTTGAATATACTTCTTGGCAGTAAATGCCAAATCTGGACATTATCCAAATTTAAACCCGATTAGAAATATTTTTGTTATCTGTTTGCTTTTTTTATAGGAAGAGAAATTTAAGATAATTAAGAAAAGCAAAAAATACATTTTCATAAATTTATAAATTCAATACCAAGACGCTCAACGGAAAATACCAAGGGCATATAAACACAATAGCAATATAGATAGAAAGTGTCATAAAAATGCTTAGTGACTGACTTTGAACCAACAATTACAGATCCTATGAATATTAACTAACGTACTTTTATAATTTTAAGTAAAATGCTAATACTTACCTACTGTTGTAATAAAAATGACTTTATTGCTGTTAATGCAATAAAATTTCGAATTCATGATAATATTGCTTTTTCTAATAATTACATTCAATTTTGATCAATTACTTCGTGCACTGTAAGTTTTCATGGTGAAAACATATCAAATATATTTGAATTACTTTATTTTTATCACTCGAAAATATCAAATTTTAACAATGAATATGATAAAATCTAAATTTGAAGATTGGATACAAATTATTGGATAAAATAATTTGTTTTCACTTGATTAACCACCCTTAATTATTGAGAGAATCTGTGAAAAAATCATTTTTATATAAAAAAATTGTCAAAAAAACTTTCAAAACCTAAAAAATATCAAGCATAATGTGTTGAATTACCACAAAAACCTTCTTTGTTATAGCAGGGCGCGCATAATTAGATATAAAATAACATCATATCTTATTTTAGTTTTGTTTAACGAATTCAGATTATTGCATCTTCTTCCAATATCTGTTTTAGATTTTGAAACAGTGAAAAGAGAGAGTATGATGAATATATGCTATTGTTATTTTTGTTCATAATAATATCAACGTATATTTTAATGAAAAAATGAGTAGTTGTAAACAAAGTTAGTGATTCCATAAAAGTGACAAAATTTTAATGTCATCAACAAATGTTTTCTACTCAAACAATTGGCAAGATAGTCGCCTATTATCCAACAATGAAATTGATCAATTCCTTAATAATGAACTTCAAGAAAACTTAGAGAGTTATTTGGAACTCTTTGATATTAAACCTTCATTTGATAAAGAATGCACTCACAGATTTAAACCAGTTTTTATATCACAAGATTTGCATTCTACTATCAATGTTGTCGTTGCATTTGGTTTCCTTGCTGGTTCAAAACCTCGGGGAATTCTATTTTTCCATCTCAAAGTTGAAAATGTTAATTCTATAATTACAATGCTTGACTTATTTACTACAAACAACATATCAAATTGTATTTCGAAATATAATATCAAAATAATTCGACAAGTTCCATACCGCTTAGAATCTATTTTATATTTTTCGACTATAATAAGTGGAACCCGAGAATTACCTTACATTTTTGATCATATCGATGCAATTCAACCTGGAGATAGGTTGTTTTATAGTTTTAATGAATTCAACTTGCAATACGATTGTTATCGAATAATTTCTATTTTATCGACTGATTGTTCAAATCAAGTAACAATTCGCAATTTTAGAGGAATCAAAGATGATTGTCCACCTTTTTCAATGCTTCTCAAAGAAGGTTATAGTTATATTTGCTCATTCTTCACAAAACTTTCAAAAGAGACTCCTTCAAACGCAGAATTAGAACAAACTCCTTCCAACATGAAACATGTTGAAATTGAGAAATACTCTATAACCCACCATTCAAGCTCTAATAGTTCCCCAAAAAGAGAGGACTATCAAAATTTAGATCTCATTTCTGCAAATGACTTAATACCTGTATTTTAAAAAATTTTCATATTTATTATTTATAATGAAATATATTTATGATTTAATCTGCTTCCCTATAGCTTCAATTATCAATAACTTTTTTTTTCAAACACTTATGCAAAGTTTGTTTCAAATTCTCGGATCAGGTGGCAAATTTTCGTATTTCATTCTGATGTTAGGCTTTGCTATCTCAGCACCTATACTATTCTTTGTTACTTATTATCATCTTTTCTATTTATTAGGTGAAGGAGATGGGATGTCTGCATATGGAGAAATCAGACCAAAAATCGAATCTAATTCATCGTTTGTATTCTATATTCCAATGAATTCTTCAACGAAACACAATCCCGACTATCGTATGAGATTCTGGGAAAAACAATTAAAAGATTTTACCGCAAAATATGAAAGGAATTATTTAGGCCCTTTCAAATCTCCTGTTAATGGTTTCAAAATCATTAATTTTACAGAAGGTTTTGAATTAGTTGACTTTGATCATTGTGTGAAATTCTGCAACTCAGTCAAACACTTCAAAAATAACTATATAGATTATGATTGGTTTATTTTTGCCGATTCTAATACATACATTAATATTTCAAATCTTAATTCGCAATTAAAAGAGATACAAAAGGATCATGATCCATTAAAAGAAGTACTGATAGGATATGGGCCTTCACCTGATAATAAAAATCAGAATCCTAATCCTTCTACCGGCGTAATTTTATCAAATTATGCTTTATCAGCTCTAAACCCAGAAACTATTGCAGTCAAGCAATGCGAAACGAATATGCTGATAGATGTTCTTAAGAATGCTATTCAAGTCAAATCATTTCTTAGTCAGAACAATTTTGTTGTTATTCCTCAAGATAAAATCCATAAAATAGCAACAACACATGTTAAAGATCTCATGACATGCTCATACGATTCAATTCGTTTTGGAGAGCCAATATTTTATAATATTGGTAAGAATGATCAAATTTCAGTTGCTAGATTATTTGAAAGTCCAGATCCAAAACTTGGAATTGCACAAATACAAGATTCTTTTTCATTTTGTTATTTTAATTAACTATTTTTTTTTATTCTTTGTTTGTAAATGTTTATATTAGCTTTAATTTCATGATTAAATTTTTTAGGTATAAGTATCAAGCATAAATTTACTATCTAATAAATATTTTATGGATAAATTTTTTTCCTTATAGTTTGGGTAACTATTGTTGGGTCAACAAACCAGGAAATTTAAATATCCTTCACTAAAATTGTTACAAATCTTTGAAAGATAGTTATATTTTATAGAATTCTAACAACAATTTATGATTGAATTAGTGTAATATAAAAGAACAATAACAATTCATTAGGATTAAATAAATCTTTATGATCATTATAAAATCATCTTAATGATTAATATTTTTCATATTTTATTAACAAATTAAATAACTTAGTAATAGAATCATCGTTTAAAGCAAGAAACATATGATATGAACAATCTGTGAAGTATATTTACTAAGTTATAATAAAATTAATTTTTATTAAATTAATGGAACATTCAGTATTGTTGTAGAATGCTTTGCATCAAAAATATAATTGGATAATCCTGTTTGGAGGCAGATTTCAATCTGTAAAAAATTGTAAATAGTTGAATTTGTTAAAATTCTTTGGAACAATTCCCCTCATAGGCTTCAAGCCCTGGTGTAATGCACAAGGACCAAAAATCTCTCTTAGAAGTAAGCACTTCTTGGCTTACATAGACAAAAATTAATTTGACAGTTTAATTAGTGATCCCTTAAAAGTGACAAAATTTTAATGTCATCAACAAAAGTTTTCTACTCAAACAATTGGCAAGATAGTCGCTTATTATCCAACAATGAAATCAATCAATTCCTTAATAATGAACTTCAAGAAAAATTAGAGAGTTATCTCGATCTCTTTCAGATTCAACCTTCGCCTCATTATGATATTATTAAGGATTGTAAACCGGTCTTTATATCACAAGATTTGCATTCTCCTATCAATGTTGTTGTTTTATTTGGTTTCGTTGCTAAGCAAAGACCTCAGGGATTTCTATTTTTCCATCTCAAAGTTGAAAATGTGAATTCTGTCATCACAATGCTTGACATATTTACTACAAACAACATATCAGATTGTATTTCGAAATATAATATTCAAATTATTCGACAAGTTCCATACCGCTTAGAATCTTATGAATATTTTATGAGTATAACAGCTTGGAAATATGAATTACGTTACGTTTTTGATCATATCGATGCAATTCAACCTGGAGACAGGGTGTTTTATAGCTTTAATGAATTTAACTTGCAATACGATTGTTATCGAATAATTTCTATTTTATCGACTGATTGTTCAAATCAAGTAACAATTCGCAATTTTAGAGGAATCAAAGATGATTGTCCACCTTTTTCAATGCTTCTCAAAGAAGGTTATAGTTATATTTGCTCATTCTTCACAAAACTTTCAAAAGAGACTCCTTCAAACGCAGAATTAGAACAAACTCCTTCCAACATGAAACATGTTGAAATTGAGAAATACTCTATAACCCACCATTCAAGCTCTAACAGTTCCCCAAAAAGAGAGGACTATCAAAATTTAGATCTCATTTCTGCAAATGACTTAATACCTGTATTTTAAACATTTTCATATTTATTATTTATAATGAAATATTTATGATTTCAGGCTCCACGTTCATAAATTGAGAGGGAATTAATCCTCCTTTTTTTTAATGGTCCATAACTCCATGAATACCCAAAGACAAGGGGTAGGAGTATGACCAAATGAAACTGTAGCTTCAACAGCATAAAAATGTTTTTTTCATCGAAATCCTTGGTATTTTACCTCTAAGATCTATTTTCGAAAGTTGATCTTATTTGTTTTATTTGCTCATAAGCTCTTACGTGGCACCATTGTTTTTCGTTATTTGCAATAAACAATGGTGACTTTTTTAAAATTATCTATAATAATATGAGTTTGTTTCATTTTATTCTATTCCAGTCAATTCAAAAGATTAGACAAATTGATTGCTTTATTGTAATTTATTATACTTATAGTTTTTAAGATAATTTTTTTATTATTTGTTTGTAAATGTTTATATTAGCTTTAATTTCATGATTAAATTTTTTAGGTATAAGCATCAAGCATAAATTTACTATCTAATAAATATTTTATGGATAAATTTTTTCCTTTTAGTTTTGGTAACTATTGTTGGGTCAACAAACCAGGAAATTTAAATATCCTTCACTAAAATTGTTACAAATCTTTGAAAGATAGTTGGATTTTTGAGATTTCTAACAACAATTTATGATTGAATTAGTATCATATAGAAGAACCATAGTTATTTCAAATTTCAAGGAAATTTACTGTTCTTTGCGGGCAAATAATGGAATAATTTGATTTCGGTTTTATCTTCTAAAAGAAGTGATTACTTCATCTAACACAGTCTTTGTACTGTAGCATAATAGTTCCTTATATGATGAACCGGATAATTCGGGAAAATTGATTTATATTGTGTTAATTTCGGTAAAATAGGGGTTCATCAATATCGTGCTTCTGAGAAATCACTGATACAGACTCTGTAACAACTTTATGTCCAACAACAGACATCGTAACAGGTTTCCTCGGGGATACTGGAACTGTTTTTCTTGTTAATTTCTTTGCCATGATAAGTTTAGTAGGTGTTATATCAAATGGTTTAAAGTCTTTAATTTTCTTGGTAATCGCAATATAGTCTGCCTCAATAGAATCAAAGGAATTATTCAATGAATTTTTTTTGACATTTTATTGAAAGATTTGAGTGAAATTTTAAAATAATTATTACCAAATAATTGTTTTAAATGAAATCGTCAAGGTCATTTGGCCGAGTGGTCTAAGGCGCCAGTTTAAGGCACTGGTCCGCGAGGGCCTGGGTTCGAACCCCAGAGTGACCATTTTTTGAGTTTTTTTATTATAATATTTTCCATAGACAAATAATTCATTGTTTCTTATGTATCTCCTGTCTATTATTATCTTTCTATTTCCGTTTCCAAATCCTAATAAGTGACATCTTTATATTCTTTTATAGAACTTTGCAATAAGACATGTAATCATGAAGATTTTGAAGATGAATTTGTTTTGTAAACTTTATAAATTTTTTTTTGAATGAATGAAAATGATTTTAAGCAAACTAAATTATCGCGGTGTTTGAATAACTACGTAACTTGCGAAAATCGAATCTGGAGTATTGATGGTGAAAATATCATTCAATCCGGAAAAATTATATATGATTTACTCAATACAAAAGCGGTTTCAGCTGAAATATGCATACTTACAATTAACAATGCCTTTTCACATAGAATTGCATCACAAAAATCACTTATTAGCTTATTAAATGTTATAAAACCAACAAATACAAAAAAATTCACAGCTTTATTAGAAGAGCTTGAACCTAAAGTGATTGATATCACATATCCAACGTCATTCATTAATCTATCTGAAGAAGCAATTCTTGTTTATTTAAATCTTGCTGCAGAAGCAAACGATACTGCCAAATATTTCGACATATTATCAAACCAGATATGTAAACCAACATCACAGACACTGATTAGCGCTCTAAAAGGAGGTTCTTTAGAAATAATCAAAGATTTATTCAGTAAAAAGGTCACGATACCTCGAGGAGACATCGTTAAACTACTTATTGAATATCACCAAAACACAATATTGAAATTTTACTTTCCTTTCAATGAAATTCAAACTCAAGTTTATATCGGAGCTCTTTGTGAGTTTTCAAACCTGGAAATCATTGCATTTACTTTCCAAAACAATACCACTAATTTAAACGCCGAATCTCTGTCAACTTTGCTGTTTTTCACTCATTTATACAAAGCTTTCGATTTATACGATAATTTATCAGAATTTTACAAAAATACGATCAATGATGTACTTAACAAGGTAGAAACGGTTTCAATTAAGAGTTTTGAAGAATTTAAATTTAATTTGCCTCAAACAATCACGAACATTGAACTTTATGACGAGAAATCGTTCGGATACGTTTATGGGGACTATTTGTCGAAGTTTAGTCGCTTAAAATCCCTTGTTTTGTCAAATTGTGAACTTCATTACCTCAAAGACTTAAAATCATCGATTATTGAGATGGATCTCTCAAATAACTTCATTACTACAGTTGAAAATTGTGGTCCTCTCTCAGAATTAACAAAATTAAATTTATCATTTAATTTTTTGACGTCAATTGACTTTCTTTCCAAGGCGAAGTCACTCAGAGAGCTTGACTTATCAGCTAATCAATGTTTAATTGACTTTTCTCTGCTTTCCAAATGTCCAAATTTAGAAAAAATCAAATTATCTTTCAACAAAACAACGAATATCACTTCCGATCAACCATTTATGAATCTTATATACTTAGATCTATCCAGAAACGAGATTTCAAGCATTCCTCAGCCAAATTTATTTCCAAATTTACAAAAACTTGATTTATCATTCAATAATATCACAGAAATACCAAATATCATGATAGAATTTAAATCACTTCTTGATTTGAACTTATCCCATAATTCAATTTCGAATTTTGAAAATCTAAAACCAATTTCTAGTCAATTGAACACTTTTAAGTGCGAATCAAATAATGTATCACAATTTGAAGTATTTACACTCCTCGGATACGATTCTTGCATTGAAAAAATTGCTCCTTCTCTTTCATTTTTTCCAAATGAGTCAAAAGTTCATAAATATGGCTCAAAGATGAGAGGAAGACTTGAAGTTTTTGCCACTTACCAAGATAACGAAGGAAAGACCCAATTTATTGCGAAAAAAATTCATCAAATGTATATGACGACAAAAGAACCAACAGAGATTGCCAATATACTTCTAAACTACTACAAAGCTAATTGTACGTCTTTGCTGCAGCCAACAGGGGTTCTTTTGCCAAATCAAGACTCAAGATATTATTTTACAATTTTGAGCCAAGTTGATGACAATTATTTCACTTTAGATACAGTATTAAACTCTGTTAAGCCTTCTGATGGTAAAGAAACTCATTGGAATGATACAAACAGATACATAATTGCAATAGGAGTTGCAGCTGCTCTGAAATCACTTCACGATATGAAAATGATACATTCCAGATTAACACCATCAAGTATATTGTTAGATTCAATGAATTATCCGTTTATTTGGGATCATTATTTATATTCTATAGAAAAAGATGAAATTTATTCAAATTTTGCCCAGAATACTTACCAATATGTAGCTCCTGAATGTTTATATAGTTCAGATATTACAGAAAAAGCTGATGTTTACTCATTTGGAATAATATTGAGACAATTAGTTTTCAATGACTCTATTTATGATACAACACATAAAGAATCGGCAATATACCATGCAATACAAATGGGAACAACGCCAAAAGTTGAATGTGGAACTCCATTTTATAAATATTTAACAAATCTCTGCTTGGAATACGATCCGAACAAAAGACCGTCAATGAAAGAAATATTTGAGAAGCTCAAAGACCTTAAAAATGAGTTATTCGTTAATGTTGACAAAAATCAAATAAATGAATACATTAAAACCCTTGAAAGCCCAGGTCAGAAGCCTCCCTGCAACATGGAAGATGTCGCAACCTACTTTTCGGACCTTAAAATGCTCAGGGAACAAGCTGATTCAAATAATCCTCAAAAACAGCTTCTTTATGGCAAATTACTGATCTCAAAGCTTGAAACAAGACTTGGTTTAGCTTATCTAAGGCAGGCAGCAACATCACAAGACCCAATTGCGATGTATAAGTACGGTTTAGTCTTATCAAACGCTGTAGCGCCAGATAACGATGATGCAACCGCATTCCAATACTTAAAGATGGCTTCTGACAAAGGAAATATCGAAGCCACAGCCAAATACGCTCAATTTCTTAGAAAGGGAAGGGGATGTCAGAAAAATTTATCCCAAAGTTTACAACTATTCAAAACTGCTGCAGACAAAAACTGTCTTTCTGCACAAGTTGGCTATGCGGAGATGCTTCACGATGGCGAAGGTACATCACCAAACTTGAGAGAAGCATTCTATTACACGAAAGAAGCTGCAAAACACGGTGGTGCCGATGAGATATATAATCTTGCTAAATGTTACCATACGGGTGATGGTACTAGCAAAGATCTTAGGCAAGCACTGGAGAACTACAAGATTGCAGCCGATAAAGGCTCACTTTTGGCAGTTGGTGTAATTTCTAACGTTGCCAAAGAAGGACAGAAGCTTTCGAAGAAGGCCACGGATGTTTTCAAGAAGAGCCATGTCAGTTCAGATGTCCAGAGGGCCGAAACTCTCATAATGTACGCGATTATGTTAGTTATCGGAACAGATGACGTCGAAAAAGACACAAAAGCCGCAGCCAAGCTTCTCAAAGTCGCCGCACAGAAAGGCTATGCAGAAGCTCAGTACGAATACTCGATTCTCCTTAAAGAAGGCGATGGGGTTTCACAATCAGATAAAGATTCTCTCCAATACTTGCACAATTCCGCCCAAAACGGATTCCTTCGAGCACAACTCGCTTATGGCGACCATCTCCTCTCCAACAAGGAGTTCCTTGATGCAGCTCGAGTCTACAAACAAGCTGCAGACAACGGAAACGCCGAAGCACAAGTGAATTACGGTGATTTAATTCTGCAAAACAAAGCAGGAAAAATCCCAGTTAACGATGCCACGAAATACTTCAAAATGGCAGCAGAACAGAACCATCCTTTAGCACTCTACAAACTAGGTGTTGTTTGCGAAGGAGTCGCAGTTGAACCTGTCCATTTCCAGAAAGCTTTAGGTTACTACAGACAAGCAATGAATTTAGGTGTCGAAAAAGCATCTTTGAAAGTTGCAAAAATGCTTTGTGAATTGAACGAAAACCTTGAAGAAGCAGGAGATATAATAGAGAAGGAGATGAATAAAGGAAACAAAGAGTGTTGTTATAATCTCGCTCATATGTATATCAGTGGAATTGGAAGAGAAATTGACTACGAAAAAGCCATTGAAATCTTAAAAATTGGATTGGATTCATCGCAAGCAATTAAATGTTCATTTACTTTAGCTTGTTTAGTATATAAAACAACACAAAACCCTTCTCCCAACTCTCTAAAGTTCTTCGAAATGTGCCAAGGCGAATTCGAACAAACTGCGAAAAACATAATTGGATACGCTTATTATACAGGAAAAGGTTACGGAGAAGATAAAATGAGGGCAAAACAAATTTGGTCTATTTCTAAAGAACAAGGTGGAAGCGAATCAATGTTCAACTTAGCAATGATGATAATGAAAGGTGAAATAGAAAATGATCATGAAAACGAACTCGAAAATTTACTCAAAAAATCTGCCGCGAGTGGATATTTTCCCGCAGCTTTTCATTACGCAGAATATCTCTGTAAAAGAATGAAAGATAATGATGATGACGTTGCAAGACAATACTATTCTAATGCTGCTAGAGGAGGACATATCCCATCAATGCTGAAGGTAGCAATAATGTATGATAGAGGTTCAAAATCTTTCGAAAGATCTCCTTCGAAAGCATTGGAATTTTTCAAAATGGCCGCCGATACAAAAATTGACGAAAAAGTTCCACAAGATTGGAAATTTGGTCGGTTGGATTTCATTATTTCTGAGAGTTTCTTCAAGACTCATGAAGATTACGAGCATGACTTGAGTCTCGCCATGCAAAGGACAGGAGAAATCCTTCTTGGTGGCGAAGCAGGTTATTCTGATTACCAACTCGCGAGGGAATATTTCGAAAGAGCAAGAAAACATAATGACGTGGAAGCAACTTTCCAACTTGGTCAAATTTATGAACATGGTTTGGGTGTTGATTGTTCAACAACAAGAGCAAAAGAATATTATGAAGAAGCTGCTTCAAAAGGTCACAAATTCGCAAAATTGTATTGTAATTTTCCTAAAACAGAAAGAGAAGAAATTGCATCACTTTTGGACAGATATCCAAACGTAAATGCAGAAAAAGCAATTGAAGAAATCCTTGGTAACAAAGAAGATGGTATCAGTACTGCTCTTAAAAGTCTGATGAAAGTTTCATTGGATGAAGAAGAAGATGAAGATTACGATTTCATGTTGGATGATTTGAATTTAATTGCAGATGAATTCAAAAACAAAAATTTTCCAAAACTTGACAACCAAACAGAAAATTTAGTTCAGAAGAAGTCATCAGTTTTTCCACAGATGTCACAATTTGACTTCATCTCTTATATACAGAGTGAATCTGGATCAATCACAGACATGAAACCTCCTTTCATGGTCAGTTTCGAAACTAACATGAAGCTGCATATGTTTCCAAGAAGAGACGGAACACAGCTTGGATTTAAAGTTGCTCCAACAAAATTGAACACGACATATAAGAATAGAAAACCGGTTTTCAAAGTTGATTTGAAACAAAATATTGATTACTCAAATCCAGCAATTTTATATAATCAATCCGTTTCTTTGCAGAAGGAAGAATCTACATTTGACGAAGGTTTGAAGTTACTGAGACTTTCTGCCGAACAAGGATTTCCTTCAGCTTTGTTTGATCTTGCAAAAATGTACAAATATGGTGATAGAATAGAGAAAAACGAGGAAATTGCAGATAAATTGTTTAAATTGGCAACAGAGAGAAGCAACAAAGAATAATACCAATTTTTTTATTGTTATGTAATAAAAATATCTTGTTTATGTAATTAGATATTTACAATATATATGTACTTTTTATAAGTCTCGAAGTAATACAATAATTGAAGGAAACAAGAAAAGAATCAGAGGTATTTTGTACAAAAATCTCGTATTTTTGATAATCATCATTTGTTATATGATAATATCCGAGTATGAAAGTTAAAGTGAAATTTCCAAGGCATTTAAATTGAAAGATAGTCTCACGAAAATTCTGACGGCAACCTGCAAAGCTGCTTCCAAGGCATTAGAAAAAAAATTGAATAGTGGAAATTTTTTTTGGTAAAGTTATGAAATTTCAAAAGTAGTTCAGGACATGAATTACGAATACATTGCTGCTCATATCAGCGATTATATTCAAAATGAAAACTTCTTTGATACATTTAACAAAGAAGATATTAAACAAATCATGAAATATTCAACTTTAACAGCAAATCAATACGTTACTCTTCTCAAACAATCATCTACAACTATCAAGGCCAAAGAATTATATGTATGTACACGAAATGCAAATGTTACTATCCAAAACATGGAGGAAGTCGTTTCTACTCTGAAATCTGTCAAAAAATACATGAAATTCAATATATTCGATGGTATCATTGATATTTTGGATCAAAAAGAGCAAGAAATACCTCTTTCTACAGAAGGAATTCAAAATCCAAGACAAAATGCTGCCAAAGAAACAAATGTCAATCAAACTAATGGAAATATCAATGACTCTAGAGAGATTTTTACTAAAATCGCAGAACTTAAGAAATCTAGTGATTTTGAACGTGTTTACAACTTCTTTAAGGAACTTTCTGCTCAAGGAAATCAGGAAATGATTCAAAAAGCATGTGAAGAAGGACTTTTGGAAAAGAAGATAATGTGTGGTAATAATGTGCTTCATATAGCATGTGAAAGAGGAAATCTCAGACTTGTCAAATCACTCATTGAATGTAAGTGTGATAAAGAAGTAAAGAATGATGATGGATGTACTCCACTCATTTGTGCATCACTGCATGGTTGTATTGAAGTTGTTCAATATCTTATCTCAGTTGGAGCTAATAAAGAAGCAAGGGATAATAATGGCGGATGGACTCCACTCATTTCTGCATCAGCTAATGGTCAACTTGAAGTTGTTCAATATCTTATCTCTGTTGGAGCTAATAAAGAAGCAAAGGATAATGGTGGATGTACTCCCCTCATTTGGTCATCAGCTAATGATCAACTTGAAACTGTTCATTATCTTATCTCTGTTGGAGCTGATAAAGAAGCAAAGGATAATGATGGAAAGACTCCACTCATTTGGGCATCATATTTTGGTTATCTTGAAATTGTTCAATATCTTATCTCTATTGGAGCTAATAAAGAAGCAAAGTCTAATGATGGATATACTCCACTCATTTGGGCTTCACAACGAGGTTATCTTGAAGTTGTTCAATATCTTATCTCAGTTGGAGCTAATAAAGAAGTAAAGTCTAATAATGGATGTACTCCACTCATTTATGCATCAGCTAATGGTTTTCTTGAAGTTGTTCAATATCTTATCTCAGTTGGAGCTAATAAAGAAGTAAAGATTAAAGAATGAAAAACTGCATTCAAAGTTGCAAAAGATAATGTAAGAAGCTACCTAAAAGCTTAGATTTAAGTAAACTATTGAATTTAAGATAAAAAGTTAATTTTTTCGATGAATCAGCAATGTTTGACTAAATATGTTCGCTGTAGCATATATTGGATAAGTTTCAAGAAAATATTAATTATTTCAATCATATTGTCATATGATATGGCATTACACGTTAAAGCATTATTATGGCGAATTAAATACTTAATGATTGACTAACTGAAATCGAATGAACCTAATCCTCCCAATTTTTTTAATTTTCGCCCTTGGTAAGGGTTTCGTTTTGCGAAAAAAACGTACAATACGCAATTTCGCTAAAAAAACATTTAGCTAGCAATTTCGACCTTTGACTCCACTCAAGACGTTACTTTTTTAATTTTGCGGTATCATATTTTTGGAAAATCTTTATGAATATTATATAAAAAGTCTCTTTAATATCTATATTTCATATTTTTATCGATTTTTAAAGTTTTTGCGAAAAGTATTCAATTATTTTGCTATTTGGTCGGGTAAATGTCAGATTTGCGACATTTTCTGATATGATATTCAGATTCTACGTTGATAATAATGCTTATAGAACCCTCTTGCTATTGTGTCAAAATTGCGAAACCGATAGCAAAAATATCTCGCAATATCAAAATTGAGATATTGAGTGAATTATGCATTATAGAGATTAAAAATCTGATTTGTGAAAACATCTCATCAGTTTCTAGCTAATTCAAAAATCTTTACTATCTTATTCGATTAAAATGAAAAGGGAATAGTTTCATTATGCTTTAAATGACAGCCTTATAATATAATCATAGTTTTCGCTCAATATGCAGCATTTTTTTTTCGAAATCTATGGTCAATGTCCTAAATACTGATTGCTTTGCATTCATATCTCTTACATTTTCTATACCCACATCACTATTCATTGCTATTCCTATTTTTCATTTTTGTTTGTTTCTCATAATTTCTCAAAAAACACGATAACTTGATATTTGTAAATATCATACTTTATAACGTAAATAAGAACTTGACCTATTAAGAAAAGCAGTAATGAAAAGAAAATCCGAAATTCATAAAAATTACAAGTTTCTGATGACAATTAGCTTAATTAAACCAGGTACAAGATTATATAATTGTATTTTCTATCCAATTATCCATAGAATATCTTATCCAGAAAAAATAACTTGATCAATACCAAATGATTTTTTAACTAGTAAATAAAGTATTTTCTTTACACACACATTGTATATCATAGTTTTTTTTTGGTTTCGCAAAACATCCAAAAACAAATATGCTATAAAAGTGACAATTTTAGCAAAACGAAACCCTTACCCTTGGTGAATTTTTTTTTGAATATCTGTGGAACCAAATGATAACTTTCCATGGAAATTACTCAATTGTAATTTTTTTTGAGTAATGCAATGGACTTTTATAAAATCAACGACAATACAAAAAGCAAGAGGAATTTCAGTTCACTGACTGATAACAAAGATATTGCACTGCATTTAAATGAATTTGAAGCCGTTTTGCACAAAATACTAGAAAATCAAACAGATGAAGAACAATTAGAACGCTATTTAGCGAATGTTATTGAATATTTGCAATATAAGCATATCGAATACATTGAAATATTTAATGAAAATGACGGATTGTTAATATTAGTTCATATTATTCAAGATTTTCCAATCTTAATAGAAGACTACATCATACACATTATCGAATTACTTTTAGAAATATCAGATGAGGATACAATAGATAATTTTATAAATAATCAGATCATAATTGAAGCAATCATAGACAATTTTCATATCCCTTCCTCATTACATTGTATGCTCATACTTCTTAGTAAATCCACACAAATACCTTCATTTATTTTTGATAATTTGAGTTTTGATTTATTATTCCAATGTTTTGGAGAAAACAGAGAATTTATTGAAGATTACAGCAATGAAATTGTTCCATCATTAATAATTACATGTGTCCTGTTGAAACACCTAAAAATTGAGCTCAATGATTCAAATTTAGAAATTCTCATATTTCTTTTAAATTCAATATCAGAAATTGGGTTCGATATTATTTGTGATGATGAAATGATCCAATTTTTGGAATCAATCGATTTTATTATCAAAATTATCCCAAATTTGATATATAATATTTCAGATTCTTTCTATGACGGTATTTTACAGTTAGAGCAAAAATTGAAGTACAAAACTTATGTATATTCAATTTTAATTGATTTATATAATCAAGATTTAATTTTTCAACCCACTGACCAATCATTTTCACATCATATATATGAGAAATTAGATTTATTTTCAATCACATCATTTGTTTTTCATCAGAACAATCTTGGAAAATCAAATTTTGCATTTTCTTTAGCTATTGATGTTCTTAGTATTTATTACAGTCTAAACAACAATGAAATTGGTTCGGAATTCAGTCATGAACTATTTCAGCATTTGATTGAATTTTTTATTCTATCTCAATTTACAAATCGAAAAATTTTACTCAGAATGATAGAAAAAATGGTGAATTTATCAGATTCATTAATTGTTTACTTAACAGAAGAATTTGTATCGATTTTGATTGAAATGCTCGATCCTTCTTTCGAAGAATCAAAAATTCCTTTAAGAATCTTATTAATTGTATCAGAAAATGTTAATTTAGGAAAACCAACTGCAATTTCCAAAGATTTTTTGTTGGAATCAGATTTAGTCGATTTCTTGGTCAACGAACTTGATACTGAGAATGACGAACAAGAAAGAGTTGTTCAAACTATTCTAAATAACCTCGGAATTGACAATGATTAAATAAAGATTATTTTTAAAAGAATTTTTATAGATTGTCTACATAAAATTTACTATTTGCATTTATTGAATGCTCCTCATATAAAAATATCTTATTCATGTGTAAAAATATCTAGTTTCTAGTTTCATGCTACAAAGATTTAATGAATTCATGTAGATTGTTTACATAGTATACTATATGCATATTTTGAATGTTAGTCGAATACTCTTCAAGTAAAAGTCATCTTATTTATGTGTAAAAGAAGTTCTAGTTATATCCAACTAAGAAAATAGTAAGACATATAAGATATGAGATATTTGTTTATTCTTTCATCTATATTAGATAGTAGAGATCAATAATTAATCAACTTTTAATATTATTCATCTAGATGAATCCTTTGTTTTTAAAAATATCGGATACTTGTAATTAGGGATTTAAAAACGGTTTCGCCAAATGGCGAATTGCTGAAAATTCGCTAACTCAGCCTGATTTTTTCGAATTCGGCGAACTCAAAAAGTGACATAATTTATACTGAATCTCGCTATAATCATTGATAATTTTTGCATATGTCAAATAGTTACAGTATGTTTATAACTTTATTTCGTATAGTCATGATGCTCATGATAGCCATTTTGAATTTAAGTGAATAATTGACAGATTCAAGGCGTCAATACTTGTTTTTGGAAACTTATCATATAACTTCAAATATATTAATACAGTACCATGCAAATACTGTAATGACTTCTCGTGTTTTTTAGATAATCTCGATAATATCTTTTATTTATCTCATTATATTGAATAATTTCTTCTTCTTTTCAATTATCTTTTTACACAAGTAAATCCTATTATTAAAAATGCTGAGTAATTGAGAAAAACCTAAATATTTGCAAATATTATCTAATTTTAGATAAATTCCTTCACAATATCATAAAGGAAGAGATTCCAAATAATATTAATAATATTAAGTATTAGTGTGCGGAAAAGGCAACAATTTATTTCATTCAAATTTTTCAAATTAAAACCATGCCATTTCTTAAAGCGCACATAAAAACTGTTTATGTTATGAGTAATAATTTATAACGAACTTAATCATAAATTTCTTAGTTTTGAATTCAAAATTATTCTGATTAGTTAGTATGAGAATAAATTGTTATGATTTAATCAAACTAACATCAAGAAAAGCTAATTTTGCAATCAGCATAATGAAATGCAAAACCAAAAAAAATAATATTTTTTAATCGTGAACAAATATGAACTTTATTGTCATAATATATATATTCATCAAATATATTTTGCGAATTCGCCATTTTGTAAAGTAAAATTGAGAGGAAAACGATAATCCCAAAATAAAAATAATAGACCCTATCTTAAAATCATGAAGATTATCACACAATAAAAATGTAAGACCCTTTATTAATAAAAAACGAGAATTCCACAAAATAAAAATAACAGACCCTTTTATATGGTTTGGAAATTGAAAAATGGCGAATTCGCCAAAAAATTAGAAGTGGCGCAATTCGCCATTTTGCGAACTTTTTTTAAATCCCTATTGTAATATGAAATCATTCATATATGACTGACTTTAGTGAGATGTGTTAAGTCAGTTTCGAAGAATTATTAATTGATCTGAAACTCAAATCGAATCACAATAGTTTAGAGGCAACCAGTATTCATATAATTCTTGAAATTAGTGCGGAAAAGTAACATGAATAGAAATATAATTTTATAATAAAATAACAAAAATAAATAAATTAAAAGAATATATCATAACAGTAGTATAAGTCAACTAATAATTGAAATAAATTTCATTTTGAAAGAAAATTATTGATATCAAAGCTTAGATTCTCTTCTGGCATTTCTTCCGGCAGAGAAGACACTTCTTCAGGTGCATTCCATGCTGGAAGTGTCTGCAAATCGCTCTTAATATCAATAGCGTTATATTCCATAAACAAATCAGAAAGTAATTCATCCTGAGTATGTGTAGACTTAGTAAGTTTGTCTGCCAATTCAGTTAGTAATACGTTATATCGCATAGCTCTCTTTTTATCAATGTATTCAAATTCTGATATGAAAATATCAACAGCTTTGTATAATCCATCAACCTCTACGTTATATATATCAAGGTATCCATCCATTTTTTCTACAAAAGGCCTATAATCGAAAGCTTTATTGACAAAAAGATCTTCATTCTTTTTCGAAGTCTGATTTGCATTTAGTTGTTCTAATTCGTTGATGTAACAAATATTATCCTTAAGGAGTTCAGTATATTCATGCTTTGCATTTTTATATACTTCAATTGTTGTGTTTAATTTAGTTTGGGCTTCTGCAATAGATTCTTGATATGATTTGTAAATGGATTCCATCTCCGGTATGAACTTATTTTCAATATAATCGCAGATATGTTCCCAAGATGTTGGTTTTGCAAAATCTGAAAGGATAAATGACTTGAGACCTTCTGCTAATGTAGGAGTTGAAAGATTTTCAAAGCTAAGCTTTTTAATAACATGATCTCTTCTTGCAAAATAATTTTTTGTGTAAATATTGCGGAATTCTAAGAACTCATTGGCGAGAACAATCAATGCCTTGATTTCATTTATTATGGCATCTTTGGCAGAAATTATCTTTTGAATTGCTTCTGTTATATCATTGATATTACTCATCTTGATATATAAAAAAATTAATTTGAGAGAATTACTGGTCAACAAAGTTTTTATTGAATCGGATGCAGGAAACGTTATTAAGAAATTAAACCTATTACACCAAGATAAAATTTGTCATTTTTTAAGACCAAAATTTTCTAAAAATAAAACCGAATTATCACAAAATTTGAATAATTTTATTAAGTTTACACGGAATAAATTTGATCCATCATGTAAACCTCGATGTCACTTTCGTGGCCGAGCGGAGCGAGGCCACGAAAGTGACATCGAGGTTTACATGGATGGGTTCTATATATATACAGCTTGACCGGTAGAAAAGCGGATCGATTTTTATCAATAATTGGACATTCTATTTTTAATAAAATAAACATATATTTATATGGGAAATTAGGGAGATCTGAAACTCAAAAATTATTTTTGAATTTTAATATGATAAATATAATTGTGACACATTTCAAAAAGCATTGTAGAATCTGATTTTATTTCTATATTTTATAAAATTAATATATGTTTGTATGGAAAATTCGGGAGATTCAAAACTCAAAAATTAAAACTCGATAATTTTAATATATCTTGATTCACATTTGTATGTAAATTAGTATTAAATTATTAATATTTATCAACTCCATGATTCAAATTTATTGATGTCAATAAAATTCATTTATATTATGAATATTAGACTATGTATGGTATGTGTGTTCTGGTAACATTAAAATCTCATATACTAGCAATTTGGCACTTTTTGTCACTTTTCATGAAATTTCAGTTTTCCTAAACTCGATTTTAATAATTGTTTTAGAATGCTAATATAATGTATAATTTATTTATCCAATCAAAATTTAAAAAAGTTCAGTATTTGCCATTTTAGACTTCAAGCTCGCGACACATTAACCGCTTTTTTAAAAATTGAGACTGACATCTCTAAAATCATCTAAAAAATCCAAATATCTAATAAAATCATATCATTAAAATTCCTCTCAATTTTAAAATTTTTTATAAATTGAGAATTAGATCTCTAATATCTTCTAAAAAATCCATATCTCACAAAAAAAACTAAGTTTTATTTTCACATTCAATTTCCCCAAAAAAAATCTTTTTACCTAACAGCAAGGCAGAAATTTGAAACGAAGTTTCAAATTTCTCAAGCTTGCATTCTGGGCACGTAAGTGCCCAGAATGCTAAAAGGCGCGTAGCGCCGTCGCTGAAAATCAAATTTACCCTATTATAACATACTGGTGCAATACGTCAATTTATTTCACCTATAAATCCAAAAAACTTCAAATGAGATCACATTACAGTCTTGTTCCGATCATTGTTATTTACATCACCATATAACTTTAATGAATAAAACATCAGTAACATTAAGAATGCAACTTTTTGAACTACCAAAATTTATCCAAAGGACAGTTTTTTTGTGGAATCCAGAAAATTGTCATTCATATGCTTTCAGTCTCACAATAAAATTTAACATATTCAACTATATTATACAGATATGCATCTTTTTAAAATCATTTTACATAATTTAGGAATCAAAAGTTAAAGATACGTATCTCTCTAATACTGATTGTTCCATCAGTGAGAGTGAGAGATAGATATCAAATGTGAGAGCTCGAATAATGCATTAATCACTAATTTGAAGTCCTGAACAAAATTTTGAAATCTTAAATCTTGAACAAAATGTTTCGACGTAACCGTTATTATCGTGTCTTTTCATATCTATGAGCTTAATGATAATTCATAAATTATATAAGAAATCTATGCGAACATTGTTTTCTACATGTACAACCTAGCATTTCTTTCTTCCAATGAATTTTAAAGGTTTTGTATATGGTAATAACAAATATATGAGTTTTAAAATTTTTCATGTCTGATCTAGACAATAACCCAAATAAATACAATGAATTACGAAGTAACTACAAATACTACATCGATTCATATAATGCTTTGTATCAACTGAAAACGGAAAATGAAGAAGATTTAAACTTAATTTACAAAATAATCAAAACAGAACTGATTGATTCAAAGAAATATCTATCAACAAATGCTATCATGGACATTTTAAATATCATTCCATATAATAATCACTATACAAAGTCATATTTATCTCTTATCAAACTCATATCAGACGATTATCATGTTAAAGAAGTCAGCAATGCTAAACTTATTTCAAACTTCCTATTTTTTAAGGAGTATACATTTAAATTAGACAAATCTAATGTTTTCGAAAAAATTAAATCAGGGGATCTCGATATTCATATAGAAAATACAATTTACAGAGCAATTATTTATAATGACAAAGAAAGGGTCATCTTTTTCACGGAAAGAGATGGATTTGATAAAAATCAAAAACTTAAATATGAATTTTATCCAGTTTCTATAGAAGGATTATCATTACTTGAATTATGCTGTTACCACGGCACAGTTGATTGTTACAAGTTATTAAGATCGAAATTTAACTCAGAAATAACACAAAGATGTCTTAAATTTTCATTTTTAGGAGGAAATCAAGAGATCGTGAGTGAATGCTTGAAATATCAAAAACCAGATGAAGAATGCATGAAATATGCAATTATTTCACATAACAATGATTTTGTTACATTCTTGATGAATGAATACAATATACAGATTGATTTATATTATTGCGGAATATATAATAATCTTGAATCATTTTTAGTTTATTTCGATCAAACTAATGATTTTAAAAATTGCTTTATTTATTCAGCAATGTTTAATATTCCATCTCTTTGCGGTTATTTTCTTTCATTTGGTGCAAATATCAATGATAAAGATGATGACAGAAATACTGCTCTTCATTATGCAGCGGGTTGTAATTGTAAAGAAGTAGTCGATTTTCTAATTTCACATGGTGCAAATATACACGAAAAAGATGAAGATGGAAATACATCTCTTCATAAGGCAGCAGAATATAATAGTAAAGAAACAACCGAAGCTCTTATTTCATTTGGTGCAAATATCGATGAAAAAAATATATTTGGAAATACTGCTCTTCATAATGCGGCATTGAAAAATTGTAAAGAAACAGCCGAAATTCTTATTTCGCATGGTGCAAATATAAATGAAAAAGATGAAGATGGAGAAACTGCTCTTCATTACACAGCACGTAGTAATAATGAAGAAACAGCTGAAATTCTTATTTCACATGGTGCAAATATCAATGAAAAAGATAAGTGTGGAAATACCGCCCTTCATATGGCAGTTTTGAAAAATAGTAAAGAAACAATCGAAGTTCTTATTTCACATGGTGCAAATATCAATGAAAAAAAATAATAATGGAGAAACAGCACTTCATTATGCAGCATTGAAAAATAATAAAGAAACAGTCGAATTTCTTATTTCATATGGTGCAAATGTCAGTAAAAATGTGGAAATACAGAACTTAATAGTAAAGAAATAGCTGAACTTCTTATTTCACAAGGTGACCACTGATACTACTTTCATTTTCTTCTTTCTACTATTATTAGCTAGAGCATCCAACTAATGCTGCTACAGTGTAACATAATGCTACATGACTAGATTGGAAGTCATTCTATAATTCAATGTACACCGTTACTATGCTTCATATGTCAAGCATAATAGGAACAATTTTGCTCGATATCTTTGTTGTCAATGAAGTTTTCTCCTTTAGTTATATGCATCTTTTTAGGGAGTTCGAGCAAGAATCAAAAAATATTTTTCTTATATTAACATGAATTTCCAATCAATATGGTATATAGTTAATATATTTACAGTAAATTCAAATCAAATATATGCTCATGAAAAAGGAGTATTCTATTTTTAAGAATATTACAGATGGAACATCAACTCTTAAAAATATGTCGATCATGTGCATAAAATTTACGGACTATAAAAATAAACAATGTTTTAGAGGACAAACGCAATAATAAATGAAGAAATGGTCGGGATAGCTCAAGTATGTCACTTTTAATTAAAAACGATTTCAGTTTTGAATAGATTGAGACGGTAGTGCTCAAATGTTCGGTTCACAAAATTTAACCACGTAACTACTCAATATGATTTATAGAAGGAGGATTAATGTAATGTAAAAAATTTTGTGAGCAACAAATTTTCATTGTTTTTTTATGACGTTGATAGTATTTTTGATATAGAATGACCGACACGATGAATGAAACAGATATGCCCAAAGAATCAAAATATGTAGCAGAATCAACATCCACTTCGGTACCTAGTTCAACAAGTGGCGCTTCTAGTGAAGTTTTAATTTGCCCTACCTATGATAGTTCTTGGATGTATTGTTCGCATGATACCCCAAGATGCGAAAAATCAACTCGTGCATTTGAACAAAAAGGAAGACTACCACCAATTTGCGAACGACCACAATTAGCTCAGCATTTTCAGAGACAAAAAATCTTAAGCATGCTAGCAAGTAATTACGACGAAGCTGATAAATACAATCAACTGAAAAAACAGTTTTCAGAAGCATGTGCTACCAAAGATCTCAAAAATAATCGCAACTACTATATTATTGATGTCGAAAGGAAAATTGACTCCACCAAAGACATATCATCAAAATGTAATAGCAAGTGGGACAAAAAAAATCAATGATTTTAAAGTTGATTGTTTATATAAACTTGATGATCTCAAGCTAAAGCATCTAGCTGAAATCCAAAAGTTCAATGACTATTGGGCAAGCGAAGAAATCCTTGTTCGCTACTCGAGTCCATCACCAGAGCTTCAAGATTTGTATCACCAAGAGGAAAAGCTCGTGGAGTTCAAGGAATATGCACAAGCAGCTAACATACGCCAATATCGAATTAGTCTTGAAGAAAAAGAAACAAAGGAATCACAAGAAAAGTTATTATCTGACGCAAAATCAAAGTTAAGAATACTTGAGAAAAAGCACCAATATGAGCTTGAGCGTCTCGAAGCTTATTTTCAAGAAGGAATAAGGAAATTACAATATAAAAAAGAAAATGATGCAATTATGTTCCAAAAAAGATTAATTAAGTTAAACAAAGACCACGAAAATCCAATAGATAGAGCTCCACTTCCTGCTTCATGGAGATTCAGCGAAATGGGAACCCAAACTCCTATGGCTGTAACAACTCCAAGGACAAGAGTGAAATTCGCCAACTTTAAGAAGACAAAACCAATTGTCAAGCTTGAATTGCACGGAATTACATCTCGACCATCGACTTGTATCCAACGTGTTCGAATTCAACTTTAATTTTTAACTAATTTGTTCTTATTTATATGTATTTTACCATGTAAATATATCTTGTTATATTAAAATCTTCATTATTGATATTGTCTTTCATTAAATATGACTTGAATTAACAGATCTCAATTCAAATTATAACAAATCAATACAAAACATGTTTTCTTGATACGAAGCATTATAATGTAATAATTGTTTGACTATTTGATGATTGCTCTTCAATGATAAACAATAATAAGAATGATCTTATATATATATTTCAAAGTATAGAAGCTTTTATTTATTAATTTACATATAAATTGATGAAAATCTATATGTCTTTAGGAAATCTTTCCATGTTAATATATTAATTAAACTTCATCACAGCTAATTTAAAATATAATGAAGCTTGTCTTTAGAATTTCTAAAATCTCTTCAATAGGAAACTCAATGAAAGAGTCTAATTTACTTTGATTACAAAATTTTAGAAAATCAAATTTTGAATTTAAAAAACCATAATAAATAAAGCTTTTATTTCTTAGCCTTAAGTCTGGCTTCACGCTGAGCATCGGCTTCTGGTCCAATTGCCTTTAGAGGATCGCGATTAGTTGGATTCCTTGTAACATCTGTTGAACTATGCTTATGATTAAAAATAGACTTAGAATAATATTCGTATGCATCCCAACCAATCTCCTGTGATGTAGTAATTGGGAATTTATATTTCTGGCGAGGATCTTGAATGGTTCTATCCATTCTTAGAGTAGAAAGCATAGCTGTATCTTCTGCTGTGAAGTCATCATCATGTTTAGATGAGCAAAATGAGTTAACTAATGGTTTATCTGGTGTTGGCTCTTGAAGTGAATTTAATGATGGTTGAAATGTAGTATATTCTTTAGCATTTCTTTCCTCCATTTTTACTGTCTCTTTAAGAATAGCATCAGCAACAAATGGATTGACTTCCCTTGGTGGACGCGCTTCTTTGGCTTCTTTCTTTGTCATTTGAATGAAAGTAAATACGTTAGTTATATAGCGTCACTTTTATTTCCATCTAAAAATTTCTAGAGATTTGATAATGAACTCTTTCCATGGATAAGTATTTAGCTTATGCAATTCCTACTCTATGCAATTGTAGTTATTTTGGTGAGTAAATTTTATAATGTTTAAACATTCATTTGTTGGAGTTGAAAATTGTCCTGAATACTCATTGAAGGTACATAATATCGCAGTGATGGCACGTTCGAAACTTAATTATTAGTTATCAGCGCTTTCAAACGTTTTCTCTGATTTCAAAAACTTGACACAACCTCTCAATTATCCGAAACGTGTCGAAGGAAATAATTAGTTATGGATGCTAATCCATCCAAATAAAATTTTTCTTTACTGCAGTTTGTAAATCTGACCAGTTTCAAACATTTGACTAACAAAAAAATATTGATTAACTAATGTCTGAAACACAAAGCGACGTCATTACCCAACTCAAAGAATTATATGATTTAGTCGATCTTGATCATTCAGGAGGAATTGATTATAATGAAATGGTCAACATGCTCAAAGAATGCAAAATTGATAGTGCCGTTGTCAGCACTTCACTCTTATGGTATGTAGCCGATAAAGACGAAAATGGTGTAATTACATTTGACGAATTTAAAGACCTCGTCCTTGACTTACCTTCAATTCTCGCTCTACCGGATTTCATTGCCGAATTAGTTTTCGACAAAATTGATGCCGATAGCTCAGGAAACATCGGAGTTTCCGAGATTAAGACAATGTTCAAATCCTTTGGCATCCCTATCACATGGGACCAAGCAGAAGTCATACTTAACCAGTTTGATGAGGACCAAAACGGAACTCTCGAACTTGACGAGTTTGTTAATTTCGTTAGAATGCTTTCATCAAAGCTGAAATAAAAAAAATCATATATGTCAATCTACATTTTTATTGTTATATATGCAATAACTTGAATTTTATAGTATTTTCTGTCTATATATATCTAATTCTATCATATATCTGGCTTTCGAAGTAATCTGGAATTATATCTTATCAATTGTATAAAGCAAGGATTAATATTGCAGATATACATAATTTGCATTTCTATATGATAGATCATCTCAAATGTAAGTTATTTGGAAACAAATAATTATGATTTTCCTCTACCTTTATTTGAAACTCTCAAAACGCATATCTAAAGCTATGGTGTTATTTAAAAATGTGCCATTGTTTCTTGATTCCAGAAATTTTTATTCTCATAATTTACCTGAAATAGAAAGGAGAAATTAAATGATAACGAACAAATTGTATTGATAAGACCATAAGCTGAATTGAGGAATAGTATTTCACACATCTTATTTTCATTGGCATACCATTATCACACTAGCCATTTTCATGTGGCTTGTAATATTGTCCAAATATCGGCAGCTTGGCATTCTGTCTTTAGAGACTCAAATCCTCATATAAGCTAGTATATCAACTAATCGAGTGTATGTCAAGTTAGTGTTTATCATTAAAAACTAATATGATATTAAAAAAAATACATTTTATAAAACAACAAAATAATTTTAAGAACTTATATCTTCGACATGTTCAGGAGAACCAAGAGCAGCCATTAGTTCTCTGTGTTGTTCTTCCAATGAGTTCATTATGTTGTAAATTGCTTGGACGGCAGTTGAAGCGAACTGTGCAGTTGACTGATTCACTCCCATTCTCTTCTTTAATTCCTCATTTTCTTTCTTTTGTCTCTCCAATTCCTGAGAAATTATTTCATTCACAGAATTCTTAGACACAGTTTCTTTCAGAGCTTTGAATTCTTCAACAACTTCAGCCAAAGCTTCAGAACATCTGCAGTTGCAAACAGAACCAGAATTCTTTAGTTCTTCCTGAACGAAATTCAATTTCTTCTGAAGAACTTTTATTGTAGAACGAGCTTTTTCTAGCTCAATCAATTCAGATTTCATTACAATTGTTTCTTTCTGCATAGAAAGAACTTTCTCTTGCAAAACATTGATATCTCCTGTTTCATTTGATTTGGAGAGTTTCTCTTCCTCCAAATCTTTAATTTCATCATTCATTCTCTCTATTTTTTCTTGGTTTTCTTTGTTGATTTGTTCCAATTCAGAAATTCTTTTTTCGAATTTCGTTTTTTCTTTCAAAGAAAATTCGAGTTTGTTCTGCAAATCTTCAATGATTTGCTCGTTCTCGTTCATATTGATGAAAGAACTCTCGTTATTCTGTTGCTCGAGCTCTCTCTTCTCTTGCAAAACCTTCGACAACTTCGTGTTCGCTTCGATTAATTCGGATTGAACTGTTGTCAGTTTTCTTCTTAATTCGGAAGAAGAAGAAATTTCTTTCGTGATTGTTTCAATCTTTATTCTGAGTTCGTTGTTCTCTTCAATGAGTTTTCGCTCAGAATCAGTTGCAACTAACAAAGAACTCTCGTTTCGCAATGTTTCGTTTTCTCGCTGCAAATTCGCGATTTTTTCGGTCAATTCGACAATTGTTAAGCGCTGTGATTCAACGCTTTGCTGCAATTTCTCAATTGTCTTAGCCATCTTTCGCAATTCGCGTGGTGTTGACATCGGAGTCAAAATTTGTGAAATACTCGTGTCAACAGGGGATGTTGAGGAGTTAGAACTCATCTGCTTGCTGAGTTTGTTGTTGACAGACCTGAGTTTCTTGTTTTCTTCACTCAATTCTGTTAATTTCTGTTGGAGAAGCTGAATTTGCTCATTTTCATCGGACCAAATCTTCTTTTCCATGAGTTTGTTGAGCTTGTCCTTGAGTTCAGCCTTTTCAACATCACTTCTGGCCTTTTCTGACCTTGAATTTTCGATTTGAGATTTAAGATTTTTAATTTCTTTCTGGAGATCATTTATATCAGAAGAAATCTTTGAGTTTTCGATCAAATACTTTCTATTTTCTTCTTCAAGTTCTTTAATTCTCTTATTTTCATCAGATTCCAAAATACTTTCTTCGTAATCGGAATAATCCTGTTTAAACCTCTCCAACTGAGACATTAGATCTTTGTTTTCAACTTCTAAGTTGATTTTTTCTGATTTCAAAGAATTAATCAAATTTTCAAGATTTGAAAGTTCATTTTGATAATCAGAGACTTTAGATCTCAGATCAATGTTCTCTATTTCATAATCATGCATTTGGTTCCTGTCTTCTTCATCTTCTTGTTTAATTTCTTCGATTTCTTGCAAAAGTTCTTCATTTTGCTTCTTTAACTCATTTATTTGTGTCTCTAGTTGTTGGACCTTCTTTGGAGAGTTGTTTCTCATGTTTTCGATTGTTTTGGCCAAATCATTGTTGTCATTCAACAAATTTTCATTTTCTTTCTGAAGAAGACTCTTATTTCTTTGGTTTTCATTGATTTTCTGCTTCAAATCTTCATTTTCTTTGGAAATTTTCGTGATATCTTCTTGCAAAGATTTAATTAACTTTGCCTGGCGTGGAGAAGCATTAGATTTATCTTGTAGCTTCTTTAATGCTTCAATTTCTTCTTTAAGTCTCTCATTTTCATTTTGAAGTTGTAATATTTCGTTATTTTGTGGAGAACTTAAACTGTGACTTCTTCTCGATGTTGTAGAGCGTGGCGTCTCCAATATTGATGAACCAGAGCTATACCTGTTCGATCTATTTTGTAAAACTTTTAATAATTCTTCAGCTTTTTGTAATTTGTCACTTTTTTCATTAATTAATTTTTGATTTTCAATTTCATTTGATTTCAACTGATTAATTAATGACTTTAATTGTTCATTTTCACTTTGTAGACTCTGTAACTTCCTTGGAGATATGAATGATTTAGTTTCTTCTTGTTGTATCTTTTGAGATTGTAATTCTTTGAGTTTTTCATTTTCTTGTTTCACAGAGTTTGATTCTTCTTTAAGTTTCTGAATTTCTGATTGGAGTTTTCTTGGAGAAGGAGATTTAGTTTGTTGCAATTTTTCTATTGTTGATTGTAGTTCATCTATTTCTTCTTGTAATTTCTCATTTTCTTCTTGAAGAGATTGGAAATCTTGTTGTAATTTGTTTGGAGTATTTAACAATGATTTTGATTGTAGTTTCTCTATTTCTTCTTGTAACTTTTCATTCTTTTGTTTCAATGAATTATTCTCTTGTTGTAACTTCTTTGGAGAAGGAGAAACTGATTTATTATTTTTAAGTAAATCATTCTCTTGTTGTAATTTCTCAACTGTATTTTGTAATTCTTCGATTTCTTCTTGTAACTTTTCATTTTCTTGTTTCAAAGAATTGTTTTCATTTTGAAGTTTGTTTGGAGAATATGATTTAGATTTGTTATTTTGTTCAATTTCTTCTTTAAGATTTTCAATTTCTTGTTTCAAAGAATTGTTTTCTTGTTGTAATTTATTTGGAGATTTATTTTCAATTTGGAGTTTATCAATTGTATTTTGTAATTCTTCGATTTCTTCTTGTAACTTTTCATTCTCTTGTTTCAATGAATTATTTTCATTTTGAAGTTTCTTTGGAGATGGAGAATAAATTGGTTTGTTGTTTTTGAGTTCTTCATTTTCTTGTTGTAATTTCTCAACAGTTGATTGTAATTCTTCAATTTCATCTTGTAATTTATCATTTTCTTCTTGAAGAGATTGTAAATTATTTTCATTTTGTAGTTTATCAACTGTATTTTGTAATTCATCAATTTCTTCTTGTAACTTTTCATTTTCTTGTTTCAAAGAATTGTTTTCTTGTTGTAGTTTCTTTGGAGAATATGATTTAGATTTGTTATTTTGTTCAATTTCTTCTTTAAGATTTTCAATTTCTTGTTTCAAAGAATTGTTTTCTTGTTGTAATTTATTTGGAGATTTATTTTCAATTTGGAGTTTATCAATTGTATTTTGTAATTCTTCGATTTCTTCTTGTAACTTTTCATTCTCTTGTTTCAATGAATTATTTTCATTTTGAAGTTTCTTTGGAGATGGAGAATAAATTGGTTTGTTGTTTTTGAGTTCTTCATTTTCTTGTTGTAATTTCTCAACAGTTGATTGTAATTCTTCAATTTCATCTTGTAATTTATCATTTTCTTCTTGAAGAGATTGTAAATTATTTTCATTTTGTAGTTTATCAACTGTATTTTGTAATTCATCAATTTCTTCTTGTAACTTTTCATTTTCTTGTTTCAAAGAATTGTTTTCTTGTTGTAGTTTCTTTGGAGAATATGATTTAGATTTGTTATTTTGTTCAATTTCTTCTTTAAGATTTTCAATTTCTTGTTTCAAAGAATTGTTTTCTTGTTGTAATTTATTTGGAGATTTATTTTCAATTTGGAGTTTATCAATTGTATTTTGTAATTCTTCGATTTCTTCTTGTAACTTTTCATTCTCTTGTTTCAATGAATTATTTTCATTTTGAAGTTTCTTTGGAGATGGAGAATAAATTGGTTTGTTGTTTTGAGTTCTTCATTTTCTTGTTGTAATTTCTCAACAGTTGATTGTAATTCTTCAATTTCATCTTGTAATTTATCATTTTCTTCTTGAAGAGATTGTAAATTATTTTCATTTTGTAGTTTATCAACTGTATTTTGTAATTCATCAATTTCTTCTTGTAACTTTTCATTTTCTTGTTTCAAAGAATTGTTTTCTTGTTGTAGTTTCTTTGGAGAATATGATTTAGATTTGTTATTTTGTTCAATTTCTTCTTTAAGATTTTCAATTTCTTGTTTCAAAGAATTGTTTTCTTGTTGTAATTTATTTGGAGATTTATTTTCAATTTGGAGTTTATCAATTGTATTTTGTAATTCTTCGATTTCTTCTTGTAACTTTTCATTCTCTTGTTTCAATGAATTATTTTCATTTTGAAGTTTCTTTGGAGATGGAGAATAAATTGGTTTGTTGTTTTTGAGTTCTTCATTTTCTTGTTGTAACTTTTCTATTGTTGACTGTAATTCTTCAATTTTATCTTGTAATTTATCATTTTCTTCTTGCAATGTTTCATATTCATTTTGTAATTTGTTTGGAGTATTTAATAGTGATTTGGATTTGTTGTTTTCTTGCTGGAGTTTCTCTATAGTATTTTGTAATTGATCAATTTCTTCTTGGAGTTTTTCATTCTCTTGTTTCAAAGAATTATTTTCTTGTTGCAATTTCCTTGGAGATGGAGAATACTTTGGTTTACTATCATTTTCTTGTTGTAATTTTTCAATTTGTTCCTGTAGTTTTTCATTCTCTTGTTTAAGAGATTCATTTTCATTTTGGAGTTTCTTTGGAGATGGAGAATATAATTTAGATTTGTTATTTTGTAGTTTCTCAATTGTATTTTGTAATTGATTAATTTCTTCCTGGAGTTTTCGTTTTCTTGTTTAAGAAATCATTTTCTTGTTGTAACCTCTTTGGAGATGGAGAGACTGATTTAGATTTACTATTTTTAAGTAAATCATTTTCTTGTTGTAATTTCTCAACAGTTGATTGTAATTCTTCAATTTCATCTTGTAACTTTTCATTCTCTTCTTGCAATGTTTCATATTCATTCTGTAATTTATTTGGAGAATTCAACATTGATTTGTTTTCTTGTTGTAATTTCTTTGGAGATTTATTACTATTTTGGAGTTTATCAATTGTATTTTGTAATTCTTCGATTTCTTCTTGTAACTTTTCATTCTCTTGTTTCAATGAATTATTTTCATTTTGAAGTTTCTTTGGAGAAGGAGAAACTGATTTATTATTTTTAAGTAAATCATTCTCTTGTTGTAATTTCTCAACTGTATTTTGTAATTCTTCGATTTCTTCTTGTAACTTTTCATTCTCTTGTTTAAGAGATTCATTTTCATTTTGGAGTTTGTTTGGAGAATATGATTTAGATTTGTTATTTTGTTCAATTTCTTCTTTAAGATTTTCAATTTCTTGTTTCAAAGAATTGTTTTCTTGTTGTAATTTATTTGGAGATTTATTACTATTTTGGAGTTTATCAATTGTATTTTGTAATTCTTCGATTTCTTCTTGTAACTTTTCATTCTCTTGTTTCAATGAATTATTTTCATTTTGAAGTTTCTTTGGAGATGGAGAATAAATTGGTTTGTTGTTTTTGAGTTCTTCATTTTCTTGTTGTAATTTCTCAACAGTTGATTGTAATTCTTCAATTTCATCTTGTAATTTATCATTTTCTTCTTGCAATGTTTCATATTCATTTTGTAATTTGTTTGGAGTATTTAATAGTGATTTGGATTTGTTGTTTTCTTGCTGGAGTTTCTCTATAGTATTTTGTAATTGATCAATTTCTTCTTGGAGTTTTTCATTCTCTTGTTTCAAAGAATTATTTTCTTGTTGCAATTTCCTTGGAGATGGAGAATACTTTGGTTTACTATCATTTTCTTGTTGTAATTTTTCAATTTGTTCCTGTAGTTTTTCATTCTCTTGTTTAAGAGATTCATTTTCATTTTGGAGTTTCTTTGGAGATGGAGAATATAATTTAGATTTGTTATTTTGTAGTTTCTCAATTGTATTTTGTAATTGATTAATTTCTTCCTGGAGTTTTTCGTTTTCTTGTTTAAGAGAATTATTTTCTTGTTGTAACCTCTTTGGAGATGGAGAGACTGATTTAGATTTACTATTTTTAAGTAAATCATTTTCTTGTTGTAATTTCTCAACAGTTGATTGTAATTCTTCAATTTCATCTTGTAACTTTTCATTCTCTTCTTGCAATGTTTCATATTCATTCTGTAATTTATTTGGAGAATTCAACATTGATTTGTTTTCTTGTTGTAATTTCTTTGGAGATTTATTACTATTTTGGAGTTTATCAATTGTATTTTGTAATTCTTCGATTTCTTCTTGTAACTTTTCATTCTCTTGTTTCAATGAATTATTTTCATTTTGAAGTTTCTTTGGAGAAGGAGAAACTGATTTATTATTTTTAAGTAAATCATTCTCTTGTTGTAACTTCTTTGGAGAAGGAGAAACTGATTTATTATTTTTAAGTAAATCATTCTCTTGTTGTAATTTCTCAACTGTATTTTGTAATTCTTCAATTTTTTTGTAACTTTTCATTCTCTTGTTTAAGAGATTCATTTTCATTTTGGAGTTTGTTTGGAGAATATGATTTAGATTTGTTATTTTGTTCAATTTCTTCTTTAAGATTTTCAATTTCTTGTTTCAAAGAATTGTTTTCTTGTTGTAATTTATTTGGAGATTTATTACTATTTTGGAGTTTATCAATTGTATTTTGTAATTCTTCGATTTGTTCTTGTAACTTTTCATTCTCTTGTTTCAATGAATTATTTTCATTTTGAAGTTTCTTTGGAGATGGAGAATAAATTGGTTTGTTGTTTTTGAGTTCTTCATTTTCTTGTTGTAATTTCTCAACAGTTGATTGTAATTCTTCAATTTCATCTTGTAATTTATCATTTTCTTCTTGAAGAGATTGTAAATTATTTTCATTTTGTAGTTTATCAACTGTATTTTGTAATTCTTCGATTTCTTCTTGTAACTTTTCATTCTCTTGTTTCAATGAATTGTTTTCTTGTTGTAGTTTCTTTGGAGATGGAGAATGCTTTTGTAATTCTTCAATTTGTTCTTGTAACTTCTCATTCTCTTGTTTCAAAGAATTAGATTTATTTTCATCAATTTCTTGTTGCAACATAATTATTTGCATTGATGAATCATCTAGCATTGCATTTAATCTCTCATTCTCTTTCTTCAACAAGTCTATTTCATTGTCAACTGTCTTTGAATCATTATCTTTAATCCGTGCAGAAGTTAGTTTATCAATTGTTTGATGCAAAATTTCAATTTCTGTCTTTAATTCGTCATTTCTCATTTGTAACTGTTGTATTTTGTTTTGTTGTGTTCTTGGAGTGGCAGAAACAGGTGATGCTGATTTGTTCTTAAGCAAATCATTCTCCTCTTTGATGTCTTCATACTTCATTTGATTAATTGTTAATTCATTATTTAGATTTGTCAAATTATCAACTTTTTGCTCTAAATTATGGATTTTAACATGTAGATCATCATTGTTCTTCTTTAAATCATCATTTTGTTTCTCAATTTCTTCATTTCTTTCCGTAATTTTTTGAATATTATTTTGTAAAGTTGAAATTTCGTCTTTAAGTTCATCATTTTCGTTTTCTATGTCAATGTATTCGTTGATTTGCTTCTTGAGGTCTTCGTTTTCCTTAGAAATTTGCTCAGAATCCGAAATTTTCTTCTTTAATATCTGATTTTCAACTTTCAAATCGGATATAACTTTGGAGAACGTAGGAACATCTTCTTCCTCATCATCTTTACATAGATTGTCTATTTGTTTTCTCAGAATTTCCTTCTCATTTTCAGAATCATTTAATTTCTTCTTTAATTCCAAAATTTGGTCGGACAAATTGCTCATGTCACCTATTCTTTCCTTCAAATCGTCGTTTTCTTCTTGAATCAGTTTCATATTCTCTAATTGTGACTGGTAATCCTTGTTTTCTTTGAGTTGTGACCTTAAATCATCCATTTGCTTCTTCATTTCTTCATTTTGTTTCTCCATTGTGTCATAATTTTCAATATCCTTCTTAATTTCTTGGTTTTCTAGCTTCAACATGTTGATTTGTGTCCTGAGATTAGTAATTGTCGATTCGTATGATTCTTTTCCTGGAGTTGACTTGGAATTTTCGACAATTTTAGAATATTCTGACAATTTCTGACGAAGAGCATTGATTTCTTCCTGGAGATGTTGTATTAAGTTGTCTTTTTCTGTATTATTGGATAACTGGACGAATTTTATCCTCAAATTCTCTAATTCTTGTTGGAATTCTTTTCTTTCCTTCTGGAACTTGATTTCGTCGTTCTGAATTTGTTCTTTAAGGTCATTATTGTTCTCTATGTATATTTGCTTCTCTGCCCTTTCAATGTCAATCTTATTTGAAAAATTATTTATCTGTTTCTGGAGATCTTCCTTGGAATTGTTCAATTGTTTGATCGTTTTCTCATATTCAGAGATTTTGGCCTCAAGATTTGATACTTTTTCTTCAAATCTGCCAACTTTTGTTGACAAACTCTGAATTACGACATCTTTCTCAGCATTTGAACGTTCCAAGTCAGCAATATTCTTCTTTACTGCAACATCATCAGCTTGCTTACCTGAATAAGCCTTTTCAAGCTGGTTTTGGAGTTGATTTATTTGGATATTGAGTAAAGATATGGTTTTCGTGTTTTCTTCTTGTGCCTTTCTCTGTAATTCTTCTAATTGCTTGTATTCTTTACGTGACTTGTCAAGATCTTCCTTTGTCTTTGTAAATTCTTGTTGAATTTGGTTTGTAAGGCCATCCTTATTGGTTTGTATTTGTTGAATGTTCGATTTATGGGATTCTTCAATCTCTTTTAGCCTTTCATTTTGTCTATCAATGAGTTTTGCGATCTCTATTTCGTGATCTTCATTTTGCTTGTCAAATTTAGCAGACAAATCAGTGTATGATGTACTAAGAAGTTTAATCTTCTCTTGTAGTTGTACATTTAGACGAGATAAGTCATCTTTCTCTCTCTGAAGCTTTTCAATTTGAAATTCGAAGTTGCTAACTTGAGTATCGAGCTGGTTTTGTAATGTGACTGCTAGTTCTTGATAAGTCTCTTTTTCTCTCTTCAAATCATCATTTTCTTTTGTAGCTCTTTCTAATTTTTCCATCCATTCAGCCACACTGCCAAAATCACTGCTTGAACCGCCTTTTGTCTTCGGATCAGTACTATTTTGATCTTGGCTCGAATCATTAGATTGATATTGGTAAGTTGTCTCTTCAATTCGTGTGGTAACCGTCCTATATTGTTCTTGTACAGTTGCTAGTTGTTGTTGAAGCGCATTAATCTTCATTTTTAAGGAAAAATTTTCTTCTTGCAAATCTTGAACATTTTGGTTGTATTCACCAACTTCCACAAAAGGTGAGATATTTCCACCCGGAGAAGGTGTTACGGGTGTTCCCTCCGGGCTAATTTCCCACCTCTTCGGTGTTCGATGAGGTGTAGTCATAATTTTTAAACGTGATCTCTCTCAATTTTAAGTCTCAAAATTTTATGTGCGAAAAGGTGATAAAATAACTAGCTAAAACGAATCATTTGATTTTATTTAATTATCTTTATAAACTTTAGATTATTTCGTTTTGAATTTGGGGAAAGGCAGTTTAATAATATGTTTTAGGTACTAAAAGAGTTAATAGGATTATAAGATAATGAAATTGTTCACTTTCATTCATAGAAATCTGATTTTATTTTAAGTAAATTACATATAAAAATAATACTGTTGACTATTCTAATGATGGAATACGTTGGGTAGGATCTCATAAGACTAAGTCAGCGTACGGATCAAACTGGATCTTATTGATGCATCATTATTCAGCAAATAATAACTTCTTTGCCGATGCGAACCGATGTAATTGCATAGAATCTGATACAAAGTATAGTATCGTTTCTATATTTAACTATGAATCTATACTACAGTCGTATAATCATATCACCTTATTGCTAGAATATAGGCAAATAAATTCATATCAAATATGGAAGCAAAACTCATCGCTTCTGTCTAACTATCCAAATGGCTATCAAAAAGTTAGAGGTGATAATTGGGATGAATTTCAAGGTTTAGCAAGATCTGATGTAAAGAACTGCCTAGATTATACAGGTACTGAATATGGATGGTGGTATAGCATAGGTGCATCAGATCGCGGATATGGAACTCACGTTCCTGGGCCAATTATTGATGGTGTCCAGTATTTAGTATATTATGTTGATTTATGGATCAAAGTGCATAATCCGGCTTTATCTTGTCCTCAGTTATGTTCCTATATTATGAACTTGAATATCTACCTAACACAATTATTATCATAAACTGATTCTTTTTATAATCCTAAATATTATCTTAATTCTATTTATTTCGCAGCTTTGTATATATTCACATGCTTTAGAGGTACATAATTTTAAATGATTTGAGCATAACATTATGTACCCAAAATGGGCAAGTGGCAATGTCTGCCAGAATGATACATGCCGACTAACAAGAGTACATATAACACTCTTTTCGGTCAAAGTTCGGCAATCGTATTCTGAATACGAATGATTGAAAGTTTTGAAAAAAAAGTAATTAATTAAGCATTGCTTAGTTTACTAATTTATAACTCTATTCTTTATTCCTCTTCATCATCACATGCAATACAATTATCGATCATGGTTCTGATATTTCGGCGTTCTAAAGCAGCAAGGCAGCGTTCCTTGTCACGTAATTGCCTGTTTATCGAGTCTTCTTGTATGTGCTTGCCTCTCGCAACTGTAATGAAAATTTTTGAATGAAATCTCTGTGGTAATACCTGTAAAAGCCTCTCTCGTATGCACAATCCGAGTACTGCTGGAAGTGAACAATTAGGAACTGTTGGTGTAAATACTAAATTTACTCTTCCTTCTTTGTCATCGACTTTAATATCATCAGGAGAAACTATATGCAGCTGTTCAAGTGAAAATGGATGTTCTGGATCTTTAATTAGGCGAATATAATTATATAATTCTAAGGAATCAATTGCCTCTCTTTCTGGAGAATCTAGGTCGTCTTCTGTCGAGCGTACGTATTTTGCACTACCATATACAACTGGATTTGGATTTGCTGCCATTGATTTTTTGTTATCGTTCTAATTTAGGTCAGTGAGAAATTTGACACAAAAACACTTTACAATCCGACAATTTGTAAAGTACGAATTTTGACACTTTCAAAATCTTCTGGACCATTACTGGGGTTCACCGCCGATGATCTACTTGCTGGGATGCTATGCGGCCTTTGATCTGTGCAATCATAGTGCTGCTCCATCCATATCAGAAAGTGACTTCAGATGATAAAAGTGAACTTCCCTTTGTCACTTTTTAATAAATTTTTTAAAAAAATGAGAAGATCCCCACGAAGAACACGTCAGGATGATCCTGAGGTAAAGAAAAAGCAGATAACCGAACTCCTTCGCGGTGGAGATCTTAGTGATACATCTTCTTCATCAGATGACGACACAACGTCTGAAAATTTATCGAATTCTGAAGAGGAAGAGAAAAAAATGTTCAAAATTGTTACATCATCTGACTTAGGACGCAGAAATAAACCATTTACAACCCCTCAACAAAAGAAAGAAATCATTATGGTATCAGATTCTTCAGATGTCGAAGAAATCCAACCAAAGAAACCGAAAGAAACAAAGAAGCAAAAACCGAAAAAGAAAGAAGGCCCTAAATTACAGATTGTCGAATCAACTCAAATCCCAGAAAGGTTCGAAATCACTCATGATTCTTCTAGCACACAAAAGAAGACACAAGTCAAGCAACCACCACGTTCCGAGTTAACACTAATCATGAATGAACACAATGTCAAAGAAAATTCTCTCAAACCTCACAAAGAAACTTTCGGATCAGATATTTTCCTTCAAACTCAAGCAATATCGCCATCTCCAAAGAAAGTTACTAAAAACGTTGAAAGGCCACCAGATTCTCAATACTACGGACAGAAATTAAGTTCCGTATTTGATATCCCTTCATCAGAATCATCTGAACCATTTACAAAAGAGACACAACCTATGGAATTCTCGCGCGCAGACTCTCTTCCAATTTATTTCATGAATTTGTACGAAGAAGGAAACAGATTGTTCATTTTCGGAAAATACAGGGCCGACCAAATCCAATATGGAACAATTTGTGTACTTGTAAACCATCCTGTCAGATCTTTGTACTTTTTGCCAACTGATCCTGACAAAATGCCATATTTAGAGGCAACAGTTAAAGAAATGTTCAAAGACGATTTCGTCAAGATGGAGAGAATCAAGAGAATGACAATAGAAGATTCAACACAAAAGGAATGGTTGGAAGTGACAATTTCTGCCAATTACAAACTGTCAGAAATTAAATCATCTGGCAAATTTTATTCTGATGTTTATGGGGTTTCTGCCACTTTGTCAGAAAATTTCTTTTTGAAGAAGAAGATAAAAGGACAGAGATGGCTGAATATTCGATGTTCCCAATCATATACAAATCACACAACAACTCCTTTGTTCGTTTGTGATTCTTATGATGATATTTCGTTGAATGATGAATTATCGTACAAACCGTCAATGAATATTTGTGTTTTTTCTTTGTATTCGACATCAAATGTTTCTGAAAGTATATATATGATAAGCGCAAGAATTTTCTATCAATGGAATATAGAAAAATTTGAACAATACAGAGGTTTAAACGGTGGTCATAATGTACAAACATTTTGTTTGAATACAATTAAGAATGCAAAAAATAATTCAAACCTGAAAACTTCTATCATTTATTGCGATACGGAAGAAGATTTGTTAAATCACTTTTTTGAACGGTTAGAACGATATGACATTGATTTTTTGGTCAGTTACGATTTGATTGAAAAAGATTTGTCACTTTTGATGTCAAGAGGCCAAAATTTGCCTTCTTTGTATTCTCTTGGAAGAATAAGAAGAGTTGAAAGTATAAAAACGGTTGTTGGCATAACCGCTGGCAGAATTTTATTGGATCTCAAGTCATTTTACAAAAATGTTTTACAAGTGAAGTCATCCACTTTTTCAGAGCTTGTCAGAAGTGAACTGAGAGTAAATTTACCATTACTTGATTTGAATTCACTTTATCAACAATTAAACAAGCAGCATCCATTGAATAACATCATTGGTTTGTCAAGAAAAGAAACACAATTGATACAGAACTTGATTATGTCAAGAAACTTAATTGTTTTGTGTATTTCTATTTCCAGAATAAGTGGTTGCAGTCTACAGAATGTTTGTATTGGAGATTTCGTTGAAATAATTGAACAACAGTTGAATTTGACATTTGACAGAACTTACTACATGATTCCTGACAGAAGATTGTCAATGTCAATTTCTCATTTGAATTCTGGCGATTTTTTGTCAGATTGTGTCAAATTTAGTAATGGAATATTTGACTGTTATTTGGCACTTTTTGAATTTAATGATTTCTTTTTGAATGTCATAAGAGAAAACAATTTGTGTCTTACGAATATTTCAGGGAATAGACAAGGAAAAGGATATTTACCAAAAGTTTTCTCTGAATACGAAAACTCCATTCAAAAACTTATTGAAAAACCAACGAAATCGAGTTCTGATGAAGAACTGATACAAAACAAATGTTTCATTGAAGCTTTAAAGAGTTTAGGATCGATGTTTGAACTTTTCTTCATCAAAGGATCGAGGAGATATGATATAAATAAACTCAGAGACGCTGTAAGAGAAAAAAGCCTCAAAACAATTAATAATCTTATAAATGTTTTGGGAGAAGGACAAATTGTTTGGTGCGATAAAAATAGATTGTTAATTCAAAGTGATAAAAGTGACAGAGAAGAAGCATTATCGTTTTTCTCTCAATTTTGTAAACGGTTTAATGACAGTCACAGGAGAGTTAAGATTGAATTAGACAGTTTATTGAAGAAAGCGATTGTTGTTAACAGGAATTTTATTTCAATTGATGGTGATGAAAAATTGAGAACAAATAGATTTGACAACCAAATAAGATATCGAATGGATTGGTGTCGTTTTCAATGCCAATTATATGATAAAATAATTCAAACAATTTTGTCATCAGAAAATGCAAAAAGTGCTGGTGAAAAAGTGACAATTGACATCACATCATTTCTTGATAAATTAAGGAAAGACACAATCAAACATTTAAACATCCAAGACTTGTCAATCAATATTGATTTGAATGAAACAAACGATGATCAAATTTCTTCGTTTGTAAATGATTTACGAAACAAAAACCGTTTGCCAATTTTGGAATCAGTTATTTCTGGCACTTTTTGTCGATCAGGAACGAATGATGGCAAATCATTCCTCAAGTTAACAAGCGAAGTTGCTGATTCTAGTTTCGTTGACATTCCTTTTTATAGATCTAAGATTTTAGAAACGGCTTCTATCGTTTTGTCACCTTTTGATGATATAAAAAGTGTCGTTGCACAGAAATATTATCAAATTTTAGAAAACGATCACGAAATTTCCTGTCAATGTCACTTTTGTACAAAACGGTTTATTTTCAAAGATTTTGATGAGAATGGAAATATTTTGTGTCCTCTTTGTTCGACGAAACAGAATGAGAAGTGGGCTGTAAATCAGTTGATTCAGTCTACAAGAAATTACATTCATTCAAAGATGAGTTGTCATTTAGTTTGTAATGAATATCTTTGTAAAGCAAATTCTTTCCAAGTTTTGTTGCAAGGTTCTCAAGAACATACTGATCCTTGTAACGAAAGCGGTGTTTGTAAAGGAGCAATGACTTTGAGATCAAGTGAAAATTCTTCTGTTTCTATGTTCATGGATTTGATTCGATTGTTTTCGAGCGAAAAAGAAAGTTTCATCTCCGAAGCAATGACAAAACATATAAGGAAACTCGCTTCTTTCCACAATATTGATCTTGAAAAGAGATCGAGATCAATAATAAGCGACACTGGAGCTTATCCAATCTACTCCAGCTCGCAATCGGATGTTTGTTCGTTTTTATCTCAGTAAAAATTAATTTTTTGTTGATTGTTTTTTTAAAATATTTATCAATTTTTTTTAGTATGATGAATTAGTTGCAATAGCTTGGTCAAGAAATCTTTTGCCACTTGGTATCTGCTTGAAACAACTAATAGCTGATGAAGTGGACAGCTTTATGAGAAGAGTTATGGTTATCCCTTGGATATGTAACGGCCTTGTAGTTAGTCACTGTAATGGTATGAACATTCTGAGATTGGATCATCATAAGGACTATATCAATGGATAAGTACGTAAATTCTATGTCTGTGGAATCAGCTTAGGTTTGATAATGGCATTTGCTTATGAGCGGTAATATACCAGAGGCTATTTGCTTGATAAATATGTTTTTTCAAGAAGTTTTAGTTGCTGTTCTTAATATAAGACAATAAAATCTAAGGCATTGCAAATAGGCAAAATTAATGTAAAAAAAATTCAAGCCACTGACTATATCACTAGTCTCAGCTCACATGTGTCTATCGTAAATGATTGACAGTACAATGCTATTTAAGCTCGATGTGAAATAAACTAAATATTATTTCAAAGGAGTGCTTGAAACATCTCCACAAGGATGGGTATTGTTGGTTTTATCAAAGAAACTGCATATTCTCTCAATATCAAGTATATTGTTGCAGAATGTCATGAAAATGTTCCTTGTTTCCAAAATTAAACCTTTTCCTGGTATTCTAATGCCAGAATGAGTAAAAATATTGATGATGTAATGAGTTGTAAAATATGTTTTGAAGAGTGAAATTCAAAAATTGAATATGCCAGACGATAACTTTCAATTTAAAATTCTTGATCACTAAATTTTAAAAATTATTCCATAGGTCATACATGACAATATTTTCCAAGAGGATTTCTTTTTTCATTTTGAGAAATCTAAGCGAGAAAGTCTAGAAATATATTTCCAAAACTCGATCAATAATAACATTAGCATGCCAGACAAAACACAGTCCTTTATCACGCAAGAAAATAAATACATTGATGAAGAAGACGTGGCATTTGTTCCACATCAATACAAAGATAGTAAATCAAGTAAGTTCTGGCGTTTAAGACATCAAGTTGACGAAAATTGTCGCGTTTTCTTCTCCTTTGTTAAGCCTAGAGGTTCACCTGATGGCACTCGATTGGTTTTTATCTATTCTCCACCATTTATCGCATTATTTGATCATATACATGAAGAATTAGAGATAATTCCATCATCAACAGAGTTCTATTTCGAAGGTAGATTTTTAATTCTCGTTAATAATGGTGAAGAGCGGGTTTTTTCAATCAAATGCGAAGAAAAACGATTAATAGAACTAACAAAGAAAAATTCATCTGATGAAATACTTCAATACTTTAAAATGTGTCAATTGAACAAATATCTCATTCCTCCAATCTTCCTTACATATCCATTGTATAACAAAATACTTTTCAATGTCAGATTCTTCGAATTAGTTTCTAAATTCCCGAAAAATATTTGGAATCAAGATTTACTCGAAAACTACGTAAGAGCAGCTGATCCATTACTTGATAAACTATTTGATAAGTTATTCGACAATTACTTTGCTCCATTTGATGTAGAACCCCAAGAATTTGAAGAAAACGAATTTTGTTTCATGATTACAAGGCAATTCCTTCTAGTAGATGAAGTATACAATGCTTTCAAAGTTTCCCTCGCAAAAGCAGAAAAAATTCAAGATCAATTTGTTCTTGGTTATGAAACGAATCCTTTTACAGAAAGATCGGCCATGATATTACACTTACTATATATGTCAGCTACTAAGCATTTTCCGAATAGCCAATACCCTTCAAAAGTTGTGAATTCGCTAATAATTTCCGATTTATGTTCATATCTGTTTGAAAAGAGAGAAGACACTAAACTGAAGCAACTCAAGGAGTTAATGAATTCGAAACAAGGTAATCTTCAGCCACAACTATATAAAAGATATCTTCAGGTTTCTGAATCGTTTAAGAAGCAGCCTCCTGAGTTTATACCTTCTAAGAAGGGTACTTATACCTATGATAGTTTTATTATCATATTAGGCGTTGTTTGGAGTCATTTAAATGACTTTTTCCAGATTCTTGAACCACCTCCAGCAAATAATTAATATCTCATTGTATTTTTGTATGATATAAAGTATATGTTTTTAGTCTATCAAGTTCACAAACATTTTTTAGAGCTAAATGTGTTTCATTTCAAATATTGATTTAATTAGATATGGAATGAGCGCATTTTCAAGATAGATTTTTACAATTTGGTTAGAACTGATAAGGTTGTTACGAAATAAACAATACAAATTCGAAGATATCAAATTGTCAATTTTGAAAAAAGCTAAAAATGGAACAATATGCTTATAAAAATAAATTATATTTAAATTGTGATCTAGTTGTGGTGGAATTGGAGATGGATTTAGCATGGCTCCTGATAACCGTTTTAATCGTAATGGCCTTTTAGCGAATGGGTAAATCCAAGGCATGCGGCCGTCTTGCTGCTCGCAAGCTTCGTCTTGCACACAAGTCCAACCTTTGGGCTTCTAACGCTTATCGTCGTTCTCTCGGCACATCAATCTACAAGACACCACTCGAAGGTACATCAATGGCATCTGGCATTGTCGTCGGCAAGGTCGCCGTCGAAGCTAAGCAGCCAAACTCTGCTATTCGTAAGGCTGTCCGTGTTCAGCTCAAGAAGAACTCCAAGGTTGTTACAGCTTTCGTTCCACGCGATGGCTCTCTCCGTCTCATCGATGATAACGATCGTGTTCTTATCGCTGGTATGGGCCGCTCTGGCCGTTCTGTCGGTGACCTTCCAGGATGCCGTTTCAAAGTCATCAAGGTCGCTGGTTTCTCTCTCCTCGCCCTCTGGCTCGGAAAGAAGGAAAAGCCGCGCAGCTAAATTGATATACAACTATTTTCAATAAACAGATAATATTTATAACAAATCACAAATCAAAAAAAAAAAAATATCCAAAAAAATTCAATTTTTATAATGAAATATATTTCACAATAACTCTCTCTTTACTTACGTGTTTACGAACATTTTCTAAAAATCATTTTTCTGTTTTGTTTTCATGGAAGAAGATATTCAATTGGCAGGTGGTATTACAAATTTAGCAAATACCTGCTATATATCGAGTACTCTTCAGGTTTTGTTGAGGCATAAGGTGTTTATTAACTTGCTTCAGAAGTATTCTGAAAAATATAACGACAAAGATATTCTCAAAATTATGCTAAATCTTTATCATTCATTTGGAAATCCCAAGACAAAGCTAGATCCAACACCTATTGTTAATCATTACAATATAGATAAAACAAAACAACAAGATGTTACAGAATTCATGTCTACTTTACTAAATGATTTAATCGAATCAATACCTAAAGATGCAGAAAATGAAATTCGTGATATAATGACATGCAAAATTGAATATACAACACATTCAAATTTTGATTCAGTCTTATTTTACACAATTCCTGTTTTATCTGGTATTTCAGTAGAAGATGCATTTAAAATCACTCTCGATGATTCTCAATCTTTTGCAAGATTACCAAAATTTTTCTTTATTCTAATACAGAGAATGCAATATGATATGGCAACAAAGGTAATGCATAAACAAAGCGATCCTATGGAAATTCCGCTCGAATTAGATCTTTCTGGATGGAAAAATCCAAAGTATCAATTATTTGCAGTGATACAACATATAGGATCCGGACAAGGAGGGCATTATAGAGTTTGTCTGAAAGATAGTGAAGGTTGGGTTATGGCTAGTGATACTCATATCTCTCCAATTTCAGAAAAAAAAGTTTTAGAAACTTCAAAGTCTCCTGAATCGCCAGCTTATCTTTTAGCATTTGTCACAGACATGAAAGACATTACGACAATACGTGATTTAGCTGTTGAGGAAACTCCTTCTTACTTTGTTACTGAAAATGTCGAGAAAACTCCAAAAAGACAGTTGTGCGCGTTTACTATTCCAGATGATATAGAAAAATCAAATGAAATAGTTCATCCAATTAAAATAATTACTCAATTCTTTGACCAAAAAACGATGGAATTTGGATTACCAGATGAAATCACTTTTGATTCAATAGATGATGCCAATACTCATTTAGAACTTATTTCCACTGATCCTACCTTAACTGTTTTGTACGGATACAAAACAAAATATCTTGAACCCACTCTTCCAAAAGATTTTGGATATTACAACTCACCATTATATGTAATATTCCAAAAGAATGATTATAGATCGTTTGATAGGTTTCCAAACAAAAATATTGTAAAAGTTACATATGAATTTGGTTCTTTGCAATTTACTCTCGATTTCTTTGAATCTCAAAAAATATCAGATGCCATTCATTATGGAAAACGTATTGTCAAAGAAAAATTTGGAATTGCGACCAAATTAGAATCTTATTTCAGAATTCACAAATTTTTGTTACCACGATCAGATTCACATACTCTTAAGTCATTGACAATGTTTGAACAATCAGATTTACGAGTTTGTTTTTCCGATCGAAAAATCTCAGGGAATTCGAAGCAAACAGTCAAAATCCAGATTTATAACGATACTAATCCAACCAAAAAGAAAGCTGAGATATCCGTTGAGTCAACTGCTTTTCCTGATTTTGATGATATTTGTGCTTCAGCCAGGGATGAGCTTCAATCATCCAAAGTAGGTTTATTTGCCATTCCAAAGCAACATAATCATATTTACAGATTAGTTAATCCAATTAACCCTTATCTTTTCCTTAATCCGGAAAATGAAATTTTAATTCTTGACGGTTCCAAGAGTACAGTCTCATTAATTGTTTTTGGCAAAACCCACTTTATAATGAATATACCTAATAATTTACAAGACTTAATTTCTGATATTGAATCACTTACAAATTCTGATTCAATTTCACTTTCATATAAAAGCGATAGTATAACGGTAAACAACTTTGATAATCCTAAAAAAGTTGTCTGTACACATCCTAATGGATACTTTATAGTTACTTCTGTTATCGAATAAAATTGTTTGTTTGTAATACTAGAATGATCAAATATTAAATAATATTTCATTGAAAATAACGGATGTGCATAAAACTTATCATAAATTCAGGTTATTTTTTTAATGACAAAAACAAGCATCCTCTCCGCAGTTTTTGTGGATAACATGCGAGTTCATATTCTCACTGACCATGATGTAAAGATTATAAACTATACTAATGGAAAGAGTCTTGCCGCTTATACTATTGACGGATATAAAAAAATTGCAGTAATCCCTAATTCTAATATATTAGTATGCATTCCAAAAGATGATAAGAAAAAGTTTGTGAATTTCTATGATACAAGCACATCATCTATAATTCAAACTCTTGAAACACCAGATTCAGTTCTTAACATTGTAGTCAAGGCAAATCACTTTATTGTATGCACAAGCAGAAAGTTAATTGTATATCGTATTTTTGACTTTGAACAAATTCAGTCTTTTGATATTGACTTTTCACATGATAAACTTTTTGACTGTCCAAAGGACTCATCAATAGAATATATCGCATATGCAGATGTCACAAAAGGCGTTTTGACAATTGCCAATTATTTAACAGGAAGTCCCCTAAACAATATTCATGTGTTTAAAGCCGAAATAAACTATGTTCAGTTCAGCCAATCAGGTAGATTGATTGCAATTCTAGGAGAAAATGTTAATTTATTGAGAGTTTATTCTTTTCCAAAATTTGAAGAAATCGCAACTGCATATGTTTATTTAACTGATCAAAGCATTAATTCGCTTACATTTAATGCAACAGAAACAACAATTATTATCACGACATCAAAGAATTTTATAACTGTTGTTGATTTTAACAAAAAGGCCACAGATGAGTTTGTAACAAAGTTTGATTTGATTCATAAGCCAATATACGCTACATTTGATATTTATTCTAACTGCTTATACTCGATTTCTCAGGATGGTCGTGGTTTCAAGGTTGATGCAGAAAATGTAGCTCATGCTGCCCTATACAAGGAAGCATATGTCATTCAAGATAAATAAAATATTATTGTTATTAGTAAACACTGCATAATAATAAATATTAATAACATACGGGATATTTTAAAGATAGTGTTAACGTATTTTAATATCTTAAACATATTTTCAAAATAAATTTAATATTAGATATTATTTCGACATTTTGATAAAGGAGTAAGCGTAAATTGGAGTCATAATGTTTTACATTTGCTCGTATCAATCATAGATAAGTGTTGAATATAGAATAGCATGCATTGATGATTAAGAAAAGTGACAAAAATGACTCAGAAGAGTGTTACATGGGATCAAACAGCAAAGGTTGAAAGCTGGAACTTAATACTTAATGTAACAAAACAAATGAACTTTCCGCTTTCTCCTATTGCTACAGGTACTTATAATTTTTTATATAATTATTTCTTTAACGGTGGAAGCCTAACAGAATACGATCTTATTACTCTTTGCATTACATCAATGTTTGTTACGATTAAATCAGAGGGAAGAGATGAACAAATTACAAATGTTATTCAAAAATTTGCACCAATTGCAGCTGAATTCTCTGGCGATAGAAAAAATGTATTTGGAAACTCAGTTGACTCATTAAAATTGTATGTTAAGAAAAACAACGAACGCCATTTTCAAGTTGTTCATTCAAACGTTTTACAGTGCGAATTTTCAATGCTTACAGCGAACAAATGGGAATTTATTACAGACCACCCATTTTCATTTTTAAATTATTGGCTAGAGCAAGTTAAATTATCATTGAAAAAAAATCCGAACTACCAAGCCCTCAAAACTAAATTTGATGAAATGAGAACTAAATGTGTACATAATTTATGCTTACTTTTAATTACACAAGAAGGTCCATGGCCAACCGGAGCACATTTTGCAGCCAACGCCCTACTATATACAATATTTAATTTTGAGCCAATCCTGAATCCTGAGTATGCTGATTTTTTGAATAAGCAACTTTCACCAAAATTGGAAAATAAGCAACCATTTGATTTCGCGGCACTTGAAAAGAGAGTTAATGATGCTATCATTCCTTAAGAATATTTATTTTGTTTAATATATAATTGTGAAGTAAATTTATAGAATATTTCAATTTTATTTATTTTTATGTTTCAAACTTATATTGATGGTGCATCCATATTCGCTATGAGATGATTAATGATGGTTTCTTGCTAGTTTATCTCATAATTATGTTATTTGAAAAATTGGCTGAAATATCCATCAATTTAGTAGATGATTATAAGTTATATATTATTATTTTGAGTACAATTTTTCAAACAATGTGTAAATGATCAATACTACTACAAAATTCTGTAATATATTGGTCGTTTACTTTTTAACTAGGGCCAAAATATTAAAAATGTAAACAAATCAAGAATTTAATAAAGAGTAATGCAATTTAATAACAGGTAACAAAGTGATTTTAATCATACAATTAAGAGAAAATTCTATTAATGGTTTGAAAATCTCCAACGAATAATCTGTAAATTACCATCAAAATGGCAACGATAAATACAACTATGTAAATGTATTTGTTTCGCTTTTGTATTTTTCTAAATTCCGAGATAGATTGCTGAATGCTGTTCTTGAGTTGTACAATTTGATCTTTTATGCCGCCTGAAGCCTTTGGTTTCTGATTTGCCTGTGTCTGCTTCCCAGTTTGAGAATCACGCGGCATGTAATGTCACTTTTTTGATTATTTTATCTCCTGATGAAACAACAAATGCATGTTTCACTCCAGAATTCAAGATCCATTTTGTATAATGATTATTATAAAAAAGCAAATGAATGATAAAACGCACAATTTGAAGACAATTTTTTTATCAAAACATTATGCCAACAAAATTCCATTTATTAGCATTGTTTTGAAATTTTATAATCTTGTGAAGCTTTAAAAATTTGATTAATTCATGGTATTGTTTACAATAACCTAAATACAAACATTTATTCATAATATCATTTGGAAACTCTATTTTCTTGGTGTTGTGGAACGCTTCTTCTTTTTCTGGATAGCTTGTGTCGTTGTGAAATAATTTGTGTATAATTGAACGACTGGTTTCACTGGAATTTGCAAATCTGTATGTTGTTCTTTTGGAATTCTTGGTGATGACTCTGGTGTCTTTGATCTGGCTTTCATATTATTATAAGTATCGGTCCAATCGTATTTATAATCCCAAGCGAATCCTTGGCGAACAAAAAGTCTTCTAAACAAATCCCTTAGTGCAGTATACTTTGGTTCTTCTTCAAACTTCATTGCTCTGACAATCTCAAAGTATTCGATAAATTCAATCGGTAAACCCTTACAAAGAGTCTCGATTGATGTAGTTTCTTTCTTTTTCCTGATTTGCTCGTATTTTGCGTCACGTTCTGCTGCAGCACCAAGTCCCATCCATGGTAAAGTGCCGGTTAATAAATAAATCCAAACATATCCGAGACTTTCCATGTCATCTCTACGAGAAGGTTCTGCACCATTTAGAACTGCAACAGAAGCATAACGTGCAGTACCTGTAAGAGATTTATTTTCGGAGTATGCAACATGTTGGAGTGTATTAGAATCTCTATAGCGTTTTGATAAGCCGAAATCAATTACTATAACGGTGGAGGATGATTTTCCACGCCCCATAACGAAATTGTCTGGTTTAACGTCTCGATGAATATAATCTTTTTTATGAATGAATTCAATTGCTGAAATCATTTGAGTGGCTAACATAAGTACTGTTTTTAATGAAAATTTTTTGTATAATTTTAGTAAATCTTCAAGAGATTTGCCGCATAAATCCATAACGAGTACGTTTTCGAATTTCTCTGTTCCGTAAAATATCGAATTAGGTATATTAATGCATCCAGCAAATACTTTGTAAAGCTTTGCTTCGTAAGGAAGTTGAGGCGCTGATGTTTTTGCATGTTCAATCTTCAAAGCTGCATGAATATTCTGTTCTAAATCTTCACATGCAAAGATCTGACCAAAACTTCCCTGACCGATTCTGCGAATAAGCCGAAATCTGTTAAATAGGATATTGTGCGGCTTATTCATAGAATTTATAAACTGCGGGACAAAATGTAAACTGACAAATAATAAATTTTATTTGGCATATCAAAACTGCTGCTCCATCTGATCATTTATCGAGTTTCATGGTTCATTTAGGAGATACATTAACAAAAGCATAATCTCCCATCCTTTCATTGGATAGAACCTGAATGATATTTCAATATTGATTAAGAAAATTCACAAAATCTATTACAATGTTTGTTTTAGTCATTTTAATAGAATGCATATGCTTTTACTAGAAGCTGAGCGAATAATGGCTTTTTCAGAAAAAAATTTTCCCTTATATAATTCGAATATATTAAAAAAACTCAAACTATAAGACGGCGAAAATCTCGTGATTACTCTGAAGAATGTTAGAATTCTTCTATTTAACTAAGAACACATTCGAAAATTATATTTGTCTTTTTATTAAGATAATTTATATATCCAAATAAATATCCGGATGACTATTAATGAATACCTGAGAATATGATAAAACTTTTAGATTAAATTTAATAAAAATACGACAACTTAGTATTTGAACTTTCTCTTGCTTGGAGTATCGCGTGAATACCCACTTGGAAGGCTTGGTGTGGATCTTTCTTCCCCAAGAGAGAAAGCATATGGAGAATTTGGAGACAAAGCTTCTTTAAGGGTAGGTTCTTTGTAATAAACTTCCTTTCCTCTTCTTGTTCTCCTTGATGCAATGGAATCAACTGGTGTATCGACTGCAGATGACCTTCTTGATCTTTTTGGAGTTTTCTTTTCGACATATTCAGACGATGGCTCCACAATTGGAGTTTGTGGTGATTCTTGAAGAATTGTTGGTGTGGGAGGAAGTGCTCCAATTGTTGATAAATTATCAACTTGATTTGTAAAATCTCTCTCACGAATTTGATCTCTAAATTCGCTCAGCACGGCCCATATATCTTCAATAACCTTTCCTGCCATCTCTTCTCTGGCCATGTTTTGATACGAGCCATTTAATTCATTAATTTGATCTTTAAGTTGTTGAGATCTCCTTTGTACTGAGTTGATCTTCTTCTGAAGATTGATTATTTCAACTTGAGCAGCTCTTTTATCATTATGATACTTTTCACGAAGAGAAGAATACTTATCTTTTAGTAATGAGAGTTGTTCGGATTGCTTTTGCAGTAATGGTTGTTCTCTATTTAACGAATTAATATTTTCTGGGCGGCTATATCTTTCTGCCCCTCTACCACGCGACATAAGTAAATTTTGGGTGTTTATTAAATCTCATAATCATCAATGAGTCAACCGCTTTTGCACTGAAGAGCAAAATATTAATACATTTCCTGCTTGGATTTTATTATTGTGGTGTGTTTATGATATTTAGCTCAAAAAATAAAAATTTAGGATAAATCTTCATGATTTTGTAATTGTAGTTTGAAAAGTATCAAATATGGTTTTAGTTGTGATTAAATATTTAATCATAATCAATAGTACGATTATGAAATATTTCTATCGGTGCATCACATCGATAAATAAGTGATCATAAAAGTGACGTTGAAGCGGTTTTGGTCGGCCTTTACGCAATGGAGGCAATCAACGCCGCATTCAACGAAATCGCTGCTGGCAAGCCAGAACTTAAGGATCTTAAGATCGAATCCGTCAAGGAAGTTAAGGCTGACGGCGCAGCTGTTCTTGTTCTTACTGTTCCATACAAGCAGATCAAGGCTTTCCAGGCTGCTCAGGCCTCCTTCCTCCCAGACCTTGAGAAGAAGCTCAACGCTCAGATCTGCATTGTTGGCAAGCACCGTGCTTTTCCAAAGACACCAGAGCACGGCCGCCGCTTCAAGGCTATCCGCAACTATGGCCGTACACTCCGCTCCGTTAACGATGCTCTCCTCGACGACCTTGTCTTCCCAACAGCTATTGTTGGCAAGCGCATCCACTACGATGTCAATGGCAAGCAAACAACAAGGGTTATCCTCGATAAGCACGATGCTACACGTGTTGAGGAACGCCTTAATGGCTTTGCTGCTGCTTACAACCGCTTAACTGGCCTCGTCACAGTTTTCGAAGTTTCTCAGCAGTAAAATGGTGTTATTATGAAATAAAGTTTCATTTTTTTCAAAAAAGTGACATTACTTCCTTTCTCGTATTAATGTCTACTGAAAATGAGATTCGGACAAGATTCATGAGAGAAGGAATTAATCTTAAGGCTTCTTGGCTGCAAGAATTAATCGCAAATGGAGTTGCTACATATGAACAAATAAAAATCTTGTTTTTACAATCTAATTTAGAGAATTCCGTCGAAACAAATAACGAATTCACACAGTTTAAGAATCCGAAAGTTACTATTTCCCAAGATTGTGTTGTCCAAGTTGAGGAAGTTGTAGATATTTCTCTTCCTTCCGCTGAAAGAATCGAATTTCGACAAAATCCACAAGGAACATTGAAACTTCTACTTAGAAGTGGAGAATATCAATTCATTGGAATCGAAAAAGAGAAATTTAACACAAATCAATTAAATACTTTCACTCAACCAGGAACAAAAATCAGAATAAAGAGCGGTACTCAGATGAGATATGGAGTTCTGTTCTTAACAAGTCAGAATTTTGATATAATAGGAGGAATTTGCAAAGAATTAATCGATAAACGAAAATACATTTATACAACAGGACAAAATACGTCAGCAGCCCAAAACAACAGACAACCGCAACCAAATACAGCGCCAAATCGGCAACCTCCTCCTTCAAATATTCCATCTCGAGAATCTGTACTTCCTCCACAATCTTCTCCACCTCCAGATCCGGATCCAATTGAAGAATTATCAGATGATCCACCTCCACAGCCTCAATCTTCTCCAATTCAAAAGAAAATTTTACAACCAAATTCCGCAATCGAAAAATCACCTAAAAGCGGATTTGAATTATCTTCTGATGATGAAGATATAGATTTCGACCTCAGCGATTCCCAAAATCCATCACCTACAAAACCAAATCCCAAACCAATAGAAAAAGCCGAAGAACACGAAGTATACGTATCCCAACCAAATTACACACCAAAGTATGTGAACCAGACGAAGATATTTTCCATAGATGAGCTTCAAAAAGCCGAAATGCAAGCAGGAAACGCTTATTTAGTTAACGCAAAGGTTGTTTCGATGCAGCATATCTTTATTAGCAATAACAAACTTAATACAAAAGCTGTAATTGAGAACGAAGGAACAAGAATGAGCGTAAATGTGAGTAACATTACTTTACTGAGGTTATTGGAAGTTAATTCACCTCAGGAATATATGGCCATGGATGATTCTATGATTGAAGAGAAAAGAGACATGTGTGCTCAAAATTTATTGTATCTTTCTCCTCCATTGTTGATTGTAGATCAAGGAGAGGTTGTTAATGGCTTACATTACGAATTATATGATTATATAGAATCTTTGTTTTGATTTATTGTTGTTTTTTTGTCTTGTAATCTAAATATGTGATTTATATTCACACTCTTTTAATAAATATCTAGCATGATTATATGTATATAGATTTATGCCAATAAACTTCAGTTTTTGCATTGAAAATCTGCTTATATCTGAAAATATAATTTATTTCGTCAAGTTCTTTATCAACTAGGTGAATACATTGAAACTACACTAAAAATAAACAATAAACATCGTATTTAATTTTTGGAAAATTCGAGCTAAGTATAAAAATTTTGAAATTGTAATATCAAAAATTATAATTGTTATAATGAAAAATATTGCTATATTTGTAAAAAGCGAAAATGGAAGCAGGAGAATAGAACTGCGTTGTTGTGATGTTATCATTTTTCTATTTTAAAACTCTAACTCAATATTTTGAATGATTATTTCAAAAAAATATCCAATAAATATGAACTGTAATCGGGCATATAATCAATACAAAAGACATAAAAGGTCCTCCATATATGATACTTGATAAATTAATATTTCTTAAAAATCAAATACTAAATTTCAACTGACCAAAGGAAAATGCATATAGAGATAGCTTATATCAAGGAATAATTATGATTTTACTCATACCTATTTAAAAAAACAAATACTTTGGCCAATATAACAAAGCAAAAAACTTTTTTTCTACTCAATATCTTAACTCTCAGTTAACAAAAAGATGCCTCACTCACGTATCAACTAATAGCTAAACTTGAGTCACGAATAAAACAATTTCGAGATTGAAAATGCTGCATAATTAGTGAGAATTTCGCATTTTGAATAAGTTGGCAGACTAGAATACGATACTCATCAAGAGCGTTCAGTAAACCTTAAACTCTTCTTTAACAGAAATTTGTCGACAGAAAATCTTATCAAATGTAAAGTTCACAATTGGCCGTCACTTTTTAAAATGTTTCTTTTCCTGTTTTCTTTATTGATGATCAGTAGCCGTATCGCTGCTGAAAATTCAACATCAACAGCCCAATCATCAACAAATCAAATAAGCGATAAAGAAATTTTTATCATTGATGGAATAATCCTTGGAATTGTTGTCACTCTTATCGTCGCATTTATCGTTAGCTACTTCATTCATCAAAACAAGCAGAAAGAGACAAGCTCTCAACCAATGCAGATGAATGCTTTATAAAAATGATAAATATACCTACATTTCAAGCACTAACCTTCCACTTGAATCTAATTCTTGACTTTAAAAGAAAGGACAGAAAATTATGCTATATTTTCAATATTATCTTGTTTTATAGAATAAAATATTCTTAGTTTTTCAGACTTTGTTCATACTTAATCGACATCAATAGCCATATCATACATATTGAATTTTTCCATTAAATAAGCTCCTTAAATTTGATAATTACTTAATATGAATAAAGTTTTATATAATAGCTATGATTTTCTAATGAAATTTAGCAGTTTAAGTTAAATTAAGTATGTTGTGAAACAAATATTTGATTATTTAACAAAAATACTTTTATTATTAAACATATATCTGAAACAATATTGAATTTATGGTTCATTCTCGCTTTCTGTTTCTTCTTCTGAAGTTGAAACATCTTCAGCGAGCATTTTTTGCTCTTCATTATATTTAATCAACAATTTTTTGATAGGACTTGCCAATTTTTGGTTCTTATCATGATTAAGATAATTAATTGCGCCTTAAACATCTATTCCATCATGTTCAAGGAAGACTTTTATAGTATCCATATCATATCTTTTAGCTGAAATCATAAGTGGTGTTGCTTGTAATTCTATCGCTGTAATATTAGGCTCCAATCTGCCACTTTCAAACAATGCCCTAACAATCTCTTCTGAATTCATTGCAAAAACTGCACAATGCAATGGTGTGAATCCGCCTTCATCAATTGCATTTACATCAACATCTTCTTTCTCACAAAGTAATTTAACAACCGGAAGTGATCCACTTTTTGCTGCAATATGCAAAGGTGTAGACCCACTTAAATCCGGTTCATTATAATCAGCTCCATGATTAATGCATGCGTTAATAAACTCTACATTCTGAGATGTTGCAGCATAATGAATTACTCTCGTTCCTTCTTCGTCAGCGTCATCAATATCACATCTCTCTAAGCAAGCTTCAAACAATGGTAAATTATTACTTCCTGCAGCTAAATGAGCAATTGTTTGTCCTTCCTCGTTACGTATTGTTAAGTCAACTCTTTCATCTTTTGCAAGTAATAAGCAACATTCGTATTCACCACTTTCATATGCACTCAAAATTGGAGTCATTTCTTCTTCATCTATTCTATTAACATCAATATCATTTCTTTCCAAAAGTAATTTCAAAATTTCTACATGTCCATTACAAGCTGCATGACCAAGAGCAGTTAGTCCAATTGAATCGACACAATCCGCTTCTATATTATTGATTTCAAGCAATCTTTTAATTATTCCAATATAATTGTATTCAACTGCAAGCATTAGGGGTGTCATTCCATCAAGATCAACTGCATTAACATCAACACCATCCATAGATAAAATCATTTCAACATATGGCAATAATCCGGAAAGAACAGCAACATGAAGTGGTGTTCTTCCCTTATTATCTTGCAATGAAGCTCCTTTTTGAGTTTCCACACAAATCTTTGATGCATCAAAGTTTCCAAACTTAATTGCTGCATGCAAAACAGAACCAAAGTTTGGAAAGACCTGCTCGAAATCTGCATAATCATTCTCAACGAGCCAATAAAATAAATCTTTTTGATGGAACATTGCGGCAATATGCAAACAGCCTTCAAAAGTAAAATTATATTGTTGAAGGAGTGAGATGCATTGAACATTTCCTCCTGCAATTGCATATTGAGCATGTATTGGCTCTTTGGTGACCATAGGATCTTTAGGAAGACAATTAACTAGGTAATATTGAACAATATTAAGTGAACCGCAGAACAAAGCGTAATCAAAAATACTTGGTGATTTGTTAATCTGAACAGTTGGCTCATAAACATTGAAAATAATCGTCTGATCCAGGCTGAATGTTGGAGTAATAAGACCTATTCTAATTGCACTAAGATCATCATTTCTAACTGCATAATTAATACCATCTTTTACACCAAAATCTTCACGATATTGTTTCAATAAAGCCCAATCATTTGCTCTAATTCGATTGAAATTTGATATCCATTTTGGAAGAGATTCATCATATTGTTTCTTAATGGATTCAAATAATTCTGGTTTATATTTCTCTAGGTCTGGGCCAAGATATATAAACAAATTGAAATTATCATCTCTTTCAAAGAGTTCGTTCGTGAATAAAGGAATTAACTGATCAATAACATTTTCTTTTGGAATGTTAAGGAGATCTATAGTGTTAATAAAGAATATAACATTTTGAGTTGTTCTTCCGCTGAAAGGAGGAGAATTGTTTTTAAAATTTCGAACTAATATTTTAATTATTTCGTCAACAGGGAAAGGCTTAAGAATTAATTCAGCCAAAATTACAAATGATCCAATATTTTTAGGTCGAATATATGTGTTTTGGAGAAGAATTGAAATAATTTGAGCAGGTCCATCATTTTTTCGATAAATTGAGGAATTGCGAATCCATTTGAAGGCTTCAACTATATTATCTTTATCAAGTGAATCTATTCTTAGCTGAAGCTCGCAATAATCTTGAATCAATTCCATTAATGATTTATCGTCTTCTTAAGAATTGTAAATTGTGCGCTTTCAATTTTTTTCTGCTATCAACATTGTGACCTCTGAATTTTGTTTTTTAATTTTTCGACTATTTTATCGGTGTTCATCACAATATCCTGATAAAATACTTAGTACTATGAATACACCTAGTATTAACCACTGGAAGCTTAATTTAAAACAAATGAGAAAAGGTAATAAGTAAGTGTATCCTTAAATTGATATAAAAAATTAATTAAAAAACAGTAAGTTTTGTAATTCAGCTTATGAACATCAGCATAGAATAGTTAATAAAAAAAATTATAATTAAACAAATACAAGTGAATGTTTAACTACCAACGGCCACCCTTCTTTGTTGTTCCGGGCTTTCCTCCTTTATCATTAAGCTTCTTACCTGCATGAGATTTCTCACAGAATGGAATGTGTCTTTGAGCAGCATTGCTACCGAATTTTCTACCGCAATAAGGACACTCAACTCTATCATCATCTGGTAACTTGTATTCTGGCATCTTCGGTGGCGGACCAACAGCTTTTCCTTCAGCTTTGGCCTTTTCGTATTCTGTTGCAGCTCTTGCAGCCTTGAGATTGGCAACAAGTTGTTCATGCTGCTCTTTGTAGTTGGATTTCTTAACTTTCGGCGGAGTTTCAGATCTTCCTTGATATTGCATTGCATCGTTATCTGCATTTCTCATCTTTGCGGAATCGAACACTTTCTTCTTGCGAGAGTTTGATGTCTTGCAAGCTTGCATGTGCCTATCGATTCTATCTTCTGCAAATTTACGATGGCAGATTAGACATTCAACTCTGTTGTCGTTGGGATCGTCTTCTGATGGTGGTGGAGGAGCTGATGAACGTGCTGGTGGCTCGTAAGAACTCTGTTTTTGAGCAGGTTTTTGAGATTGTCCTCCAAGTTTGCTTCCTCCCATGGGTGGAACGTCATCTTCACCAAATTGGGCAAAGTAATCATCATCACGATCATTGTTTTGAGGGAAAGAAGGTTCTGGCTCTGGCTCTGGTTCCGGTTCCGGTTCAGGTCTTTTTGGTTGTCTTGGTGGATTTGAAACCTTTTTAACGGGTTTAGGCTTTGGTTTAGGTGGTGGGTAATCAAGATCGGCATCTTCTCGCAAGAATGGATTTGGATTTGCCTTAAATGGTTGTTTATCTTCTTCATCATCGCCATAATCTGTTTGCTTTTTGCCTTTGACTGGCGGTGGAGCTCCAAACAATCCGCCATTGTCATCATTTGTGCCAAAGTTCATTTCTGGCTGTTGTATATGACGTTTGCCTTTGTCTTCGTTCATTCGCTTCATGACTGCTGCGCGACGTTTCTTCTCCCAGCTTGAGGCACGAGATGAATCGTCGTCATCTTCATCATTTGTAGGGGTTTGTGATTTTGATGATCGATCTTGATAATCATCATTTTGTTGTGAACCACGCAAATTTGGATAATCGTTATAATCGTTTTGTCTTGAAACGGAGCGTTTTGGTGGAGGATAATCATCATTTGGAATTTCTTTAGGAGTAGATTTTCTGATCGGAGATTTAGCTGGCTTTTTAATTGATTGGAGATATTGCATGAAAGTAATACGATGTCCAATACTCTTTAATTGAAGCTCTTTAAGGTGCTCTTCTGTTAATAACGGAAGGCACTCGCCACAAATATCATTTTCAATAAAAACATCGTGGTAACTACCAAGACCAAGCGTTTCCAAAAAATCTGCAACTTCTTCTGCAGACCAATCTGGTGAATAATTCATTTAATTAACAAAAATTTTGAAAAGTGGCGTTAAATTTTTTATTAATTAAACAACCATCATTTGTAGAGTTGTTATTCGAGTGAAATAACATTGCCTTAGGGGCGTGTGACGACGATAAATGTGAACGTTTTTTTATTAATTAAATTCATGATACACATATAAAATTGCATGCGCATCTAATCATTAAAATTTTTATAAATAAAATATCACTTTTTCCAATATCGAAAACTAAAATTTACCCATTTTTATTGTATAATATCTAATTAACTAAACCATAATAGTCTATAGCATATTGTCATACTAGTTAACAACTCAAAAATGAGATTCTACAGTTGTTTATCTATATTTGTTCAAATTTTATGGTTGTCTTTGATTAAACTCACTTGAGCTTTTGCCAATGTGTCATAACAATTACATTTCATATAAATACGCAAAAAATATCTATTTATTAAATTTCTTTATTGAATATTATTAAACAATTAATCAAAGTAAGATGCATATTTATAATATATTAACATACATTTCTCAGGCATATGATTTTTCTTATGTGCCACTTTCCAAAGTTGTTCAAACAACTACCAGAAGGAAAACATCTAATCTCACTTTTTTGTCACTTTTAAAATGTACGTGAAGAAGGAAGATATCCCTAAACCTATCACAGAGGCTCCTCAATACTCAATCCTTGATACAACAAAGAGCAATGAGCCTGCATATTTGGTAAGAATTCCTGAATTTATTTATGAAACATTTAAAGCTACAAATCAATCTGGTCAAATCGGGACAATTACCATTAATCATATGCCAGGTGGCAAAGAGGAATTTGTAATCCAACTTACTAATGGATTGCCATATACTGTTCCAGTAGAAATGCTTCCTTCAAATTATAGGGTTGAAATGGATAAACAGTCAAGATTGACATCGCAATATCTCTTCACATCAACTACTGAAACTGGCTACGTCAGAATTGCCGGCAAAATCTCTAATACCGGCCATTTATTATCAGATGAAAAAGATAAATTTAGGAATTGCTCTAGCTATAAGCAAGACATTGCAAGGAATGAAAAGAAAGAGAAGAAGAAATCCAAAATCGTCGAGCCTTCAAGCGAAGCCAAGATCGAAGCTCGTCATGTCGCTACAAACAAGAGAGAGACAAAGGAGAAGAACATGCGCTTATCTGTGGACGATCTCAGAGCTCGTATCTTCGAGCAATTTAAGAGAAGCGATGAATGGAGTATCCAAGATCTTGTTAAAGTCATTCAACAAGACCAAGGCTATATCGCTGATGTTATTAGAAATATCGCTAATTACGATTCTACAACTAAGACATATAGGTTGAAAGATGCATACAAGAATTTATAAATTATTATTTTACTGTATCATAAAAATTTAATTGTTATCATAATAGAATTTTACAATCAGGTTTTTTGTGTCAGGATTAGATAATTTGTCGTGAAATTTTATTAATAATTTATTCCATAACAATATATTGAACTTAATTTATACTGCATATTCAACTTAATAGAAAACAACTTAAACGTATGCGTGTTCATATAGAAATGATTATGGAATCGTGCTAAATCTAACGGAAATTTTTCTTTTCAAATTTGATGCATTTTTTTAATTCAAAAAGTAAATTATTTTTTATTAAAGCAAATAGAATGTTCCGATCTAGGAACTCAGATGATGACTCGATGGAGCTGAATGATTTAGAGACTCCTACTCTATCCAGATGCTCTCCACTTAGAACACAGAATCAACAAATCGATAATTTTATCTCTAAATACAAAACAGTTACAAAGAAAACTAGACAATGCTTAGAATGTCATCCAAAAGATAAACTACCATCTGCAATTCTAAGAGTTGCAAATATGATGTATCATCTTGATTGCTTGAAGTGCAGCAGATGCAACAACATGATACATCCCCCATGTTGTTATCTTTCTTCAATGGAACCTTTGAGATTCCTTTGCGAAAGATGCGTTGATGAAATTCAGGATGCATTGATCCTGTGCAAAGTTTGCAATAAAGTGATAAGAGATGAAAACAAAGCGGTTCAATTATCCAATAGTTATGCCGTTCATTTGGATTGCTTACATTGTTACATGTGCAATAGAAATTACACTCCGAAAGGTAATCTCAATTACTCGGTGATGGAAGTCAATAATAAGCAATATTGTCTCTGCAATGAATGTATGAAGTTAATATCATCAGGTGAATGTCCAACAAATGATATTTCTGGCAGAATTCCTTTTGAAATTTGTCAAACTAAGCCCCTAAGATGTAAATTCTGTAATGAATTCATCAAAAACGGGTTTTACTATGTTGTTGATCAACAAATATCCTGCTATAATTGCCACAAGCTTCAGAAAGGTAAATAAATTTTAAAAAATGCAATAAAAAAATTTTTTTTATTTCTCCTATAATAATAATCTCCTATCAGAGCTTGTTTTGAAGCCTCGTACTTGTTGGATTTCGAGTTGAAAACAAGCGAAAAATTGGTCATTCTTCTGGATATTAGAAAGGACTAAATGAATATCTCTGTATTTTATTTTTCTGAGTTGTAACTCTCAAAATTTCAAATTTACTAAATCTTACTCGCAATTAAGTATTTATTTATTCTTTAAAATTTTATTCAACTGACTTTTCAATAGACTCAGAATTTCTTTTTAAAATATTTGGTGGAAATTTTATTCATATTCTCAGAAAGACCAATGTCTGCCCCCGATGGTAGCAAAAACGATATACTACCAAAAGATTTGCTGAAAAGAATATCAGAACGCAATATTAGGCATCCATATCCTTTTTATTATTTACTTCATTCAGACCATTTTCCATGCAAAGAGATTTCCGATGAAAAGATCAAATTTCAAGCTGAAGATTTCCTTTTGAAAATCCCTGCATTACAATTTTTGATCAACAGCCAAATTCCAAAACTAAATCTAGATAAATCTCGTGAAGAATGGCTTAAAATCTTTCCTCAAGATAAAATCAACCCACGTTTTTCAAATCCAGATTCAAGCATCGGGCTACTTTCTTATGACGAGATTTTTTCAATACATTGTCTTTTGTATTCTCACAATTACCAAATATGTTTTATTTTCAAAAGTTCTGATAAAATTTACTGTCAGAGTCTAGGTTGCTTAAGCACGAACAACGTTATTTTTATTAATTGCTTCCACAATCCAATAGAGCACATGGAACAACCAGATTTCTATATTCATCTTTATTCTATCAAATACAAACTAATTTCAAGATTTCCCACATCAAAAGGTATACTCAATTTTCCTGCATTTGATAAAATCCAATTCCATGTTCTTGATTACTTATATAATATGTGTAGTCAAAAGATTGACCAACTATATAAAAAAAATCCGAAACATGGCTTTGTTTTTCTTCAAGACCGTGCATATTTCAAGCACTTTTTCAAATCACATTCTAATTTTGCAAAAAATTCAAAAAATTCAAAAAATTCTGATGATATTCTCAAAAAATTCAGCGGAGTCTTTTGGAATTTCGGTCTTAAAATCGAAACTGATGAAAAATTTCAAAATTTTGCAAAGCCATTTGAACAAGAACTTGATAAAAGTTCATACGAAAAGGCAATGAAATACACAAAATATGATATAGATGAAGTCATTTCAGACAAAATTCTTGCAAAAAGTGAAACAATTTGTGTATACAAAGTAAAATATCCAGGTGATGTTTATATTAAAGATATAACAATCATAAAGAATGATATAGTAAAAGACGGATATTTACCTCTCAGCATTCAACCAGATTTTGTATCTGCTGACAATATGTATTCTCTGTACACGATTTCTCAAGGAAGAGACATTTCTTACATCGTCGGTCCTGCTTTTCCAGATGATGAATTCACAAATACATTTTACAGCACGAAAAAAATAGATGGAAACAAACTTATCAACGATGATATCATTAAAAAATTCGATAAGTATCAACCAGAAATATATTCTGAAGAATATTATTCTGACTACAATGAAGAAAAACAATATTATAGCGATCAATCAGATAATGATCATTCTGAAGAAAAACAATATTATAGCGATCAATCAGATAATGATCATTCTGAAGAAAAACAATATTATAGCGATCAATCAGATAATGATCATTCTGAAGAAAAACAATATTATAGCGATCAATCAGATAATGATCATTCTGAAGAAAAACAAGAAAAAAGCGAGCAACCAGATAATGATCATTCTGAAGAAAAACAATATTATAGCGATCAATCAGATAATGATCATTCTGAAGAAAAACAAGAAAAAAGCGAGCAACCAGATACTAAAATTACATTTGCAGTTCGCCATAGTTGCATTGCAAAATTCAAATATACTCATACTTTTTACAATACAGTTGATAAGCCAGATCAATTAGATTATCCATCAAATGTCTTACTTCAGATTGAAGAGTACTGCAAATTTGCTCATAATGCAATCAAATCCCATTCAAATTCTGAGCAAAAAGTTCGTTTGTTTGGATATTGTAATGGAGGAAGCGAATTCTTGGATTCTATAGACAAAAAATACAAGACTAGTTTTAGCAAAGTAACATCTCTTGGTATATTTTCGGAATTCGAAGATGACATATTGAATATTTGTGTAATCGAGCCAAATATTGATATAAAATATTTACAAGAATCAGTGAAATCAGTTAATCATATAGATTCGACTGTTATCCTTTCCCACGGCCCACTTCAAGATACCGATCAAGAAAAAGAAGAATTCAATAATTTCGAAACCATCGCCAAAATATTAGCTATATACGTCACTTTGGTTCAGTTTAGAGATATTGATTTCAAGACAATCATTGATATAACCGGCCTTCGTTATGTCAAAGATAAAACTTCACAAAAACCTGATGATACTTCATCTAGACAGAAGGGCAAATCATCTAGACATAAGGGCAAATCATCTAGACCGAAGGACAATCTATCTGAACATAAGGGCAAACCATCTAAACAAAAGGGACATTCATCTGGACAGAAGAGCAAGTCATACAAACGAAAGTGAACGAAGTAAAGAGAATTTATATTTTAACTTATATTTCATTAATAATATGAAAATTATCTTATTCAATTTTTTCCTGAATTAAAAAATAATATTTAAATATGCTTCAATGTATTTAACAACATTTCCAAGTTAAAATAGATTGTTTTATAATCAGATTCTTCATTTGGCTGGACTGTGAACTCGTTATCGAAAAAAAATGACCGTTTAAAAATTTATTTGTGAATGAAAAGAACAGCTGAGCCAACACCAACTAAGCTAAGCAATCTGTTTGATTCTTCAGATTCATCAGCTTCTTCAAGTAGAGCTCAATCTCCTGCTCGTCATGCTTCTCCAATGATCAAAGCAAAAAATAATACAAGAAACAAGAATGTTTGCGTTCGAATTTTTTCTTCAGATTTCTGTAAAGGTTTCTTTACTATTTTGTTTTTGGTATTCGCAATATTAGTCGGGCTCATAATTTATAGAAAATACACACATGAGATTCCAATATGCTCATGTGACGATAATACAAAAGAGAATATATCAAAATGCTTCAACATCTATGAAGGTCTTGATGGCAATTGCTATGAGAAACTTGATTTCAACACCGAGATTTCATTTGCAACAGGAAGCCTTGTTCTAGTAGGAATTATAATCATGACTATAAAGATGTTTTGTTAGAAATATTGTGAACTTATATAGATAAAATAAAAAATTAATATTAACTCAATAATAGCACGTTTTTCCATATTAACTTTAATAACTCAATAATAGCGTTTACTCCATAATGTAATACATAGACAGAAAGCAACGAATTCAATTTCAAGGTGTTTATCAATAATTTTTTTGATTCAATAGAATAGAATTATATGGTTAACTACAGTTATTGGATTTGTGGTGGCCTTGCATCAAATACCTTTCATGATTATACTTAGTCGCTGATTTTGAATTGAAAAATTTAACAGAATGCCCATTTTAGTAATATTCTTGAAAAATTTAACAGAATGCCGATTTTAGTAATATTCTTTACATTGATATCAGGAAATAACTAAGACCGTCACTTTTTAGTTCCCTGGGGAACTAATTTTTTTTTCCAAAAAATGCCTAAAATTGGATATGCTCTGCAATCAATCGTTGAAGAGATTCCGCTTGCAGGTGCTGTTAAATTCCGAATGAACTCTAATCAATCTCCTGTGTTCGTAATTCCAAAAAGATACTCATTAGAGTTTTATGAAATTAAAAGCACAGGCATAAGTCCATTATACATCATTCCTTTTCACAAAACGATTTATTCACTCAAAGTAATGCCTGCTAACTACTGGGGAAAGCCATCTACCATTGATGTTTTAATTTTATTTTTCAATGATTCATCATTTATTATCTTTAACGATCCAAACAAGCCTATTTTCAAATACAATCCCAAAGACATACAGAACAACTTTGATTATTGCATTGATATCCATCCAAGAAACGCTTTCATTGCTTTTTCACATAACACAGGCTTAATCAACTTTTGGGATGGTTCCCAACCGAACAGGCAGGAGAAAGTCTACAAACTACCAGTTAGTACAGATCCATTAATCGATATGAAATTTTTATATACAGATGAAGTCATGATTTCGACACTTCATGATATGCCAGATAATCACAAACGAGTTAATACCAAGATCCTCGATCTATCCTTACTCTTTCCTAACGAAAATCCAGATTTGACATTTGATATTGAAGATGACGATGCAAACCTCATTATTCCTCTCCAAAAGGTATCAGATGATAATCCCATATTCTTAGTTTGTGGAAAACTGATCACCGTTTGCTCAAATAACTCTACTTTCCAAGTAGAATGCCCTTTCAAAGGAAATCCTTCTTGTTTTGATTATATCTCTCAAAATTTGATCGTCATTTGCGATGAAAGTGGCCAGATCTTTCTCATCAATATAGATACTGATGTAAGTGTCACTTTTCTAGGTGAAGTGAAGACGATACCAACATCTATTGTTTACATTGACAACGGAATATTTTATATCGGAAGTCGTGTGGAAGATGCTTTGTTTGTCAAATATCATGACGATAAATTAACCGTTCTAACCGTTTCCTCTCAATTTAGACCATCCACTTTTTGTTCTGAATTTTCTGATTTATGCGGATCTTTCTTTATTTCTCACGGAACAAAGAATGGAGGGGGAGCGATAACAAGTGTCAAAACCGGTTTATTCTACAAAGAAATGTTTGATGCTAAGATGACAGATATTTCTACTATATCAAAAGTTGACAATAACAAATTCATGATGTCAACAAACAACAAAATATCTTTTGTTTTTGATACAGATAATCAAAAGATATTGCTTAAGAATAATGAGAAAACAATTGATTGTTTCCAGACAGAAAATGGTTTCATTCAAGTTTGTTCTGATAAAATTAATATAATTGATGGTTACAAAATTACAAAAACTGTCAATTTGTCAGAAATATTATCAATGGATTCAGAACAAATAAATGTCTCGAAACAAGCCAAAAAATCTTCATCAAAAAGTGACAAAAATAAATCAAAATCAAAAGAAAATTTAGAAAATGAATCAAAAAGTGACAACAAATTTTTAGAGATTGTTAATTATGAAGAGATTTCATCATGTGCATATGACAACAAGAACAAAATCATATTTATTGCTGTTGGTGATAAAATTAAGGTTATTGATTTATCGTTAAAAGTGACAAAATCTTTTGAATTTCCAGAACAGATCAAATCGATATCATACTACAAAAAATTACTTGCTGCAATTACATGGAGCGGTTTTGTAAGTACAATAGATGATTCTAATTTGTGTACTTTACAGAAACCACATGATTTTACACCAGACAAAATTTTTGTTTTAAGAAGTGAAGCAAACCATAGAATTATTATAGTTTACATGGACGGTTTTGCCATGATTACAAAGAAAGACCTAACAATAGTCAAGAAAACTGTTTTCGGACATATTTGCTGTGGCTCATTTATGAATGATGAGAAAAGCGTCATAATTTTGGGATCTTCTCCCTCTCTTTATTTCACTGATGGAAATTCAATGCCATTGATTCTGTCAAATGAAGATTATTTCTGTGGTTTAAGGTTAAGTAAAGAAATAATCATCATGGCAGATCAAGAGAAGTTTGTTGTTGGAAATCTGAATGAATCAGAACTTTGTCAGATAAATACAACAGAGTTCGATGTCGTTCCTTTCCTTTTGACAATGTTACAAAAACCACCGTCACTTTTTATTGGATATTTCCAAGAAGGCATTTTCGGATTGATGAGTTTGAATTTACCTTCTATGAAAGTCGAATACGACATTAAATTTGAAAATGACATGGAATTGTCATCATTAATTTCTCTGTCAAATGAAAGAATTTGTATTGGTTTGACTGGCAAAAATGAAGGAAAAATACAAATAATTGAAAATGTTTTTGATAACTATACAATTGTTGGAAATCATTCAATTGAAGGAGGAGTTTTTGCCTTGTCAAAATTCAATGAAAACCATTTAATTGTTTGTGGACGATGCCGATTATTTTTCATTGAAATTCAGACATCAACCGCTGGAGCTGTCACTTTTAATGTTTTACAAGCTATACAATGTCCAAGTATTTGCAGAAGTTGTTTCTCGATGAACGAGGACATTGTTATTTTATTTGATAGTTTTCGATCGATTATTTCCTTCAAATTGAATGGAAACTTTTTAGAGAGAGTTAATGAATTTCCTGTGAACAAAAATGTTGTTTGTGGATGCATTGGTGATGAGATAAAACCAGGAGTTTATGATCTTTATTCTGCAGATGATAATGGATACTTACATGTCTACAAAATGAATGTTGATGATTGTTCAATGAAAGAAATTTCGAATTGTAAATTGTCTGCCTCTGTTTCTTGTTTGTCTAAAGTCAGAGAGAACTTTGTGATTTGTACAACAAGAAATGGAGGTGTAATGATGCTGACGAAAGTGGATGAGAAACTCCAGAATTCTTTGGAAAAGGCAAGAGATGTAGTTTTCGATTTGTTTAGAAATGACAATGATAATGATAAATATCCAATTGTCGACGCAACTAATCTCCAGTGTTTGAACTGTGCACCATCGAAAGCAGTTTCTTCGGCTTTGGAAGCAAGAAATACAACAATTTCTGAAGTGAATTTTGCTGTTCAACAACTCAAATCTTATGTTGCAAAAATTTGTTCTACAAAATAAAAATTATTCTTTATTCTATTTAATTTTTAAAGATAAAAACTTACACCCATGTGATACCACTTTCAATTAGAGTATTTATAAATATAAGAATTTTGAATTGAAGTCAGAAAGACATAATTGCTCTCTTAATTTATCTGTTAAATAAACACCACTTTTTTTTATTTTATTTCTAAATTCAACAAATCAAAAATATTATAATTAGATCTCTCTCAAAAATCAGATGTTCATATCCCTTATTTCAATGGATCTGAGAAGATCTTCCGGTTGAAAAAAATAAGCATTTTTTTACACTTCCTTGAAACTATAGTTTAAAGTCAAGCCTGATAAACATATTCACAGTTGCAAAACAAAAATGAATTATTGTTGAGTTTCAGAATTTTGGATAAGTTAGCATTTATTTGTGATAGTTTATGGATTGATAGGTCATGATGGCTTTTCACGTGAAAATGGAACAAAATATGAGGAACAGATTATAAAGGAAAAACATTAAAGCTTCGGAATTAGTTACCTATGGTATTTTTGTATTTTTTCATGATTTATTGGATTAAAATCTCCAGAATTTAAATTCTTTGAATTGTTCAATTTTGAGGACTAAAATTTTTATGTCTATGTTACCTTGTTTGCAGATAAATTTTCGATTTTTGATTTAATAATTTTCTTATTTGATTATCATGAATTTAATATTTTGAAAATGTTTTCCATTATCCATTAGTTGGGACATATCAAATAGTGCATGATGGCCAATTGATGATTATAATAAATGAAATTTCCTACTGAAATTTATATTTTCCTTGTCAGAAACGACATTTCTTGTTCGGATTTTAGATTTGTATGATCAATTAGAACATTACAATACTTTCCACAATTATGCTGCAATGAACACGATAAATTTATGAAAATTATGAAATTTAAAGTATTTCTTTAATTGATGAAAACAAATAGTATCTTTCTTCAAAAATATATCTTTCGATAGCAAGTTCACAATCAGAGACATTGTGACTCAAATTTAATTTCTGATTGCCTTTTCCGATATCTATAATTGAATGAGTTCAGAAATATTGAAATATTAACGATATCTTAACCAGAAAATTCAATGCTAAAACTCAAATTTTGTAAATTCGGGTGCAAAATGATTTGTATCTCTAAATCTGAATTTTCGTTTTCAAACAATTATTCATAAAATTTAACGATATCATATATTGAATAGATTTAGAATAATTGAAAGGGTGACCATGTCAAAATCAGAAATCAAAGATGTCGGACCAGCAATTTGCAAAGATGGAAGACTTAAATCCAAAAGAACCAGGTTCTAATTTAAAGACCGATGATAGCAGAGAGCGAACAATTAACATCGTTGTTGGAATTTTCAGTTTTATTGTCCCATTCTTAGGTTTTATTTTAACCTGCGTTTATTGGTCAACAAACAGATTTAGAAGTTGGCTTTGCTTTGGATTGGATTCCAACAATCACTCTTATTGTTTTCGTGATTATTTACGCTTACGTTATTTACAGCGTAACACATGATCATGATGATTAAAATAAAGTATATTAGTTTATAATCAATTAGTAGTAATCAATGTTATAAACAATTTTTTAATTATGGTTAATTTCAAAATATAATTAATATTTGAAGAAATAGTATATATTGTTATAGTATATAATTCATTGTTTTGCAAAATAAATCAATAATAAACGGATATGGACAATATTTGGAAATCAATATTTTCTGATTATTTCAAAAAGGAACTTTTATAATCCAAATCATAGAAACGAAAATAGAAATGTTGGGAATGGGAAGAACTTTGTATATATATATTGTTAAAAGTTGACAAATTGATATTTGATTTTAGCATGAACATATTCTAATATATTTCATTGAGTAAAATGAGTATGCATCTTTTTAATAAAGCAAATATGCTCGAATAGAGGAAGAATTCCATGAAGTTTTAATCATAATGAAAAATCTGATTTGTAACACTGCATAATTAAACTTTGAATAATAATTATATATTAGTATACAAAAGTTTAGTATGAATTAACAAAATAACAAAAAAAAAGAAAAAGAATATTTCAATGGAAAGCATGATAAATGATTTTTTCCGTAGTATGGTCATCATTAATGCGATTAATGAATTGAATGTCATTAAATTCATCCGTATGAATTGGAAGTTGCCCAAGAGAGATCTTTCTTAAGACATCTTCTCTATTTATTGATGAATTATTGTAGAACTGATCATTGAATGTGAATCCATCCTTCCACAAAACAAAATAGCAATGCTTACCGATTTGTTTTCTTGGTTTGAATGATTGTTCCTCTTTTTCGACAATATCTTGCGTAACTTCTATGTTTTTGGCTACTTTGTCAAGTACATATGATAATTGTGATCCACTCTCAATATTTGTGTTATCAATTTGTATTGGAGTAATTTGATCCTCATTTTCTTCAACAACCCCTTGTTGTAATATAAATTTTGGTTCCTGTGGTTCAATCGGTGGTTCTTCGAATATTTTTGTGAGTGAATCATCACTTTTTCCATCATCTGAAATTCCATCGCTTGTAGGATTGAGAAAAGTATCGTCTGTATCTGATGATCCACTCCCATCTTCATCAGGATCAAAAGATTCAGGAATTGAAGATTCTCCTCGATCAAAATAATTTGAAACTGCATCATTAAGGTCGCTATTATGTGTTATAAACCAAATAGCAGCTCTTCTTGAAGAAGCTGTTACTTGCTGGAATTCAGCTATTCCTTCTTCAGTACAATGCGACATGATTTTAAAATTTTGAGGGGTATGAACAATTATCGGTGTGAATTCCCCCTAAATATTATATGTAAAGGTACAAAGTATTCTCTTCTGGCAAATATTTTAAATTGATATTTTATACTTTGAGTATATACATATAGCATAACTCATATGCATGATATAATGAAAATCGGAAAAGAATAATAAAAATTATATTTTTCGTTTAAATTAACAAATTCTTTTTACATATACAATCTACATGTCTTGTTGTTCTTGCTGTTTTCTAAGACGCTCCTCGATAATTTGAACAAGGAAAGGTGTACGGTCGTAAGATGGAAATCCAAGTGCTGCACCAAGATCATCACGATCAATTGGGAATTCTGGGCACTGGCTTTCGTATTTGAGAACATTAGAAGTAAAGTTAAAACCAGCAGATTGTAAAAATTCTTGAATAAGCATGTATCTAACATCTTCTTCTGTTGTTGTGTTCAAATCGAGTGGAATACGTGGAAAATCTTTAAGTGGTGGCTGGTTTGGATCGAGAATATGTCTGGCAGCAATTCTTGCCATTTCAGCTGCGTCTGCTTGAATTTCATCCTCAATTCCTTGATTAGCTATCCAACGCTTAACTTCTTCTGTGACCTCTTTTGTTGTGCCACGGGCAAGGTCGTCTATAACGGAATGATTACTCATTTTTAATTTTAAACTTCCGACGTTTTGTCACTTTTTAATGATTTAAAATACCTATCACATTTTTCTCCGCATATACATGTGGAATACTGTGTCAGTATTTGTCGTTATTCGCTATTTTCATGAAAAAGAGCTAGTATCACAAGATCCTCAAAATTGTGTTACAAGTTGGAGAAGTTGCTCTTGAACAGAGTATACATCGTACCAAAATTGGTCACATTTATATTATCATTGTTTAAAATTATTTCTTTTAGATATTTTCAAAAAAAAATGACGATAACTAATTAAATAATATAGGTTGTGCAAGTATGCATTAGTAATAAATACATTTTATATTGTTATTGATGGAAATAGAGAGAAATTTAAAGAAGATATTTTCATACCCTTATTTTTATCTACTTTGATAGCTTGTAATATTACTTTAGCTTAATTATGTGAAAAAGAGAGGAGAAATATTGGGTTTCGGTTGGTAATCAAATAAAATTTCATATTTTTCTCCTGAGACTGGTTTATGATAGAACAATATTTTCAAAATGATTGTTCTATAAGGTTTTGTAGTTTAGTTCGAGAAAATCAATTGCTCTTGGTCCAAGAATATTTAGAGACATATCTTTGTTCAAGATTTTATAAGGAACTTCTTTATCATTCGTTTTAACAATAAATTGTAAGTTACGATCCGTTGTTCGATCTTTTAATAACGAAACTATTTCGCCATCTCCACAAGGAAGGTGATCTTTTGACTTAATTATTTCCATATTATTCCAGTAGTTGTATATGAATTGGCTGTTTATATTAGCCTCTTTATAAAATTTCACTTCCCCGGAAACTGAAATTCCGTAAAAGACTTGACCGTCTCTAAAAATATGGCATGTTATAGGCGTTGATGCAAATTCTATAGGATCATAATGTTTTTCTTCGCTGTCGTCGCTTGATTCTGAATTTGATTCCATAAATTTCAAAATGAGGGGATTGAAAAATATTTTAGGGAGAAATGCATCAGAAGTATTCATTGCCAAAATATATTGAGAAAATTATTGTAAATCGATTTCTAAACAAAATTTATAAATGTTAAAGAAAATCAAAGTTATTCTTTCCCTATTCTAATACCTTTAACATGGAAATAGTAAGCTCTCAGAATTGATCTATTGGACATAGAATATATACATTACCAGAACATGGATTTGTCACAATACTCTTTGAAACAAAACAATGAAAGTTAGTCGATTCTAGATTGAAGGAGCATATTGATTCGCTGTTGATTTCAAAGTCAACCAAGAGCTTGTTTAGCTGTTTGATGATGCAATGAAAGATGTGAAAATGTAATTTGTGGAATTTCATAAAATTTATAAGGTATTTTAGCTTTCATATGCATTGTGAATACTATTTTATAATATTTGTTATATGCAGTAAAAAAATTTTTTAGGTAATTATTGGCGACCGTTAACAATCGCTCTCCATTCATGGGAACTCCAATCGAACGTGCGATTTCCAATACGAGTGCGAGAGGTTTAACGCCCTTGTTAGCAGTTAATGTTGAAGACTCAGGATCAAAAGTTTTCAAACGGCAAAGAATTGTAGTTTTAGCAGATTTCTTCTTTGAACTTTATGATAAAAAAGGAGAAACCCTCAAGCGTAGTTTTTCTTGGTTGAAGTTAACTGGCTTTAAAATCATCGAAAAGACAGAAGTTTACGTAGAATTTGGCCATAAAAAATTCCAATTTACATCACCACAATTTAAATCATTAGTTAGCGGCATTGTAGATTCAACACAAAGATTCCTTACAAAGAATGAACTTTCTGAAATGGGTTTCCAAACTGCAGAATTATTCAAATCCAAACCAACACCAATTTCCATAATTCATCGTCTAGAAGCTAAAATGAAAGAATTAAAGATAGATCTCCAGCCAGAAATCGTCCAATACATTAAAGATTTAATAATAACGGAGAGAAAAATTATAAATTTCGCAGAAATTCCAGAAGCTGATACAGCTGCACCACTATTTTTCGACATCCTGCAGCTGATGAGCTTTGTTTCAAGCGTTACTTTGCCTCCTATGATTGGTGACGTTGATGCGTTTGAATATATATCAGAATTTATCGGATTGCCATCATACTTACGTCATTTAACAATAGATTGCAAAATCAGTCAGTCATTTTCTCAATTTATACAGAAATTAAAAGAAAATGACCGTTCTCGTATCACAGGACTTACATTTGTCAATTCAGAATTCACAATTGATCAACTTAGCTTACTTACAGAAGCATTAGTAGCTCGCAGCATCACTTCTCTTGGTTTTCACAACGCAATCTCACATCCAGCAAGAATTTACTTCTATTCAACATTCTTCCAAGGTGAATTCCTCAATAATCTCAAATATCTCGACATTACAAATACTCCAAACCTCGATTTACGAATTTTATTACCAAAAATCCGTCAGATTTGCGTTCTCAATCTCGAATCATGTGGTATCGAAATCTCAGAAATTATCTCAGCTATTTCCTCCATCTCTCTTCCTTCTCTTCGCGAAATTAATGTTTCAAATAATCCATTTACCATTCCTTTGAGCTCTCCGACAGCTCTTCCGAAGTCATTGACCACTTTCATAGCCAATAAGATCACTTTCCCTGACAACAGCCTCGTTACTCTCATTTCATATTTATTTGCCAAGATTCAGAAGCCTCTCAACCTTTCCATTGCCGACGCCCTTGATTCCACCGATGAATGGTTCAGAGTTTTCAACTTCCTCGAGAAATGTCCCTTCGAAACCCTCCAATCTCTCACTTGGGACAATAATCCAACGTATCCGTCACTTTTTGAGTTTCTTGGTCGGAACAAAATGTTGGAATATCTATCATTATCAGGCTGTTTCTATGAAGCGAACCACGGACCAATTGTTTGCCTTGCAGATTACTTGGAAACAGCTTCATCTCTTCGAACATTAATTTTGAGAGGTTTCAATGCATCAATTCTCGGAAAATACACCGTTGCAGCATTGTCAGCCATGAGAAACATGAACTCCCTTGAGCACCTCGATGTTTCATTCAACTATGGCGGAGATGATGAATTATTGACTCTCAAATTATTAGTAAACGAATTGCCACAAATTCGAACAATTTACTTTGACGGATGCAAGTCAACGAATGTCCAAATTATCAATGACTTGTTCAAGACATGCAGATGCGTAACAGAAGACAACAAAGTCTCCATTATTTTCCCAACAGAAGACATGACAAATCTCAAGAAGAAACTGTTAATTACTGAAGACCAATACGAAACATTTTATCAGATTTGTCTTCAAAAACCGGAAATTTGTTTCGCACAAAAGAAGTCTTGCGAATACCAAAGACCTGAGAAATCTCCTTTGGACGAGAACTGCGTGTTACCAACTGATGATTACACACTCCAATTCCCTCTTTTCCTCACGAGAGATGAAGTTTTGTTGTTGGGAGGAGATGAAAATGATGATGAAACTGTTGCCCCTGAAACAGTTGCAATTGATTACGCTGTAAACGATTTCGAAGATAACCAGGCTGCTTCAATAGCTTCTCTCAACTTTAACCAGTCGAAATCACAAATACAAGGAAATTCAACAGCGAATTCATCAGTCATCATTTCGACACCAACAGCAACAAGTGTAAGATCAATACCAAGATTTGATAACGACAATGAAAGTGTCGCTTCAAAGAAGAGAGCTGTTGCAAGTTCAATAAGAAGAGCAATGTCAGAAAAGGCTGAATCTGTTGTTGGAAATGATACTCCTGACACTCCAAGATCGAGATCTTCTACTAAACAAAACTCGCCAAAGACAAGAGGTTTGAATACAGGAAGATCAAAAACAATTATCTCTCCTTTCCATCATGATTTGACCGCTGAAAACGTTGATAGACATTCTTGGGAATTCCCGGCAAATTATGATATCGAGTTCGACCAAAACGTTTGGAAAGATGCAGCTTCAGAATTTTCAATTCAAAGTTTGTTTGATGAGATTAGATACGAGAAAAGCGCAATTGTCCATAGACAAGGTGACGCACAGAGCGTGATGTCGAAGAGGTCTAAGAGATCTAAGATGGATGTTTGATAATTTTTTTATATTATTATTATTTTTGTAAGATTTCTCTCAAAAAATTTTATTTCGAATAAAAAAGAACTTTATTTTATTTTTCTGTTAAAATCACTAAAGTTTTTATAGTTTTAAACCTTATAAATGCTGAAAATTAACAAGATATCTAGCTAGGTACGTTTATAATCACTTGATTCTATTTTGTCTGTCAAGACAATTCTAATCTGATGAATATGATGCAGAGATAAATGAACAAATGACATTTTTCGCATCTCAAAAAAACTCGTCATCATATTTTGAGATTTTGCATGCTCTGGACATCAAAAATATTCGATCTGTAATTGCCACCGAAGTTACTCTCTTATATAATATATTAATCTTTAGAAACTAAATTTTGAATATAAAATTGTCAGAAAAATTCTGACAATTTCGATCAAATTTTTTGGAGAAAACAAAAATTGAATGATAAGGTAGTCACAAAATCTAAGTAGTGAGGCTCTCAAAAATTGAACCGTACTCCATACAAAATTTGTGTACCCTCACTACTTAGATTTTGTGGCCTTCAATTGAGAGGTTAGTTTTGATAGAGCACGTTATAAAATTAAAAGGGAAAAATAAATAAAATTTAAACATTTAATTATATATAATGTAAGGAGTGTAATTCCAAATTTTCTAAAAACTATTCAAATTTGAGCATTTTTTTGGAAATAGTAAATCTAATATGTACATCTAATAACAACATGATTCATTAAGGAAGTCAATTTGGAAAATTGTTTTCACTTTAGGAGAATATAATTTTCCATTTGGAAAATTTAAAAAGTGAGACGCGCAGGATTCGAACTTTTTAAAAAAGTTGATTTAAATGAATTTTAGTGTGGAATATAAGGATAATATCATATTTAAAATAAGAATATACTAGTTTAGGTGGTATTAATTTTTTCGATAAATTTGAGAGTATGTACGTTTAGGGCATGAAAAGTGTCAATTCGCTCAGCGAAAGCTGAGCTAGCTTCGTTCTCGAAAGAATAAGGAAGGAGTGAAGGAGAATGATACAGAAGTTGACACATTCATATCATTTCAACAAATTTTGATCAAATTGAAATTCAATAAAATTCAATTCAATTCATATCCTTCAGTCAGTACATTGATATCCTTCTGCATCACAATGATAACTCGGGCATCAATAGTTCTACAACTAACTCAGAAAAAACAAGATTATTACTTCCTGCTTACATCTTTTAAAAAGTTTCGATGATAAAAATCACTCTACTCTCGTTTATCGACATATGGTGATAGTAGGTAAACATATTCTTATCGATATTAATAAAAATATTTGTACGAAAATCTTATCCAATTAGAGAGTTATTCATAAAATATGATATTATAATTTACTTTATCTTTGTTTTATCTTTGAATAAACAATTTAATTTAAATTGCATAAATTTTTTTGGTTGAAAGACAGGAAACTTAGTTGAGTTTGTATTATTTTTATCGTTTAATTCATCGTATCAGTGAGTGATCCAGATATTTAAGATATTTAGAAAAAAAATTATTAATTTGATTAACAAATTTTAATCAAAATAGCAAAAATCTATTTGATAGCTGTAAACAAACAATAATTTTTATTTCAAGCAAAATCACTTATTTTCATCTAAACGTATAAAATTGTCAATTTTATGAAAATAAATTGAAAATCTCATGAAATGTAAAGGAGAGTAATATTTTTCAATTTTCTTTTTTTCTTTGTCTCAAATATTTTCTGTTGGGAATTTTCATGTTATCAAAAAATAATTTTAATATTTGTTTATTTCATTACATACAATAAAATTTTAAAAACTCTATTTCTTCTCAAGAAAATTTTTTCCTTCATATGAAGAAACATTTTGTTCTCCATTTGATACTGAGTCTAAATCTCGATTTTGAATTTTCTTCTTTCCAAATTTCTTTTTTCCAAATTAGAAGTTTAATTCAAATTTTCAATAGTTTATATATTTTCTCAAACCGTCTCAGATTTTCTCACTTTTTAGGGATTTTCTCTCAAAATATACAAAAATAGTAATATCAATACATGTGTCTAATATACTTTAAAACCATCGTGACAAAATTCAAAAACGAAGAGTTCTTCTCTCCAAATTTTTTTCAAAATCAAAAAAATGAGATAAAAAAGTACGTTTGGAAAATTCATTTTTAGCATTTTAGGAATTTTCTCACTTTTCTTCCAAATTGACATCCTTAGATTCATCACCTTTTCAAGCTCTGCAGTCAATTTTTTGAAATTTGATTGAAATAAATGTAGCAAAAATTACATTTCATTAGGGAATATATGAGTTTCTCTGGAAACAGGCTGATAAATTTTAAATTTTGTCCAATCAACATGAATGCATTGAGAAATTTGGATTGATTTTCTGGTAGAATCTGGAACAATTCAACCATGTATAAATGGATCATGTAATCATCATGAAATATTAGTGTTAGAGTTCAAAAGAAGCAGAATGAGTGGAAATCAAACACAATCTGAATAATTTTAAACGTATACAATCTTTAAGTTTGTATTTTGAATTCTACATATATGATTGTGTAATTCGTTCTTTCAAATTTTCGGATTCAGGCATGTTTTGATAAAATTCATTCCCAAAAACGTCAATTAACAATTAAATTTAGTGTATTTTAAATATATATACGTATTATATTTTATAAATTATATTAAATTCGCAAAATTTTAAGTTTTAAACAAAAATAAAAAATGTTCAAAATATGAAATTATGCTTAGGATATTAAAATTTACATGTTAGCAATTTTTTTGAATTGCTTTCAATTTTCATATTGAAATTTTTAAGATTTTTTTCTGAAATAATAAGCAAGAATATCAACCTAAATAATATTAAATTCCATGCGTTAATTTCCCCTCAAAAGTCATTGACCGCCTCTCAATCTAGATTTTGTGAGTACTTTAGTTAATGTCATGATAAATCTTATTCACCCAATAGTTAGTAATTGATATGCATGTTCTATAAATCAAAAAATATCGAATAGTTAAGATCAACTATATCGAAAAAATTAAAAATAGGGACTCTTGGAATCGAACCAAGATTTCAGCAATATAAATCAACAGATTTGAGACATAATCTCATAATCAATAAATGATTTTATCTGCGCTCTCCCATTGAGCTAAGCCCCTTTTCATATATTTTACCAGCTCCGCGCCACTTAACTATTCAAATTGAAACAACTTCGGATGACTTTTTTTAAGCAAACATAATAGTATTGAAAGCCCAAAGTCTATCGCTATATAATATAATGTCTATAGTTAATAAATTTAATATATATATCAAGAATAGATTTCGCAAAAAAATGAAAACGCTATTTTCATGTTTATTACTCCCACTTTGACTCCAATATTAAACTACATCGAAATAATCATATTCTGATGCATTAATTATTGAAGAAAATCAATGGTTATCTTTCGCTTCGGATTTAACTAAGATAAATATATATCAATTATTGATGAATATTGAATTGAAAAACTTAAAATGTTATATGAAAAGCATTCTTGTTTATCAAATAATTTAACAAAGAAGGTGTAGAAATGTGATCCAAGCAAAATGTGCTTGAAAAGTAAATTGTAGAATCTCACTTTTTTTTTAATTTTATTTCTTCAATGATATCATAATCAAGTTAGCAGATGACATTCTGCGAATAGCGACATCAAATCTACAATTAAAAGATCTACATACGCAGTGTTGATTTATGATATTTATCAACGGAAAATTTGCAGCACAACTTCCAAATGAAAGATGATGTTTTTCATTTGAATCGGTTTCGGTAGGCTATTTATTATAAAATTTGAAGGATCCCCGTCATAATAAGAGTTATACAATGTAGCAGTATTTTGAAAGAACTCTTTGCCTTTAGTATTTCCAACGATATTACATTCATAAAATGTCATATCGTCATCTAAATAGAAAATAGATTCACTTAACTTGTTTTGTAAAAAAAAAATGCATTGATCAAAGGAAGAATAAGGAGAGCTTCTTATATAATGAAAGAAAATTTTTACATATGAAGTAAAGTAACTTTATAGAGTTGAACATTAAAAAGATTAGATTTAAAATAAATAAAAAAACTCTATAAAACTTTATTAATAAAAAAATATAGAAATTATTGCATAAAATCTGGATATTTCTCAGACATTAGACTAATAACATTTTCTGAACAGTTCTTTGCTGCTGTATTTCTGAATTCTGCAATAGAAAACTTATCAAATGGAGAATTAAAGTCAAATGATTCGTTTTCATCCATAAAATCATCACTTTCATCATCAAACTCTTCTTCTTCGTTCTCTTCTTCTTCATTTTCCTTCTTTTTGTGTTCATTTACTCCATCAAAACAATTTGCAGCAGAAACAAAGCAATCGTTGGCAAATTCTCCATGTACTGCTGCATACTTCAACAATGAAAGAATTGCAAGTTGTTTATCTGACCTCTTTCGTGCATTATTTGCAAAATCTATGATTAATTCAACAGAATTATCCAAATCTACGTCTCTAGCCAAGAATAATGACAGTATTACGTATTCTGCCATCTTCTTTTCGCTTTCATCTTCTAATTCCTCTGATGATAAAACAGTTTTGATTAATTCGTAAATTTGGGTGTAATCTACTGCATTATCTACCATAAACATCCAGCTGAGAAGCTCTCCGATACATTCGAAGTCAACAGCGTCGGAAATTACGGAATCTGAAATTTCCAAAATTTGTTGAGTTAATTGTGACTTCAAAAAGTCATCAGGATACTCTCCGATGAACAAAAGTAATGGACGGCAGAGGTAGGAAATGAATCCTTGTGCACTTTGGTTATTTAATAAGGATTCGCACAAAATTGTTAACAATTGGAGGGTGTAAACAGACTTTTGCTTGACAACATGGCAAAGTATACGTGATAAGTCTGGATAATACTCTCCGTCTTCTAATGAAAGAAATCTTTCAACGAAATGAATGAATTCTTCACCAATAACTTGATTTCCAGCACATAATACGATGGATTCAAGCATATTTAGGTTCTGTACGAAGCTATCTTCGTCTTCTTCGACATCTTTGAGTTGTTCCATCAAAATATTGATTATATCCTGGTAAATAACTGCTGCATTCTCACTAATAACGCTTGGACAGGCCTTAGCGATTGCTAAAAGGCACTTTTCTGCATGGGGAGTATTCAATTCTTTTGAAAGCTGCAGTAAAACCTGGAATACTTCCGGCGAAGGGATTATTCCCTTGGCTACGATTTTTTCAAGTAGCTGGCAGGCTCCAGAACTCACAACTAACCTTGATGGATCTAAATTACTCAAAGAAATGTCCAAAAACAACTTCCTCGCATCGTCATCAACATAATTAACAGTCTGTGATAGCAAAAACAAGGTCGAAGCGATCGAAAGATCGTCATCTTCAATGGATGATGCTGCATTCGAAACCCAGACGATCAAATCCTCAAGAAAACCGTGTTTGACGATAGAGGGAGCACAAATTGATATGACTCTGGCCGATGTTTCATTGATGGGAAGGGTTAATAAGGCGGATGCGATGTTAGAAGACTTTTTAGTGATGTACTGGATGATGGATATGGCCAGAATCATTGGTACATTGCTTTCGTTCGATTGCAATGTGAATGCTCGGTCAATAAATACTGATGGATTAATTAAAACGTCATTTTTGTCGGATTCGGACGGTTCTGCAGCAGATAAAAATAGCTCGAACTGATTTGTGTCCTCAGAAAGGTACTGCTTCAAGCTTGCGATTGAAATTAAAATTTTTGTTAACAAATAATCGGCTTCTCTATAGTTTTTAAGGGTAACTTCAAGAGCATTGATCGAGTATTCGAAAAATTGTTGTCTAAGTTCTTCTTCCTCTGAAAAAGAAGGTAATTGTAGAGCATTATTGAAAAATTTGAAGCAATAACCGATAAATTTTGGTGTAGCATTGATATTTTCGTTGTTGTAGTTCTGAATTATCTCAGTTACGAGTAAAATTGCGTTTGACATCAATTCAGGAATTGGTTTTCTGTGATGTAGACATAATAATGACTTTAAAGCAAGAATAATGATGTTTTCACCTACTTGTGTTCCTAAGTAGTCTAATGATGTGAAGAAATTTCCAAGTTGTGTTGAAAATTTTGTTTCCAAAAAAATAAATTCCAAAGCTTCGTATTCCATCTCAACTTTGTACTTGGAAACTATTGTATACACAATTCTGAAGTAAGGGAGAATGACATTGTTTGTTAATGTCGATGCTTTTTCGAGAATATTTAAAACATTGTAAACATTTTCTTCGTAAATGTTGCGAAATTCACCTTCTTTGGAAGCAATAAGGCAGAATATATCTGCATAGTGCTCTAAAAATAGAAAATCTGGTTGAAAAATCAATGGTTGGAAATGATCGAGGAAATTTTGTTTAGTAGCGAAGTCTAATCCAGACCATTTGAGGCAAATCCACTGTTTGAGAAGACCTAGTAATGGTATAACGACTCTTTGCTGAGAATGAAACTCATTAAAATTTTTATTTGTTAAAAATTCAATAATATGTGGTCCTGTTTCATCATTCTGGGTCATTTCAATAGCAAGTTCATTAGGTACTTCAGTATCTTGTATAAGATGATTGATTAGTGTTTCCATTTTGTCTCCTTAAATTTTTGTCATGTAAATAAAATTGTAAAATGATTATTTGTCAAAAATACCAAATCAACTAAACTCTGAATAATAACATATATTGAATATTATTTGACTATGTGGATTTAAATTGTCATATAATATTTAAGAATTTCTTTAGATTTTCTGATTTATTTAACATTCTTAATTTTGATACTCAAAAAGGATTAAAAATGAATGGTACGATTTTAATAATTCATTGTTTATTATTATGATTAGTTTGAATCTAACTTTAGTTATTTAAAGATAACTAAATGTATTTACTTTGTGAACTTTAGTTCTGTCTTTGTGATAAGGTAGTCACCTGATGTTGGAGACTTAAGAGAGTCAGCTTCTGCTTGAGCACACATGACAATCATATCTGTATTGCCTGTGTTCTTCAAGTTCCTGGAAACACCTGGAGCAACTCTGATGGATGTTCCTTCCTTCATCGGGATGATTGTTTCATCAAGTTGCATCTCACCAGATCCTGTGATGACAATGTAAACTTCTTCGTGCTTCTTATGATCATGGAAGAATGGAATGGCCTCTCCTGGTTTGTACTTGGTGAATGAAATTTCCATTGATGTGAGCTTAAGTGCATCTTGCAAGAAAGCCTTGCTGTGCTCGTACTTCTCGAGACCACTGAAGTTGCCAATCTCAACAGCTGAGTACTTCTCTGTGCTGACGATCTTTTCCGTCTTTGCTTTGTTTAAAAATGAAGTCAACTAAAGTCTTTCCATCAACTATCTTCAGTTCATCTCACTTTTAAATATGAATTTCGAAAATTATGCTTAGTAGCATATATTAAGCATAGTTTAGAACATTTATTATTTCTTCTGAAATTTTGATAGTGTCAAATTAGCCAACCCCATTCAATTTTTGTTTCATCGTATTTTTTTTGAAAATGTCATTCAACAATTTTATGAATTTTATAAAAAACGAATGTATGTAATGCATACATTAATATTTTCCAACAAGTCAATTCCCTCTCAATAATTGAGAGTGTCAAATTAGCCAACCCCTATTTAATTTATAATTATCTTTATATATCTGATGATTCAAAAAGATACATTCTAGGTAATATTATGTAATAAAGAGTTGTTATTGTTACTAATTATGTTAGATCGTCACTAAAAAGTTTTCCCATTTTGCTTCAAAAAGTCGTCTTTTGAATTCAATCTATTTCAATTTTTGTGATTTCTTATTTATCAAACCAGACACTTTGAATCAAAAGAATGAATATATTTAATATAAAAACAATAAAATTATGTTAGAGATTACCAGATATGTATTAATACTCGAATTTCATTACACATACGAATTAAATACCCTACGTTCCCAACTTCTGGAAAACGGTTTTTCACCCTTATGATTAGTTTCAGACACTTTGGGAATCTCCCAAACTTTGATATTTTGCATTATGATAGAGAAACGTGTCTAGTTTAACGCACAGTTGTTTTAAAGGCAAATGATGATATCACATGAAATTATCAAATTATCAAATTTTGAAGTACCAGTCCAAAGGGTTAATTAGATCCTACACAGATGTGCGATAGTGAAACATATGTGTTCTTGATTTGAGAAGTCCTACTGATAGAGGTATGAATCTCACAGCTTTGTGTGAGTGTGTCTGACACTTGTATAGAGTGGAATATGCGCCGACATATATTATATAATAACATGTAGTTGATAATTATGAAAAAATAGAATTTGATGCGAATGATATTGAAAGTTGTTTTGTAATTTGATATTTTTCTTATATGTGTTAATTAGTAAATGGCTTGTTTGTTGTGATCGTACTGTGAAAAATGAAAGGTATTTTAAATTAAAAAAATGAGATTTTGAGATATCTCTAGAATTAAGAATTTATTATGTATTTGACTTTTATATAACTATGTGTAAAGGATCTCGATGTCTATATGCTTTAAATAAAATTAAATAAAATGAGATAAAAAATTAAAATGGACAAGAAGATATATGGAAATGTAATTTGTATTGTGTTGGTTGTTGGCAAAATGATTTTAATACAGATTTAAGGATTTGGAATGGATTTGAAATTAAATGATTTTTATTCAAGGAATAATAAGATTTTGAACTGGTTTTTATTTTGAGAATGTAAACTCCTTCCATAGGATATGTATTAGAAAGATCAATTTCAAACTTTTTGAAAGAATTGTTTTTTTGTTGAGTGATTTTCTCTCATTTGATAATATATTTTAAGTTGGCGTATCTTACGCCCTTCCAAAAATATGTATTAGAAAGATCAATGTCAAACTTTTTGAAAGAATTGTTTTTTTGTTGAGTGATTTTCTCTCATTTATAATATATTTAAGTTGGCGTATCTTACGCCCTTCCAAAAATATGTATTAGAAAGATCAATGTCAAACTTTTTGAAAGAATTGTTTTTTTGTTGAGTGATTTTCTCTCATTTGATAATATATTTAAGTTGGCGTATCTTACGCCCTTCCAAATATTTCTTAAAAATTTAAATTTGTCTCATCTCCTACTCTTAATTTAAAAAATTTCAAAATCCATAATAGTAAACATTTCTTATTTTTATTTAAATCTGAAAAAAAAAATTTAAACAATTTCTCTACACACGACGGTTTCGGCGGTTTTCAGAATGGTTGACAACTGAATTCATCAGGATAATGTCGGTTGGGGTGCCCTTCTTGGCCTCCTGAGTACTCACCAAGATACCCCCAGCTCCCGCAAAACACCTCCCATAGGTGAGCATTAACTGATGAAGTTATTGACAACTTTATCTGATTTTTTTCTTTGTTTTTTTGTTAAGATTTCTTAACCAAAGACTCGAAAACAAAACTTCGCTTCACGTTGCTGTCTTCCCAGTTACTCTGTCGCAATCTTTTGTCTGATTGCGTGCAAAGTTCTGCTCCTTTGAGACTTTGCCCGACAGATGCATCTGGGAGACAGCACCCAAGCAGCTTATCGCTTCAAGTTGCTGTCTTCCCAGTTACTCTGTCGCAATCTTTTGTCTGATTGCGTGCAAAGTTCTGCTCCATGAATTATCAAATATGTGCCATTTCAGGAGAGATAACAAGCTCATGCCTCCTGGAATGGCGGATTGTTCAACAATCTTCTTCTGATTGCAGAACTTTCAACCGACAAGAGTGCACAATACACTCTTGTCGGTCAAAGTTTCGCATTCAAGTTATGAATGGGGAACTTGATATCATTCTGGGAGACATGCAGTGACAATGTCTCCCGGAATGAGACACTGTGACCGACAAGAGTGCACAATACACTCTTGTCGGTCAAAGTTTTGCAATCACATTCTGATTGCAGAAGATTGTCTCATTCTGGGAGACATTCAGAGGCAATGTCTCCCGGAATGAGACACTGTAACCGACAAGAGTGCACAATACACTTAATGTTTTCAAATTTTCAGATTTAAATTTAATCTTTATTTTCATCATCATTTATAGTCTTGTTCCTTTATACAGTTATAATAAATTATCGTCAGATTCTAATATTTAAGATTCTTACTACTCAATTCAATATAATTATGTTAGTCACTCATATTCAGGAGAATAATTTAAAAATCTATAGCTCATATTTTGATAGTTATATATTTAGATGATATATATTGCAATTCCGGTTTCAACACGATCAAATGCCAAACCAAGACAAAATATATATGAATTTTCAAAATATCGATTTACATTAGAATCTATATCTAATTTTATCAATACACAAGTAGTGAATGTTCAATACATCTTTGAGCAACGTGAATAGCACAATTTTATAGGATTATTAGTTGATTATATAAAATATAAGCCAAATCGAATCTGCTGTATAGTACTTTAGTTTATCATTGAATGTTAAATGTGTTCATATAAATATTTGAGTCAGATATCGCATTTTCTAATTTCAAAATTTATCTCATGAAGTTAGAATTTATTTGATCATACAACATCATGTTAGTCAAACCAGAGTTCAATGGCGATTCGAAAATGGAACAAATGCTTGTTTTATCAAAATGTTAAAATATTAATCTAAAAAACTTAATATCTAACCAAACCATTCTAGAATTATTATATACAGGTATGGGCAATCTAAATGCACACGGAATTCGGAAAATTAAAAAGAATATTTATGAGATTATTAAATCTTATGTAATTCAATGAAAAGTAGATAATATGAATATCCATAGGCTATATATCAACATATGAGTTTTTGGTTTGACCAATACTATACTAATGTGATCAAATTAATCTGATTTCTTAGATTTTCATTTGAAGCATTTGCAGTAGTAGGGGTACCTTTATATATTAACATATTAAAAATTGCGCTCCGATTCGCAGTTTCTTCATGATTTTGAGATTGCATTAGATTTCGCGATGCAGAAAAAAATCACTTTAGATTCCCGTCAAACTCTAAGTATAAGCATGTCTCTATATGTAGAAACTGTCTGCGCTATTTATTTCCCGGCTCAAAAAACCACGGTGTCTGTGTGAGGAAAATACCCATTTTAGGACCCTGGGTAGGGGGTCATGAAAATTTTCCAAGAGTTGGAAATATAGGGTATTAAAAAATTAATTATAATTTTAATTTAAAACTGCATGTAATTAATGTTTGTATAAATACAAATATATTTGCAACAAATTTTGATTCAAATTCATAAATTGGGAAATTAAATTTAAAATTATAATGAATAAAACAGCCTTCAGTTAATTTTAATACGCAAATATACCTGATAATTAAAGTTGTCATTTGCTGGATATTATCACTATAGCAATCACCTCAGTTTCATAGAATTATTTCATTTAGTTTTATAGCAAATTCTCTATCAAACAAGTGTGATAATTAAGATAGAAAATTACAACAAAAAAATATATTTTATTTAAAAGAAATTAAAGAAGAAATATCAACATGGTTATAAATGTGTCCATCAAGCATTGAGGAAATTCGTCGTTCCATGTAACATCTGAATTCTTCGAAGTCTTCATCATCTTCGGTCAATACTTTTTTGTTTGTGAATATTCCAAGAAAATATCGCAATGTTGAATGTAATTCAGAATCATTCATGTTATCTTTCACAGAATCAGATATAAATTCTCGTACATTTTGGACTAATAAATTTGAAACAATCTTCCAATTATGTGTTTCACAACAATTACTGCATCTCAATGAACACAAATAATCTCGTGTAAATCTAATCTTTTTACCACATAATTGACATTGATAAAACAATTCTCGTTGATGTGGAATATCTTCATTAAATGAGTTCTCATATGAATCATTAATATTCTTTTTTGTCTCCATGACTGTTAATCCCAACTCCTTCCAATTGTTGAACTCCCAACATGTCCATAAGGAGCAAACAAGCGAATTATTGGTGGCAAAATCTGATTGACAAGACGGAAGAAAAGAATTATTGGAATTGTGATTCTATCTTTATAGGTATTTACGTATTTTAAAGATTTCTACGAATACCATGATTATTAGGCAAGAAATGCATTCTATATACATTTCATCACTCTGATATCCTCTATATTTTCAAGTGTGAACATATTCCTAATATAGATGATTAGGAAATGATGAAGATGAATAATGGAATAAACACCCTTGGGAACTTCCTGGGCATGAAGAACACAAAAAGAGATAAGAAGAGTCTTTAGAAAGACTTTTAGAATTCGAACGTAATAAAGCAGAGCAAAAGAAACAAGAAGAAGATGAAGAAAAGAAGAAATCTTTAATCCATCTATCCAATTGTCAGTCAAGAGATTTGTATCCTTAAAGTTGGGTTGCTTTCTAGAAATGTTTTCTGTCTCTTTTAACTTGGCAGGTTTCTAGAAGCTTTTCAAGCAAATACAGAAATATTACCTGAGACTTTAAGAAATTGGTTTTTCAGCCATCTGTGACTTGGAAACTTTGTGTTTATGTTGAGTTGTTTTAGGAGGTTTCTTGGATTCCTTTTCAGTTTCAATTGAAGATGGAAGATATTTTTGAATTGCAACTTGTGTAATTTTATCATGAATATGTTGTGAAATTTCTCAGTCCATTTGTTGTTCAGCAAGAGGATATGAATTTGAACAATTAGGAAGTTCGTAATTAGAAGATTTTTAGATTTGTTCTTCGGCAAGGCTTATCTCTTCAACTTCCATCTCGACTGCAGTCTTCTCTTTGGCAGCTCTCTGTGCTTCGACTTCCTTGGCGGCTTTTTTTTTAGATACAAGATTAAGATTTTTGCGAATATAAAAGCTTTGGCTATTTATGAAATGAATTGGTAGTATAGAAATGTACAATATTATCAAATAGGTATTTTTATTTAGTATTATAACAAAAACGAATAAAATACGAAAATAAGTTACTCTAAAAGTTACTTGTTACTGGATTTTCTATTTCTTGTATTCATAGCCTTTGATTGTGATTGTTGTTGTTCAACAATGTAATCTGGACGATCAACTTTGATATCGCGTTCTGCAAGGGCCAATTTGAGATATTTTAATTTCAAAACGTTAGCACTATTTTGATCACCATTCGAATGGAATGCAACTGTTCCGATAATCTCTTTCAGTTTGTTCCTAAGAGCTGTTTTAACCATATTAATGGCTTCTTGATCATCAAGTTCAAGTCCCATGGTTGCCATTGTAAGTTTAATCGCCTCATTCATCTGTTCTTCGATTTCATTGCGAACATCTTCTGGATTGCGAATCTCCTCTTCCATGATTAAAAAGTGACAGTTTCATTTTCATTTTAGCTGTTTATCGACATGTGGCGCTATCGATGTTTTTAGCTAATTTTTTAAAGGCATCATTTGAATATTGGTAAAATGTTCTTCTATTTCAAAATTATTCCAATATTTTAAGATATTTCGTTCAATTTGCTTGGAAGACTATACCATATTTAGGTGAAACCTCATTAGAATGATTCCTTGAAAATGAATTGCTTATATTGTTGTTCTAAGTTGTTTATCTCGGGAACGAAAAAGTGGATTTTGACGAGTTTCAGCAATATATTGAAGGCTATGAGGTACTGACATTTAATCAGTGTCTCATAGCCTTCAGTCCCTTCCCAAAATGAGAAGAACCTTGATAATTTTAAAGTAATCATTTGCAGGATATTATGATTATAGCATTCACTTCAGAATCATAAAATTATTAGATTTCGTTTTATTCAAATTCTATTAAGGCTGCACTTACGCCCATCTGACTTTAATTCAAATTTCTGATAACAGGCGTGACGTGTCATTGAAAATTAACTTTAAACATCTGAATTGAAGGCTATGTCATAAGGGCGTAAGTGCACCCTTAAAACAAATGTGATAATTAAGATAGAAAATTACAACAAAAAAATATATTTTATTTAAAAGAAATTAAAGAAGAAATATCAACATGGTTATAAATGTGTCCATCAAGCATTGAGGAAATTCGTCGTTCCATGTAACATCTGAATTCTTCGAAGTCTTCATCATCTTCGGTCAATACTTTTTTGTTTGTGAATATTCCAAGAAAATATCGCAATGTTGAATGTAATTCAGAATCATTCATGTTATCTTTCACAGATTCTGATATAAATTCTCGTACATTTTGTACTAATAAATTTGAAACAATCTTCCAATTATGTGTTTCACAACAATTACTGCATCTCAATGAACACAAATAATCTCGTGCAAATCTAATCTTTTTACCACATAATTGACATTGATAAAACAATTCTCGTTGATGTGGAATATCTTCATTAAATGAGTTCTCATATGAATCATTAATATTCTTTTTTGTCTCCATGACTGTCAATCCCAAACTCCTTCCAATTGTTGAACTTCCAACATGTTCATAAGGAGCAAACAAGCGAATTATTGGTGGCAAAATTTGATTGACAAGATACCATTGACTGTCAATTTCTGACATGTCTTTCACTTCATCTGGCAACTTCACTTTGTCACATAATTCTCTAACATCAGGTGAAGTGACTATCATTGGTATCGTCGCATGTTGTGGAACTTTTTCTCCTCTTTTCATCATTCTCAATGCGATAGAAACATGAGGATTATTTCTTTTGTCTGAATACTCACTGATTTTCTTGTTTAATTGTCTGTAAATAATCAACATCTCTTTTGTAATTTTCTTCAAATGAAATGATTTAGATGAATTGCTTTCTTCACCGTCACTTTTTGTGTCAGATTTGTCACTTTTTAATGAAGAAGAATAACTTTTAACTTCTTGATAATTTGGAATAGAACTTGATTCTGTGTCACTTTTTGATAGAAAATTGACACTTTTTTGTTCATCATCATTTTCATTAGAATTAATCTTATCCTTTGTTTCACTTTTTGATTCATTTTCATTCACACTATTTTTAGAATTTTCTTTATCATTTTCTTTTGAATTTATTTTGTCACTTTTTAATTCATTTTTAGAGTTTTGTTTTTCATTTTCATTTGAATTAATTTTGTCATTCTTTTTGTCAACATCATTTTTATTTGATTTATTATGAAGAGAGAAATTTTCATCATAATAAAACAATGAATTTTGTTCATCATTATTAGATTTTCTAAGTAATTTTGCAACATTGTGGAATTCAGACAAACAATTTCTAACTGTCAAAGATCTGTCGTCGTTATTCATCATCTGATCCAAAACAAAAGATGATAAATATTTCGTTAGTTGGCACCAATCTCTTCTGACCATATCTAATCCTTTCACTTCTCGATGACATTTATTATCGTCGTCATAAACAGTAACAGCGTATTTCTTCTTTGCAACTAACAGCATTTTAGTGAATAATCCACTAACAGTTAACTTCAAAAATTTGTATTGTTTTGTCACTTTTTCAGAAATATCATTTGCAATCTTTTTTGCTTCTTCAACAGATTTAGTTCCTGTATTTACCATGACCGAATCTGTATCTCCATAAATAACAGAAAATTTTCCCAAACTCTCAACAGTTTCCACTGTTTTCTGTAAAACAAATCGACCTCTTTCTGTAATTAATGCGGCAATTTCATTTGAAGCAAAACGTGACAAAGAAAAACCTAAATAACCGTAAATAGAATTCGACAAGGATTTAATTGCTTGCTGCTTAATTAAAAACCTGTCAAAATTGAATTTATCGTCTTGTAAAGTATTCATTTTGTTTTTCAATTCAATTCTCATTTTTGTCAAATTTTCCATGATTTCTGGCAAAATTCCTTTTCTTCCACAATTCACTGCTTCTTCAGAGTTCGGATTCCTTTTATCAACAGTAGTAAAACATAAATTGTATTCAGAAATAATGGATGGATAAAGTGAAGTGAAGTCAAGTAAAACGATAATTGTATCATAAAAACCTTTCTTTGGCTGAAGAACTGTTGCTCCTCTGTATTTTCCGAGTTTAGATTTAGGAGCGAAATCCGCTTTTTGTTTTTTATCTGGTAAAACAAAATTTTTCTCTTTGAAAGAATGCAACAAAATTGATTCGCATCTATATGATGGTTTAGATTTGAGGGTCTTACACCATAACAATCCAGAAATCTGACTGAGTCTGAATGTGATTTCTAAGAGATTTGTTTTCTCCATCAATTTCGTCAAAATATTCGTATCTCTTTCAAAAAATTCAATCAAAGAAATAACCTTATTTCTATCGTTGATTTCTTTCAAAATGTCAACATTTTCTATTTGTTGTCTTTTGATTCCGAATTCTTGGAGAGAAACAGATGATAAATCATTTGCTGGCAAATTCAGAAATTCTCTTAAATTAGTTCTAATATCTACAGCAATTCTTCCACTCAAACAGAAACTTGCGTTGTATTTTGATGTTTTTATTTGTGTGGATCTGTTTAATCTTCCAATTCTGAACCATTCTTCGACATTTAATGTCTTCATTCTGTCAAATATTACTTGGATATCATTGGTAAACATTGTATATGATGCTAAAATATCAATATCAAGTTTGTCAATCAATCTAACAAAGTTTTTCAAAAGTTTCTTCTCTGATGAATAAAAAGTGACTCTTTCTGACAAATTTGCATTCAATTTTGTATCTTCTTGTTTTGGTTCAACATATTCTTCAGCTTCTAACAATACTTCTCTTGTTTGTGTTTTATCATCTTTAAATTTGTCACATTTTGTTTCATTTCCAACAAAAATTTCATCATTCACTTTTTCTCCTTTATCTTTGTCACTTTTATTGGTGTCACTTTTTGGGATTTTATGTTTTTCTTCATTTTGATTTTTAGTATCAGAAGCTTTTGCTTTGTCACTTTTATTTATGTCACTTTTTGAAATATGAGATATTTCTTCATTTTTGTTTGTGTTGTCACTTTTTGAATTTTTTGATTTCTCTTTGTGTTTGTTTGTGTTCTTAGATTTGTCACTTTTTGAATGATGACGTGATTTGTCACTTTTTAAATTAGTGAAAATTAATTCAGTTCTAAGTTTTATATCAGGACTAGGCGAAGTTATGAAAGTGTGAACAATGTTATCCTGATATTTATGGAATTTATGGTTCATGAAAACTCTGACATTCAATAGATATATCTCATGAGTTTTCTTTTCTTCATTAAAATAAGTTCCAATAGATATAACACAAACATTCAATGGCGGTGGTAATCTGTCGATCTTCTTCTCAATGATTTCTACATCAAAAATAGAATTAACACAAAACATTGGACAAAAAGTGACAGGATCTTTTTGTGTCAAATTTTTCGCTCTCAAAAATTGAGGTCCTTTAATTTTCTGAGTCATTTCAAAATTTTCTGTCAAACTGTATGTTCTTCCTATCAACAAGAAGTAGTTCTTTCCATTCTGAGGGAAGTTCTTCACATCACAAGTTGCTGGAAGTTGGCATTCCAACCATTTCGTGTTTTTGTCTAAATTTTCTGTTCCAAAACAATAATTTAGATTTTTGTACTCGTAACTGATAAGATATCCATTCATTTCGATACTTAGTTCTCTAATTTCATCAATTAAATCATCTTCGTGGCCGACAATCGGATAAAAATAGAGATAATAAATTGGATTCGTAATTTGTATGCAAATAGTTGTGGATGTATCGATACAAACGTTCTTTCCGAATAGAAAAAGCTTATTATCTTCTTCATGTATGTGTAACAAGAAGAAGTCGATTGTATTTTCGTCAACTAACCTGACATCATATGTAATCTTTGGTACTTGTTTGAGAGTTAGCTCTTTTCCGAAATTGAAGTTGTATTTCTCGACTTTTTCGACTGTTTTTGTCAATGATAAAGGAATAATTCCATCTGCATCACAGACAAAATCAATGTCTTGGTCATTATTATCTGATGATCTCTTTAAACTAAGAGATGATGTAACGATATCGCTATAAATTGTCTCTCTTAATGGAGATATTGCTTTTAATTCTGGATTTGATTGCTCTTGCTCATCTGGAATTATGCTATCTGCAATCTGTTCTGAATCTGAATCAATATAAGATTGAGTTTCGTCTGTTTGTCCTTTTTCGGACATTCAGACGAATTAAAAAAAAATTACTTCCTCTAACTACTTCCTCTTTGAAAAAAGTGGCATTATAAATTGATTTCGTGTGAATTGCTACCAATAGCATCCTCACCAATAATAAATCAACTGGTCTCGCTTCAACTTCATTCAAATTCAACTTCAAAGTTATGAATTTAACAAATTTATGACTTTATAGCTAATGTTTGTGACTAAATTAGGGACAGTGGGCTATCTAAAAGGATGATTTAATAATTCCAAAATATTTCCATTCAAATTCCACTTTGTACCTCTGTAATTAACAAATTTGTAAAAAATGAATGGATTATGTTACTGAATTAGATGTTATTAAGCATTTAAAGGGTTTGTTAATAAATAATTCAATGAAAAAAAATTAAATTAGAAGTGATTATATTTATTAATTAACATTAAATTAAATACTGAGCTGTATCTATTACAGGACAGCACTTATTCTATCTCTTATTTCGTGAGATAGTATTACATATAGAATTTGGTTGCTATGAAAACGCAAATTGCACCGACACAGAACTGTGACAAGAATTTGATATTAACGTATTCTTTTATGAAGTGTATTATTGCTGTAAACAGTCCAATTTCTTCATTCTTTAAATCTGCTGGTCGAGATTTCTTTGAATCCATTGCAGACTTCAAATCCTGTGTATATTGTTTGTTGAAGAAATGTTTGTTGTTCCAATCACGCATTGCTTCAATGTCATCTCCAATATATATGTTTGAAAACCCAATACTACTGTCATCAGGATGAAATTCAAATCCGATACCGGTAATTGGTGGTAAAAGGGCATAAGGTTCAATATCTCCATGCCATTCTGGGTTCTGTATCTTCCTTGGTATATAATCTCCCATGTAATTCGGGTTAGGAATCATTCTTGGTTTGTATTTCCCTTTGTAAAGTGGATTCTTCTTAATCAAAGGTACGAATTCTTCGCATCCTACTATTTGGCCCCAGCATTTCGGATTCTTTATGGTTGGTGGCTCCCATTCTCCGAATAATTCGTCATCCCAATCAGTTGGTTTTGTAGCATTTGGATCAGGAATGTAATAACTCTCATCTGAATACCATGGAGCTGGAGGATATGCTGAATCATATATGAATTCTGGCTGAGATTCATCCCAATCAGAAGGTTTTTTGTCTTTCGGATCAGGAATCATTTTTCTGTCATCCCATGTATCTGGTTTGATCTCTGTTGGATCATTAATGTGTCTTGGTGGAGAAATAAGCGGTGAAATTGTTGGACCAACTAAAGGTTCCGTACAAAAGTGCTCTGCGTCAGCATAAATCGAATAAGATTCATTACCATGAAGTATTAAAGTGAGAAGATGATTCAATCCATCACGAGGAGGAACAAAAATTTTGGTTAATTTATATTCATTTATTTTTGATATGTTAAAAGGGTCATGTAAGTTAAGAGTAAACGTCATATTCGTCTTTTCATCACATGATGAGTGTCCGAAGGAGATTGCATATTCTGTTGAGGATGATAAATTTTCTGGATCAAAATTATTTGCAGAAAAAAGTTTGATAAGTGGACTAGAACAAATGATTGCATTGCTAAATCGTAATTCATATTGAATTATCAAGTCTTTGTTAGTAATACGAATGGGTTTATCAAATTTGTGTGAAATTGCATAATATTCGTTTGAACTTTGAGTATAGAGCATCTTTTCACCCTTGTATCCAAATGGATATGGTGAATCTTGCTGTGACCAAAATCCTTTATATTTTGAAACTTTTGAAGGTATCCATCTTAAATGCCAATCGTATTCTTGAAAGGATTCGAAGAATATATAATCCCCCTCTGGTTTAAATACTGTAACCTCATAAGAGGTTGCGAGGGTTAAAAGTACCAAAATCATTTTGGATTCTATGCCGATCGTAAAATTTGAATTCATTAAGAAATTGATTTTAGAGCATGTTGAGTTGACTATTAGTTATTATATTTTGCTTGAAAAATTGAATTATCGCATTCAATGCAATCGATACTGAATCAAAAGAAATTGCTGGTGGATGTAAGCTTGATTAAAAATTGCGATTGGCAGAAGAATGATTCTCTCATTTAATATATATTCCGTAGCCTATACAAAATTCTTAAAAATTAAATAACATTGCGGAAAAATAAAAAATGTTAATTACAAAATTGACCTAACACCATTTTCCGATCATTACGTCCGAGATAATGTATTTGATTTATTATGTATTGATGGATTATTTAATTTTTAATGCAAAAGTAAATAATTTTGAATGAATAAGTGAATAAATAAAGATAGCGCACTTACCAAAATGATTTATGTGATTAATACTATATACTTTATGGCTAAAAATTGGAATATATTGAAGATTAAAATTTACGTTTTCGAAAATCTACTTGTTCGATGGTGGTTTATTGATAAATAATAAATATATTGTATTTTTAATAAAATTGTTCGAAATGAGATGGAAAATAACCTCAACTTTGCTCCTCAAATGAGGGGAAAGTGGAATCTTGGTGATCGCGAGTACAGGGCGATTCGAATTCTCCTCATCCAGCTTCCCCCAGATTGTACAGATATTAGTGAGCAGGCAGACAGACTGCGTCTTCTTGCCTTATCTCACAGTATTTGTTATAATCATATTCCATCTTTTTATCTTGATCAGCCGCCAGACTATTTTCCGTCAGATCGTAATGTTCCATCTGTAATAGTCTTCGACCTTGATGATTGTTTCGAAACTTTCAAGCTGCCTGGTTATTGTGTCATTAATCAAAAGACATGGAACCCGGTAGAGCTATTCAATGCAGAAATATCTAATCATTTGCAGCGAGCTCTTGCATTGCGTTCATATTATGAGTATAGAAACTACAGAACTTTGTATTTTACTTCTTTTATTTTAGTAACAGACTTTCCATTAACGATAGATCCATTTATTTTATACCATATACCTGTTCTTAGGAACGGAGCAGTTACAATTCGAACGAATATTCAAGGAAACTTAAATTTCATCCTTGATTATCCGTACAAACCGAAAGAAAACACTTATATATTAATTCCACCACATGAGCATGCTTTTAAGGTCATGGCATCTGATTCAAAAGAAGCTATCCTTAAATATGTCGACTTAACAGAACGAGTTATTCAATGGAAGGAAACTCCATTCGTTTACATGACTTCTCCTAACGTTTCCATTGGAAAATATTATACAGACAATCCAACTAAAACTAACAAAGCCACTTCTGAAGCTCCTAAAGTAGAGCAGAAAAAAATATTAAGCAATTTTCAACCAGAAAACTTAATTGAAGTTAGCGAAAAAGATATTGATGACTTCTTTCAAAATATTTACGCTGAAAAATCCGATGATTCTACTGCAAACGGAAAAGATGAAGAATTATACTTAGCTTTTCCTGATTTGACGCCAAACGACGTAATATCAGAGTTAATAGAGAACCCTGACGAAAGGAAATGCGTTGCCAAAGCTCTTTCTACCCCAGAAATTTTCCCAGAAAAACCACAAGTCATTACATTACTTGTAGCCAACTTTTTGTCAACCCACAGATTCGACTACGGTTTCGGCTCAACATCTCCGCCACCAGGAACTACAGATTTCGCTGAATATTCCGAATTTGAATATCAGCATTTAGGAACTCCCCAAGTTTGTGTCCTTCAAGATCGCAGCGTAATTAAAGTAGATTCGACTCGCGTTGTCTTTGATTGGGACGAAAATCTTTATCGTCCGATATCCGGACCGAAAAGTGCTTCATATGTTGTTTTCTACGACAAGCAGTTCACGGAGAACGATGTTCGCACGTTTTTCAACCAACTTAAGAACATTTACACCAGTTTCAATTTTGGCGAATTATTTGAGTATCCAAAAGGAGCCTCGTACTTCTCCTGCACTCCGGAGCAGATCCCACAAGCCGTCGAAACCTTCTTCAAGCAGAAAATCCAAACACAGTTCCAAAACGAGCCATTAATGACATTTATTGTCGGAGATCCAATTTTTTCAGCCGATTTTAATCCGCATTCTATCGTTTCCTACATCCGACCATCGGCCATCCACTGTGCAGACACCACGGAGATAAAGACTATTGCATTTGTCGTTTACTCGCGTGTTAGAGTTTTCACTCCACGGCCTTTCGGAATGGTTTTCCTGGCGAACAAAGAAATTGCAGCTTGTTTCTTCGGATACAGGTATCAGCCTCCGTCTTTCCTCACTACGAACGAGCACGTCGAGTTGGGAATGCACGTGTGCTGGGACCTGAGGGTAGGATTAACAGCATGGGTCGATGAAATTGGTGCTGTTATGCATGTTTTACCGGTTTCAAATATAGACAGACTCTTTCAATTTTTGAGAGAACAAACATCATTGTTTAATACATCAAAAGTTAGAATAACAATATCTATATTAGCTGAAGGTATTTCCAAACCATTGCTCGATGAACTCAAGATGAAATCCATGCAACTGAATTTGCCAATAACCGTTTTCTCTGTTTATCCAAGTGCTACGATACAAGTTTCGTTTAAAGAAGATTTCAAGGACGATGTCATTGTTTACTGCGATGTTGAGTATGTTGAAGAGGTCTGCCCTAACCCTGCAAAGCCTTACGCTACTTGTTTCGTTGTCTCAAAGCAGGAACAGCCTTATTCGATATCTTTGTTCACAGAGTCTTTTGATCCGAGAATGACTTTGTTCGATTACGCACAAAATATGTCTCATCTTTCTTGGCTTTCCGTCAAACCAACAATGGAAGGAAGAACAATTTCATACCCACCACATATGATGGCTTTGCTAAGAAAGGGTAATGGACCTGTTGCTCAGATTAGTCAATTAGAATTCTTACCTTCAAAGGAAAAGATTTAATTTTTGTTTTTACGTATTATTTTTTGCTTTTATTTATGTTATATGTGTAGTTTAATAAAAATTTATTTGATAAAATATATTATCTATTCAAAAGAATCTATTTCTTCACTAAATTTTATAATTTCATTCCAAATTTAATACTTTTGAAATGTTTAATAAGAAATTTATCATAAAATAGTATGTAACTAATGAGTGATTTTAATGTCAATGAATAATTTTATAGAAATAATAGAGTTGAAAATAAATATCAGGAGTTCATTAAAACTGAGAGAAATATAGAAAGAGATCACATTTGCCATTATTTATTTGTGAACCATTTTGCTCATTGAAAACGTATTGTCATTAATATTTTATTGTGCCCCTTGTTCTTCCTTGAGATTATCGATTATCGCTAAGGTAATTTGAAGAAACTATCATATTTTTATTCAAACAAGATAAAAATTCAAAAAAAAAATATTAATCACGTAATAATTCTTCAAAGAAGTTGTCAAGCTCTTGCTGGTTGCCTGCAGCTTCTAGATATTGGGTGACGTTATCAATCTCGCGAACAGGTGCTTGATATGGATTTAAACCTGTTGATGAGAGATGAATTGAAACACTGCATGAGACATGGGGAAAATCGTTACGCCTGTTGCACATAAGCTTACGAACATTATATACAGTATCTATGTTGATATTTTGTGTATCAAATTGGCAAGTAGCAATAAGTTTGTCCTTAAGGATTCCCTTTTTATAAAGTTTGATCGTAAAGGAAGGATATTTATTATTATCAAGCTTAATATGAAAATATTCGCTTACTTTATGTTTACCATATTGAAAAGGGAATTTTTCAGAGCAAATACCGCTCTTATGATTAAAAATACTGTAATAATACTTACCAAGATACTTTTTGTTTGCAGAGTGAATCTTGAACCCCTTGAGATGGAAATAAAGTACCGCCATAAATGCTTTTTGTAAACCATTTACACTTCAGAAAATTGTATGATTGCAAAACATGACCGTTTAATCGTGGTTAAAACTACTAGCTCTTCATGACGCAACGATAATGTAATTTATAAATGGCCGTCAAAAAAATAATTTCAATTGAATTACGATCACATTTTATTTCCTTAGTTTAGATATTTGATGATAAAGAAAAAAATAAAATATGAGATAAACGACTTTCAAAAAAATTTTTTGATTGGGGTTATTCATTAAGATTTAAGTTTGCCTCCTTCTATGTTTAAAACTCAATAAGTTTTTTGTCACAAATAATGCTATCCACTCGAAAATTGTTTTTGAAATAAGGATAAATCTTAACCCCATGGGATTAAACGATATAGTTTTAGTTACTCATGCGATTTTATGTTAAGTTTTTCTGATTTTAGGAATAATATTTTATTGTCAACATCTCAAATATTTGATAACAATAAAATAAGATCGGAAATACATTTAGGAGCTCATAAGTAGTAATATATTAATCATTTACAAAAACAACAAAAATAATTATGCAGAATTGAATGAACTAGGCAAAATTGTTTGCTGATGCTTGGCAAGTAAGTCAATTTGCACATCTAAGAACCTTGCGCCCAAACATGTAACGCCAAGGAAAAATATTTTAGTGTAGTAAAGTGAAAAAGACATTATCTGCAAGAAACCGAATAACATTTTGATTACTTTTGATGTATGGCTAAGTAAACATAATATATATGTTACAGCTGTTAAAGCGCATGAAATATGATTAACTGTCATCGAAAGAGGGATCATCATCTTCGAAACCATTGCGTATATGAAGTCGCTCAAGTAAGAGAATGAAACAGCGGACATAGAAATAGCAACAATAAAAAGATAGTGTAATTCGATTTCATTTTGTGGTTTAAAGAAGACCATAAGTAAAAGCGATGCAACAAAAATAGCACCACAAAGTACAAATGACTTGGCTAAGAAATCATATTTTGGAAGAACGCTTGGACTGACTCTGTTTCTACTTTTTTGATAGAAAGTGAATGTATGGTAAAATATAAATGCAAGCATTGGAGTGTTAACAAGTGTAAAGACTAAATAAAGTGAAGACATCGGAGGATAGGATAAAATGTTAATAATGGAAGGGAAATGTCTAAGACTAACCATAAATGATAATGCCGAAAGTGATCCACCGCCAATGAAAAGGGAAATCCAGTAAATTACTGGAATATAATCCATTTTCAAAAATGTCACTTTTCGATTTTTTAATTAGAAAATTTTTATTGAGAATTAACGTGGCAAAAATGTTGCTTTGTATCACCGGCCATTAAAAAACATCTTCCACATGGTGTGTAAATACTGTTGGTATGATATCGAGTCATGTGTATGCTGAAATTAAAAATTGAAGCGAAACCTTTAGACAAAAAATCAACTTTAAATTTACAAAATTGAGTAATTTTGTGGTCGGTAAGAACCATTTAGTCAAAATTTAAAAAAAATAAAAAAAAATAAAAAATATACTAGGGACACAAATTGAGACGCGAAAAGCAAATTGAGAGGGAAAAACCTTTCAAAATTTTGTAAACTTTTGAATTTTTGCCCAAAAATCGCGTTCCTATTTTTGACCTATTCAATTAATAATTTTAGTTTAAATAAAAAATAATTGTTTAGTCTAACAACGACATTCTTTTGGAATAGGAAACAAGATGATTTAAAGACTTCAAATTTTTTCAGTTCGTTATTTTGGCGATACACAAATAAAATTAGAATCTATTCTATGTGTCTTCTAGAATTTTATATAAAAAATGCAGTTAAAATTTTCTGAGGGCAAAACTTTTTCGCGAATATTAGAATTTCGCCAGTTTTAATATTAAAAACTGTGCTAATGCATTACATTAATCAATATTATAGTAACAATTTGATTAAAAATTTTCTGAGGGCAAAACTTTTCCGCGAATATTAGATTTTTGTAAGTTTTAATGTTAAAAACTGTGCTAATGTATTACATTAATCAATATTATATCAAGTATTTGATTAGCCATTTTCTGAGGAGAAACTCGCATTTCGAAATATTGAGATTTTTTATGAATCTCCAACAAAAATAAATTTGTTGTGTATCATAGTAGTTTATTATATCATCAATTTCGTTCACAAGATTTCTGAAGATTATTGCATTTCTTGAAAAGTTGAATATTTTCACTATCTGAGCGCGAAATACTTTTTACCAACTGTGGTAATAGATAAAATTCATGTTTTGATGGCAAAATCCTCAACATTAGTATGGGAGAAAAAATTATGAGAATTTTTAAACGGCCAATATCGATCTTTGCATTCAAGTATAAAATTCTAGAAGCATGATAAATAATCGAAATGTTTCATATATGAATAATAGATATGATGCTAAAATACAAATTCTTTAATCAAATTGGAATATTGCGATTAAAAACTGTATCATTATGCAAGTAATAGAATTGTTATAGTAATAACAACTATCTAATGATTTCATATTAATTTCTAATTAAATCTCTTGAATATTTTTTTCAAAATTACATTTGGCCAAAAGAACGAAATAGAAAGATAATCTACTCTATTTAGGAAATTGAATTTTTATTCTTTAGATTCGAATGTCTTTTGGATTGTCAATAATGTGATGAGAAATTCAAGTTCACATATAGAGATAATTTATTTTAAAAAACATACCTTATTGTATAAGAATGACAAATCTCTATTTATATTAGATAAAACACGATATTTTTTATTTGAATGGGGGTAATTCAATTTTTTCTGAAAAACCGCGCGTTCCAAAAAAATTTTCAACAATAGTTAATTTCAAAAATACGAAATTAGTTCATGTTTTTAGTTATATTTAAAATGCGTGAACGTAGATATAATGGGTTAGACGGATGGGATAAAATCTTTAAAGTCCTCTTTATCAGCTATATATTCTTGAGCTTGTTTAGCTGTAGGGCCGCCAAAAGTTCCATCCTTATCTTGGTAGCTGACATGAGCACAGAAATCTCTGAACTCGTTCATGTTATCTTGGAAGAATTTAATAGCAACAGTTTTATTGCGTTTTGCAATTCTGGATCTTGGTGCAATATCATATTTGCTCTCAAAAATGTCACCTATGAGATTTATTTGGGATTGTTGAAAATCAAATTTGCCGAATGTGAATTTGAGTAGCTTCCATGCTTCTGAGGTAATTAGGTTAAAGCTACCTCTTTCCTTAGCTGTCCTCTCCTTCTCAGAAAGCCTCTTCATGAATAATGAATTTACTTAAACCTATCAAAACTTTGAAGGAAACATTAGCATGCTTCAATTATCAAAATTCTGTGAAAGTGACACTTTGATCCATCAATTCAAAATTTTTGGGTCCCTTTTTCAATGAAATCATAATGCCCAAAACAATTTGAAGTGATTGGTATTCCAATATATTGTAAAATCTGCATTGTTAGAAAACGAACATTTTAGAATTATCAAAGATCAAATGTCACTTTTCTCCAGAACTTTTGAGATAATCTATATCTGGAAAAAAAAATTGGAAAAAATAATAGACATATTACTTTTTATTAATAGGATTTAACTAAGTTGCCGATTTGATACCTGCAACAAAATTTCTTTGATGTCCTCCTAGAATGCCATATTTTTTCCAAAATGATCTTCGTAGACTTTCTCAATAATTCATTATTATGTGTTGTAATGACAATTCTTAACCTTCGCATTTGATGATTTTCGAAATTTTCGTTTAGATATAGTAGTTTCAAAATCGCAGGTACAAATCTTCCGAAAAATTGTAAGTAAAGTTTTTATTTTTGGACCCGAGATTTTGCGAATAGATTATTTTGGTGAAATGCACATCTAGAATGGTATAGTTTATTTCGATTTGGAAGATAAACAAATACCAATTCTAGAAGTATATTTCATCCAAATAATTATAAAATATTAAAAAAAATAAACTTTATTGTTTTATTGTTCTCAAAATCTTCAAACCTGTTGGTTGACCGCCAAACTCACAAATTTCGCAGATAGGGCATAACTGACCTGCGTTTTTACTGTCTGTCTGGCAACCGCAAAGAGGACAAGAGATAGAAGGCTTTCCTCTGTAAATAGGAGTCTTTCCGATGACATCAATGAAGAATGGATTTCTTTCATTGTAGTTGATGTTCAAAGCGTTTGTTCCAACTTTGTTTGCCTGTTCAAGAGAAGCACGAGCTTGTCCTGCAATCTTTTCATTTGGCTCCAAATCAAGTAATCTTGAGATTAATGATTTAGCAGTCAAATAATTGTGGTATTTCATAGCCATTCTTACAGCAGATTGCAAAGTCAATCGTTCATGAGATCGAGCCAATCCAACATGAGTGAAGTAAACAGCCAATTCCAGATTTCTTGTTGGATCCGTCTCGCTCTTTCTTGTTAATTCGAGGAGGCAGCCAATTGCGTATTTCGTTGCAATATGCAAACAATCCAAAATCTTTTGTTCTTCTTCTTTTGTTTGGACCGAAGTAACAATAACTCTTCTGATCAATGTTTGGCAAATTCCAAAACATTCTTTGAAGTGTCCTTTGTTGAACTCGATGAAAATGCTGTTCTTCATCATTTCATCGAATTGAGAAACTGAATCTGTCAAAACCGGAAGTGACAAATTTCTGAATTTCATCGAAAGAGGAACAGATAAATGTCCGAACTCGTTTTGGATAGAAAGATTGGATCTCACGAAGCTTTCAATGAACAAATTCTTGAGGGGTTCGAAGTTCTTCGCATTGAGCTGTGTCTTAGCCAAAACAAGAGCTTCTCCGAAATCTCCTGATGCCGCGAAATCTCCAATTGTTGTTGAATTCTTTGACATCTCTTGTTTGATGTCTTCTCCACGAGGAGGAGCAACAAACTGTGATGGACTTGGCGCAGGAATGTTTTCAACATTGATGTCAACATCCCAGCCTTCGCTATCGTCTTCTTCATTGTTGTCACTTTTCTGGTTATCGTCTTCATCTGACATTGGCCATTCTGTTTCTCCTTCATCGAGTTGTGTGTCTTTTTCGACGGAGAAAGGAATGAATGTTGGTCTTGTGAGTGGCCAATCTTCTGATCTCTGTTTGATCTCTGGCAATTCGATTTCTGGCATTTTTTGACTGACAATTTGCTCCAAATTCGGATTTATGCCAATCAACAATTTGTCAATCGATTCGTTGTCGTTGCACCAGATCATGTATTCGGGATTATTTGTCTGTTTTGTGAGCTTTTGTAAACTGGCAGAATTTCCTGCCAAAAGATACAAAAATGCCAAATTTTCTGTATCATTTGCCTTTGTAAACATTTTTTCTGCCAAAGAAATTTTTCCACAATTGAGAGCGTTTTCGGCCAATGTCTTGTAAATCGATTTGTCCTTGATCTCGTCGGCCGCGAGGACGGCTGTATCGAAATCGCCCGCTTTAAGAGCCATTTCGAACTTAGTTTTAGGATCTCTGGCCAAACTTGCAGCGATATCGTAGCGATTGTTGTTTGCAGCGAATTCCATGATGGCGAAACCAATCGGAGGCTGTTCAGCGACAATGCGACGAGCAGCATGGCCACCATCCGATTTAGAATTGATCAAAGCAAGCTTTAATTTCAATTCTCCTAACTCAATTTCGCGTTTGAAGACAACTCCGTCACGTGTTACGAACCAGGCGATTTCTTCCTTGGCCTTGATGATATAAAGAACTCTTGGGAGCGAACATACAACTCCGGAATATCCGGAAACGATATACTTCAAATGAGTACGAGTTGTAAAGAGAATGGCGTCACCGTCGAAGCAGCAGCTCTTTACTTTTGAGGATTCATTGAAGACTGAGGGATCCGTAAGGTCTGCATTTGAATATAAGATAGAAGTTGAGTTTCTAGCGCAGATTTTTGTCTTGTCATCGTTTATCATGATTACCTTGCAGTCATTGAACTGAATATTTCTGATTTCTTTCTGTCTTGTGATATCATATAAGTAAATGTTGGTTTTCGTTACAAGATAAACACGCTGTGCAGGAGCAGCAAATAGTCTGAGTGCGTGAGGAACCTGGAATCTCGATAATGTAGATGATCCTGGCTCTCCATAGCATAATTTGTCTCTGGAAGTGCTCAAACATACAAAAGATGAGCGGGAGAACCATACAGCGGATAATCCTTCGCCTTTCGTAATAGGATTCGTCATTGATAAGTCGATACATTGATAATAAGGATTTTTTTCGTTGTCGTATGAAACGAGCGCCATATTTCTGGCATTGTTCCAGCTTATGGATGTTACTCCATTTTGTACTGTACTCGGTTTCTCTTGATTCTTTGAGATTACGTCGACAACGTGAATTTCGCTTTCTTGGATCCAAGCAACGGATGTTCCTTGTACGTCGAAAGGTGTACGTTCTTTATTCGTTTTGAGAATGGTGACACCGCTATCGTGGCCGGCTGCAATTAAAGCATCTTTCGGATGAGCAGCGACACACCAAAAGCGGCTGCCGGATATTTCGTAAGTGCCGATTTCTCTGTATGTGTTTCCGTCGAATTCGCGAATGGAAAAGTCTTCTGAGCAGGAAATGATATTTCCTGTTGCAGGATGGAAGCGTACGCATGTAGCAGGGCCTGTATGAGCATTGATTGTTGATGTGACTTGTAATTCGTCATTGATTATCTTGTAAACTTTAATAGAACTGTCTTCTCCGCAAGATATTAATCTGTTGCCTGAACTATCCCATGCAACGCAGTTTGCGCCCTCTGGATGTTCCTCGCTTTCCGAAAGAAGACTGGAATTTGACTCTAAACTGAAAAATGACGAATCAACATCTTTACTCATTGATCCTTTCAGTAAATTCTCAATACTAAATAGACGGACGCACTCATCAAGGCATGCTGTTGCAACGAGAGGCTGATTTGGATTGAATGATGATGACATGACGAAGTATGTGTGATCTTCAAGAATACAAACGCAGCATCTGCTTTGCCAGTTCCATATTCTTGATGTACTATCGTCGGATGATGTTATGAGTAATGGATATGTTGAATGAAACTCAATGGATCTGATAAAATCAATATGGCCTTCTAATGTGAAAAGTTTAACTTTGCGTTGCCAATTATAAACAATAACTTGGTAGTCATCTGTACCGCATGCAAATAATGGTTGTGTTGAATGGAATGCAACACATCGAACAGGAACGTCTGAAACCTGATAAGATTGTAATTCAACATTAATATCGTAATCATATATCACTACCATACCTGTATGTGTGCTGTATAACACCCAAGGTCTACTCGGGTGAAAACAGATACCTTTGACACGAGGTGCTTCAATATCTATTTTCACCTTCATTTTTGTTGAAAAAAAAATTTTAGTAAAGAGATATTTTAAAAAGAAGTTTCTTATAGCCATATCAGTTTATTGAACGATGGTATCCTTATTTTCTACTAGAAATTTGATATTTCATCAAAATTGCAAATCAAATTCTATGAAAACTATGTTTTGAACAATCATTCCTGGAAAATTGAGGTTATTAATAGATGTATTAATTATATTACCTATTGTGCTTGTCTAATATACTTAGTTGTAAAGATCTCATGCAGAAAAGATGTTATTCATTTCAGAACTTGGACTTAATGATGCAAAATTTCAAAACTTTGAGCTAAAGAATGAAAACTATAATGTTCTTTTGTTTTTTAGCATGCTGCTGTTTCTTTGCTGTTATTTTCTGCTGCAATATGAAGTGGAGTATTTTCGATTTCACCTTTAGCATTGATATCTGCACCATGTGAAATAAGAATTTCTGCTGTTTCTTTGCTGTTATTTTCTGCTGCATAATGAAGTGGAGTTAGTTCAAAATAGCATTTAGCATTGATATCTGCACCTGTGAAATAAGAACTTCTGCTGTTTCTTTGTTGTTAATTATTGCTGCATAATGAAGTGGAGTTTTTTCGATTTCACCTTTAGCATTGATATCTGCACCATGTGAAATAAGAACTTCTGCTGTTTCTTTGCTGTTCTTTATTGCTGCAATATGAAGTGGAGTATTTTCGATTCCATTTTTAGCATTGATATCTGCACCATGTGAAATAATAACTTCTGCTGTTTCTTTGCTGTTAATTATTGCTGCATAATGAAGTGGAGTTTTTTCGATTTCACCTTTAGCATTGATATCTGCACCATGTGAAATAAGAACTTCTGCTGTTTCTTTGCTGTTATTTATTGCTGCATAATGAAGTGAAGTTCGTCCAGATTTATTTTTAGCATTTATATCTACGCCATGTGAAATAAAATATTTGCAAACAGATGGAAGAAAAAATGAGCCAGAACGTATAAAACATGTATTAATATCATTAGTTTGATCTAAATATACTAATAATGGTTGAAGATATTGGCACTGAATGCATGTATCTAAGTTGATTTCAATATTGTATTCATTCATTAAAAATGAAACAAAATCAATGTTATGTGAAAAAATTGCATATTTCATGCACATGTCATCTGGTTGTTGAAATTTCAAGCACTCGCTTAAGATCTCTTGATTTCCGCCTAAAAATGATAAACGGAGACATTTTTGTGTGATTTCAGAATGGAACATTGTGATAAAGAACTTAAAACAATCAACTGAACCATAATAACAGCATAATTCAAGAAAAGAATAACCATCCATTGAATCTGGATAAAGATCGGATATTAGTCTTTGATCTTTATCAAATTCGCACCTTCCGATGATAGAGATTAATAATTCTTTATCATTATCCATAATTGCCCTGTAAATTGTATTTTCTTTATGAATTTCTACTGAATAATTTTGAGATTCACATTCTTTGAAATATCTCTTGTCACTTTCGTTAAGTATTATTCCATATTCTTGATAAAAAAGATAATTAAAAACATAACAAATATTTTGCATCTCCTTTGGATGATATTCATCAAAGATTTGTTTGGCAAGAGTTAAATATGACTTAATATAGCGGTTATTATACAATGTCATGCACGACAATAATGTTATAATAATATATGGAGGACAATTGTTTGAATCGATAAGATGAATTTTGATATCTTTATAAATTGCAGCTAATTTGTTTCCATCTTTTGTTTTGAGTCGATATAATGAGTCTAATACATCACAAAAATTTGCATAAATGCTCATCAATTCATTGTAATGAGTTGGTGATTCTGTTTTATCACACTCCATTAAAAATTGTAAAATTTTTTTAGAGCAACAAATACAAAAGGTTATAACTTCTCATTGATAGCAAGATATGTGTACATACCTCAATAACAGGTTCTTCACCATTTATTTTATATTTTTTCCCCCATAGAATAATCAAATGTATTCAGGTTTTAAACTTAAGCCCATCTTGCTACACATAGTCACCTAATCGTACTCCTTCCTCAATGTTGAGTGATTCTCTTTCAAAAATGTTTACGAAGATATACGAGTTTATCATCCAAAGATGGTATTAACCGATTTTCTCCAAACTACGTATTCTACATATATATATATATAATTGTATAGTCTGTAGCTGGAGTTTCAGGCTATAATTTTTTGTAGTATTTGACGGGAATTCTTTTGTTCGTTTAGCATATAAAATGATTTGCTTCTATGTTTCATCTCTTTTTTGGTTTTTTTGTAACTGGTTTTGTAAATTCTCCGTCCTCTCAAATAAATTTTAGTGATTTGTCATGAGGGGTTCAGCAAAATTTAAACCCCGAATCACTAAAACGGAAAAATTCTATATATATGCAGGTCCATGTGATAATTGTCCACCGTCAGTCGAGCCTTGGGTTATGCAATTTTGCTCAATGCCAGAAAATAAATGGTATGCAAAAATAGATCGCAATTGGTTAATAGATCCTTTCAATCAATACGGATTAGAAGAAATTTTACCAAATTTCGATCTTGCTCTCGATATGATAACAGATGAACACTCCAAAAAATGGATTTACCTAACAGATCAGAATATTTCAGCAGTTCTTGTCCAAGCAAAACATCTTTATGGTATGCTTCATGCAAGATATATTACTCAAAGTCCTGGCTTAAAACAGATGAAAGAAAAATACAACGAAGAGCTATTTGGTACATGTCCAAGAGTCAATTGTGACAATGCGAAACTTCTTCCTATCGGAACTACTTTTCGCGTGAAACATCATTCAGTAAAATTATTTTGCCCTTGCTGCTACGACATATACAAAGCACCACGGAAAGTTGCTCTAGATGGTGCCCATTTTGGATCTGCTTTTCCTCATATTTTTTTAGCAAGTTATCCTGCATTGGATATGCATTCCAAGTTTAAGCAATTTGATATACATATGTTTGGCCTGAAGTTGAATAGAAATAGTCTCCCTGCTTTTATACCTCACGAAAGAAATGTTCATCAGCATGATATTTATTCTGATTATGATGAAGAAGAGGAAGAAGAAGATGAATCGGATGACAACTAACCATATAAATATTTGTTTGAATTTTTTACAAATACTTTAATTTTTTTTTTTATCTAATAACAAAAATAAAGAAAGAATTCTATGAATCAGTGGTCTGATTCAGAATACATATAAATATCATAATAAATTCATAAAATAATAATAAATAATATCATAATGATCTATATTTTTCATTAAAGATCAATTGTAGCATTAGCTGAATAAGTAAATCGCCTATCATTCCTATTTGCAAGCGAATCACAAGGTTGCATGATATAAGCCTGACGATAATTGCTGTCATAATTTTTGTTATGTGTAGGGCATGTTTTATATATAAGTTGAACAATAGGACAAATTCTATCCATCTGATGTATCAAAGCAGGAGCTGTTTTTGTATCCCAATCGTAAATATAACCATCACTTCTAGGCCTCTGCTCATAAATGGAATAACATGCTGAAGCATAGTACGTTGCGTTGAAGTCTATCCAAATTTTTGTAAATACTTTCCCATAAACGGCAAAATTAAAATAAGATTGATCGCGGCTCATTTTGTGGAAGAATTTTGGCAAGGAAATTACTGTATGATAAAATTCAGCCATTAGATAGCCTTTTCCTATAACAAATCCTCCGTTAATAAGGAATTTTTTCGCATTTGCTAATAAATTTGCAAATTCAGATGAAAAATACGCAGACATGAAGTACTTTTCCCAATCATGATTGGCAAACGTAACTCTTTCTATTGACATCGATATTTTATCTTGAGGAGCATCTTTAATGAAAGGATCTTTTTGGAAAATCGAATCATAAATATCCGAAAACATCATTCTATCAAAATACATGGAGCAATACTCTGCAAATACGTATTCAATGATTTTACGGCACATACGTACATCGTTAAAGATATTATCACTATGATAAGGAACAACTTGAATTGTAACTCCACAGTTAGAAAGATCGCGCCAAACACTTTCATGATGAAGATCATAGAGTTTCTGTGTAACAAGAAAGATAATGCTGCAGCGGCATTGTGCTGATCGTAGTGTTCTAACCCAATTTAGAATATTATGTGAAGTGTTACCCATCAAATATGCAAATGCAACGTCATTTTCGGTACTATTTGATCCTGAGTAATGACGTACAACATTGCAATAATCACAATTTGAAAGTTTTTTCGCATTTGCCTTTGCAATTTCTGCAAGGTGGCCATTTTTAAAGAATTCAACATCCCCACAGATTTGCTTGGCCTTTTCTTCATATTCTAATGTTTCTTTTGTAAAATAACGAGAAAATGTTAATACTTGTGGTGCATTTCTGAGGTTTAGAAAAAATAAAGAGAGGATAGTATACAACAGAAGTGTTTCACTAATAAGCCAGTCTGTTGATGCAGCCCTTCTATTGCTATACCTCATAAAATCTGGTGTAATGATATCAAAATTAACTCTCAATTTTTTGAGAAAAAAAATTGAAAGGTTTTATGTTTACTAATATCAACTTATAATGCTCTATAAAACTATAGAAATTTTGTGTAAAAAATAAAAATATACATTTTCATGCTTTTTGTAATGTATCTAAGATATATTACTTTTATCACTTCAAACATGCGATTTGCTAATGAATATTTCTTCAATTTAGAAATTTCAAATTTTGAATCATGGATATTTTTGAATTAACGCATTAATATTTGTATCTATTGGTCGATGTATTTATAAATTATTGCTCATGAATCATAGGAAACGAAATTTAAAATATATGTCTCTATCAAAAGGGGGAAGATTTTGCAAGACCCTGCTAAATTTTCATTATTATGCATCCAGCAGCAGAAGTTGAAGTTCACCATCGCCGAAGGAGACATCATCATAATAGTAATGCTGCTGAGACAACACCTGAAGAGGCGCAGCAAATTACAGAAAAAGTTGCGCAATTAGAAGAATCAGGTGAAATTAATCCTTACACAAACAAGCCATACAGCAAGAATTATTACAAAATCCTCGAAACCAGAATGAAATTACCTGTTTATGAGAGAAAAGATGAGATTATTGAAGCTGTAAGGAACAGCAAAGTTACAATCATCGAAGGTTCAACAGGTTCCGGTAAAACAACACAGATTCCACGATTTCTCCTTGAAGCCAACATTATTGACCCATCACAAAAGATTGTTTGTACTCAACCTCGTAGAGTTGCTGCAATCAACGTCGCATCACGTGTTGCTGATGAGATGGATATCGAACTTGGCGCAGAAGTTGGTTACTGTGTCAGATTCGATGCGAAGGAGACCTCAAAGACACGCCTTACCTATATGACTGATGGTCTTTTGATGAGAGAATTCGTTATCGATCCAAATGTAACAAAATACGGTATCATCATCATCGATGAAGCCCACGAACGTACAATTAACAGCGATATTATCATCGGTTTACTCAAGAGATTAGTTAATAAACGTGATGATCTCAAAGTTGTCGTCATGTCTGCTACTCTCGAAGCCACCAAATTCCAGCGCTTCTTCGATAATATCACCGACGATTCCGAACCATGCGTTACTCCACACATTGTCGTTCCCGGCAGATTACATAAGGTCGTTAAGGTCTATACAGAGGCAGCAGTGCCAAACTACCTCAACGAAGCTGTTTCCCGTACACTAGATATCCATTTCAACCAGCCAGAAGGCGATATCCTCCTTTTCCTCACTGGTGAAGAAGAAATCGAGTCAACATGTGACAGATTACGAGCTGAAATCTCAGGCCAGACACATTCCACAGGTATAAGTGCATACGTTCTTCCTCTATACGCATCCTTGCCTCCACAGGAACAAGCGAAAGTTTTCAAACCGGCCAAATATCCAAACACGAGGAAAATCATTGTTTCCACAAATATTGCAGAAACATCTGTCACCATTGACGGTGTTGTTTATGTCATTGATCCAGGCATGGTCAAGCAAAACACATATAATCCGGAGCGTAGAATGTCTTCTCTTTTAGTTGTCCCCATTTCGAAAGCAGCTGCTGTACAAAGGGCAGGACGTGCAGGCAGAACAAGAAGAGGTATCTGCTACAGATTGTACACTCAAGAAACTTTCGAAAAAGAACTTCAAGAGCAGACAACACCTGAAATACAACGCTCTGATTTGGCAAGTGTTTTATTGTTGATGCTGGCCGCTGGAATTTCCGACATAATGCACTTCCCATTTATAGATCCGCCTGAATACAAACTCGTCAAATCTTCCATTGAAGAACTCTACTTCCTCGGTGCTGTCGACATCCAAGGAAATCTCACTGAAAAAGGCCGTTTAATGTCCTTGATTCCAATCGAACCAAAACTTGCTGCGGCTTTGATTTCATCCAAAGATTTCAACTGCACAGTGGAGATGGCAACAATCGTTGCAATGCTTTCTGAACAAGGACAGCCATTCATGAGACCTGTCAAAGAAAGCGCAATGGCTGATGCAGCTCACCGACCATTTAAGTGCGGTTTTTCAGATCACATTTCACTTCTCAGGTGTTTTAACGAGTTTGCGAAAGACCCATCGAAGAACTTTTGCAACCAGCACTACTTGAATTACAGGATGCTTGACAGGGCTTATAAATCAAGACAGCAATTGCTTTCTTTGTTGAGAAAGAATGGAATTGAAGCTGTTTCGATTTATGATGACAAAGAATGTCAAAATCCAGAAAAACATATCATTCATGCACTTTTGATGGGAATGTTCATGCAGACATGTGTTTATAATCCACCAACAAAACAGTACTCGTTCATGACTGGCCAGAAAGAGGCTGATATCCATCCTTCTTCTTCAATTAGAAGTATTCCAACATGGCTCATATACACTGAGTATGTTTTCACTAATAGTGAGTTCATTAGAGGATGTTCTGAGATAGAAGACTCATGGATAATCCAATCTTGCCCTGAATTCTTCGATCCTGAAAGATATCCAATCGGAAACATCAAAAATGCCCTCAGGAGATTGATAGATAACGAAAATAGAAAGAAGAAAGAAGAATTATATATTATGAATAGAGTTATATTTTTATAGAGATTTTTTTAACAAAATAAAAGTGTATTTTACAAATTTATAGAGTTTGTTTATGGTAAAAGTTAAATGACTCAGATTTATTAGTTATTAGTTAGTAAAGTTGCATTTGGCTGTTATTCTCCTATGTGCTTGTTGCTTAAATTCATTTAAAAACGCCGCAGATATTATGTTCGATAAGATTATAAAAAACAAATTTATAAGCAATTTTAGAAGCACTTATCGAATAGTAAAGAAAATGTTGAAGTTCTTCTTTAACATGGTTCGAATACAAATGAAAAAGGTTTTTATGGAGAAACTGCTCTTCATATGGCATCAAGAAGAAATGATAAAAAAACACTAAATTTCTTCTAATGAATAGTGCAAGTGTCAGTGAAAAAAGTGATGATGGTTTCACCGCTCTTCATTTTATAGCAAAAAAAAAGTATTGTACAGAAAGCACTGAATTTCTTATTTCACAGGGTGTAAAAATCAATGAAAAAGATGGGAAAAACACTCTTCCTGAATTGTTTTTTATGATGTGGTACTAACTCAATTGAGAGCACTTCTATACCACACAAAATATTTAAAGCTGATTGTTGCAACTCGATTATTGTAGTTTTATTATATATGTATTATTAAGGGTGCACACGAGAGGATCATGTAAACTTCAGAATTTAGAACCTTATTTTTAGGCATTATCTTGGCTACCTATTTAGGCTCGAAAAGCAAAAAATATCAAAAAATACAACTTGACTCCATTATGACCCTTTCATGGAGGTAGTTTTTATCCGCTAGTATTTTCCCTTTGAATCTCTTTACAATTCGAAATCAAATTCAAACCTCAGTAGAAGAAAGGAAGAATCGACTTACTACGGTTGTAATACGAATAAATACATATATTTAATTATTTTTATTTACATAATAATTGTTTGAAGCTCATATTCCATCAAATTTTTAAATAAAAACATTAAAATGTTGAAAATGTTCATATATTTAATAGGGTTTTGGCACTTTATTGAGGAATTACTACATACATAGTCGAACTGAACTTGATATTTTGAAATTTAAATTATTTATCAAAATTAAAATTTAACTTGAAATTTATAATTATTTAGTCATATTTTGCATAATTCTAAGTAGATTTTGTAAAAAATCAAGAAAGAAAAATTTTAACGTGCTTTATTTTTTCTTTTTTATAATAATACATATTATTATATAATTAACATATTCATAATGTTTCACCCTTTCAAAAATATCCTCCTCCTCCTCTCAAATAAACGTACATACGGGTGGCCTCTTTTTTCAAAAAATTAAAATTTGAAATTTTGGGGCTCAAATATTAGAGATTTTTTCAACCTTCCGATATATGTTGTCTATATCAGACCTCCTTTCTTTTTGATACTTAACATTGTTCCTAAATCTTAGCCGTTAACGGCTGTTCTGAAAATATTTTTTTTTTCGAAAAATTCGAAAAAAATTCTCAAAATTCAAAAATCCCTTAATTCCTGAGGATTTTGGAAAAAAGTTTTTACATGAACATGTGTATATTATATGAAGTATATTGATAAGGTAAAAATCAAATTTTATTGCATATTTCGAGAAATAAACTAACTAACGAATCCTCAAAATTGAGAGGGTAATCCTCCTCCTCTCAAATAAACGTACATACGGGTGCACCCTTAAAACTTATGTTATTTGGTATTAGAAAATAATTAATTATTCTTTATTTACTCCTCCTTGAGGTGTTCGATGTGCTGGACGTAGATACCATCGAGGAACTTACGAAGATCCTTATCTTTGATCTTTGTGAGCTGGTGGATCTGGCCGCAGACAAGGGAGACGTCTTCGAGGTTGGCACCTTCGATGTTGATCTCATCCTTGGCGACGGATTCGTTGGACCAGATTCTGACGCCTTCTGGAGCTGTAACAATCTTGTGCTCCTTATGACCCATGAAGCCGTTGAAATCGAATGTACGGCCATCCTCAGAGCATGTGTGCTTGATTGGGAAGTGGGAGTAGACGAAGTGCATCTTATAACGCCAGCCGAGTGTAACACCGGTGATCATGTTCTTGACGATGCCGAAGAGTGTGCCAATACGGGCAAGGAGCTTGCGGTTGCCGAACCAGCAGCGGGCAACGATCTGGTGATCCTTCTCATCGTACTCGAAGTCAAGCTTGAGGTGGGAGAGATCCTTGACGAGCTTTGTTGTCTTCTTGTCCTTTGGATCTTGGTGCTCGATTGTGACAACACCAGACTTAACTGTGCACTTGATGTTCTCTGGGATCTTGAAATGTTCCTGATGAAGAACTGGACGAGGCATTGGCCAAAAGGTAGATCAAACCGCTTAAGCCCTAGATTGAGACTTTTTTACGGTTTGACATTCATATTAATATTATGGTTTTGAATAATTACAAAGGTACATTCACTAGGCGATAACAGTAAAATGGGATGAAAATAGGATAAATAGCATCCCTATATAGTGCCTAACAATATTTATACGGGCCAAAAAAATTTGGCTAGAGATTTGGTGAGTTATAAAACTTAGAAAATTGAGAGGGATTTTTATTTTTGAATTTTTTTTGGAAAGTTAAAATTGCGATTAAAAATCGATTTCCAGGAGAACTAAGCATCTCATCATATATTTAAATCGATTAAAATATTAAATAATAGTTGAATAGTATAACAACGTGAAATTATGGCTGAATCTACAGAAAAAATGAACATATTTGACATTTTTGAAAATTCATACGTTAGATGGTGACAGACTCATAAACTATATTTTAGCTAAGATTGATATATGGTTTCAACAACACATGGTTAAAATCGTAAAAATATTTTAGATTTCAAAAGATATATATGGTAATATAATGGAACAAAGTCAACAAATAGCATGTTAAATATGTTATAATTAACTTTTTATTAGATCCAATAGTAGATATCGAATGGTTTCCAGCTTTATGGTTAAATATTTTCTTTTCGAGCTTCTCTTTAACTGTTGTATTAAGGTTGTAAATTTTTGATGCTAGAAACTATGGAATCTTCTTTGCTGCTGCATTTTTCTTGAGAGTTCTTGCAATTTCGAATAGATCTGCGCATTGTATGAAATGGAGGCTTTAAAATATCTTGAAAACAGAATAGGACTGCTTTTCCAAAGGAATGCTTACTTGTAAATCAGAGAGTTTCAAAATTGACAGCAAGATTATCATCATAACTTTCGATTTTGCTGCGAAAAAGGAAGACAAGTAATTAACAAATCATTTACTGTTGTTCATCAAAAGAAGAAAACTTTGATAACAACTAATGATGATAAGATCAAGCTATCTTTTAATATTTTAAATTAATAAGACATTCAAAATATTTGAATGGTTTAAAATATTTTCTTTTAATTTCTATAAGATATTATCATGATTATATAATAAAATTTAAATTTTTATTCAAAAAGGCAATATTTCAAACTTTTAATTTCAAAAATCTTAATTCTGCAATAAGTGTATTTAATTGTAGCAAATTTAATGATCCTTCGTCATGCTTAGCAATTTGGAATAAGGGTTTCGTTTTGCTAAAATTGTCACTTTTATAGCATATTTGTTTTTGGATGTTTTGCGAAACCAAAAAAAAAAACTATGATATACAATGTGTGTGTAAAGAAAATACTTTATTTACTAGTTAAAAAATCATTTGGTATTGATCAAGTTATTTTTTCTGGATAAGATATTATATGGATAATTGGATAGAAAATACAATTATATAATCTTGTACCTGGTTTAATTAAGCTAATTGTCATCAGAAACTTGTAATTTTTATGAATTTCAGATTTTCTTTTCATTACTGCTTTCTTAATAGGTCAAGTTCTTATTTACGTTATAAAGTATGATATTTACAAATATCAAGTTATCATGTTTTTTGAGAAATTATGAGAAACAAACAAAAATGAAAAAGATAGGAATAGCAATGAATAGTGATGTGGGTATAGAAAATGTAAGAGATATGAATGCAAAGCAATCAGTATTTAGGATATTGACCATAGATTTCGAAAAAAAAATGCTGCATATTGAGCGAAAACTATGATTATATTATAAGGCTGTCATTTAAAGCATAATGAAACTATTCCCTTTTCATTTTAATCGAATAAGATAGTAAAGATTTTTGAATTAGCTAGAAACTGATGAGATGTTTTCACAAATCAGATTTTTAATCTCTATAATGCATAATTCACTCAATATCTCAATTTTGATATTGCGAGATATTTTTGCTATCGGTTTCGCAATTTTGACACACATAGCAAGAGGGTTCTATAAGCATTATTATCAACGTAGAATCTGAATATCATATCAGAAAATGTCGCAAATCTGACATTTACCCGACCAAATAGCAAAAATAATTGAATACTTTTCGCAAAAACTTTAAAAATCGATAAAAATGAAATATAGATATTAAAGAGACTTTTTATATAATATTCATAAAGATTTTCCAAAAATATGATACCGCAAAATTAAAAAAAGTGACGTCTTGAGTGGAGTCAAAGGAAATTGCTAGCTAAATGTTTTTTTTAGCGAAATTGCGTATTGTACGTTTTTTTCGCAAAACGAAACCCTTATTTGGAACTCATAAATTAATGATTTCTTCAAGTAAAATTCTGCATTATTTCAAAAGTCAATAATTCTCTAGTAACTTTTCTTCAAACCTAACCATTATATTATATGTATAATGGAAATAATTGCAAAAAAGATAGCCGAATTTACTGGTAGTTCTTGTGATGCGAAATAATTGCAAATTAACACCTAGTTTTAACAGCATCAATCTCTTTTTGCTCTCATTTAAATGCATTCGCACACTTTAATTTTGAAATATAAGAGTTTTGGAAATTATCAAATTTATCTGCTCAAATACTATAGATCTTCATAAGTGTTAATAGAATCATTAGCCTTACATATAGTGTTTAATATAATGATGCACATTATACTGGGATTCGTTCCTTATTCATCTAGTTATTATAAGATTTACAACCCCATGAAAATTTAAAATTTTGTCAAAAATAGTGAATGTACCTTTATAATTACTTATAAAGTATATATGGAATAATGATAGAATTCTCATAGATATTTGTTTTTCTCAAAGAAATCATTTTCACTCAATATTATTGGCGCCTCGCGCCGATAGATTTAAGAATATAGAGGACAGCACCTACACTTTTTACATTATGAACCTACAGTAAATTAACATCCTGTGTTTATATTTTTTATGACTTAATTTTGATAGTTTTTGTTGAGAAATTTTAATCATATTTTAAATAAATATATAATATTATTCTTGGATATTTGGATGACGAAAAGCGCCAATCATATATCGAGGAATTCAATTTTTCAAATAAATTATTGGATTATCATCAAAAATCATAGAAAACTAAATATTTAGTTACGATAATGCATAAGGAATATGTATTCATTGCGTGTGTCTTGCCGAACAAATGACGATAAAGGTTCTCAAAAAAATTTATTAACAAGACCTCAATTCCAAGTATCACTCTGGTCTAAAGTCTTGTTGTAATGTGTACAAGTCCCAACAAATTCTTAATAAGTGCTTTACTTTCAACATTTATTTCGAGAATTCTCTAATATCTAAAAATATCCTCTAAGTTAATTCGTCCATACTAAAAGTCTATCTTATATTTTACGTAATAATCTTTTAAATCGAATATTAATCAATACACTTAAATTTACTTGAATAAATACTTTTCCTATAATCACTATGTGTTTGTTTTGCCGAAGGTAGCATACCTGCCCGAAGGGCAAGCGTAGCCACCTGAGGTTAGAAATTATATTATAACAAATTTGATTTTGTGGACTAAAGAATCGTGGTAAGTTTAAATCTTCATATTGTAGCTCATTAAACTTTAATTAACTCTTTCAGACAATCAAGATCACAAAACTTTATTTGCATGCCACTATATAATCAGGAAATAAACATAAATTAGATATTTCCTCAATAGATCACAAGATACAACCACTAAGCTATTGAAAATGAGACAGATCACAATTAATACCACGAAGTAAAAACGATATCGTAAATTTTATCGTCAATTTTTTTATCCAAGATTTAAAGTTTTAAAACAGATAAAATTTGAAGTTTTTGACCTGATGATTTTCCAGAATTTCGGTTTGACATAGGCAAATAGTGTCATTTGCCATTTTTCAATATGCTCTTCCTATTTCTGGTTTTTTTGATCAAACTCAGATCCGATACTGAAAGACACTGCAATTCACGTTTATATGTTAATCGTAAGTGGGAGCTTGAAGACGGTCGCACATTATTTTATAACACGAAGAAGACTGTTTGCAGGGGCGGCATGATGCTAACTTCAACCGAAATTGAAAATTATGCTGTAATTGTTGACGGCACAAATCAAATCAAATTTGATCAAGATTCTGACAGTGTCAAACTTGCTGATGGAAGAATCGCATCAGTTCGTAGTGACAACTATTTGAGAATCGTTGGTAAAAGTATTATAATGACAGAAACTTATAAACTTGGCATAGTATCTAAAGTTTGGTGAAGAATCTTAAATTTTAATTTCAAATAAAAGATTTCTTCTAGTCGTAAATAGTTTACGTTTAACTACTACTAATTATAATAATATATATCTTTATATATCACATTTATTTTAATATTTTGAAAAATAATTCAATAATTAGAGTTTTCTGAGAGAATAACAATACGGTGTCTATTAGGAGACCAAAAGAATCAATCAAATGTTATATTTCGCGGCCATTTTACAACTCTTAAGATGATTTCGTTTGAAATTTGATTTGATCTTTTTCCAGATTTTGCATGTGGAATCCTTAAGTTAATGTGATTTAATGAATTTTATTTGGTAATGCCATACTTCCAAAGAATGTGTGTTAAAACAACATTAAAGTGTCCAAGGTGCAATCCATAATTGAAATTTTTCAAAATATCAACTTTATTTTATAATTTTACAAATTAAATCAAAAAAAATCATTCCAATTCATCAGATAATTTTGTATCTTCATCAGATAAATGATCATCATCACTATCTTCACTATCGGCTTTTTGAGATGTAAGTTTTCTTAAGACTTGAGAACTCTGAGAGCTTTGAGAGTTCTGAGCTTTGCTTTCAAGAATTTCCCTCTTCAATGTTTCCATGGATGTTCGGACGTCAGCTTCATCATTCGAAGATTCTAAATCCTTATCATCATCGTCATCTTCATCATTCAAGTTTTGCTTGTCATCTTCTGCTTCACTTGAATATCCAGATTCATGAACCTTTCTAAGTTTCCTTATCTTTGGCTGTGAAGGAACATCTCTCATGATATCTCTGACTTCCTGAGAAACACCAAGAGCGTCAAACATTTCATCATCATCTAAAGCCATATCATCAACTTCATCGAACAATTCATCGCTATCAGGACCAACTAAAATCAATAAAAGGGTTGATTTCTGACGCTTAACATTGTATAAGAATTTATTGATAATGCTATGCATAACTTCACGAAGTTCGATAATCTCTGGTTCTTCAGATTTCTGGAAATCTTTGTCTGTGAGGACTTTGTTGATGATAATGAAGTATGTGAGTTTAAAGAGATGCGAGAGACCACTCCTCTTAAAAACAAATCTTTTCAGCATTTTTGCAATTGATCCAAGTTCTTCTTGATTGCATTTACGCCAATTTTCAATACAAGTGAAATATGGATCGAGTACATTTGTTCTTCTGGTCAGTCTCTTAATAATGGCTTCAGCATCAAATGCTTCATAATCCACAAAGATTTCATCAAACTCATCAGCTGTTGAAGTTGAATCCCCGTATGTTCTCTTTCTAACCATTTTCTCTGTTTCTGCAACCTTGTAAAGTTGGAGAAGTCTCTCCAAAGAGATAATAGCATCTTGTAGCATGTAAACTGGAGAGTTTGATTTGAGTTTCTTTGACAAAACTGTAATTAAAAAGTCTTCAATGTCTGTTGCACTTTCAGTAACAATAGATTTAGCAGCTTTGATTTCTTCTCCATCTAATGACTTCATAATAACATCAACTAAGAATTTTGCTGCATAGCCAAAGAGAAGGCATACCTTGTTAAGAGCTTTGTTGAGAGGAGTGGCATCAAGATTTGCAACTCTTGCGTCCATGTAAAAGTTAGCCATTGTTAGGAAGTATTTGATATTTTCTTCACTGACTAATGGTCGAACAGAAAATTGACCTCCATATTTAAGAATGAACTCAAGATAGAACCTTGTGAGATCAACCATTTGTATTTGCTCTGTAATTGAAATTGTTGCATCGTATGCAGAAAAGCTTCTTGGGAGAACGCGTGAGAATACATATTTGAATGAATCTGTTCCAATTAATCTTCTAGCTGCTTCTTGGACTTCTGGAGTGAATTGTGGTGGAATTTCACGCGATTCTATAATATTACGCCTTGAATGAGGTTTAATAATTGATGTTGGATCAACGCCTTTATCTATAACTTCTGATGTAATCGGACCATTATATACAAACCCTTTTGTAGATGATTTAACCAATAAGGATCCACCCCAATGGCCATGTCTTGATGGTTTGTTTAGCTTTTGACTCTTGAGTTGGGAAGCAAGCGCATCTAGTGGACTTGGTTTCTTTGGAGAATTAGGAACAACTTCTTGCTTTGGTTCTTCTTCAGTAGTTGTTAATGGAAGAAATGGAACGAAGCTTCCATACAAAATTCCAGCAAGAATTTGTGCAAATTTTTTAATTCTGGAACCAAATGATTTGATCTTTAATACTTCAATGATCTCATATAGACCACCTTCATTAAGGATGTGAAACAGACTCTCGCTAACATCTGAAGGAGATGGAATAACTAAAACGTTGCGAATGAATGTAAACCCGACTTCAGCTTTCTGAAAATCTTCCTGAGAAGCATGAGGATCTATAATAATACTATGAACAAATTCCAATGCAGTAAGTAAAACATCTTTCTTAAAAGTCAAAACTCTTTTGTAGTGTTGATAGATATTATTGAGTATTTCTATATCGTTTGCATTCGCAGGGTATGGATATGTACATGAAGCAAGTGCTTTCAATGCGATGAATGATAAATCTGGTGATTCAGATAAAAGAAGAGGGCAAAAGTGAGTTTCAAATGTTCTTAGATCAAATATTTGCTTTGTAATTGGTTTTTGAATGTTATCCTCTGTCCATATCGAATAAGCAAGCTCTTCCAGGTTAATCTTGCAATCATCAAATTCGATATATTCATCATCTACTTGACGACCGAGGTTGTTAGCTAATTCCGAAATCCTAGCTTCATTTGCTTGCATTTCAGAATATGTACGTTTATGAAAAAGGGGGAGGAGTTTTTGGAACCTGAAATTTTGTCAAGTGAGCTTCCGACCAAACTTTCTCACTTGGGGAAAAGTCCCATAATATAGGTATATTTTGTATCAACCACAACGAACAAAATTCAACTTAATCTTGATTATCAAATTTGTTTGATGTTCGTTTCATACAATCATATACTTCATAATTGTTATCAATGCCTATATGTAAGTCTAACTATATAGAGAATGATCGCTGAATAAAACTTAATAAAAAAAATGAAATGAAAAATCTCTTGAGAGGGAACATATATCTTTATTTGCTTCGCAAATTTGCTTACAACAAAATTTTAGGCTCCTGGAGCTGTGTTTTCAATGATAACTTGTGTGAAGTAAGCAATCATCCATGGAACACAAATAATGATTATATCTCTTGTTGTGTTCATTGCAAAGAACCAGCCAAGAACTGTAAGAATGGCTCCTTTGTACATTGGATCACCCATTGTAAATGGGAAACCGCTAATGTTCTTTGGCTTTGATGTTTTGAGTTCATTGCCATAGTAAACGCCAGAATCTCCAAGAACGTTGTAAACAACTTCATTTAAATACTGGCCAACGAAAACAAGAGGGATAGCAATGCAAAGACCAGGACCATTGATTCCAGCTCTAAAGCAGGTTGGAAGATGGAACACTGCGCCAATTATTTTGTTCCATGTTGAAATTTGGATCAAAGTTTTTTGGGTCATGATCTTACTAAGGGTGTTAGGGAACTTGTAAGCGCAAGTATAGAGGAAGTATGGGAAAAGTGTTGTGAAAATGCACACAAACTGTGAGAAATCAATATGCATTGTGATAAGATGATGAATCAAAAATTTGAAACAGTACACAATTTTAGAAATTCGTGTATGGTTTAATACAATATACTATATTATTACATCTTTTCGAAAATTTAAGATAAGTTACTTTTTTAGGTATTCAATCGACTAAAATTTCTCTCAAAATATCGGCACTGAAATTTTTTTTATCTTAATCGATGGCTAAATATTATAGAATATCAATATATAATCATCAATGATACCAACATCTCCTCGTCGAACAATTTCCTTTCAATTCTCTAAGAAATTAATTAAATTTGAAAATGAACCATGGATTTGTGTGGGGTATCAATCATGAAATCCATTTCACAAACTAAAATCAATTATGCACTAGAATATGTAATCAAATAACTTAAGATTTTAGATATAATTACTCACATAAACAGCTATGCTGAGAAAAACATTAATTGAGGATCATTTCGGACGAAAATACAACTATAAAGTTGATGTTTTTAAAAGGGGAAAAAAGCTTGAGCGTTCGACCTTGACAACCATAAGCTTACACACTTTACCCCGTCAAGGAGTGGTTGAGTGGAAAAAGATTTTGTATGTAAAAAGTTTGTGGAATTAAAATAAATATATTGAAAGAAACTTATTTTACGCTAAATTTCGGATGAGTTGTCTTTGTTAGTGTTTGTTATGCCAAGAAATCCAATTGGATTTGATGATACACAACAGGAATACGCTTTATTTTATAAACAATGACTGTTTTTATCGTTATCATTTCATATCACATCGCTGCAATACAAATAATTTTCCCCACCCTTTTCTTTTATCTTTAGAATGGTAAAAATCCATTGCCCTCCAATATCAAAAGTGCAATTAACTCAAATATGTTCATAGTGGGAATCATTGGCATTCCAATTGTCAAAGTGTTGTACAGTCTATGATCTGACCAATCAATGGGCTGTCCAATCCATTTCAGCAAGTGAATTCCAATTCAGATTTCCACTCATTCTTTCATGAGAGTTCTTTACGTCAGAAGTATTATATCTGTGCAATCTCACTGCTAGGACACAGTAGCCAGGTTTCACAGGTATTACATTCCTAGAGTTATTAATTAATTGTTATTGTTCAATTGCATTTAAACCGTCGCTTGGTCTCCAAATAGTTAAGGATTCTGTCACTACTCGAATACGGCATGGTTCTACCGAAATTTCTCATTCATAGAGAAATCTCGGAAGAATCTTGGCTTAAAGTACTCTAGTTACGATTCCTTAGTTTCTAAAGAGCCAATGGTTCTGTAATTGATCGAATAAAACAGAATTTTTCCAAAGTCTCTCATTTAAGAGAGGCAACGGTAAAACTCTGCCCTAATGTAATGTGGTTGTGATGCTTGGTTTACAAAGAGTGAGATAATTTATATGTGATTTGTTTATGCTGAAGTATTTTAAATTTCTCTCAAATGAAGAGCGAAATCCAGAAAACCCCAGCATACGTTAATGCTGTTGTGATTTGCTGGCACTTTACAGGCCAGAGAATGAGAAAATAGTTTATGGTGAGAAGAGGATCTAAGTGCTTACGCAATGCAAATATACGTTAATCAATTTTTCATTTTTATACGATTTATACTTAATAAATCATTTGATCTCTTATTTAAACCAAATTTTACCAGATCTTCTTTCAAGATCTAAATTAAATAATATTTAAAACAGCAATAAGTTGAAATTTTAACTAGGAAATTAATGTCTTCGAATAAAAAATTAGAATTTACTCGATTTAAATTTCCAAAAAAATCGCATTTTTTCATTTTTATTGAGAAACTTGTAGTTTTTCCATTTATTTTTAGATTTTCGAATTTTTTTTTGGAATTTTAAAACATCAACATTTCTGCTCGAATAAGTTTTTTTATCATGACACATATCAATTGATTTATGAAATTGAATTTTTTTGAAATTCCCAAATTTATTTTTGAAATTGAGTCAAAATATAGATGTTTTCTAAGGTTCTTAAGGAATTTAATTTAGCAGTTTTTGACATTTTTGTTTAAAATCATGAGTCAATAATAATTAAGATTTCGATTGCATATTCAATGTGTATATTCTGCTAAAACATACCAGAATCATCAAGCGAAATATCAAAATTCGCATTTTACAAAACAAATACCATATTTCAATTTTTATTTTTTCGATTAGTAGGTTCTCAATAAAAATAAGCTAATGCTATCGTTTAAAACATCTAAATAATGATATTTGCTGTTATTAAGTTCCTTCATTACAACATACATCCAACTTTTTTTGTTAATACAACAGCATGCAATAACAAATCAAGTAAAAAATACAAGTATTACACCTTGTTAATAAAAATTGAAAACAATTCTATTTACAAATATAGAATAAATTATAGCAAAGCAAATATCTTTATAAAAAAATACAAATTATATATATAAATAACACAAAATACAAAGTTATGGCGTTCTGAGCCTTAGAGACTCTTCATCGTCTCTCTTTATCGGAGATTTGGTTGCAATTTTTACTATAATTCCGCTAACTACAGTAACGACAATACCAAGTGCAGCGACCATGAATGGTGCCGCAAATTGAACTAAAGGCAACTTTTCATCGTCAACATTTGGTTGTTGTTGTACTTGGCAACCCTTATTGTTAATTTTTGCGATTGGATTGAGTGTAATATTCTTTTTCGGAAATACGTGAAGCGTATGAAGTCTTGTAATGAGCTTTGTTTCTTGTTCTCCTTCAAGTTCGAATTTAATAACTTTTTCTGATCTGCAATTAATGAAATTGACTGTGCCTGAGACCATATCGCAGTAATAGTCTTGTTCACCGCCAATTAAAACAGTATTTATGATCGAATGGTTTTTAACTTCGAATTTCATTCTGTTTTTGTAGTCGTTGAAGATAATATTCCATGAATCGAATATTGTAGGATTAGAAGATGCCTTTGAAGTGTAGTCGAAGAGAATAAACGATTTTCCAACCGTATTATTCTCTAAATTGAAGTATTTTCCGTAGCCAACTTTGCCATTATTAATCGAGAATGCGGGAGAATACATTGCATCGCATTTTGTTATATTGATGTCGCTTGAATGCATTTCTGATTTTACAAAAATTGCAGATTTCTGCTGCTTCTTGTAAAAAACAGGACACCTTGAGATGGACGTATAGTTCTGCTTGAGAAGACACTTATTAGATTTGATTGCAAATGCATGACCTTTTCTCGACGCACTGCACTGGATAAAGCAATTTGATTGCAGATTTGATTCGGTTATAACTCCACTGAGGTATATTGCACCACCATCTTCTTGCGCGATGATTGAGAAACAGGAAATAAAAGAAGATTTCGAAATCGAAATTGTTGGCGTATGCTCAATATGAATGGCTCCACCGCCTTCATTTTCATCAGTGGAACGACACTCAAGGAATTGGCAATCTGAAACTTGGAATTTCGTTTGATTTCGTTTGACGAATTGAGTTTTTGTGAAAATCTGCAGAGATGAGTAGTAAATTGGAGTCGATAATGATTTAATGAACTTTGAATGATGGAAATTAGCCTCTAAATGTGGGTTGCTTGAATAAAATGTCGAAGCAATCTGTTTGAATGAAGTTAGATGGCTAAATACTGAAGAAGAATGATCTAGGTATGCAGGCCTCGAATAAAAAGGTGATGTTGCAATCGATTTTAAGGTAAGAAATGAAATAGAAGTATTCATATAATAAAAAGTGACAAAATATATCATATGTTACTAGTTTCTACGGAGATTCATTGGATAACATCTTTCTTTCATAGACAAAGATTTGGTGTTATGCTATTTAAATACCATCCTGATCAGTCATTTCAAATTCAATCATGAATTCTAGTTTCAAAATTTGTTTTTTTTAGTTTGATGAGCGTTTGCTCTCTAGAATAGTCAAAATGAAGATAAAATACACTTCTTTTGTTTTCAATTAAGACTGTGGTTAACTTATTATGAAAATACCTAATATTAAGCTTTAAAACTACTGATATAATAAACTTAGAGACACCATATGATTGAAATTCTTTTTGTAATCAATAAATGATCAATATCTCAATAAATTTGTTCAATTCATTTTCCAATCTCAAAACATTCTTGAGCTAAACTAAGAATAACTTAAAAATCATTTATTCCATACTGATGAGTATCAAAACTACTTAATTCCATTCCTATAAAAGTTTGATTTAAAATGAAGAATTCCAATTATTTCTTATTAGGATAAAATATACTAATAGTTATTATTTTTACTAAAAATCAAAGACGTATATAAGCATATCATCTGTTTTCGGAAATGAAATATTTTTCTTATTTTCTGTCAAATGCTTTTCACACTTACTTCCTTTTCTTTATCAGCAAGCGACAAAGTTACAGTAGTTCATTCTGGTGCACTTGTTGCTCTAAAGAATGAAGATACTTGGGCCTATGCTGATGCAAAGCGCTCTCTAACAACAGGTAAAGTCGAATTATATTCCACACTTGGCGATCCAGATACAACAAGATACTGGACTGTTCTTCCAATCCAAGGCCAAAACTTTTCACACATCGAATTTCAATGCGGATCAAACGTCACCTTCATGAATACAAGATTTTCTGGTTATTTAAGCGCAGGAAAGCAGGTTTTACCTCTTCCACACTTCGCAAAAATTACAAGGAAAAATAGGCCATCTGCCCAATGGTCGGTTTTGTGCAAATCAGATCATATGTGGAAACGCTTTGAGCCATTCCAGTTAAGAAATATCGATAATGGCTGCTATCTCGCATCAACAATCCGTGATTCGGCCGCATCAAACGATTTGAACACTTATCCTTTGATTTGTCAGGATAAGCCACTTGCTAACACATACTGGACAGTTCAAGAAGGACTTTTCCAAGTTGTTAATTAACTTCATTACCTATAATATTATAAAGAATGTTAAATTTTTATTTCATTTTCTACTTTTTTTCCTCAGAGAATATATCTCTTAAAACTAATAATAAGTTTGACTAATAGTCTGCAAAATTATATTGGCTTTTGTTAATATTTATATAAAATTTGTCAACTGATTTACGAAATGTTAGATATACATTTATAAACGATACAAACAATCATCTTTAGGCCATAGATGCTATTATTATCGTTCTATTTATCAAATTTTTATCTAAAGTCAAATATCTTCAAATATTTTTCAAAAAAGTACCTTTTCGGATTATAAGTAACTAAAAATTTTAAGTATTTATCAATATTTTGTATTTTTAAATGCAATACTATATACGATTTATGCAAAATTTATTTTGCAGGGATATTCATTTTAATACCAAAACGCTTATCCTGTGCATTTTCTTCAGCAAGGCGAGATAAAGCAACATCTGTTTGGGTTTCGAAAATCAAACCTCCGTTGATTAATGAATCAAGAACTTGTAAAGCTTTATCTGGGTTGAAAGCCAACTGAACTTCAGAAACATCCTTGAAGCATCCGTTAAGAACTTCAACGAATGTATGAATAATGTCTAACATAGCTAATGGGTTTTCGCATTCATCAACAACTGTAATAACAAACAATGAAGCATAGGCACGGTAGACGATAGAAACTTTGCGTTGAAATTCGTAACTTGTAATGCCATCACCTGGAAGAATGTTGCAAAGGTTTGATGCACGAGTGGAAACCATTCTGAAAACTTCATGAGCAAGGCGATTTCTTGTCTCTTGGCTCATTTCGACATAAGCACGAGCAAGGCGGATGTCACCGTTCTCGTTAATGACGAAAAATCCGTAGATCATTCTGACAATGTTCCTTGGTTGGCACTTTTTCTCACCCGAATTTGAAAATTTATCAATAATTATTCAGCAAAAAATATTTTCACACAGATTTGCAAGGAAAATAAACACCATTTTTCCTCCAACAAAGAATATTTTTTTTGTAAAAGCACGTATGCTTCAGGGCATTGTTAGCGCAGGAGCTCCTGGGCAAGACAGGCTTGGACGGAAAGGTGATGGAATGCAACCAGCACTTGTCAACATTGATTATAACCACATAGTTTCATGCGGTGTCGGCTGGCGGCATAATGTTGTTGTATATGAGAATGGACGAGCATATGGATGGGGCTGTAATGATGAAAAGCAACTTGGAAACTTACCATCTGAAGTACCTGTTCCTATGTTTATGTCTTCTTTTAAAGATTTTCATGTTACATGGGTGCATTGTGGTGATAGAATTACAGTTATTCTAACAGATACAGGCGAAGCATATGCCATAGGCTCAATGTATGGTGAAAATCCAGTTCGTTTACAGTCTTCTCAGCCATTTGTTTTTTGCACTTGCAGTCTTGGCGCAGTTTACGCACTTGATTGCAATGGTGACATTTTTTCATGCACAACACAAACAGGCAAAGGTGTTGTCAGCCATTTACCTGAACCTGTTTGCGATATCGCCGTCGGAAGTACTTTTTGCCTTGCAGTTACTGTATCCGGCATTGCTTATGCAAAAGGAAACGATGCAGCTTGTGGCTGCGGATCATCATCTCCTTCTGATGCTTTTCAACCAATTTCATCATTAATCGGCATTAAAATCTCACGCGTCGTCGCTTACGGATCACACTCCATTGCAATAGCAAGGGATGGCAGAGTATTTGTTTGCGGTACCACATCTGATGGAAGAATTGGAGTTCCTGACGCTAGTTCTCCAATTTCTTCTTTTCAACAACTAAAAACATTCAACGGTGAAAAAATCATCGATGCAGACTGCGGAGATGCACATTCGATATTTCTTACAAAGGATGGACACGCTTATGCATGCGGAGTTTCTACAGATGGAAGAACTTTGTGTGGAAGACAAGATTCGTTCTTGGAACCGGTGAAAGCTGATTTATCTGGTGTTACTTACATCAGATGTGGCTGCTTCCACAGTATTGCCTTCGTAAATATGCCGGCGCCAGTTCATCCTGGATTATTATTTTTCGGATTACTTGTGGGAAGCGTCAGATCCCCTCATTGCGTTAAATTATCACGAGAAATTACAGCAGACGTCTCACCACGTTCTGTTTCGATGTACGGATTCTTAATTGGAGATACAGTTACAATTGATGACCAATCGACTGGAATTGTACTCGGTGTTGTAGGAGATAAAATTTGTTGCAGCGTCGACGGAGAATTAAAAACTTTCAAGAAAAGAATCATCAAATTTCAAAAAAGATCAACAGATCCACTCAAAACAGTTAAAACTAGCTCAGGAATGGAAATACTTATCGATACGAAAGAGGAATTATGCCTCTCTTTCGGCCTTTTACCGGGAGATGTAGTATCTCATCCAGTTCTTGGCCGTGGAGTGGTCGAAGGTTTTTCACGAGGCACAATTTGGTTCACATTCGACTCACATCAAGGTTGTGTCCGTGCAAAGTCTCTTGGCTTAGCAGGAATTTTCTCATCTCTCAAATTAATCGAAAGTCGCCGTAAATTTGTCAATGTTGAATGCAGCGATGGTATTACATATCCAGCAGAGATTACGCGTACATACACAGTTTTGACTCCAGACTCATCTGTCGGAACAGTTATTGGAACAATCGGAATTTACCTTTGCGTAGAAGACTGCGAAACCAAGAAAAAGTCTCTTTTCCTCAAATCCAAATGCGTTGAGACACTTCGCAATGAATCTTTTGAACAAAACGACGTAGTTCTTACTGAAAAAGGAATTTCATTCATTGTCAACGTATTTAAGGGGAAGGTTCAGGTTCACCCCCTCACAAATATTCTTAAAAATCTCCCCTCAATTTTAATTGAGAACGATAAAGTATCGTTAATTGCAAGGGTTATTGGACAAGGTGAAATGACCGTAGATGGCCACAAGATAGACATAAGTGTAGAGTCATCCAGGAAGCTGAACTCCATCGCAATACCAGGAGACATTTTCGCAACAGAAGATGATGGTTTCGTTACAATTTTAGGTGTCGAAAATAATAAAATTGTTTTCAGAAATCAAAAAGGTGACATCAGGGAATTTAAAAACGGCTCTTTAGTTTCAAGGAACGTTTCAAAGTGCAAGAGGGTATTTACAATACCAAGGACAGGTGCAATTGAACTTTCCATATATACAAGAGACTTTAGAGGCTTGATTTTCGTTCCTGGAGATGAATTTACTTTTGATTCAAAGAATTTCGTCGCTCTCGGTACTCGTGATGGATACTTATGGGCAAATGAAGTCGGAACTGGCGTAATGAAATGCTTCCAACCACAGGTTTTGCAAAAAGCAGAATTATTCGCAAAACCAACAAAGAACATTGACATCTTTTTTCACTAACTAGGAATTTCTATTGATTGTATTATATGTGTTTATATATTTGTTATTTTAGATCAATTTGTTTATAAATTTTTTTGTTTGCTTATGTTAACATAAATAAACTTATTTTTCGAAGAATCAGCATAATTAATCATATAGCAACACAAAAACATTTAAATTTGATAAAAAATTATTTTGTGTTTAGAGATGAGGAGCCATTTCATAAAGAGATTAAAGTAATCTAGAAAATATCAGATAAGGGTTTCGTTTTGCGAAAAAAACGTACAATACGCAATTTCGCTAAAAAAACATTTAGCTAGCAATTTCGACCTTTGACTCCACTCAAGACGTCACTTTTTTAATTTTGCGGTATCATATTTTTGGAAAATCTTTATGAATATTATATAAAAAGTCTCTTTAATATCTATATTTCATATTTTTATCGATTTTTAAAGTTTTTGCGAAAAGTATTCAATTATTTTTGCTATTTGGTCGGGTAAATGTCAGATTTGCGACATTTTCTGATATGATATTCAGATTCTACGTTGATAATAATGCTTATAGAACCCTCTTGCTATTGTGTCAAAATTGCGAAACCGATAGCAAAAATATCTCGCAATATCAAAATTGAGATATTGAGTGAATTATGCATTATAGAGATTAAAAATCTGATTTGTGAAAACATCTCATCAGTTTCTAGCTAATTCAAAAATCTTTACTATCTTATTTGATTAAAATGAAAAGGGAATAGTTTCATTATGCTTTAAATGACAGCCTTATAATATAATCATAGTTTTCGCTCAATATGCAGCATTTTTTTTTCGAAATCTATGGTCAATATCCTAAATACTGATTGCTTTGCATTCATATCTCTTACATTTTCTATACCCACATCACTATTCATTGCTATTCCTATCTTTTTCATTTTTGTTTGTTTCTCATAATTTCTCAAAAAACATGATAACTTGATATTTGTAAATATCATACTTTATAACGTAAATAAGAACTTGACCTATTAAGAAAAGCAGTAATGAAAAGAAAATCTGAAATTCATAAAAATTACAAGTTTCTGATGACAATTAGCTTAATTAAACCAGGTACAAGATTATATAATTGTATTTTCTATCCAATTATCCATATAATATCTTATCCAGAAAAAATAACTTGATCAATACCAAATGATTTTTTAACTAGTAAATAAAGTATTTTCTTTACACACACATTGTATATCATAGTTTTTTTTTTTTTTGGTTTCGCAAAACATCCAAAAACAAATATGCTATAAAAGTGACAATTTTAGCAAAACGAAACCCTTATATCAGATTCAAATGGAGTAATTTAGTCAACAAATTTGAGTTTTTAAAAAAATTGAACACTAAAAATGATAAAACGAATCATATTTCTCAGTAAAAATTAAAGATCATTTAATGAGCATTTTAATTCATAAATAAAAATCGATCATATTGCAAACTTTACAATAACATCTTGCCATTTTTTTTTCAATGTATGTGTATGAGGATTTTATATGTGAAACCCCCAACGAGGATACAGTAACTACGTATAGTTCTGAAAAGCAATCAGTGTATAATTGGGTGAAGAAATACTGCGAAAACAATCCTTGGTTGATCTCAGTAAATCAAGCTTATATCAATGACGGTTTTAATTTATACGGATTAAGCGAAATTATTAACAATTACAGTGCAGCTCTTAATGTTATAAAAGATAAGCCTCCAAAAAGCGGAACAGAAAATATTGATGAAATCAACAAAGATGCAATCGATCTTTATCACTTAATTCATCAGCGATTCCTATTGACTATCGGAAGTGTCCAACAGATGCAAGAAAAGTATAACGCTTGCGTATATGGACAATGCCCAAGAGTTAATTGCCATCATTCACGCTTATTACCAATCGGAATATCTCCAAAATGTAATTATTCAACAGTTAAATTATACTGCTTCTCTTGCAACGATGTTTACGATGCCCCATCTAATATCAAGTACGATGGAGCTGCTTTCGGACCATACTTCCCACAATTCTTTAAACAGGCATGCACATTTAACTCTAATAAGACTACAAATAAAAATTCAGAGCTTACATACATGGGTATTCCACTAGAATCTAACGATTACATGAATAGAGCTGCTTACATTCATGGAAATCTTGATCAAGAGGTGAAAAACTAAACATTGTTGTTCGAATTTCTCAAATATAATATTTTATATTTATGTTAAATTAAAAATACGTTTAAAATACATATACCGTTCTTTTTCTATCATATTTTACGATGTATGATAACTAAAATATATAAAATTGAAAATTCCAATCAAAAAAACGTTGTGTAACAAAAAGTTTTATTCAAATTAAAGTCTCTGTGATCTTCTAAGGGCATCAGACATGTCAAACTTTATTGATGTTTCAGCTGATGTTCTTGATGAAGGGAAATCGAATTCAAGCTTGTGGAACATTCTCTGTTCATCTTCCATGTTTCTTGCAGTTCCTAATCTAACTGAAGAAGCAGAAAGTTTTGTATCTAAATTCTTCATTTCCTTATCGTACTGTGATTGGATCATTGCAAGTGCCTCTTGTTCCTTCTTATCGAGAGCTTCAAGTTCCTCTGCATTCTTCTGTTCTGCTTGTTGAATAATTTGGTCATATTTTTGTTTAAGACTTGCTTGCCTTTCAGCCATTGTTTGCTCCTTGATTTGTGTTGCCTGAGCATAAAGCCTTTTAGCTTCGGCGTAATCGCTCGCTTGGGCACGCTTTTTGGCTTCTGAAATTAAATTCTCTGTCTGAACAACGATTCTTGTTGATTCTAATTCCAAATCGTTGGCATATTTTGTAGCCAATTGAGCAAGATAGTTTGCATGAGCTTCTTGAAGGAATCTACGCCTCTTTTGGAACTTGCCGTGAATTTCAAAAGCTCTAGTCTTAAATGTATTGTGAATCTCATTTGACTCTGTTCTGATATTCTCTTTTTCGATATTATACTTAGAATGGTTAAGATCAACTACAAGCTGATCATTATGGGCTTCTCTTTCCTGTATAATATCATTAATTCTCTTTTCAAGAACTTCAGCCTGGTCAAAGTCGCAGTTCTCAATTAAGCGGAGACGCTCTTTACGAAGAGATTGTATCTGGCGAAGAGTGCTCATTACAAATAAAATCATTCAATTCAAATTTTTGCAATCGTATAAATCATAACACGTTAATCAATATTTAATCATAAAAATTGCATGTTCATACTGAAATTCAATTTTTTGAGAACTAAATAATCGAGGCTAAACGTACATTACATAAAATCATTTCCCTTCAATTGAATACAGCGACCATCAAAGAAATGTAAAAAAGAACCAAATTGCGGAAATGCTTTTGCATATAAGTTCATACAATTTGAGCACATCGGATAAATTCGTTTGTTAACTTATTACTCACTTTGAGCAAACATCTTCGGGTTGTGATTCCAGTAAACAAATCATAATGCTACTAAGTTTAGATTATAACATATCTAGCAGCTATTATCGTTAAAAAGTATCTTTTTATCTCGGAAAATAATCTGTAGGCCAAAGAATAATAAAAACAAGTTCATCAACATTGAAATCCTACTCATTATGATATAAGCGTTAATGATGAATCATTTCAGGCAAAAGAAACTGAAAATAAAAAATTGATTTTTTTTTAATAATACAAACATAGTTTAATTAACATATTATTTTTCATTGAATAGCTTTGTTTAAGCTGTGAGTATATGTTTAATGATTTCAAAACTTTCCCCTGGTTCATTTTCAACGTCTTCTAGTAAATTTAGCCAATCAGGCACATGTTCATCATCTAGTAATAATTTACCTATTCCATGCTCTTCTAAAGAATAATATACAGCCATAAATACATTTGCTATTTTCTGATTTGAATTGAGATCATCAATTTCTATAAGTTCCATTGTTGCATTCAAAAGTCCGCTTGACAGAACTGTATAACATAAATCAAAGCTTCCATTAATAACAGCATTGAGAGAATTAATATAAGTTTGTTTTGCCTTTAAAATCAAATCAGGAAGAGCTGAAGAAATGACAGTAAATATATCTGTTATGCTCTCATCTAAACATTTCAAAAAAACTAAGCGATTAAGGAAAACAAAAAATAATTTGATATAATTTGATTGATACTCTGAAGATTTTGATGCAATATCAACAAATATGTCATGAAAATTAAAAAGAGCGTATACTTGCATGAAAAATTTTGGTGTTTCGAAATATAAAATTAAATTTGATAAACAATAGCAACAATAACTATCACATTCTTCCGATCTTTCATGCATATCAATTAGGAACTGGACAAAGCGAAATAGCATGTCTTCGTTCCCGTCATAACCTGAAATCAATAAAATTCTTGAAAAAATCTTTAAAAGAGATACATCAGTTGTTTGGACATTTTCAATGTTTTGATCATCATCAAATACAATAATATTTGCTATTTTTAAGAAAGATTGAATGAAATTTGCTGAAAATCCTTTTAATTCGTTTTCAAGTCCAATATTTGATAGATTTAAGCGTGCAAATATAGTTTCTATAGTCTGAACAATCATGTTATGATTTAAATAATTTGGACAATAGCTAAATAAGTCAAATAATTGCAAAATTGATTTTGATTTGACAAAATCTTCAAGAATTTTGATATCTGAATCGTGAAGTATATTGAATATGATAGAAAGTTCTGTTGTATACAAATCTTCTGGGGTATTTTCAAAAGTGGCAATGAAAAAATCAACAATTTCGTGTTCATATAAAGAGGTTGAATATATTGTAGTGGTTGATGTTAAAATATCTATGAATGCAAGAGTTAATCCGAACTCATCTTGATTTTTTGTTTCAAAAGCAAAATTCAGAATTAATTTAATAATTTCGAAAAAGTTTATATTATTAAGCTCATCAACAATATCAATATCCTTTTCAAATCTATAGCTGCATAGCTGATCTAGTGTTTGAAATAATTCATTTTCTCTATTTGCAATATCTTCATAACAATCAGTTATATTTTTAGCCATAATTATAAAATCACCACCTGAAAGACAAGGAATGTCTTCTTTATCATTATTTGCATCTAATATTTTTGGATCTTGAAGGTTTTCATCTGAAATTTTGTAGTCCATAAAAATGTCACTTTTCCCCATAAGATGGATAATTTTCTTTCTATCATGTTCTCAGTTTTTATTGGAATATCCCAAGAAGGGAACCTGTTAAAAACTCATATATAATAAGGTGTTGTTATCGCTTTAGGGCTGGATTGAATTCTTTAATCTTTAAAAATGAACACAAATTACACTTTTTTTTTGAAAAAGGATTGATAACATAATGGCATAATGCTTAACTATATTATCCTTTATAATTGCACCATTAATGATCCAGAGATATTCATTCCAGAAAACATTAAACTTGAAATCATATCATTTTGCATGTAAACCTTTCAGTTCACTCAAATTTTGACAGACAGATATAGAGAATATGATCTCAAGTTTGATAGGTTAATTGGCAAGTTTGTAGAATATAGTTTTGTTTTTTAATTTATATCACTCACATTAGGAGTTCACTTAGCACTTTCTGACGCGATCATAATTAATCAATATATCTTTATTTTAATTGCAGGAAAGCATAGCAGCCATATTAGGTACTATATGATAATTTATGATTACTTTTTCGCGACCAAAAATATTAACTTCTGACCTTCGAAAATTAAGAAATAAAGCTTGGGTGTCAAAAAAATTGAGAGAATGTCAGAAAATGGTAAGAAAACAATTGTAATTACAAAACATTTTTAATATTAAATAATATTGATTATGTTAGATCTAAATAAGCTTCATCAGATGAAGATGTGAGATTATCACGTCCATCATCGATCGATTCTGTTGATTCTTCGCCGTCTTCTTCGTAATCATCAGAATAATCATGATCCTTAGGGAATACTTCTTGTTCAGCGAAATATCCGTAAATAACATTCATCCATTCATCTCCGGCTAATGTTCCTCTTCTACTATGCTTTGGAAGATGGAAGTGCTCTTTTAGTTTAGCAGCAACAGATGGATGTGTCTTGAGAGTAAGCTTTGATACATCACGTTCTGGGAACCAAATATAGAAATGTTTGTCATCTGAAAAGAAATCACCAAATTTACGGAGTTCAGCAATATCAGTGAAATTATTATCATCTAATGAGATACATCTGAGATATTCAAACTTGCTGATTATATTTCCAAGTGATTCGAGGTTCTTTGAACCAATATTATTATGAGCAATATTAACAAAGTCAATTTTAGATGTTGTTAATATTGTCATGATTTCAAGAGCATGATCTTTCATTTGGTACTTATCTGTTCCATGCAAATCGAAATATTTGCAATGGAATTTTGAAAGATAAGCAGCACAAGATGATAAATCAATTCCTGCCAAGGAAATAAAGTTTAATTCGCCTTTTGTCATGAATTCCATGATCTTGTTTGAAATATAGTTCTGAGACCAATTAATTGAATCAATATGTTCAGGATCAGCCTTTTTAATAAGCTGGTCGAACTGATGCCACTCGCTTTCTTCCATTTTAGTGTTTGCCATTTCTAAAGTGCACCATCCTGGAGCAGTTTTAACTTTCGAAATTAATTTAAATAAATTTGAAGCTGTCCAGTTCATATCATTAATACTGAGCTTGAATGGTTCACTGGAAATTGTAAATTTATCATCTAATTCTTCGTCAGTTTTGTTTCCAGATAAATCTAGGGAATAAAGACCAAGACGGAGTAAGCGCTTAATTAAGGGTGCGATTTGAAGACCAAGACCAGCAAGTGTAATATACTTAAGCCTTTCAATTTTGGAGATTAATTCGAGAGGCTGTTCGAAATTCATTTTTACGAAGCCTATACCTTCGATTTTAGAACGGCTTCTAATAGAGGACATTAGGTCTAAGAACTTTTCTTCTTCCAACCCGAGACTGCAGTGATTAAAAATTAATTTTTGTAATTTGTTTTGAGAAAATGTTGAATAAAGGATAGAAACAGTTGAGTAGAAAAATGAAATGTCTTTGAATTCAATTACTTCGACGGTATCGTTTGGTTTTTCCGAAATCTTGAGTGCCCATCTTCTGAAGCCTTCTTCAGGGAAAACAGGAAGGGATATCGTGATCCATCTGCAGTATTTGTTGTCATCCCAGAACTTTACTAAAGATTCCCATGCAGATTGTACATCAATTCGAGGAATGATCAAATGAGTAATGTAAGGGAGAGTTTTGATGGCAAATAAAACGCCTCCAAGGTAATTCCAAAGCCCAATTATATGACCCACATCAAATTCTTGTCTTCCTTCAGCAAGGTATTCAATTAACTGGTCAATGATGGCTTGCCTTGGGAAATTACCTTTGGAAACTTCTTTTGCGAGAAAACGATTTAACGGAGTTGGTACTGAATTTGAAGGAAAACTTGCCCTACTAATGAATGGAACCTCTTCATGATAGAAGATTGAGAAAACTTGAAAAGCACATATTTCAGCTATCATCTGAGCTTCAGGACCGAGAACTGTATAAACATTATCGGAAAATTTGATTCTAAAACCTTTCGAATTCTTCTTCATTTCTTTAACATTATAGAAGTAGCATACTGATTGGTACTTAATACTTTCACCAATTTTTCTAAATAGATAAAAAGAATATGGCGTAATTACCACTAAAACAGGTTTTTCAATTCCTTTTCGGTTTCTTTTAACTGTCCATGTCATTAAGGCAGGAACTTCTTTTTTCCGATCCACAGTTTTGTCAATCTCACTGAGGATATCAGATGAAAACATTGAATAAGAATAAAATAAAATTGAATTGATCAGAAATCAAATACTATTTATTTGCAATTAGAAGAATACAAGAATGCCAATAAATGAGAATTTTCACAATAAATGTAAACCATTCAATTATGATTATTTCACTTCTTATTTTATTAACGCTAAAAATCAAACTAGCTTCGTCATCAATGTTGTTGTTAAATGATTATGGCATAATATAGTTTGGTGTAGCATATTGCCGGCTTGGATGAGAAATTTACATCCTTGAAACTACAAAACTGCGTCTATAATCAAAACTCTTTTTAAAACAATGATACTATCATATAAGTAAATGTTAGAAGAAAACCTCATCCGCAACAAGGAAAATTTGATGAGAAGTTGCAGATGAATTCTACCAATAACAATACATTTGCAATAGTCGGTCCATTAAGGTCAAATAAACCTGCTTATATTATATTAATGATGAAGTTCTTAAGAAGCAATCACTGAATTATGTTATCAATGTATTGTGATTCCTTGGCTCTTGATTGATTATTCAATTAACTTAATAAACTCATAAAAATGCTCAACATCTTTTCTAAAATAATTTTTTTGCTATAATTTGATGTGGAAACGATTTTTAACCAAATCCTAAGCTGCAGAATTCAAAATTAAATATTCATTCAATAAGTGATTTTAAAGTTTTAAATATTAGTTTAGAAACATTGAAATAAAAACTAAGTAATTTGAAAATTTTATGTTGCAATTCATAATCCTAACACTATGATAACAAATTGGTGTAGGAGATGGAGTCATTATTGGTGTTCTTGGAGGAAGACAGTTTTCTAATGTCTTTGATATAGTTGATCTTCCAAGGAATGTTTCATATGGATATTTTTGGGATAATATCATCTGCACATTTGTTTTGAGAACATCTCCTTCTAAATTTGTCATCCCACAATAAACAAACTCCGAAATACTTGCTTTTCCAAAAGAATTTTGATTAATACTTGTAACTGATGAGGGAATGACAAATGTTGAAATGTCACCATTTCTTAGAATCCAGTCACCAATGCTTCTTATGGTATCTGGTAATATTAAAGTTTTCATAGTGTTTGCTTCAACAAATCCGGTTGGTAAATATGTACAAATACATTTGGAAATATCAAGATAAGTCAAATTTGGGCACAAACGAAACATTGAGTTACCTAATTTTTCAAGACGACACTCAATTGTATAAGATTCAAACAAACATCCAGAAAAGACGCTGCAATCATCACAAATACGAACAGATGGTACTATTTGATGAGTAGTATTGCTACAAACTCGAACAACCGTCTGAAAATCACTGGTATAAGCAATACCATCGTAAACAACGTAATTTGGAGAATTAGAAGTGATTTCATTCAAATTATATAATCTCAAGAAGGTATATACTTGTATTTTCCTTAATGCTCTTGGAAATGTAATCTTTGTCAGTTTTGTTATTGCAAACATTTCAGTTGTAAAGATTTCTAATGTCTCTGGGAGAAGAACTTCTTCAAGAGGAGCTTTGTAAAATATAGATTCTCCTATTTCTGTAGAAATTTTAGTTGCTGACAAATTTGCAAATACAATTTTTGATGAGGAAAATACACTTGAGCCAAGAGTTGTTACTTCTGGACCTAGAGTTATATTTGTAATCAAACAATTCTGAAAGGCCGAATTTCCGATCGAAGTAATCGAATCAGGAAGAATAATGGTTGTGAATGTACAATCCTTGAATGCATAACTTGAAATAACTCGAACAATCTTATCATCAATTGTTGAGATAACTAAATCTTGATTATAATTTATATCAATACAAGGATTAGTTCCATCGCCTAATATAATCTCATCATTGAGAACTTGGTATGCAATTTCAGGTGTTCCACTAGATTTTAACACCTGGCATTGATTCTAATGACTAAAAAAAATGACTTTGGAAGATACAAAATGCAAAGGAACATAAATAAGTGACGAAACAACTATAGTTCTTGTATGACTTTACATTCATCATCACTATTGTCTAACTCTTTATTGGTTTTATATAATTTGATCATGGAAGGACCAGATACACATAAACAAACAATAAGGGCAACTGTATCATTGACATTATATGCATAAAATAGTCTCTGTGGTGAATTCTTATCACCTGTGTAATGAAAACAAGTTGCAAATATTGGTAAACCAAGCAATTCAGTGAAAATACTTAACAGCATGGCTTTAATTGACTGATGAGTTGATTGGAGATATGAAATCATAATAAACTTTAAAGATAATAATGTAAAAGTATAAAAAACTCTTGGCATGAGCTGTTTTGACCAGTATTCGAACCTGTCGTTTTTAGACCATATTTTACTGATTTGGTCAGGAAAACAAACCGTAATGAAAGTAATTATTAATCCCCAAACGATACAAATCCAAACAACATGAAATGTTAGCCAGAGAACTCTCTTGAAATCACTTTTACCAAAGGCAAATGAGCTTGCTGGCAAATAAGCATAATTCAAAGCAATTGGAACAAAAAATGCTAAACCATATATGCGAAATAACGTATTATAAACTGCTATTATCATATCATATTCGCCAACACGTTAAGCTCTTATAGACATATACTTTTGCATAACAAAATTTGGAACAACGATTGAAATGCTCATAATGAAACTTGAAAGACCTGCTTTGGAAGCTTCCCATGTTTCTTTAATGAACTTTTTGGCAAATAAGTTGAATCTTGGCCGAGTAGTAAATTTTTTCATATACAAAAGGATTCCTAATACAAATGCAGGGAGAAGCATAGAGAATTCTGTTGCAAGAGATGATCCAAGAGTTCTTTTAAGGAGATATAACAATAAAGGATCCATCAATGCCATATTTCGAATCATTGAAATTATTTGAGAAATTCCAAATGTCCAAGTCCTTCCTTCCGCTTGCAAAATTCCGCATATGCACTGATATACACATGTCACTATATTCATTGATGCTAAAGGAATGACATAGTCAAAAGCCATACTCTGAATCTGTTTGTCAGCTCCTAAAAAGGCAAACAATGGTTTGGAAACAGGAAGCAAGATAGCTGGAACAATGATTCCTAATATTATGCAAATACGAAAAAGATCCACACTTAATTGATTAATTTTATCATATTCTTTTGATGATAATAAAAAAGCAATCTGTGTTGATGCAGCTGTTAATATAAAACTGCCAAATGAAATTGCAGTTGTTTCGATAACATATGAGATTGCCAAAGCAGTGAGTCCGAGTTCACCAATGAATTTTGATACCCACATTGAGTCAATAACTCCATATAGTTGATTTACAATTTGAGAAATCAATGGGCCAGGAACTAATTTGATAATAGTTTTAAAAGGAGTGTGTCCACCAAGCCTCAGATCCTCTCCGCCATTATCTTGTTTAGAATGATCACCAGATTCATCAATATTATAAGATGACATGTGCTATGAAATGGCACAAGAAAATAAAAATAAAAAAATTCTGAATTCCATCAACATTTTGAGGAATTCAATAATGTTCATCAACATATCACCGTTTAATAAGTTTCCATATTCCCGTATTCAATGCTGAAACATGAATATTTTTGATGAAATGTTGTAAAGGACTTTATAGAAAAATTGTGAGCAATTTTGATAGAGTTTTGAAAAAAATATGAGAAATCAATATCTCTTGAAATCATTTTTCATAGCACGACATGAAATATTAAGGCATCCTACTCGAATAGTTTATATTTTCATTAAGGAATTCATTCCATTTCAAAATCAAGATGATTTCAAAATCATTTCTGAAAATTTCTATTGACTTAATCATCAATGATGTATGTGCTGCACAAGTATTAAACATTGCATTATTTCAAGTATTGTTGACAGTCAAAAACGAAACTTATGCACCATATCTCAGATAAACTCTTTCGAAATTATTTTTTTGTTGTAAGAATAACACGGTGCAAAGTTACACAACACTTCCTAGAATTCCATTAGAATACGTTTTGATTTTCTATGAGTTTATTATGAATTGGATTCAAACTATAAAACCGATTCTCTAAACATCATTGACATTTTGCACAATTTGCTAATACAATTCTAGGACGTCAATGATAGAAAAAGTTCGAAATTTTATTTTATTGAGGTATTTGATTAAGTTCTTCCATTAATGCTATCTGACAACGATGATACGCATCCTAATATATATTTTAATACGATAGAGTTTATACTCTTTGTGGATTTGCCTTTACAATTAATTTGAAAGGTTTATAAAAAATTTAAATTCAATTGTTGTAAATGAACCAGCCATCGCATACGAATCATTTACAACTTATAGAATTGTATCCAAAGGATGTCACAAGTCCAGAGGATGAAGAATTGTATGGTTTTAATTCCAAAGTTTCAAATTCAAAATTCCAAAATTCTTCTCTTCTTGAAGAAAATGGAATCAAAGAATTGCAATCTAAAGCACCACTTAATTCCAATTCAAATGCTATGCTTTATTATGATTACAATGTGTTTTTAGACACAAATCTTCAACTTCATTCTTCGATTAATGAATCTCAAAAAGTATTCGCGCTTAGTGATGTTAATGCAATTTTCGAGCAAACAAAAGATCCAGAAAGATCAGTTATCATAATAAATAAAATAATTCAGAATTTAAAATCAATGAATATGATACTTGAAACGGAGTGTGCAGAATACTTAATGTCCAAGTACTATCCTTTCATTGAAGGATATAAATATTTTGGCACAGAATATCATTTGACGTGTCTCCAATTGGTTTTGAATGTTCTCAATAACTTTTCATTCCATGAATATAAATACCAAAGCTATTCATTTCGGCTTACGCTCTACTTCTTAATGAAACTCCGTTCACAAAGTCCAGATAATTTCATTGTTTTCCGTGAGTTTGCCTTTTTGTACTCGCATATCTTACCTTATATGATAGAAGACCTATTTAGGAAGGTAACACTCGAATTTGCGCTCACTTTTTGCCCATCAAGTCCTTTATTTGATTTAGCTGTTAATTTAGTCAAGAACTGTCATATACACAACTTTGATGAGTTAGAATTTACCAAACTTCTGCTCAAACTCGACAATCCTTTATCACAAGGAATTTTTAATTTACTTGAGTATTCTTTAGCTTCGAATTGCGCAAATTCACATATTGAACTTGTGAAATTTTTGCTATATATTGCCTGCACAAAGCCAATATGGAGCAGAACAGCAATAGATCTCTTGATGAAATGTCATCTTGAAATTGATGATGATTCAAGGAAATTTGTCAAGATTTTTATACGCAGAGCTTTCCAATGGACCGCTATCTCCTCTAAAAAGAAAGATCATGCAACCAGACGAATAATTGTTATGGAATTGATGCAAAAGCTAAGAAACTTCATATCTTTCCATAACATAGTTGATAAATATGCTTCCACATTACTAATGAGCGAATCAAAAGATTTTTATCTGGAAATTAAATATGTTTTTCCAGAAATCAGCGGATCGTTCGACCAAGCATTCCTTGATGAACTTTCTATTTTAGAATTATGCCCAGATTATAACTCTCTCATTATCAAACCGAAGAAACACTTAACTCTTGAACAATCACGTAATCTAATATTGAGAAATGAAAAAGATCTCACCAGTAATGAGAGTGATATTAGATTCTTTGATCCATATGATGAAGGTTCTTTCGGATCACTTTTTCATAATAATAGTCCTGGATTTTCAGTTCCGCTCTTTTATATTACGATTTCAATTCTAATAATACTAGTTTTTGTATCACTAACTAATTGATTATCATAGAGATTTTATTCTCAAACATATATTTTTTTGTTTGTTATAATATTAAATATATTTTTAAACTCTAATCTGCTATGCTTATATTATGCTGACATCGAGTTGTATCTGTATTCAAAATTTAGAAAATTATTTTTTCAATTTAACTTTTAATACGATGAGATCGTAATCTATTAACATGTAACCTCTATTTTTTAAAATCTAGCATATATTAATTCATATTTTCTTGTTCCATATCATTTTTGATGCATGGATTACGAATAATAAGGAACATTGCGAATTAATTTGGATACATTCTTTCTACAATTCGAATGTTCATGGAAAGGATGGAAGTACAAATGGGGTCATCCAATACTTCCCACCTGTAATAGTAGCGCATTATCCCATAGTAGCGATCTTATACAACGAATTAACCCATCAGCAAGCCGTCCTAGAAATCCTAAATTTACTCGATATAGAAACAAATTAAAGTGTAAATTGATTTTCAATTCATATTTACTTGGAAACATACTAGTATATCATAAATACATTAAAAATATTACGATTCAATATGTATTTCAATTCAAGTGCAAAAATTCGACCGGCGGTTATGGTCGGCCTTTACGAAATGGAAGCTGTTACTGCTGCCTTCAACGAAATTGCTGCTGGAAAGCAAGAGCTTAAGGACCTTAAGATTGTCTCTGTTAAGGACATCAAGGCTGAGGGAACAAGTGTTCTCGTTCTTACAGTCCCATACAAGCAAATCAATGCTTTCCACAACGCCCAGGCTCAATTCCTCCCAGATCTTGAAAAGAAGCTCAACGCTCAGGTTTGCATTGTCGGCCAGCACCGCGCCTTCCCAAAGACACCAGAACATGGACGTAGATTCAAGGCTATCCGTAACTACGGCCGTACCCTCCGTTCCGTCAATGATGCCATCCTTGACGATCTTGTCTTCCCAACAGCTATCGTTGGAAAGCGTATCCACTATGATGTCTCTGGCAAGCAACAAACAAGAGTTATCCTTGACAAGCATGATGCTACACGCGTTGAGGAACGCCTTAACGGTTTCGGTGCTGCTTACAACCGCCTTACAGGCCTCAACACAGTCTTCGAAGTTGCTCAGAACTAAACTTTTAACAGCCATTTAAACTAAGGCACTTATACTACAACCCTATAATTATATACATAATAATACCAAAGAAATCAATTTTTTACTAAATTTAAATCAAAATATCATAATAATTGAATATATTCCAACAAAAAAAAATTTAATCCGTATGTTCTGGCTCGTTTTCGGTTGTATTATTTTGAGCGTTACTTGCTTGACGAGCTGCTAATTGTTCTTGTAGTAATTTTATTTCATTCATAAAATTCCGAAGAAGCTTTGATAATATAAACGTGATCGAAAGTAAAACAATTCCAAGAACAGCAATATACATGTTTCTCTGATGTTTAAATTGTTCTATAGCAAAGAAATGCGTTGTTTCGTGTGTAGTTGCTCTTCTTCTCTTCAGAACACATTTACTTTGCTCAGTAAATTCTTGAGCAAATAATAAAGAATATAAGCCTATTAATCCGAAAATCCATTTTTTCTTTGAAAATACGAAGTTAACTGTTTTCATGCGCAGTTTAAATGGTAGAGGGAATATCAAAATTATAATTGCTGCTAAGGAAATACAATTAAAGCCAAGAGCTAGTGCCCAATAAAGCATTTGTAGTAATTTTGGATTTTAATAGACAAAAAAGTGACAAAATTATTTCCTTCTTTACCATTTCAATAAAAAATTACACTCTGTAAAGCTTTCAAATTAAGTTTCTAAATATTATCCTAAGGCGGAGTTAGCTTTCAAACAAATAACAAAAAATATTATTATTGTTTCATATTCGGAGATAATTGATCAATTTTGTATAGCAACAATATGTTTAGCCTTTTGATTCATCCGTATTTTGATGATTTCTTCCATCAAAATCCCGTTAAATATAAGAATTCATGTAAATTCAAATTATAATATATAAAATATTGGTTTTACTATAAAAACAGATTAATGGTTATATTCGATCTCATGATAACATCATGCTCGCCAAAAGTTTCGCGTTTCATATGTAATTTTTAATAAGATTAATGAAAAACAATTATGTTTTTTAAAAATAAGTATCTGTCATATACAACCAATCAGTAATATCCCTAGTTTGGGTCTTTCAAGTAATAATTAACGCTATTTCATAATACGAAAAAATAAATTATGAAAATAAGAATTATAATGAATGGAAGCCATTTTTTGATGAATGCGGAAAATGATTTCGGTTTAGAATGTAAAATAAGGCCCCATATAATTTGAATTGTCGCTCCATTAATCCATGATCCGAAAAATGGCGGTATTTGTATAACACCTGCTTCTTGAAGAACTGCCGCTGCATAATAATGGCAATTTGATGTAAATAAATTGTAATTTATATCGGAAAATCTTTCTGTAACCGTTTCAAGAGCCCCATCCCACTGCTGAGGATCAATATCGATCTTCCAGCGATAAAGAGGACGACCGAAAAGCATATTTCCTTTTCCAATATAATAAGGACCTTCGAAATCATAAACAATTCCGTGAGAATCTGTGACGCCAACATGGCCAATGGCTGGACATATCCAGGAAAGTAATGGTAGTTTTGTCCAAACAACGCTGCACGCGTCTTCTTGGTTTGAATCGCGATACATTTTTGTACTTGCTTCCATTTAAAAATAAAAATAGAACTTTATATCATTAATTTATAATAAACAAAATTTTATAGTGATAAATTAAAAATCAGTTTGAAAAGATTTATTGATACCAATCAAGAACAATTGTTCTTGTTCACTAAGTTCAAGGTCATCAAGGATGTCAAAGAAATCATTCTGTTCTAAAATTTCCTTCAACTTAAAGACAAGTTGCTGATCTTGGGAAGCAATTGATTTATAGATCATTGAAATGAACTCAGAGCGTGTAGACTCCATGTTAGGAAGCATATCAACTCCAGTAGAGAATATTTCAAGTAATTGCTCCGAATTTAGAAAATTAGAAATTTTTTCTTGCAAAAGTAAATGAATTGCGCTCTTTTTACTTCTTAAACTCGAATTTTCGAGAACATTTATAAGAGAAGGAATCAAATCTGAGTTTTGAATAAAATCATCTGAAATAATTTGATAATTGATACAGCAATATATCAAATCAATATCAGTTTCGACTATCTTTTCATCATTTATGTTCAGCAATGCTACCAAATCATTCTTTTTGAGATTTTGTTTAATTTGGTCCATAATTAATGGATTCTGGAATTCTATGTAGAGTTTTATTGTATTTAATACCGAGTTAATATCAAAATTGGTAGAAAACAAGTCTGTTTCCAAAGTAATTCCGATAATTGGAAATGAAAAGATTTCGTATTGGAATTCTGGGTATTTCGTAATGATTTCTTTCATTATGAGAAGAGAGTAGCAACTTACAACTGAAGAACTCCTGTGTTCAAGTAAAATTAAAAATTGTGTAATGAAATCAAAAGCAAAGTTCAAAATATCATAATGAGAAACTATTTCATATAATAATTTGACATAAAGTTCATTCAATTCGTCTTTTGAAATTTGACCGAAATGGCTGAGAGAATCAATCATATTTTGGTCGATTTCTACTTGAATTCCTTCTTTATTGAGTAGCTTGAGTAATTTCTTCATGCATTTGGCGGAAAATCCAGAGACTTTCGTATCATCTGATGTAAGTAGGAATTCTAGAAGTTCCAAGATGTTATTCTCGAATAATAATCTGATAAGAGCAACAGAATTATTCATTAATGCCTTTATGCATTGCAAAGATTGAATAGCAGCGGATTTATCTGTTTGGCAAGTATTGACGAGAATATTGATAAAGTTTGTTTGATTAACCATATCAGTGAGATCTGTGCCTTCTTGTTTGCTTATGTTGCTTGCAATCTTCTTTAAAATTTCGTTTTTTGAATCTGAATTCTCGACAGACTCAATCAATTCTATTGTTTCGCTAAATATTCTGTCACGTGTTGATGTGCTAAGGCTTGGATTAGTCAAAGTATCATCCTCTTTAAACTTATAGTCCATGAATTATGATTTTTTTTTCCAAACAAATTTCAAAATTTTCTCCCAAATTTTCCATGAATTCTATCGGCGTTCAATCATTCATTTCTTGCATTAATCTACTAACATTTCAAATCACTTTTATAATTTCTAGAAATTGTCAACAATTTTGATTTTTCCAAATATTGGCAATTGTGAAATTTTAGGCGAAAATGAAGTTAGTGGTGATGATACATTGAATATTATCGAAGAGCCTGAAGGTTCTTTGAATGAACAAATCGCATTCTATGCAACCAAAATCTTAGCTTTGCTTGAAAATATAGAGATTGATTAAAATCATATTGCAAGCATATTATTCAGTTGTAATGTTTTTCAAAAACCATAAGAAATTCATGTTGATAGGATATTAATGTCATAGACATTTGTTTAAAAATGAATTCTATAAAATGGAAAAGTAATGAAAAATCATTCTTACAATTAGATTTAGTGTGAATAGCTAAATTATTTATTCTTCAAATAAAATCCATCTTCGAAAATGAAAGAGAACCTTATGTTGGAACGTTATTTTTTTGGATCGTGTGAAATTAGATGTTCAGTTTCTTCTTTTTTATTCATTGATATTTGCACCATGTGAAAGAAGAAGTTCAGTAGTCTCTTTATGGTTATTTTCTGCTGCATAATGAAGAGCGGTTTCTCCATTTTTATCTTTTTCATTGATGTTTGCACCATGTGAAATAAGAAGTTCAGCAATTTCTTTATTATTTTTTTCTGCTGCATAATGAAGAGCTGTTTTTCCTTTTTTATCCTTTTCATTGATATATGCACCATGTGAAATAAGAAGTTCAGCTGTCTCTTTATCATTTATTAGAGATGCGATATGAAGAGAGGTTCTTCCATTTTCATCTTTTTCATCGATATTTGCACCATGTGAAATAAGAAGTTCGGCACTATCTTTCTCACGTTTGAATATTGCGACATGAAGTGCAGTTAGTCCAACTTCATCTTTTTCATTGATATTTGCACCACGTGAAAGAAGAAATTCAATTGTTTCTATACTACCTTTGAATACTGCGGAATGAAGTGCGGTTTCTCCATCTTCATCTTTTCCATTAATATTTGCACCATGTAAAAGGAAATAATCTAAAAGTGATGGAATATTAATAATACATGAATTAAAAAAGCATTTGTTAATATCATTAGTTTGATCATAATAAACTAAAAATGATTCAAGATTTTTATATTTTCCACACTCATATAAATTTATCTTTATATTGTATTCATTCATTAAGAATGTAACAAAATCAATGTTGTGTGAAATAATTGCATACATCATGCATTTTTCATTTGGTTTTTGATATTTCAAACATTCACTCATGATATCCGGATTTCCACTTAAAAATGATAATGCTAGACATGTTTGAGTTATTTCTGAGTTATATTTTGATATTAATAACTTAAAACAATCAACTGATCCATGATAACAACATAATTCAAGTAATGAAAATCCATCTTCAGAATTTGGATATAAACTACTTTTAAGTCTTTGATTTTTATCAAATTCATCTCTTTCTGTGAATTGGATGAATCTTTCTAAGTCATTATACATAATCGCTCTGTATATTGTATTTCCTGTATGAATGTCGAGATTTTTTGAGTTAATTATTGTTAAATCATCATACTTGCTTAATTTAATTCCATATTCTTTGTAAAACAGGAGAATAGAAATGTTTGGAGTTTGTTTGACCTCTTCCACATGATATTCATCAACAATGAGTTTGACGAGAGAGAAATATGACTTTGTATAGCGATTATTATACGGAATGATTTTTAATATACATTTTATTACATATGTAGGAAGATATTTCTTTGAATCAATCAATTCTGTTTTGATCGTTTTGTAAATCTTATTTAATTCTTCTTCATTTTCTGTTTTTAGTTGATACAACGCATTAAATGAATCAATGTAGTATTTATAGATATTACGTAATTCACTGTATTTATCTGGATGAATGTCTTGATCGGACATGAAAAAAATTTAACGGTCCACGGTCAGGCCAAGCGAAGGCTATCGTTAATGTTCAAAATTTATATGGCAAGACCCCAATCTAATTATAGATTCTGATTTGATATCATATTTATATATTATTTTTAATATAGTTTTTGGATTTCGTTAACCAGGAAGCTCCAAAAAATCGATTCAAGGTGAAGACGATAACGATAATTCTCATTTTAGTATTCAATTTTTGAATAGTATTGAAAATGTACCATGGATCCTTAACAGTTATAAATTTGTTTTTTGCAATATCAAATATCTTTATAATTCATTAGAAGAAAATCTGCTATGTTATAAATATGGAAAACATTGATCACAACGATTTCAGCAATAATTTATGGACTTTGACTAATTTTATAGATATAAAATGACACAACAACAATAACAAATCCAAAAGCAATATGATATTCGTACAGATACTTATATTATCAAATAAATTTTAAAATTTTCTAAGTGTAGTTTACTAAAAAGCATGATTCTGGTACTACGAAAGACTTCCAATTTAATTGGAGGAATTCCGAACATGAAGCATTAAGTGAAGCATATATTAAAAAAAATATAGTTAACTTGTCAGTATGTGTAACTGGATAGCTAAAATACACATCCTTAATTAATTTTAATTATTTCATCGTCTAAATATATTAATATAATTGATGAAGTAGATAATTCATCTATCTTTGATCATCTGTCAAATAAAAGACTTTCTTCAAGAATTGATTATTGAAGTATGTAAAAGAAGAAAATCACTCGTTTCTTTACTATTATTATAGGTTGCATAAAAAAGAGGAGTGTTTCCATCTTTATCTTTTTCATCAATATTTGCACCGTATAACAAAAGAAGTTCAGCTATTTCTCTTCTATTATAATATGCTGCACAATGAAGAGCTGTCTCCTTATTCATACCTTTTTCGTTGGGACTTGTGCCATGCGAAAGAAGAAGTTCGACAATTTCTTTATTATTATTAAATGTCGCAATAATCAATGCTGTTCTTCCATATTGATTCCTCGCATTGATGTTTGCGCCATGGGAAAGAAGAAACTCAATAATCTCTTTACAATTATTTTCAACTGCATAAAAAAGTGTTGTTTTCCTTAAATAATCCTGCTCATCGATATTTGCACCATGTGAAAGAAGAAGTTCAACAATCTCTTTTCTATTATGATCTACTGTGTAAAAAAGAGCTGTTTTTCCGTAATTATCTTTATCATTGATATTTGCACCATGTGAAAGAAGGATTTCAATTATTTCTTTACAATTATAAATGGTTGCATTATGAAGTGCTGTTCTTCCATATTCATCTCTTTCTCTAATATTTGCACCAAGAGAAAGGAAATATTCGCAAAGGGAAGGAATATTAAATACAGTTGAATTAACAAAACATTTGTTAATATCATTAGTTTGATCGAAATATACTAAAAATGATTCAAGATTATTGTGACATACGCAACTACTTAAATTGTTCTTTAGATTGTATTCATTCATCAAGAATGTAACAAAATCAATGTTATGTGAAATAATTGCATAAATAATGCATTTTTCATTTGGTTTTTGATATTTCAAGCATTCACTAATGATATCTGGATTTCCACTTAAAAATGATAACTTAAGACATTTTTTAGTGATTTCTGAGTTAAATTTCGTCCTTAATAACTTGAAACAATCAACTGCCCCATAATAACAACATAATTCAAGTAATGAATATCCTTCAAAAGATCTTGGATATAAATCGCTTACAAGTTTTTGGTCTTTATCGAATTCTTCACTTTCGATGAGCGGGATGAACCTTTCTTTGCTATTGTCCATAATTACTGTGAAAATCGTATTTTCTAAATAGACATCTAAATTATTTAAATTCATATTTTCGAAATCATCATTTCTTCTCAGTTTAATTCCATATTCTTTATAAAATAGGTAGTTGGAAATATTTGTAATATTTTGGACCTCTGTTACATGATATTCATCATAGATGAGTCTTGCAAGAGCCAAATATGACTTTGTATAACAGTTATTATACGGAATAATTTTTAAAATGTCTCTTATAATGTTATGGGGTTATATTGTTTTGAATCAATCAAATTTGTTTTGATCATTTTGTAAATAGTGTTTAAATCTTCTTCATTCTTTGTTTTTAACTGATATAATGCGATAAACACATCAATGTAATATTTATATTTACTTCTCAATTCACTGTATTTATTTGGTACAGTGACTTGATCAGACATTAAAAAATTTTAAAAATCATATGCTTACAAGATAATAATAATTCATTTTCTGATATCTGCTTTTAAAAAAACTAATAAATGTTTCATTCTTCAAAGAATGCCAAAAAAACGATAAGTGTCAGACCCCAATATTTGAATCTTTCTTTTTTTATATGGATGATGAGTATAAAGAAAATAGAGAACAATCACATTCAAAGTCAGAATATGAAAAAGCCATTTCAAACTGGTATGATAGTCCTGATGTAGATTTTGATGAAGAATCATATATTGATTATTTTAATGATCAATTTTCACAAATAGTTTCGCTCCTTGACACTGATATCCTAAACGAAAATCAGAGAGGACTTGAAATGGTGTTGAAACTTTGCGAATCTAAATCCCAAGATTTTATTCTACCTCTTTTGAATAGCATGGCTTTTAGTGAGTTGACAGATAAGTTGTATTTGCCTTTTCCATGGTATTTTGTTCAACTCTCGCTAATAATTTCAAAATGCTCAGAAAATTGCATAAATAAATTCGCTAAAACGCAAATATTCGCCAAAATGATCATAAATTCAATAAGAGACTCAATTAATGTGGAACTTGCAAAAATTAGAGAAATTTTCGAAAATATATTTAGTAAATCAAAAATTGTATCTCAATATCTAGTGTCTCAAGGTATATTTGATTTTATATGCAATAATTTGCTCCAAAACACCAATGAAGAAGTATTTGTAAATTTATTGTTAATTTGCATTTATTTCATAGAAAATGAAAATAATTGCGATTTAAATTCAAATGACATCAATTTGTTTAACAAAGGACTTGCTTTTTCAATGTTAAAAAGAAGTAGATACATTTCAAATAAATTATTTATGTACAATTTTGATATTAAAGGAAATTATGATCATAAAATGATATTATCAGACATAATTAGTTCAGATCCCCAAGTATTTCATGAAATATTTAAGATTACAATTAGATTCAATATAATGACTCTTCAAAACATATTAATGCACTCTCATATATTTGAAATGTTTGATGTATCAATAATTAGATCATTTGGAGAACAAATTTCACAATTAAACATTCCAGAAATCAACCAAATTTTAAATTATATAGAAAACATTCTTGAAACACAAGAATTCCAAAGTATTAATATATCAGAGCTTAACAGAGGTTTATCAGAGATTTACAAAATAATTATGAATTGCGAATTTTCAGAAAATAATTTTTTAATGGATATAATTTCATTTTTGATTCCATATGATATGCAAGCATTAGAAATAGTTATTCCGATGTTTAGAAGTCTCAATTCATCAGAAAATTGCCAACTCATCATAGATTTTTTCCTTCAACAAGATAATTGTTTTAAAGTATTCATAGAAGATGTAGGCAACATCATATCTAGCTCTAAATCTCCATTAATCAATGAATTTTATAAGCTTTCTCGGAATTTTATAAAAGAAAGTCTTGAAACAAATAATCTTCAAATCATGGACCCCGCTAAAGCTATAATACACGATATTTCATCAGGGAACAATGTATTCTTCAAAATTGCGAAAAAATGTCTAAATAATTTCCAAAATTTTTCAGATTTTGCCAAAAACAATATTATAGCCTACATTAATGCATTCATTATCACATGTTATTCAGAGAATGACTCTCAAATTTTATTAAATGAAATAATTTTTCCATTGATTAGTATAATTTCAGAAAATGATGTTCATGATGGCATTATATTTACTATATTATGCACGATAACCACTTTAGACTTTATTTATCCTTTTGTTGATGTTAATTTTTGGACAAATCTTTTAGAAATTGCGATGAATCGATATGAAAACAATACTGAAGGTGTTGAAATTGAAGACTTCGTTTGTTTTATTGGCAACATTATTGAAATATGTGTTCCTTTTGAAGAAATCAAAAATGAAAATCAAGAAACAATTGATATTCAAATAATGAATTATGGAATTCCTAAAGAACAGATAAAAGATATCATGATAACCATTAAAGAATCCCTCTACAATATTGTTGCATTCAAAGATAAAAAGGAACTCATTATGATGCTTATTAACTTATCAATTCACTCAGAGTTTTATGAAATTATTCCTGAATTGATGGATGATATTTCTGAAATTTTAGGTGAAAATGAAGCTAATGGTGATGATACATTGTTACAAAACTTGTATTTTGTTCTTGTTAAAGCTGTTTCGAGAAAAAATGAAGCTGTTTTTCATGATATCGTGGAATCATTTTTGAATTCAGATGCTTTGGATATTCTCGAAGAGCTTGAAGGCTCTTTGAATAAACAAATCGCATTCTACGCAACCAAAATATTAACTTTGTTTGAAAATATAGAGATTGAATAAACTTAAACACTGAATTTAAAATCATATTATAAACATATTATTCTGTTGCAATATTTTCCAAAAACAATAAGAAATCCATGTTGATAGGATATTAATATCATAGACACTTTTAAAAAGGAATTATATAAAATGATGGAAAAGTAATAAAAAAGCATTCTAACAATTAGATTTAGTGTGAATGATTCTTACATTCAGATTCTTCTAATAATATTCATCTTCAAAGATGAATGAGAAGAACCTTATATAGGAACATTATTTTTTGCAGCTTTTGAAATAGGAGGTTCCGCAATGTCTTTCTCGTTTCCTAGAGATGAGATATGAAGAGCAGCTCCCCCTTCTTTTATCATTTTCATTGATATTTGCACCATATTAAATAAGAAATTTGGCAATCTCTTTATTATTATTATGGGCTGCAATATTAAGAGCGGTTTGTCCTCCTTCATTTTTTTCATTAATATTTGTACTATGTAAAATAAGAACTTCCACGGTTTTTTTGCTATTTTTACGTGTTGCAATATGAAGTGCGGTTTCTCCATATCCATCTTTTTCATTGACATTCGCACCATGTGAAATAAGAACTTCGGCAGCCTTTTTACTATTCGTTGCTGCTGCATAATGAAGAGCAGTTTCTCCATATTTATTTTTTCATTGATATTTGCACCATGTGAAATAAGAACTTCGGCAGCCTTTTTACTATTCGTTGCTGCTGCATAATGAAGAGCAGTTTTGCCATCTTCATCTTTTTCATTGATATTTGCACCATGTGAAATAAGAACTTCGGGTATATCTTTGCTATTATGATATGCTGCAAAATGAAGTGCGATTTCTCCATTTCCATGTTTTTCATTGATATTTGCACCATGTGAAATAAGAAGTTTGGCAATCTCTTCATCAGGTTTGAATATTGCGATATCAAGTGTGGTTCCTCTAACTTTACCTTTTACATTGATATTTGCACCACGTGAAAGAAGAAATTCAATTGTTTCTATACTACTTTTGTATACTGAGAATTGTAGTGCGGTTTCTGAATTTTTATATTTTCCATTAATATTTGCACCATGTAAAAGGAAATAATCGAGAAGGGATGGAATATTAAAAAACATGAATAAAAAAAGCATTTGTTAATATCATTAGTTTGATCATAATAAACTAAAAATGATTCAAGATTTTTATATCTACCACAATCATATAATTTGATCTTTATATTGTATTCATTCATCAAGAATGTAACAAAATCAATGTTGTGTGAAATAATTGCATACATCATGCATTTTTCATTTGGTTTTTGATATTTCAAACATTCACTCATGATATCTGGATTTCCACTTAAAAATGATAACTTAAGACATTTTTAGTGATTTCTGAGTTAAATTTCGATATTAATAACTTGAAACAATCAACTGCTCCATGATAACAACATAATTCAAGTAATGAATATCCTCTATAAGAATATGGATATAAAACACTTTTAAGTCTTTGATTTTTATCAAATTCATCTCTTTCTGTGAATTGGATGAATCTTTCTAAGTCATTATACATAATCGCTCTGTATATTGTATTTCCTGTATGAATGTCGAGATTTTTTGAGTTAATTATTGTTAAATCATCATACTTGCTTAATTTAATTCCATATTCTTTGTAAAACAGGAGGATAGAAATGTTTGGAGTTTGTTTGACCTCTTCCACATGATATTCATCAACAAAGAGTTTGGCCAGAGAGATATATGACTTTGTATAGCGATTATTATATGGAATGATTTTTAATATATCTTTTATTGCATATACAGGAGGATATTTCTTTGATTCAATCAATTCTGTTTTGATCGTTTTGTAAATCTTGTTTAATTCTTCTTCATTTTCTGTTTTTAGCTGATACAAGGCATTAAATGAATCGATGTAGTATTGGTAGATACTTCGCAATTCACTGTATTTATTTTGATGAGTGTCTTGATCGGACATGAAAAAAATTTAACAGTTATAAATTTGTTTTTTACAATATCAAATATCTTTATAATTCATTAGAAGAAAATCTACTATGTAATAACATAATTATCACAACGATTTCAGAGATATTTCTTAACTTTATTGGATCTGATAAAGATGCAAAGAACATTTATGAAATACTTCACATATTTGGATATTAAAAAATGGTTGCCTTAAAGTTGTAAAATGTCATATATCTGTTGGAGCAAATAAGAAATTAAAAGCAATGTAAGAGATTCGATTGTGAATAAGCTAATCATTAATAATTAACTCGGCACATTATAAGCATGTCAAGTTTCATTTTGTCCGAATGCGCTGAAAAAAAAATCTTCAGTGCATATATGCTATTGGCGTGCGGCGCCGATAAAATAAATAAAAAAATTAGAAATCCGTTTGAAAATTTTCTATGGCAGCAACTTGTGATGCCTACTTCATCGGACGAATTGTTGGTGCTTCTGGCTTTCCTGATGGTGCCTTCTGCCTTTATGAACTCGTTCATGGTCAGCAATGGGTAATTACTGATGGTGAAGAAAAAGGACAAACACAAATCGATACCCCAGATGAAGGAGACACTGTTATTTGGTCTCATCCAATTGATGTTCATTACGAATTTCCTGGTATTCAAGGATGGCCTAAATTATCTGTGGAAGTTTGGCAACAAGATGCTCTAGGTAGATCTTTTCTTGGAGGTTATGGTATTTGCAATTTACCAATGACACCAGGATCGCATGATATAGATGTTCAGCTTTGGCGTCCAGTTGGAACTAAAGTTGATGCATTAACATCGAAATATATTGGTGGTTCGCCACAACTCGTTACGCAAGATATTGTAGATAAAGCACAGGATAGAGATAGACTTAAAACAGAAACAGCAGGCGTTTTACATCTTTCAATCGGACTAATTCTTGGTCGTACATCGAATTTCCAAGTTTTAATCTAAATTCAGTTAACAATCCTTACTGATTTCTATTGTTTTGATTATAGTTAATCTTTTCTTGTTATTATTTATTTTATAATAAACCTTTTCACGATTTAATTAAATGTATCTTAGTTTCAATTAATACACCTTTCTTTGTTTCTATATAATTCATCTTTGTTTTGCGACTCCAATGAATTGAAAAATGAACGATTGTGTTTAATTCATTCTTAGTTTACCATCGATTTGTCGCTGCAGAATATGTAAAATCCATTAAGGATTGTGCAGTCATTAAATAGAATTACAAGTGAATTTTCAATTTTCTGGCCTTTTTACCATATTTTTTTATTTGATTATGACGTAAGAATGATGACCTCCACTTATTTAATGCGAATGATTCATGAATCACATAAAAAGAGCAATTGTTGAAATTGTTGCGCAAAATTTGAGAGGAAAAATAACGTACAATAAAAGATCTAAAAAAGAAGAAATATGGCTGATATATTCCAAGCAATCTCTGAAGATAATCTTGAAAGGATGCAGGCATGCATCACAGAAGGCACTGATGTTAACAAACCTGGTCCAAATGGATTAACGCCTTTGATGCACGCATGTCAAGAAGGAAAGGATAAGTGTGTAGCTGCTTTGATCAAAGCGAAATCCGATGTTCAGGTGCAAGCAGCTGGTGGTTTGCAAGCAATCCATGTTGCTGCTGCTGCAGGCCAGGATGCTTCAATTCAAGCTCTTCTTAAGGCTGGTGCCCAAGTAAACAATCAAGATGCTGCAGGAATGACACCATTACACCATGCTGCTAAAAACAATCGTAAAAAGACATGCGATTTACTTATTAGATCGAAAGCAACTGTTAATATGCCAGATGCAGAAGGAAATACACCACTTCTTACAGCTCTTATTGCTGGCTCAGCTGATGCAGTCCAATCCTTCATCAAAGCAGATGCAACTGATTTAACAGTGCAAAATAAGAAGCAACAAACACCAGCGCATTTCCTTGCTGCTATGGGTAACATTGCTTTACTTAAGTCTCTTGCCAAGAAAGGTCTTAACTGGAATGCTCAAGATGATCAAGGTCGTACTCCAGTTGAGCTCTGTGCAGATTCCGGCAATGCTCAATGCTTCGAATTCCTCCTTACAAAGCTTGGTGGCGATCCAAGTGTTACAAATGCTGCAGGAGAATCTCTTGCTCATATTATTTCAGCGAAAGGCCATGCTCCTCTCCTTGGTATCCTCAAAGCCTCCGGTGGTAATGTTGATAGTGAGGATGCAAATGGCTGCCATCCAATCCAACAAGCCGCTGCATCAAATTCTGTTCCAGTTATTGAAGCCCTCATCAAACTCATGGCTCAGGTCAACTGCGCAGATGGCAAAGGCGATACTCCAATTCATTATGCCGCCGCTAATGGGGCTGTTGAAGCTGTTGAGTGTCTTGTCAATTCCGGTGCAGATATCAATGCCAAAAACAAAGCCGGCGAAACAGCTCTTCATGTTGCTGTCACAAAAGGAGATTGCAAGATGATCAACGCTCTTTCAGATAAGAACATCGATGTCTCTCTCCGCGACAACAACGGTAACACAGCACTCCATCTCGCTATTCCTTTACATAACACAGAAGTTATCAACACATTGATTGGAATTTCTGTTCCACCAAACTCCCAGAACAACGACAATATGACAGCTCTCCACCTTGCAGCAACTCTTGGAGATGTAGAACTTGTCCAGAACCTCATCAAGGCTGGAGCAGATGTTGATATGAAGAACAATGACGGAGAAACACCATTAGAACTCGCTTCCGCTGTTGGCGATGTTCCTGTTGTCAAAGCATTAATTGAAGCACGTGCTGATGTTAATTCTAAGGATGGACAAGGAATGGCCCCATTGCATAAAGCCGTCCAGAACAATCAAGTCGAAGTTATCAAGTGCTTGAAGGAAGCCAATGCAAATATTAATGCTAAAACAGGAGATGGAGAAACACCTTTAATCATTGCAACAAAGATGAAGAATGTTGATTTGATTACAATGTTAATTGATATGGGTTGCGATGTAAATATCGGTGATATCAATGGAACAACACCATTACATTATGCTTGCAAGTTAGATCTAACTAAACCAGCCTTGCAACTTATCGAGAAAGGATCAGACATCATGGCTAAAGGCGAAGGAAACAATACTCCTTTGCATTTTGCTTCATTGAACATGAACAAACAACTTGTTGAAGTTTTGATCAAGAAAGGAGCAAATGCAAGAGAAATGAATTCAGAAGGAAGAACTCCTTTGCAAGGAATTAGATTAACATTTGCAAAGTTCATGAAGCAGTTGATGGGAGAAGATAAAGGTGATAAGAAGGAAGATATTAAGATCGATGTTTCAGAAGTATTAAATCAGAGTGGCGAAAAATTAGAAACACAAACAGAACTTAAAGATACATTCTGTTTGTTATGCAGAAGAAGAGCTGCAACTGCTGCTTTGCTTCCTTGTGGACATCTTTGCATTTGCGATGCTTGCCAACATGAAAGATTGGCTACATTAAAGCAATGTCCAATTTGCAAGAAAGATATTTATGGTGCTTGTGCTATTTTCTGTGAAAACTAAATTTATTATTAGTATAATTCAATATAAATTTACATTTATCTATTATTAACAGTTTTCTTTCGATCTTTTCTTAAATAAGCAATATGAAATGTGAAAATTATGTTAAAATATATCATTTGGATAAAACCTACTTTTATAATATAGGCTAATAAACAATGTGATCAATACGAAAAATCATTTTTCATGATTCCTTCAGCACTGGCGAATAAAACTCCTGACAAGCCAACTGAAGAGAATCAAAAAGACATACTCACCATGATTTGTGAGGGGAGAAAACACAAAGAATTGAAAGCAGATATCAAAGACGCCGTTGTTTTAATAGTTTTGATATTCATGAGTATGTTTTCACGATTTTTTCGAGTGCAGTACCCTCGGTATGTCATATTTGACGAAGTACACTTCGGTAAATTTGTAACTTACTATAGAAATGGTGAATATTTTTATGATATTCATCCTCCTTTATCAAAACTAATCATGTATTTGCATTCATACTTAACAACATATGAAGAGAATTACGATTTCAATATGTTACAATTTAAAAACGAAAAATATCCAAATTATAATTACGTTTCAATGCGTTCAGTTAATGCATTTTTCGCTGGATTATGTCCACCAATAATGTTTGCTATTGCTCGTGCAATGGGATGCAGTTTCAATGCATCATTGCTGATTTCATTGATGACTATTTCAGATATATGCATGATAGTGCAAGGCAGATTTATACTTTCAGATGGTATACTACATTTCTTTAGTTGTTGCGCCATTTTGACATTTTTCCTAGATTATCGTCTTAATACTGTTTTTACATTCAGTTTAGAAGCATTATTCATCGGATTAGCGTGTTGTTGTAAGTTTACTGCTGGTGGAATTGCTCTTTGCGTCTTTGTTTTTGAATTTATATACGCATTTACAAAATCCGACAATAAAAATCGAAAAACATACATATTACACGCATATTATCGTTGCTGCTTTATTCTTTTAACGATAATATCATGTTTATTATTTACTACAGTAATTCATTTAGAATTATTACCTTATCGCCCTGAAAACAACGAAACATTCGTCACTCCACTGATAAACAACCCTCTTGTAAGCAAGCATGACACAAATTGGACCGCTAGAGCTAATTCTTCACCAGTAATTTTGAGATCATTTGAACTTTTACTTCACCAGCTTACAAGTAACTTAGATAGAAACATGACCCATCCATATTCATCGCGCTGGTATCAATGGCCGCTACTTACAGGTAAATCCATTGTATTTTGGACTGATGATCAAAGAATGGTAGTAAACATGGGTTCTCCTTTACTTTACTACCCTGTTTTCTTCCTTATTATTATTGGTATTGCTTATTCTTACGGAAGAAACAAGTTTTGCACCAAACAATTCATTTGTATTGTTGGATATCTTTGTTGTTTGCTTCCATTCGCATTAGTACCTCGTGTAACGTTTTTGTATCATTATACTCTATCTCTTTTGTTTGGAATCCTTCATGCAGGTGTTTTTGTTGACAAATTACCTCCAAAAATTCGAGGATTTCTTTTCCCTCTTTTAGACGTTTGTGTAATTGTTGGATACTTCTTGTGGGCGCCTTTAGCTTACTCTCTTGTGGAGCTGGACTTCGACTTCCTTAAGTGGTTTAGCAACTGGTATTAATATGTTTCTTTTAGTTATTTATTTATTTTGTATAAAGATTGACTTTTTTTTATTTTATTTATTGTTTTTCTCATTGGTTTCTAATTAACTTTCAATGATTTTTTTATTGATATGGTACAATAAAGATGTATTAAATAAATAAAGAAATATCGTAACAGAAAGTTTAACCCATATCAATTGATCGAAATTGCGAACTTTGGCAAAATAGCTGCTGTGCACTCTTATAGAAAGAGTTTCGTGTTATTGTGTTTATATCTGGATAATAGAAAAAGCTCAAGGGTGCAGTGCATGTTATAATTATTGAAGCATTTGATATTACATCCATCACACAATCACAGTTATTTGCACAATACTGTCAAATAAATAATAGAATATTGGATTTAAATTTGAGATTTGAGTGATAAAAGATATTCTAAAATAAAACTTTAAATATTTTTTTATGATAATTAAAAAAAATAACTTATAAAGAAATAATACATTACTCAGAAGTGAAGAAACCCCAAACTTCAACGCAATCAGCAGCGAATTCTTTTTCTGGCAAGAAGAACAATCTTGCCTCTTTCGAACCCGGCTGTAAACCAATTCCGTACGACTTCTCTATCTGAGCCGAACACATGTTGAAGTCACCAGCCAAAACAAGGTCGTATTTTCCGAATGTCAAAACATCCTTTGTTGCGTAGAGGTAGCAAGGATCATCAATAGTTGGTCTGTAAGGGATGAAAATATCTCTATTGATAGAGAACAAGAAGCTCGAAGACTTGTCACCGAAAGGCTGTCCATCGCAGTTCCATTTCGTTGCAGCAAAGCCTCCAAACACGTAACCGCCTTTCTTAACAAGAACAACAGTGATTCCGATGTTATCTATCAAATCGTGTATTGCTCTTATTGTTCTTGGATCTCTTTCTGTTGAATACAAGAGATGTGTTGCTGGCTGTGTCTTGAAAGGCAATGACATGTAGAGTCTTCTTGCGATCTCGTCATTAGGGAGAATTGTTGTTCCTTCGAATGGAACAAAATTCAATTTAATTCCCTTTGAAGCGAGTTTCTGTTCATGTCTCAAAGCCATCTGTGTCAAAGTGATGATTCTTATCAATGACTTCATGTTCGGATCAACATCCATTTTAACTTCATTGAAAGCAGCTGTGTTGAATGTTCCTGTTGTCTGTGTTTGGTTCTGTGTACTGCTATATGTGTTTCCAATGTTTCTTGATTTCATCCTTGAATTTTCTTGTTGTTGTGTTGTTGTTTGTGTGGAATCAAATGTCGATGAATTCATGCCATCGAATGTTGTTGATGGGAAATCAACATTTCGGACATTCCTTTCATCGAAGTAGACATCCCTGTTTCTTACACCCATTGGCATAATTGTTTCCTGTTTCGATTTGACCTCTAAAACTCCTGTCAATGCTAAATCTCCTTCAACAGCAAGAGGACGAGGTAAATCATTGTCAGGACGCAACTCATTGATGAGTTTGTCATGGATTGTAAGTGCGCGGATGACAGAGAGAGGACTGGAATATTCAAGATGCTCCTTGACAAAATTGGATTTGGCATCAACTTCATCGAGTTTCCTTTGGATTTCGGTTTTTGTGGATTGAATAATCAATGTTCTCTCAGCAACTTGTTCGTGAAGAGATGCGATTGCTTCTTGTGCGATCTTCATGATCCTTGCTTCAAGGCTCTTTGCGTTTGCAATGACATCTGCGTATCTTCTGTCCGCGTCTTGCATCTTTTCTCGCAAAATGTGTCTGCGGCGAATGTAAACTTTTGATTCATTGTATCCTGCTTTGATGGCTGCGGCGTATGCGTCTTTGAGTGGTATCAAAGTGTGTGATGTGGCTGGGCCTTTCGAGTGGAAGCCGGACATCTTACATTCAATGCAAACAGGGAGTTGGCAAGTAGGGCAAAAGTGTTCGACTCTGACTCCAGGATGGAATGGACATGTTTCCATCATTGGCTTGGCTTCTTCGATTGGGATACGCTGATGAGACTGTAGAAGTCTGTTTCCTTCGTGGGATTGGCGATCGCAATCTGCACAAAGATGTGCGTTGCAATTAGAACACCAAACAACGGATTTGTTCTTCTGGCAAAGGTCGCAGATATCATTGATCTCTGGTGCATTTTCAAGAAGCTCACCAGCAGTGAAACGAATGAACTGAAGTGTTCTGATTTGATCTGCATTGCAAATAACGTATTGGTGATCTGCTGAGACGCAAAGAGAGTTGTAATCTTGGTTGAGATTATCGCATGTTGGTGGTGTCTTTATGAATTCTTTTGTTTCGTAGTCGGCGGTCATATCCATATAGTTCTGGACGTTTCCGAGAGCAACAAGGCAGTGAACAACTTCACCAACTTTTGCTGCCTTATCGATAACAACGTGATCTGCACGGAATTTCAAACCACGCTTTGGGTTAACACGAACTCCTCTTGCAGCAATGTCTGAAATTGGCTGATCTAGCTCACTAAGTGGGATAAATGCGTGTATTACATTAACTGGATTAATTTTTTGACAGTATTGTGCAAATAACTGTGATTGTGTGATGGATGTAATATCAAATGCTTCAATAATTCTAACACGCACTGCATCGAGCTGTTGTTGCAATTCGTATTGAATAACACGGAATGCTTCTGACTCTGGTGGTAACGGTGGGAGAGATAACGACATGAAATTATAATTTATAAACTTATTACGATAACAAACGCAAAATTTCCAATTTTGACATTTCAAATTTACATGTCAAGATTATATAATGACTGATAATTTCTCTAATTTGTTTCATAGAGAAACGCGAATTTCAATGACAAAATCAAATTAAAAAAAGGAAAAGTCAAGTTTTGATAAAAATACAAATCAACACACATATTTTACACTCTTTTAAATATGTCTATTCTCAGTTGCCACGATCAAACAAAACACATAAAATTCGGCTATATAGACTTTTTTTTCATTGATATAGTACTCTCAAAATCTTAGGTTCGGCCTCAGAAAAATTTGTGAACGAAAATTTTCTGTAATTAAGTAATCCATATTATTATAATTAATATTTTATAAAAATATAGTTTGAATTAAAATCGATTATTTTCCTGATTGATTCCTATCCAATGATATAAAGCGTACTATATTCATGGACATAAGAATAAAAACATATTTATATAGTATTGTTGACTAATTTCATATTTTCGGAACTTTTTTGTTGACATTAATGATAAAAATATAGATTTAACATTAATGTATAAGATAATCATTATTTATTGCTACTGTATGAGTAATGTATATAGATAGAACCAGCTAATCTCAATATTTGATTTCAATTTATTTATTATTTAACAGTTGGATATAATTTTATAAGAAAACATAGATGGATATCAAGTTCACTTTAAAGAGAATGAAATTATAGTCTTGGATAAATCATTTTTAATTTTAAACGGCAACTTTCCCACATGCGAGATAACCCAAGAAACCATTGATCCAAGCAGTCATACATGTAATTCAACATGCAGACTAGTTATTTCAGACGATACAGCAAAAAATATTGATAATGCGTGAAGTTATTGACTCATTCATTAGATTTTTACGTTGGAACCATCGTATTAATGAATGGCATAATGCACTTGGATGTACCCATTATATTGACAAGCACACGACTCCATTTTTCCATGATTTGATAATTCAAAATTTTATCCTGAATCAATTACGGATCCTCTGTTTCAAATATTGAAGATATACATATTGTTATATTGTTTTGTAAAAGAATTTATAGAACTTTTTAAAAAACCGTTTTTGCAAAAATCTCGGGAACATAATCCCCTCAATTTTATTTGAAATAATCAGGAATGTATACTCGAAATATAGGGCGTGCACCATATCTTGAAAATTCAAGATCAATTTTGTAAAATTCTGTATGTAAAAGTTTTTTCCGTGACAGAACCATTTGTTATATATCATTATGAACAGATATGATCTTATTGAGTAAAACAACTCTAACACAAATGCACAAATTCTTGTAAAAGATAAATTGATAAAGAAACTCATATGAAAATGAAAAATTTTTAAATTCAAACAATTTTGCGGTTTATTTCAATTTAATCTTCAAAATTTATTTATCATAATTGTATATTTGCTTGTATTTCTTACTCGAAAATAGTAGCATCAATAAAAATTATTCTCAAGTTAGTGAACAACCATGTCAAGATTCTTTTTTCTTTGAATGAAATATTGGACCTTTTAAGAATTTGATCATAAATACATAATATGCAATAGACCAGTATTTCAAATATATTGTAAAACATTTGATTTTAAGTGCTTGAAATTGATATTTTGCAAAACATTTGGTGTTGTTAGATTAAAATGTGATACTATCATAGTCTGATGCATCACTTTCACTGGCTATTTTGTAAACTGTTGAAATGTGAGATCTAGGCTATCGAAAGATATGAAGAGCGTTTATGATTTCAAAAAAAAAATCATTTTCCGTTTCTATCGTCTTATTGAATTTAAATGTTATCAACTGTTTCCAGTGTTCTGGAATCAGAAGATCCAACAAAATTTGGTTTACAGGATTATGTTAACAATGCTACGAACTATGAGATAGAAAAAAAAGGCGGACTCAACAAATTACATTCAACTTACAGCTTAGAACTCGCAAAAAACGTAGTTGGTAATCAAAATTCAGTTCTTGACAAATTACAACCAAGTATCAAAATCGATGACTCCAATATTTATTGGAATAAAGCATATAGAATTGTAATCGCCCTTTTAAGAAGACATGAGATGGAAGATACACTACATGCAATGAGATTAGAGTATCCTAACCTCCCTAAGAGGACTGGATTCTCAAAAACTTCAGATCTTAATCGTGAATTTAACCAACTCTTTGATTACAACGACGAAGTTACTTGCAAGCTCACACTTGCAGATAAAGTCCGAGAACTTGCAAAAGAAGTAAATTTACCACATGATAATGATGACGACGATCACTGGGAAGAAATTCAACTTTCAACTGTAGCAAACGATCAAGAACTAACACTTGCATCAACGACAATCGAAAATACACTTGATGAAAACATACACGAAGCTCAACAAAAGCTAATAGACGAGAAAACTCCAAAATCTCCACGTCGAAAAGAAATAAAAGTCAAAAAGGAAGTCGAACCGGAAAAAATCAGAATTCGCGTTAGAAAACATGACGAAAATGGTGAAACTTACGTTCATAAACATCATCATCGTCCAAAACCAAAATATTTATCTACAAATATCACGAAAACAGTCGAAAGAAAGCTCAGTCCAGGTGGTACTCCACGAATTGTTGTTAAACGCCGCATTGTTAAAGTTGTTCCTCATTTCATTCAACATCATCACCAAGAGGAAGAGGAAAAGAAGCAAGAAAAGCTTCCAAAACCAAATACAGACATAGAAATTGAACCATTAGATCTCGATGACTTCGAAGATAACTTCGATGAACCGAAAACTCCAGATAAATCTGTCATTGAAAAATTCAATAATTCGAACGATAACCTGAAAAGTGACAGCTCTGAGGGAAGTGATGAAAATGTAGCGATGACTTTACCTGGGCCCGAAAGTCCCAGTACCATAGATAAACTACAGATGTTCATAGATGGAATGGATAAGAAAAAGAGCTCATATACCCTTGATGAAAGTTCAATTTTCCGTCATCGTCTGTCAAAGAACCACACAATGGACGGAATACCAGCCAAAAAGTATACAGCGAGCAAAAGGTACAAGGATGGATCGCTAATGAAGAAGAGAATTAATGATCCTTTGTTGAGATTGCCAAAGAATCATAGTATCGATGATTCTGGAGTCGGATATCATAGAAGTATGAATTCTGGAGATGGCTCGGCAAGAAGAAAATCAAATAGATTGACAGGAACATATTCTTCATCTGATTATAGTATTTCTAATTTTTAATTTTTGTTTTATTGTAAATTTAAATTTGTTTTTTATACTATCAACCAACTAATGTAATTCTAATCATATGATCTTGCAGTAGACTGGATTCTCAACTTAAATTGATTTCGAATCAATGACTATATCTAATCCTGCCCTACATGATTGTACTACAAAACGCATTCACATGGGCAATCAAATTTGAGCAATAAAGGAGATCTTGAAAATTTATGGAAGATAATGAAGGAAATTTCCTCGTAAATGCGTGAGAATTCGCTCTTGCATGGTAATACAAAATGAGTGGTGAGATTTTGCACCTTTATTTCATGAGTAACTAAGAAATTTCAAAATGAATGAAGGGTAAATTTTTACCCTTCTCCTTTTCGATGCCAACTCGTTTCCATAAGAGCAGAAAACTTCGTGGCCAAGTTTCTATGGGTTTCGGCCGTGTAGGTAAGCACCGTGTTTCACCAGGTGGCCATGGTCGTGCTGGTGGTCAGCACCATCAGAGAACCTGGTTCGATCGCTTCCACCCAGGCTACTTCGGCAAGGTTGGCATGCGCCATCTTCACCTCATGAAGAACCGCGCTGATGAATATGAGCCAACAATCAATGTTGACAAGCTTTGGACACTTGTTCCAGAAGAAGTTCGCGTCAAGGCTGCTGCTGCCAAGAAGGGCGATGCTGTCCCAGTTATTGATTGCGTTAAGAACGGATTCTTCAAGGTTCTTGCTCGTGGTGAGCTTCCAAAGATCCCATTTGTCGTCCGCGCTAAGGACTTCTCAGAGGAAGCCGAAAAGAAGATCAAGGCTGCTGGTGGCGTTTGCGAGAAGGTCCAGTAAATTTTTCTTACATTCCTTCGAAACAAATTTAATTTACATTTTTTTAGATACATACCTACAAAAAACTAGAGCACTCTGATAACACAACCTCGCATAGAATAAATGGAATCTTTATGATACTAATTTACGTTATAAGGAAAAACGTAAACTAATATTTTTTATCTGATCAAACAATAACAATAAATCAAGTGGATTAAGATCTAGCCATACGATTGACTCAGTGTATGAAATATTTCTCATTGGATTTTCTTTTGAATTCAAATACTCTGAAAATATATCGAATTGCTTCTTTTTTTGTTTGTAGAGGAAAAGTAAAGCAATAACTTCGTTTGCAACTGCTTTAAGAACGCAAAATCGGAAATTCATAGAGATATCACTCAATTAAGCTGGATTTTCGCTCGCAAGTTAGTAAGATTCTTTAAAACCCATTCAATACACATACATTTGGATAAGGCTGTACCATGTCTTTATTTTGAAATTATTCGATATCGAGAAGTTCTTGATCTATGCTTATTATCCTTTTTGATGAATCTTATGCTTATTCTGGTCCAGTATATTGCAAAAACGTAAGAATAAAAATTTTATGAATCTAATATCCCACATTTTTGACTATTTGGTTGAAATCTAACAGTTCATTCTGATATATACCCTAAATATATCTTTTATGGAGTGCACTAAAATTGAGAGGAAAAAACCTCCGAACGATAGGTATGGCCTTTTCCTATGATCGGAGGTAAGACCGGCCACAAGGGCTTCCAAGCTCGCGAAATTGCCGCAGACGTTTTCGTTAATGCTCTTGCTAAGCACTTCCAAGAGAACAGAATTGTCCTTCCACCAGAGTGGGCAGATCTTGTCAAGACCGCTGCTCTCAAGCAAATGGCTCCATCCAACCAGAACTGGTTCTACACACGCGCAGCTGCCGTTATCCGCCAGATCTACATGCACCACGATGCTTCCCTCTCTGGCCTTGCATTCCATTATGGCGCTAACCTCAAGGCCGTTACAATGCCAAAGCACCACCACAACGCTTCCCGCAAGGTCATCCGCTCCATCCTTCAGCAATTAGAGAAGGCTGACCTTGTTAAGGTTGGTGAGAAGGGCCGCCAGCTCACACCAAAGGGCCAGCGCCTTCTTGACCAGGTCGCTACAAGCTGCGGCAAGAAACAATAAATATGATCTGCTAATTCCAAATCTAAATCGATTTTTTTACATTTTTATATCTTTATTTTTTGGAAAAGTAATTAGATTACGAGTCATCTTTTTATTTATTCTTCTTTTACTTTTAAAACAAAGAAGAATAACTGATTATATTGTGTCAATATTCTCATTCTTTAGCTTCCCTATTAAACTAACATGACATTGCCATAGCTATTAAACTCCATAGTTCATAAACTGGCTTCCTAGAAATGTAATCAGGTTTAATTGAACGACATGAATCGAAGTTCATACAAGGGCATTTAATTTGACTCATCAATAGTTCACTTTTTATAGCATGTCTGTTAATAAAATATCTTAAAAAAGAAGAACGAACAAAAATCTTCAAACGGATAAATAGGAAACTTCATTGTATATCTAATCAACCATGACTGTTAGAATTAATAATTTATCATCGAATGAAAATGAATCAAAAAAAGTCTAGATTAGAGTAAAAAACATACAATATCTTTTTATTATTTAAAAGTAAATTACAAATCCCACAAGGCTCAATTATAAGAAGAAGATAACCATTACATAAAAAGGATGTAACTTGTCATTTGTTGGGTAATTATTGCAAAATTTGACTGTGTTACAATTTAAATATCTGCAAAGTACTTCTGAAAATCTTTTGATTCTATAGGTTGTGGTGGATTCATATTAGCGTCATGCATCGAATCTTCCATATCTGTTTCTTCGTTATGTAGTTGGATTTGCTTTGAAATGATCTTTGATTGACCATGTCTGATATTTTCGAAAATATAAGATGGATGGAATACGTTTGGATTGACTCCGCCATTTCCGTTTAAATAATCACTGAATAGAGGGGAATATTTTTCCATTCGCGTATTTAGCTGCCTTTGGTTCTGCTTTTGTAAATAGTTAAATATGTGTATTTCTCTTGTGTTGTCGTTGAATTCTTCGAGTCCTGAATCGCTCATTTATAAAAAGTGACAATGATTTAAAGAAAAACAATTTTACCGCGGGATTATCGCATTTCTTGAGCAAAATTTTTATACCGCTATAATATAGTCTTTATTTCCCCTTATGATATAAAGCCTCGAATGTTTAAACACACTAGTCACTACTTATCCCGCGATAAACACACAGACAATATGATTTCAAAGCTCATAAAGAATAAATTAAAACAACCTTTTAGTATTAGTGTGAGATTTTTATATCCAAATTTTGAAATTAGAGAATATTCTATGCGAAATTCTAAATTTTAAGTGATTGTAGAATAGTTATATGCTTTAAATACCAGACGATGAAGCTGAAGATTTCAAATAAACGATTTGATCAAAAAGAAATGCTTTATTCAGTAAGGTTTGTGCCAGAGAAGAAGAAATGAAATTCTTTTTTGAATAAAAAAAATTCATCGTTTTTCACATGACTCGGGGAAACGTTACATTGATCGGAGTTGGCCGCCTTGGTATTTGCTCAGCACTCGTATTTGAGAAGGCAGGATACAACGTTCTTGGCGTAGATCTTTTCCCAGACTATGTTAACGCAATTAATAATAAAACTTTCGATTCGCCAGAACCGCAAGTTAACGAATTCTTAAAAGAATCCAAGAACTTCAGATGCTCAACTGATATGAAGGAAGGTATTGAATTTTCCGACCTTTTATTCATCTGTGTTGATACTCCTTCAACAGGTGGTGATTGCCATTACGACCATTCGAAACTATCAAGAGTTCTCTCTGTGATCAACAGTTTCAAGCCAGAGAACAAGCACGTAATGATTATGTGCACTGTAATGCCAGGTTATATTCGCGAAGTTGGCCGCTATCTTCTTCGTGATTGCAAGAACACAACACTTAACTACAATCCAGAATTCATTGCTCAAGGAGCAATCATGAAAGGCTTCCAAAACCCAGATGTTGTTCTAATTGGTGCTGAAAATGACGAAATCGGCAATAGACTTTCCGAATTCTACAAGAACATAACTACAAATGAACCATATATTGCAGTTATGAACCCAGAATCCGCTGAATTAATGAAGATTTCCCTTAATTGTTTCATTACTACTAAGATTGCATATGCAAATATGATCGGTGATATTGCAGATCTCACCCCAGGTGCTGACAAATACAAGATTCTTGAAGCAATCGGACACGATTCAAGAGTTGGCTTAAAGTGCTTAATGCCTGGCTGGTCATTTGGCGGACCATGCTTCCCACGTGATAACCGTGCACTTCTTGGCTATGCCGAGAAGATTGGCTTCGATGCAAAAATTTCTCGCGCAACAGATCAGGAAAACAACGACCATACACGTATTATGGCAGAAAAATACCTCGCAGAGAACAAGGACAAATACGAATTTGTTAATATCGCTTACAAAGAACCTTGCAACGTTCCAATTATCGAAGAATCTGCCAAACTTAAAGTTGCCGAGTATCTTGCAAGGCACGGAAAGAAAGTTGTCCTCAAAGATAAGAAACATATCATTGAGGTCGCACGCCGGGAATATGGCTCGTTATTCACTTATGTCGAAATTTAACTTATATTTTTAAAATTTTGTAACTGTTTAATGAATGACGCGCGTGGTTGTATTAATAAAGTCTAATGATATTATATCCCCCATACGTTTTTAACTTCAGCAAACACCAAAAAAAAATTTTAAAAATCAAGGGTAATTATAAACCTCTAATCTCCCTATCTCTCTTGTCAAACAAGCCTTGACTGGGACATTGCAACAGAGCATAACCATCTATACTTTCTAAATGGATAGCTACTCTGATGAACCCTCCCAGACTTGTTTATATATTACAATTTCAGTAAATATCGTTAAAAGCTATTCACAGTAATAGGATAGCTTGTAAAATGATTAAGATCATAAACAACGTATACAGAAACATGCATTAGAACATCAAATTTCAATTCGATTGTACCAAGCCAAAATTTTTGTTAGAAACTCGGATGCGTAAATTACATTCAAGTGATAAATACACGGTTGAAATATACAGCAAATCGAATAATACAATTTTTGAGAAGAGAATTCAAAGCGATTTAAATTGTTTTAATGCAATTTTACAGAAGTGATTTCTCTTTCCTTACTAAGTGATATTCGTCTGCCAAACAATTACACTTGTTTCATGAGAATCAATACACGTTGAAATATGAAATCTTACCAAGCTGTATTGTTTGATATCATTAACAATAACCATTACGAATTACTTAACGGATACACTTAGATACGACTATTCTATTTACTTGTTGTTCTTGAAATAAACTCATTATTAATTTACTTGTAAAAATAGAGAAATTTGTAATGTGCATATCATTTTTATCACTATATATGAGATCCGATCTACTTTAAATTGAAGAATATAAAAATATAATATTGGAATCAAAAAATATTGTTCAATCGCACTTAAAAAGGATTCAAAATCAAAATTCATACAATAATACTCCAAAGTGGTTTTCCAAAAAAAATTCAAAATCGATTTTTTGATATGAAAAATAATGTTTTTTAATTTCATTTTGCTTTTTTCGTATTTTTTTTGGAAATTTCAATAGTATCATGGAACGGTGTAAGTATGATAATTTTATTAGGTATCCTATGTAATGATGAATTCAAGGATAATTTTTAAAATACATATTCAATGACAAAATTCAATCCAAATCATATGCAATTTTCTAATAAATGTATTACAACATGACTAACAATGATATGCATAAATAAAATATTTGGATAAAAAGAGTATAAATCAAGTTTTTAGTATGATTTTTCTTCATTTTAGAAGTTTAAACATTCAATTTTAAAATTGTAGTTGACACGTGAGATACTTGAGCTGATGGTCACTATGTCTATGATAGAGTAAGTGATATAATCAGATTTATTTCATTATCCGACACATAAATCAGAAATAATCTTAGACAAAGTGCTTTATTTGGTAACTTCCAATTATTGAGTGATAAAAACATATTTTTGCATGCTATTTAATATATCTCCATGAATTAGAGCTGTTTATTTCCATTTTCAATTTGAAACCATAATAACAACATATGTTGATCCAAACCATACGAATAAATATATTTATCACCAATAATTACATCCAATTTGGAGTCATATATTAACAAAATCTTATATTCTAATTCATCATAGTATCTACTTATTATTTAACCAATTTTCTCGTTTTGCTCTGATTTTCGACGGTTTTGGCTAGGTCTTTTCTATCGTCAGAACGGTTTTCTTCTGCCTTTTGAACAATGGCTCCAAAGGCTACACGTTCAGCTCCAGAGAAAGTTATCGAAGATAAGGACATCATCCGCCAGGAACACCTCTTCGCTGAGGAGACAGCAGAGAAGGTTGCTGACAAGACAGCTCAGACACGCTTTCCAAAGTATGTCCAACTTCAGCGCCAAAAGAGAATCCTCATGAAGCGCCTGAAGGTCCCACCACCAGTCAACCACTTCAACCACACACTCGGCAAGGATGCCGCTGTCGCCCTCTTCAAGTTCCTCGAGAAGTATCGCCCAGAGACAAAGACAGAGAAGAAGCAGCGCAACAAAGAAGATGCTGAGAAGGCTAAGAAGGACCTCAAGGTCGCCGGCTCTGGCAACAAGAAGGCTCTCGTCCAGGGTGTCAAGAATGTTACAGCTGCCATCGAGTCCAAGAAGGCCCAGCTCGTCATCATCGCTCACGATGTCGACCCAATCGAACTCGTCATCTGGATGCCAGCTCTCTGCCGCAACCTCGAAATCCCATACTGCATTGTCAAGAGCAAGTCCCGCCTTGGCCAGATCGTTGGCATGAAGACATGCTCCTGCGTTGCTCTTGCCGAAGTCAAGCCAGAAGACCGCGCTGCCTTCACAAAGATTGTTGACTCCGTCAACTCTGGCTTCCTTGCTCACTACAAGGAAGAGATGCACCAGTGGGGTGGTGGTGAACTCTCTGAGAAGACAATCGAGAAGCTCAAAGCTCAGGGCAAGTATAAAGAATAAATTAAAGGCTATTATAAAGCATTATACACTCAATTGGTTTTTCAATTTTATCCTTTAGATCTTTAAACAGATCTCTTTTGATTTTTTTTTAGAATGAGGTTAAATTTAATTCATCAAAGTAAATAATCATGTTTTGTCAATTCATTCCGGATGTAAATTCACTTATATTGGTTAAAACTATTTTATACGTTAAATTTCATGATGATTCCTTGATGTAATTTCTTATTTGATGTTTTGAATTGTCATCTGTCATATGAATGTGTCATTAATCATTGCAATACCAAAAAGAGTGATTATACGACAAACAAATACGATATATGTATTGTTGTAATTCTAAACATTTTGAGATTATTATTGTTATTAATTGATGCCGTTTACAATTGGAAATTCTCTTTTGCTCTGTGTATGCAATCTTTAACTAATTCATCTTCCTAAAATCTTAATCTAAATTTTATTATCGTATACAACCATTGACAAGTGTTTCTCAAAAAATCAAAAATTTCAAAGCTAAAATAATTCAAAAAGGATTATTCGATAATTTTGCGCTACTCGTCATAATGAAATTTTTGAATTTTGGTCGGATAAACAGATTACTTTCTACTTCAATTTTCCAAGTTTTGAAAACCTTTTCAATCCCATAAAAGGACATAAATTTAATTGAATTCAAAATGGTCCTAAAAACACTCCGATCATAAATTTGATAAATTTGATAAATTCAATCAATAATTACTAAACGTATAGAAACGATATCACATTCAAATTTATTTGCCGTTTAATTATTTCAAAATGTCAGCTGCTCCATCAGCAACACCAACTCCAATGAAAACACCAGTTACACCAGCAAACTCATGCACATCTTGCAAGTGCGGAAGTGGATGCCCATTTGCTAAACTCGGTATTCTCAGAATCGTAGCAATTCTTGTTCTTATTTGCATGCTTGTTTTCTCTATTGTTAGATACTTAACACATAAGGATAAGGGAAGTATCGCATTCGCTGCTGGAAGCATTGCCGCAATCATTGCTGTCATCCTCTCAGTTCCAAAGAAGCAGAAGAAGGAGTAAGATATTGTTTTTTTAATATACGCCCAAGACATCATGTCTTTTATTATTTTTTTATTAAACATATGAATTATTGTCACTAGAATCAATATTTAATAACTTATTTTGCAATTGTGAAAAGATCATTGCCTCAAAAATGTTCCATGTATGAATACAATAATTAATCAACTCTTACGGATAATGTAAATAATGAGCAAAATAAAAAGTTAATCATTATTGAGATTTTTATCTGTAAATCTTTGAAAATACTTGATTCTGTATTTCTCATGAGGATTAGTTGCTAATGGAAGTAACTAATTAAAATGAGTTGAGATAATTTTTCATATAATATGATACATTATCATTTTGATTTGCACATTATGCCATAATACAATACTATTGTTCTATCACAGTGCTATCTAGAATTCAAAAGTTCATATATGTTAAATATTCCATTTTTGATCTAAATATACATTAACCTCATAACAAAGTTATATTACAGGCTGATATTTATAGATATTACTGAATAAGATATTTGTGTCATGAGTATACTATCAGAGTTGCAAATTTTCCAACCTTGTTGAATATTTTGACATTAAATAGATTATTATATAGAAGAAGCATCTAGCTTTAGGTTATTTCTGAGTTTATAAAAGATTTCATTCAATATTCCTACTCTTTGCTATTCATTGTTGAATGAGATGACTAACATCTTTATGAGCTTACATAACTATGTTCTATGGCCACAACTTCAGTGCTCTATTTTAAAACTTGTTGCATTCTTCTTGCAATTGATATTTTTTAAGATCCAAAAAGATGAGAATGTCAAATTTCAAGGCGTCAATTTTTTTTGTATTGAAAATGATTGGAAATGATATAGTTTTTGATACGGCGGCATATACAAGCAGCGGAGTGGGAGCAGATGGAACACTTTTCATGTCTGCTGTTCAAGTTATGTGCTGGAATGCGCAGCAAAACAAATATGTACAAGTTGCACCTAAATTGCCTATATATGCCATGCGTAAAAACGGAAGTCTTATGATCATTATCATGGGACCACAGCAAAAACCAATTACTTTCGTCGAATGCAAGCAAAATCTCGATTGGCAAATACAAAATAAAGTTTATTGCACATTTTTAGATCCACGAAATATCAGATGGCTTGTTCTTTTCGGAACAGAAGCAGAATCAAATGTTTTTACAATGATTTCGAAATTCGAAAAATGTCGAAATTCTCAAACTTCGATTTGTATTCAGAATCCTCAAAGCCAACAACAAGTACCATCAAATCATGATATAGTTTCACGAATTTCAATCTACGATCTCTCAACTGCTACGAATAATAAACTAACTCAAGTTTTAGATAGAGTTAGGATCAGTAGAGATAAAGCAGGATCTTTACTTTCATTATTCTCAGGATGTGGCGTTGGCGGAACTTACACAGCGATGATAAATGAGAATGTTTTCGCAATTATTGAAGTTTTAGGAACCGAAGAAGCTGTTACTGAACAGCAACCGGCTAAAAAGTCTAATCCATTCAGTATGTTTCAATCTGACTCAGATTCAGGCGAAGGAGAAGATTTATTCAATAATTCTACTCAAAACAACGAAAAAAGCGATGAAGAAGAAAACGATAACGAAAATGACGATAATTCTGAAGGAAATACCAAACAAAATTTTGGATCAGATAATGAAGAAGAATCCGAAAACGAAACAGATAATTATGAACAGAAAAATGAACAAAGCATAGATAAGAATCAAAATTCCTCCGAAGAAGAAGAAAATTATCATCATGATCAAAATCAAAAGAACAAACAGACATTGAATCTGTTTTCAGAAGATGATGAAGAAGAGGAAACAAATTCCAATTACAGAAAACAACAAAATTCAGAGGAAGATGAAAATGATCAAGATAATCGAGAAAAATCTGAGGAAGAAGAGGATAAAAGAAGAGAAAGAAGCGAAAACAGTGATGATCAACAAGAAGAAGATAATTCTGATGAAAAACCAACGAGAAATGTGTTTAATGAAGAAGAATCTGATGAAATTCATCAACCAAATGATAAAACTGAGGAAGAAGAGAGATCTGATGAAAATGAAGCCAAAAAGGATGAAGATGATGATGTATCAAGAGACGACATCTCAGATGAACCTCCAAATCAAGCTGAATCTTCTTTCATCAAAACAGAAAACCACATTTCCAAACACGAAATTCTCACTCCTCTAAATGAGTCAGAACAGAGCGGATACACTGACGAAGACCCAACTCTTTACCACCACCACGACACATCACCTTTGGAAGAAGAAATCTCTACAATAAAAGAAGAACAAACATCTGATCACTTAGAAGAAAATAAAGAAATTCATGAAGAGGAAGAAAAGAAAGAACTTCATGAAGAAGAAGAAAATAAAGAAATTCATGAAGAAGAAGAAAATAAAGAACTTCATGAAGAAGAAGAAAATAAAGAACTTCATGAAGAGGAAGAAAAGAAAGAAATTCATGAAGAAGAAGAAAATAAAGAAATTCATGAAGAAGAAGAAAATAAAGAACTTCATGAAGAGGAAGAAAAGAAAGAAATTCAACAACAACAAGAAGAAGAACATAATGATCAAACAACTGAGCTTGCAGAAGAAAAGAACGATGAAGTTTTAGATAAAGAATCTGAAAAAGAAGAAATTCATGAAGAAGAAAAGAAAGAAGAAGATGATACCACTTCAACAAAAGAAGAAAAAGAAGAACATGAAGTTCAAATCACTGCTGACAAAGAAAATGAAGAAACAACTCATAATGAAGAAGAAATTTTAGAGAAAGAATCTGTTGAAGAAGATCTCCATCACGAAGAAGAAAAGAAAGAAGAAATCTCAGTAATTCATGAAGAAAAAGAGAATAATGAAGATAAGCAAACAGATCAAATTCAGGAAGAAGAACAACCACATAATGAACAAGAAGAAGAAAAGAAAGAAATTAATGAAGAAGACAAAGAATTAAATCAAAAAGAAAATATTTCTGAACAAGAAGAAGAAAATATTGAAACAGAAAAAGAACAGCAAAATGAGGAAGAAATTCACACTAAAGAAGAATTAAATGAAGTACATCATGAAGAAGAAGATCATAATGATCAAACATCTGAACTTACAGAATCTGAAAAAGAAGAAATTCATGAAGAGGAAACTAAAGAAGAACTCCTAGAGAAAGCATCTGAAACAGAACAACTTCATGAAGAAGAACATAATGACCAATCATCTGAACATGAAGAAGAAAAGAAAGAAGAGATTTTAGATAAAGAATCTGAAAAAGAAGAAATTCATGAAGAAGAAACTAAAGAAGATTCTGATCATGAAGAAGAAAAGAAAGAACTCCAACAAGAAGAAGAACATAATGAACAAACCTCTGATCATGAGAAAGAAGAACAACCTCATATAGAAGAAGAGGAAAAGAAAGAAACAGTTAACAATGAGAAAGAAAATGAAGAAGTTGTTCAATCTCAGGAAATTAAACAGAATGAAGAACCTCAAGAACAAACGAAAGAAATCCAACAATCTGATTCACATGAAGAAGAAGAAAAGAAAGAAGTTTCTCAAACTCATGATGAAAACCAGGAAAATTCTAAAGAAGAAGAAGATAAAATTGAAGGAGAACAAGACAAAGAAGAAATCCAACCAGATGAATCTCATGAAGAACAAAAGAATGAAGAGGAAGAAAAGAAGGAATCAAAGGAAGAAGAAGAAGAAAAAATAGAAGAAATGGCAGTTTCAAGAGAAATTGAAGTCGAAGAAGAAAAGTCCGAAACCGAAGATGAAACAAGGAAGAGAAGAACTCCTGGACAAATCAGAAGAAAAGTTGACCTTTATGAAGATCAAGTTCATCATGAATCCGATGAAAAGAAAGATGAAAACGAAGCAGACAACAAACAAGAAGAAGGAAATCTCAATGAGAAAGTTGATGAAAAAGTTAAAGAAACAATTGCAAACGAACAAGACGAAGAGAAATCAGAACAAGTAACTAAAGAAGAAGAAGAAGCTAAATCTGAGCAATCTCTTGAAGAAACTAAAACTGAATCAACAGAAGAAGTTCAAGAAGAAGAGAAGAAACAAATTGAAAAAGAAGAGAAAACCGAACAAGAAGAAACTAAAGAAGAAGAAGACAAGGAAGAAGTTAAAGAGGTTGAAGAGAAAACTGATCAAGTTAAACAACAAGAAGTTCACGAAGAAATTAAATCTGAACAATCACTTGAAGAAGCTAACGAAGAATCAACAGAAGAAGTTCAAGAAGAACAGAAGAAAGAAGATAAAGATGTTGAAGAGAAATCCGAACAATCACTTGAAGAAACTAAAGTTCAAGAAGAAATCAAATCAGAGCAATCTCTTGAAGAAACTAAAACTGAATCAACAGAAGAAGTTCAAGAAGAAGAGAAGAAAGAAAATCAAAACGAAAAAGAAGATAAATCTGAGAAATCCACTGAAGACTCTAAAGAAAAAGAAAATAAAGAAGAAAAAGTTAAAGAAGAGAAGAAAGGAGGCAGAGGAAAGAGGAAGAAGTCAGTTGTAGACATCTTTTCCGGAGAAGTTTCAGAAGAAAAGAAGAAAAAGAAAGGAAAACAAATTGATTTGTTTGGCGATGATAACAAAGAAGAAGAAAAGCCAAAGAAGCCGAAGAGGAAACTAGATCTATTTGGTGATGAAAGCAAAGAAGAAGAAAAATCAAAGAAATCATCAAAATCAAAGAAATTGGATTTGTTTGATAATGAAAATGAAGAAAAAGTGACAACAAAATCAAAGCGCAAATTAGATTTATTTGGCGACCAAGAACAAGAAGGATCAACAGCAGATTTAACTCCAAAGAGTTCAAAAGGAAAAAGAAAAGGAAAGAAAGTTGATTTGTTCGCAAAACCGAAGAAAAGCAAGTTGTCTCTATTCGACAATGATGATACAAACGAAGATCTCTCAACAGACATCTTAAAGAAGACAGTTGTGTCTCCAATTCCGGATGTCGAAATTCAACTGGACATGTCGAAGATAAAGGACACAAGAAGATACGTTAAGAATTATTCTGAAGCCAAGGAAGAGATCAACAAGCGCTACGAACATATTAAAGCTTTATTAAATAATATATCTGAGGCAAAATCATCTCAAAAGGAAATGGAACCACTACTATTCCCAGGAAAAGTCATCTTAGATAGCGTTAAGAGGCTTTGCGAGATGAACAAAACAAAGGATGAGGAACTTAAGCAGAAAACAATTCTTGCTGAGTTCTTACAAGATAGTGTTGACTCTACCTATGAAGTTGATATCCTTAAGAAGCGTTTGGATGCTCAACAAAAGGAAGTTGACGCTGAATTGAAATTTTATAATATTGTTGAAGGTGAATACAACGAACTAAGAGATATCGCTAATTCCCTTGATAAGGAAATCATTGATATCAATCAGAAATCCGATAAGGACGTTGCAGAAGAGAAATCTTCTTTCGAAATTTCGATTGGCCAAGAATCCATGACAGTTTTGGAGTCCCAGGCACCTCTTGAACAGAAACAAAAAGAGTTGGCCGCGGAAAGACTCCAATTAGAGACGAAATTGGCTCAAATTACAAAAGAAAACGAACAAATGGGCAAAAACGTCAATTTGAATGACTTCCAAGAGATGAAGATGATTAGAATGTCAATGAAAAAGACTGTTTCTAGCGCTATTAAGGCAATTTGGGTAAATGCCGAAGATACTTTCAGTGTTTCATTTAATCCTTTAGCTGTGTTCAAGCCAAAGATGATTATGAACGCAGTCAGAAATGTCCTGCAACAGGAGGCTGAAGAATTCTTATAATTTTAAGTATTATGTTATGTATTTGATGTCACTTTATTGTATATTTTAACTAATAAATAAATTTTTAGTAAGCTATATTTCTTAAGACCACCATCTACATGTATCTTCTCAATTTTGAGTGAATCCTCAATATATATTAACTTCATCTATCATGCTCTTTAAGGGTGCACTTACCACTTTCTGACATGCTATCATAACATCAACATATTTTTATTTTAATAACAAAAAGGTATAAAAGTCATATGAAGTATTATGTAGTGATTTATAATAACTTTTCCAGAGGGAAAATATTAGCTTTTTATCATAGCATATTGGGGTATAAACCTCTGGTGTCAAAAAAATTTAGAAATGTCAGAAAGTAGTAAGTGCGGCCTTAAGGGTGCACTTACTACTTTCTGACATTCTCTCAATTTTTTTGACACTCTAACTTTTTCTACAAATTTCCTAAAGTAAAAAGTTAATAATTTTGTTCGTGAAAAAGTTATTTTAAATCGCTGCATAGTACCTTATATTAATGCAATACTTTTTTGTAATTACAATAAAGATATATTGATATTATACGAGCATGTCAGAAAGCGGTAAGTGCACCCTTAATATATGAAATTTCTTTTGAAAAATGTGTTGATACGGCTATTTCTGTATTATAATTCCATGATGCTTCATGAAGAGTAGTGGATCCATATGTATCTATTTCATTAATATTTGCGCCATGTGAAATATGAAATGCATGAAAAATATAAATAAAAAATTCAAATATATATTGTAGAAAAAAGTTTCTTTACCGTGAAAGAACTTTAATTTTTTATTCTTTCAAAGGCTATCATTTGTTGAATTTTTAATATACCTTTAAACATTCAAAGCATCTTCATCGGATTCTCTTTCGAGTTTCTTTGCTTTGAAATACTTAAACGCGAAGAATCCGACAACGGCAACACCAATCAAAACCAATGGAATTACTATTCCAAGAGCTATTCCAAGTGATTTACCTTTTCCTCCTTTTCCATCTTCCAAGTTATCTCCGTTATCATTTTCTGGTTCAGCTGTTTGACCTGGTGTTGGAATTGGAGATTCAGCTGGGGTTTCACGTGGTGTTGCAGTTGGTAATGGAGTTGGTGTTGGATCCACTGGGAGTTGAACAAAATCACCATCAGCAAGGAAACCAGTAATTCTTATTTTTCCTGATTTTCCAATCAAAGTAATAGTATGCTCTGAGTTACTCTTCAAGCCTCTGATTCCATACAAAACTTGCTGGTAATAAGTGTCTGTAATCAAACCATTTGCAAGATTATCAAGGAAGTAAGAAGTGTCGCATGTACCATAGTGTTGATCATCAAGGAGTATTTCGAATTCGCCACCGTAAATTGTCTTATCTCCAATAATACCAATGCTATCTCCTGTTTCATTTAATTTCAGCTTAAATTTGATTCTTGAATTTGGTTCCAAATTCCAAGCTTTTCCATTGTAATACAAACCATCTCTTACCAAGGTAGCATCTCCATATGATCTGATTTTAGAATGAGTGGCAGGAATGATATTATTTGATGTTGATGCCTTCAATAAAACAGGGACAAACTCAACAAGTCCAGAGTAATTTCCATTCTTATTTGATTGAATTGACAAATTGACAACTCTGCAATGATGAGTTTCTTCGAATGTTGTTGTTGAATAGAATGGACCTTCATAAATTTGCTTGCCATCACATGAAATTGTTACATTACCATTAATGAATCTGTTTTTCTCTGGCATCCACAATCTGTCGAATGTAAGATAATCACCGAAATCAACGACATATTCAATTGGAAGAGGTTGATTGACAACTGTTGGTTGGCTTTCTGAATATCCATCGAACAAAACTTTGTTCAAATCGAGGTTCTTGTCAATTGTTTGCAATTTCTCCAACAATTTGAATTTCTTTGTTGGATATTTAACTCTACGTTCTCCTTCATAGTAAATGCCCAATGTTGGATCATTTTCTATCTTTGGCATGAAAGGATTCTTATCAACATCATCAATATTTGCGTTTGTGAAGAAAACTCTATCATATTCAAGATTTGTGATTGGATCTGATTCATTGTTAATGTATCCAAGGTATCCTTGACCTGTTCCATCAGCGTTCCTTACAACAAATCTCATGTAATACTTCTTATCTTTTGTCAAGTTCACCCATTTGGTTTTCTGATTCTTATACATACTTTCATAACCACTGATATTGGCAATTAAATAATCTTTGTCCGTGTCTGGATCTCCGGACAAAGGATTCTCAGAGATATAGAGCAAACAATCTTCATCATGATATGCAACAAATTTATATGGACTTGTTTTCTTTGGATAATAGCATCCATCAGCAACAGCAAAGAACTTCATGCCTACAGCTGGAACTGACATAGTTGAGCCAAAGTATGTATAGAACTTGGCTCCTTCTTCGTTGTACTTCTTGTAAGCCTCCGTGATTGATAATGATACATTGTAATTTTGCATCCTAACTGTGCTTCCCTGGAAATACTGTTTAACACTGATAACCATTGTTGTGATGTCTTTGTTTGTATCATCTTCATATTCTACATAGAATTTATCAATTATACTTGGATCTGGTGGTGTGTACTTGTATTGAGCTGTTCCAACTCTTTCGAATTTTCCTTTTCCTGGAATAACGTTCTTGAATGTGAAATTATGCATTCCTTCTCTTGATCTCTTATATCTTTCGAAATCGAAATAATATGGTTCACGAGCTGGAATTCTGAATGGTTTGGCAGTCTCGAATTCAACACCATCAAAAACATATCCTGTTTGATAAATTGTTGATACAGGATGGAATTCTTTATATCCCCAACCATCAATTATTTCATCTGCAATTGGTTTGACATCTCTTTCCCATACATAGAGATTTGAGAATGATCTGAAGTATGGTCTAAGATCTCTCTTTGTGAGTAATGATATGTGCAAGAGATACTCAGTAACATAAGGATATGTATCATTACGTGTGAAGTATTGGTAACTTCTGTGAGCATAGAGAATCTTTCTCTGGAGATCAGGACCAAACCAATACAAATGAAGACCATACCAAAACAACAAATCCTTGCTATTGATGTTTCCATATGGATGGGATGTGTAATCCCAGCCATCGCCGAGGCTTATACATCCATTCAAATAGATCTGTCTCTTTGAATCAATTTCTGTCATCAAAGACATTGAGATTAGGTTTAAAACATTGTTTGAAACTTCTCCATAATCACCCCATCCCCAAAAATATTGGAAGTGATGTGCATATTCATGGAGTTGTCCCCAGCATCCCCATCTTGCGGATTCATAGTTTACCCATCCTGGATACCAATACGGTGGTTCATAGATAACATTTGCACCAACAAGAGCGACGGCTTCACTAGCTCTTACAAATTTATCAAGATTTGTCATCATTGGAGTTGTTACTCTTCCATCACTTCTCCTCGAGCGATATGTGACTTCATTGACTGAGTATAAGACACGGGAAACACCTCTCCAGAATGCCATTGCATCATTCAATCTGATGGAATTCTTTGCATCTGTGCTTGGCATTGTAACAAAACCTGCACCATAATCAATGAACATAACTGGTCCTGCTTGTTTGGATAAGTCTTCTTCCCACTCTTCATCAGTTGTGGAACCGTAAATGAAATAAGGACATCTAATTACACCTGAAATATTAACGTCAAATCCTTGATTTGCTGTATCAACTCCTCTTTCGAACTCAATTGTGCCTCCGTATGGCCAGCAGAACTTTGAAACAGTACCACTAAGTACAATATCACATTTAGTACCACCAAGTATATTGCTATCGTTGGCTGCTTCGTCAACATGGCGATTGATTTTGAGTGTAATGCCGTTAACTATTTTTTCTGATATTTCAATTGTTATTAGTTCGCCAGGTGGTGCATATAGGCCTGTTGGGTGGAATGGACCACGTCTTGTGTTAATGAACAATCTTGCTTTATATCTTTTAGAGTTATTTACTAAATTCTCGTTACCATAGAATTGTCTAGTACCTACAGGTTGATAATATAGTTCATTTTCGTCGTATGTCGCAAACCATTTGCAAAAATCTCTTCTAATTCCCCAAGTTTCGTTGTTTAATTGCTCACTTGTGCAAGTTTTGCCATGATCTGGCCATACATATTGATTATATTCAATTGGTGGGATTGAATAGCCTTTTTCACTAATTGGTTTTGGTATTTTAGACCTTGGAACTTCATTCAGGATAACTATTGAATCTTGCTCTTGTGCTTGAACAGTATCTGTACCTGTATATCCGAATTTTGAAGGCGTATATGATATAGTTGATGATATCAAGAAACAAAACATTTTTTTTGATTTAAAAAATTTTTTGATTTTGATTGCAATTCAAAAAATTTATATTTTGAATGTTATTGAAAAAAACATTAATATCCAATTAATTATGAACCATAATATTAGTGATGTTTGTGAGAATGACACCCTTTCAATTATATTTGAAAAAGTATAACAATTTTATGATCCATTAATAAACTCATAAAATGTTCATTTAGCAGTTAAATAAAAATTGAACCCTTTGAACTATTGAAATTACAATTCAATTTTTTAACAGGTTGACATTTTCTTATGAAAAATAAATGATATGATAACTAGATCTCAACATGTAATTTTCCAACAAAATGATTTTTGAATTAAATTTTAGGTAAATGATATCCTATGATTATCATTTTGGCAACTATGGTATACATGATTTACAAATACTGATAATAACCCAAGTTTAAAGATAGATACAATTACAGTCGCAGCTCACAAAATTCAATGCTTTACAATTTAGATGATTTAAAAAAAAACTCCATAACTAATGTTAAAAAATTTAACATAATTTTTAGAACCTTATTTGAAAAACTGATTTCCATTATGCGGAGGGTTTCGATTCAGAATATGTTTCAGAATATCATATGTTACATTATGATAACGCCATTTTAAAAGAGTTCGGGGAAAAAGAATCATTTTTGAATTTCAAAACCAATTCATTCATTAAGGGTCCACTGTAAAAATTGAAAGTCTCTCAAAATTGAGAGGCGATTTGCAAATAATCATTATCGTCATTTTTCGAAAATCCACTTTTCCTAGTGTTCTGATTAATATTATGTGAATGCAACAATGAAGCATATGTTTCAATAAGATGGTAATATATTCTATCACTTCAAATCTCATAAAAATTTCAAAATCAGTGAGTTTTATAAGAACATGATTTTTTCGAATTTTTTCGCTTTTGGATGCGTGTTTTGAAAAATAGATATTTTCGAATTTTAATTTTATCTTAAGTATAAGTTTTATATTAGGAATTTTTTGACCTATTTCCAATCATTAATTCCAATGTTTTTCAAGGAATTTAATTGAGAAGAAATTAGGAATTTCGCTTTAATGCCATTACAAACTAATATTATTATGATAATATATATATTTATTGAGGCTAATGCCGGGATATCTTGCATTTAAGGGTCCACTGTAAGGCCAAATAAGGCCTATCGTCATCCCAAAAATATTGCTCAAGATGGTGTTTTTACTAAGACCCAAAACTTAAAAAAACACAAAAAAATTAACTTTACTCTTTTGAGAGCCTTATCAGATGTGCAACAATTTGATGCAGTATCGCAATTCGAATCCGATTTTTTAATGTAGATGTACTCTAACATTCTTGAAAAAATGCAAAATGATATTAATTAAGCTTTTCATTTCTGTATCATACACGAAACAAAATCATTTATTATACTAAAATTTATCAAAGTTTGAATAATGAAAAAATAATATCTAAATTTTTACATTGAGTCGGCTATTGATATGGTCAATATTAAATCGTTTAAAAATGGGCATTGGCCAGAATAATACCCACTAAAATACACGTTTTTTTAAATGTTATCAATTTGTTATGGTATATCTTTATGATAATGAATAAAATGCTTATCTTTCATAAGTAAATACATAATTTATGCTGAAACACAAAAAATAACACGAAAATTTTTTGCCAACATTTCAAAACTAAGGATAATGTTTTGAATATATAAGCAATAATACTTTGTCTGGAGAATTAAATTTGTGCTATCCAATTGTCAATTCTTTGAATTTTTTATAAAAAGTAGTATATGTTGCGGGTTTAGTGACTTTTTTTGTTACATCTATATATAGACGATGCATTAAAATATATTTATTTATAAATCATTAAAAAATTAACATTAATTTTAAAATAATTTATTTTTTATCTTTTATAAAAGAAGCTATATATATATAGATGATGTCAGATATTCCGCGATTAATTAAACACTGTTTAAATCCTGAATGGGTTAAACTTCAATTTAAAAATGAAGATTGTGAATTATTAAATGAATATGAAAGCCAAAATAAGCTAATGAGGTATAAATATAATGATAAAGAATATTTAATTTCATGGAATCAATGGAGTCATAATCAAAGACCTCATAAACGAGAAGAAGAAATTGAAAATAATGAAATGGAAATCATTGATGACATTAAAGAGGATGGAATTCCTAAATTTTGTAGAAAAACCTTTAGAACTAAGTTAGGAGCATATAAACGTAGAGTATTAAATCCTGAATATCTTAAACATCAATTTAAAAAGGAAGACTGTGAATTATTAAACGTTAATGAATATGAAAATGCTAAATCAAAACTGAGATATAAATATATTGGAAGTGATGAAAGGTGTAAAGATAAAGATAAAGTTTATTCAGTTTCATATAATAACTGGCACACGTTAGGGATAAGGAAACATTTAGGAGATTATGGTAAAAGTTCCGAATTCTTCAAATCTAGTATATACGAGAGAGAAGAAGAAATTGAAAATAATGATTATTTGAATTTATGAAATCAATTATTTGATTCATTCTTTCTTCAATCTCTTCTATTCTTTTTGTTAAATCATCAATTTTCATTAATGAGGTGATTCTTGATTGAGGAATAGATTTCAAACTAACCACTCCTTTTATTTTTGAAATTTTGAATCCATCAACTTTAAACATTTTATTCAATTTACATGTTGTCAATTCTTCAAATAATTTTTTATTGTTAGCATAATATTCATTAAATTCTTCAACAGATGAAAAAATTTTTATTTCAGTAATTGGTTTAACAACGTTTATTTTTTGTTGAACATTTTCACTTTCATTTATTTCTTTCTCCTCTGTTTCATTTATTTTTAAAATTGGTTTCATTTATCATTAAATAAAAATTAAAATATAAGTGATGAAATATATTTTTTAATTAATATTAAATCAGAAATGGCGGCAGGATTCTTTAAAAAATTATGGGATGGAATTAAGAAAGCTGCGGGTTGGGTTCATCAAAAGATTATTAAACCCATTGCAAACTTTTTGGCACCAGTAGCGAAAACGGCAGGAACTATCATAGGTGGAGTATTAGGTGCTAAAGCAGGTAATCCGGCAATGGGAGCACAAGCAGGTAACGCAGTTGGTGGAATTGCTGAAGGAATACTTAATAAAATAGGAGGTAGATAGTGGAAAAATAAATAAATATTATTTTTATCTTAGTATCGGTTGAAGTCTTTGATAAACTTTTTCTCCTTTATTTAATATTTCTCTTATTGGGGCGGCTTTTGGCGTTATTGATTCAGCAACGTCACTAATTGCTTCTTTATTCTTAAATATCCAATTTGCTCCTTTCTTCATTGTTTCCCAAACTTTATGCGCTCCTCTTTTTACTTTATCCCATAATTTTTTAAAGAATCCTGCAGCCATAGTTGATTATTTCATTAAAATTAAAAATTCATTTTCATCTTTTAATTTTGATTTTTTATTTATTAATAAATGACGACTAACTATTTGGTGCCAAACACTAAACCGATTAATGGAAATGTGTTTCATTCATTCGAAAAGATAAATGAAATATTCGCAAAGAATGACGGAAGAAGATATTATAGAGAACTTGAAAGTTCATGCTATGACTCTGATGCTCCATATTTTGATGATAAACAAACTCATTTAAGAATTACAAATCCGGCTCATGATGTGAACCAATTAGGTGACACATATATTAAACGCAAAGTTAAAGCAACTCTAGTTTCAAATAAAGCTTTCACATGTGATACCGCTTTTAAATGCATGCGTTTATTCGTTGGTTACAAATCATCAAATCAAAGCTTTAAACAATTAGAAGTAGAAACTGAAAGAGGTGATGCCGGTTATCTTCAGATGGATTGCGCCCGTGAATCTTTCGCATTTGCAACATATAAACCGAAATCAGAAAGGAAAGTTAAAAAGTTTGTTCATTCGTTATATAATAATGTTCAAAAATATGATAACTCAGTATGTGGTAAATATATTGACCCTTCAGAAGTTTTCAAGAAAGCAAATGAAGAAGTTGATATCACTTTTGATATGATTATTCCGGTAAATGATTTGTTAGCATTTCAGGCGTTCGATGATTATCCTAAATCATTTGGTGAAATCATTCTTAAATATTATGTTTTCAGGGATACTTTAGTATTTTGTCAGGTTGACCCGTTAAGAGTTGCTGATTTACAAAATTATGTTTATGAAAAGATAACTGATGAAAATTATGAAAAGATTATGAATCATGTTTATAAATATGATCGCAAATTCCAACAAATCGGACTTCCTACCAAATTAATTACAAGCTTAGCCGCTACATCTGCTGACGCAACAGTTGATGACGTTATTATTTCATGCACAAAGATGGAAGTTTTAGAGGATAAATGTATTACACCAGGATACGGTTTAATTGAAGAATCAGTTAAAGCAATACCACGTTTATTCAGTAAGGAAGATCCATTCATGATTCCAGCTCAACATATTGACGTTCGTTCACTAAATGGAGGTTGCATCACTCCTGAAGGTATTAGCTCAGATTTCTCATACGCTCTTCATAATGTTACAGATGTTGTGTTAACATTTCCGAAGAATGCAATGCAAAGAACAGTTTTAGAAAATCCAATGCTTCGAGGTCTTCAGGTCACTATAGATTCCAGAAACTTCCCCGATCAAGCGATGACCACAGTGGGTGACATATTCTTTACACGTATGCTTCAAGCTTCTGATTTAGATGGAGTGAATGAATGCACAGAAGAATACGAGGACTCATTAACTAGACCACTGAATGATGATGATGGCATACCATTAGCTAGAACATGGAAAGACCAAACTTCATTCTTATGCACTATTCCAGTTCAACGTGATGGAGCGGGTATATTCTTTGATGGATTAGAAACTTTCAACTCACAAGTTACAGTACAAGTGAAAGCTTATCCAATCATTCAGGGTGTAAATGACACTTACTGTTCAAAGGTGACAAATCCTCCTCAGGTTTGGTTTACTAGGACTACGTATTGGACATGGACACCGGACGAAGGTTTGAAATATCATCCAACAGGTACACCACCACAGTATAGAAGTTCATATGATGAAATATTGATGAATAGAAATGTTTAAATTTATAAATTTATTTTTGATTAAATGGATTTAAATTCATCCACCCCTTATGAAGAATTAGCAGGAGTATATAATACATATGTAGATGATATGATTAATGAAGCATTGAGTGATAATAGAAATGCTCTATCTAAGGAAAAATTAATGAAAATTCCATATTCTGAATGTTACTTAAATTCAATCACTGCAGCAATTGGTAAACAAAATAAAGGTAAAACATTAACGATATTAAAACAAATTATCATTATTGCTAACACTTCCCCCTATTCACATGTGTTAATTTATATCAACCGTTCAGGTTCACCTTCAGATGATACATTTGAATCTTTAAAGCATTTAATCAAAATTCCAATTATTTATTTATCACAAGAAGAAGCAGAAGATTATTTAAAAAACTTTTTAATGTATAAAGAATTATATAATACAATCAAGAAGCAAGGATTAGAGGATAAAATTATTGATAAACAACGGGATGAATTATTTGAAACACTTTCTATTTCAAATTTTGATAGAGAATTTTTACATTCACTAATTTTTCTAGATGATGCGTGAAATCAAAACTAATAACAAATGAGAAATCATATTTTAATCAATTATTAACTCAATGTCGACATATTCATGTTCATTCTTTATGGCTGTTCAATACTTTAAAGCATTAAGCACAAACATTAAATCAAACCTGTCCACCCTTTTCATTTTCAGTGGTTTTAGTCGTCAACAGTTGAACGTTATGCTTTATCAAGTGAATTTACCAATGAGCATTAATGAACTTTACACACAATATCAACAATTAGGAGAACATGGAAAAATAATAGTTGATTTAAATAAAGGTTGTTAAATTTGATTAACTTTTTATAATTAATTTTTATTTTTTATTTATAATTAAACATGACAGAAATAGCAAATCTTCTACAGGTTCCATTAAAACAAGGGACAAACAAAAAGGGTGCATATAATAGAACTATGAAAGTTCCAGACGGAATGAAAGAATTAGTCCACATTGTTGCCGGTCTTCAAAAAGGATGTTAAACAAATGAGAAACGTTTTAACATTACCAGAAGCTCAAGCATATGCCAAACGTCATGGACCAAATTGGGAAGCACACGAAGCAGACATTACGGGTCCAAATGGAAAACCTGATGGTATAAATGAAGTTTTCGTTACTGATGGTCAAGGTAATATTAAAGTCATAAATGGGTATAAATTAACAATGACTGATTATCCTAAACGTAAAGCATATAATGAACGTTATCCTATGCAATTTGATGAAAATGGAAAAGCTGTTAAACAATACATTGGAGAAGGTGAAAATGGTCCAATTAATTCATACCGTCATAATCCATATTCTTATTTCAATGAAGAATTAAATGCTATTGAAGAGGGACCGGATGGATTACCCAATATGTTAATCAGTTTGATGGTCAATATGCAAATTTGAGACCTGAAATTCCAGCTAAGAAATTCTTTAAAGTTGCTTTATTCGATCCAGTGTTCAATGAACAGAAAGAAGCAATGAAAGCAGAATTTAAACCAATTCAAGTGGCAAGAATTTCTTCATCTTCACTTTCAGAAGCGTTCAAGGAATTGATAAAGAAACCACTTTATTCTCAACAAGGTTATAACTTTGATTTAATTAAAGAAAGTGATAGACGTAAATTAGAAAAATCAGATGGTTTTAAGAATGCATGTAATGAAATGATTAAAGATATTGTAAATGATAAAATAAGACTGGAAGAAACTCAAATCATTATCAATAACATAATTGGTGCAGTTACAAAGAAAGTATAAGCAAACAAGGATGAACCTTGGGATATTACCGTAACAACTAAATAAAACTTTAAATATATTTTTCTTTTTTTATTCAATTATAAATGAGAAGACGTTTCACAAGTCAAAAGAACACAAACGCAAAAGCAGAGATTACGGTTGGTTATAACGTAAATGATGATAAATCACGAATTATTCAAAATGTTAAAGTTAATGTTAGCCCCGAATTAACAAGGTCAGCAACTCAACCAAATTTATTAACTCGTGACTTACCGAAAAAGGAGGAGCAAAATAAAGAAGATGAAGACCCAATCATTTTATCTGAACCTGGTAAAGAACCCGTTGAAATCCCCACTTATCCAACATACCCCCCACCTCTTTCATCAAACATCGAGAACCCAGGAATCTACGATTCCAGTCGCAATGCACCATATAAAGTAGACATTAATTCTGAATTAATGAAAATTTACCGTGATATAATAATTAATAATTATGATTCAATAATAAATTTAATTGACCAATCCGGTTTAATTATTTTACCTTATGAATCATTAATTCACATTATCGCCATTCTTTGTGATGTTCAAGATTCAGACGTTAAGATTCAATTTTTCATAGATGATGAGGTTTCATGCTGCGGAACAGTTGCAAAAATAAATCCTATAAAGGATATTAGCACAATTAAGATATCAAAGAACGGAACAACAACTGAACTTCATTTAACTTATAATAATATTTATAATAAAATAGTTGATGAATATAAAATATCACTTGAAAAATTCTTTGTTAAGGCTATTTAATATTCAAGCATTAACATTATTGAATAATAATCCTTTGAATCATAATCAATAATAATTGACCTTTCACCAGTTTCTATCATTTGTTTTATTTCTTTTTGTTTCCCACTATCCGGATCAGTCATTGTAATTGTTTTTGTTATAGTATCAGCTTTATCTTTAACTTCAATCTTTTTTCCATCAGGATATTTAAACCAAAATTCCAAAAATTCGATATTGTCAATCTGTTCATATTTTAATCTATCAATTACATTTTTAATACCATCTGAAAATCTTATGAAATGGTCATTATATGGGTTTGATTGAACTAAATTTGAATGAAGTGAAATATAACCTGATGATGAATATGACATTGACTCATATTTTCTGAAAACACTAAAATTTATAACATGAATGAATTTCTTATTCGTTGAATTTATGAATTCTTGAGGTAATCTTATTCTAGTTTTATTTATCACTGGAAAATAACGCTTTACCATATTTTTAATGTAATAAAAATGTCAATTATCAATATTATTTCGAATAATAACTGTGAATTAAATTTAACAGTTAGTGGAATTTATAATGTTACTCTCGTTTCTGTGAGTGGTAAATTTAATCCCATTCTTTTAGACCCTTCAGATTATATATCATTTATTAAAGATGACCATGAAAAAACGTATGATATGTATATAAATAATGTGATAGCGAAATGGGATATTAACATGATTTTAAGTTATTTAAATGAATCATTTATCGTATGGTATGAAGAAAATTTTAAATCAAAACCCGATAAACTTTTTGAACTTGATGAAATAAATAACCTTATTAAATTTCCGCTGAAAATTAAATTTTGTACTCCTCATTTCGTTCATTGTTGGGGATATTAAATTTTGAAAAAGATGTTGGGGATGTTTTGTATTCTGACACTGGTTCCAATTTCATTTTAATCAAATGTGATAAAGTTAATACCCCAATGAGATTTTCACATCAAACATTAGACCCTAACTCTTACCCATCAATACAAAACATTTTATCCATCAACTTAAACACATTTTCTTTATCATATCCGTTTCAATTATCGGGAATTCATTTATTCTTCATTCAAAAGATTTATCAAATATTAAATTTAGAATAACTGACCTATTTGATTGTGATTTAGAATTCATGAATGAAATATTATGGCAATTTCAAATAGAAAAATAGCTGATGAGATAACGGATTAAATATTTTTAAATCATAATAAATGATTAAACAACAGCAACCACAACAACTTAAGGCACAAAGCACCCAAGTCCCTCAGACCATTACATACGCCATATATGCATATAATTCAAAGACGGCAGAACAAACACAAAGGTTGAAATATGGAGATTTGGAGATAGTATTGAAAAATGACCATTTCGAATTCGTTTGCAAAGGTGGTGCAGTGATATCAAATATAAAAGAAATTTTATTTATGAATTCAAAAATTAAAGGTATAACGGATGATATAACATCAATTCCACCAGAAGAACAAAGATATTACGCATTAAATGCATTTCCTAAAGTTTTGAAGATTGGAAGATTTAATTTAAATGAGGAATTCATAAAAGGTTTCCTTAATGACATAATGAAGAAGGCAGATAAGGAATATGTCAACGGTGAATTAATGAAGAAGGCAGATAAGGAATATGTGGTTAGTGAGTTAGAGAAGAAGGCAGATAAGGGACTTATGGCTAGTGAGTTAATGAAGAAGGCAGATAAGGAATATGTGGATGAAAAAGATAATGAAATTAAAGAAAGGGTTGAATGGTATCATGAATGGACATCAAAGATTTTTAAAACTAAAGCTGATACAGGATGGGTTTCAGGATGTTTAGACCTTAAAGCAGATAAGGAATATGTCAACGGTGAGTTAGAGAAGAAGGCAGATAATGAATATGTCAACAGTGAGTTAGAGAAGAAGGTAGATAATGAATATGTCAACAAAATATACCAAAGTTTGATAGGAACAACTGAAAATATTGAAACTATTGTTGGTGACTTTTCTGTCTATGAAGAAAATAAATATTTTAGATGGCAATTGGTACACTCCTTAAGAAATGGTACACGGTATAAACTCATTCCGAAAAATAACAATGAAATGTATGTAAGCTATATAAAGAATGATGGCACACAAGTTAAAGTTCCATTAGACAACAACTGCTACTTAAACTTATATGGAGACGAACAAAAGAAATATTTAAGAGTTTATGAAATGACAGATATGACATTGCCTGACCCAGCTCCAATACCATATTATTATGACTATGGATATGACGGCGGAGCACTACATGCAGATGAACAAAAGTTAACATTATATTTAGATTATTATAGATATAAAAGATATAATGCAATAGAAAAAACGAGAATAGTATATTATTATATAGATGACAAAAATAAATATTATAGTCAAGACTTTACCTACCCTGAAAACATAAGATTATATTATAAAAAATATTCTGACACAAACCAGAAGAAACCTGAAATGGTTGCACTATATTTTAAGTTCAAAAGAGACAATCCTATATTATCTCATATGTTTGATTTAATGAACCCAGTAGGTTCTATTTATACATCTATGGATGCAAGAGGTCCTCAAGTAATGTTTGGTGTTGGTGCATGGGAACAAATAGTCGACAGGTTTTTGTATTGTGCAAACTCTTCAAAGGAAATGGGTGGAAGTAAAACGATTACAGGTGAAAATTTACCTGCACACAGTCACTACATAGATTTAAGCACATCTCAAGCGGGTTGGCATAAGCATAGATATTGGGATTGGTCAGGAATGACAAAAGGTAAAGGATATGATGTTAAAGACAACGTTAAGTTTGCCATAAATTGTTACTGGAGTGACACTCAGGGAGAAGGAAACCATACACATCACGTTTCAGGATATACACAAACAACAGGACAAAGTAAAGAATACATGCCACCATTTATGACTGTATTCGCATGGTATAGAGTTCAATGAATGAACTAAATATATTTTATGTCTGTAATTAATTAGGTAATGAAGTAATGAATGAACTGCAAAAATAAATGTTTACGTTAATGTTTTTAGGTTCTTCAATTATGAATTATTTTTGAAGAACTGGAGGTGCTACCATGTTACCATGTGCTACCAGGTAATTCAACTTCTCTGAAAAATGATGACAACATGACATTTTGACAACAACATAGGAGGAAGGTATTTATGAATTATTTTTGAAGAACTGGAGGTGCTACCATGTTACCATGTGCTACCAGGTAATTCAACTTCTCTGAAAAATGATGACAACATGACATTTTGACAACAACATAGGAGGAAGGTATTTATGAATTATTTTTGAAGAACCGGAGGTGCTACCATGTTACCATGTGCTACCAGGTAATTCAACTTCTCTGAAAAATGATGACAACATGACATTTTGACAACAACATAGGAGGAAGGTATTTATGAATTATTTTTGAAGAACTGGAGGTGCTACCATGTTACCATGTGCTACCAGGTAATTCAACTTCTCTGAAAAATGATGACAACATGACATTTTGACAACAACATAGGAGGAAGGCAAAAATAAATTCAAATCATACTTTATAAAGCTTCATTTACAGGTATTTCATCATCAGTAAATGAATCCCCATCATCGTTTGGTTCAACCTGTTTATATAATCCTTTCATTTCTTCTTTCAAAACATAACACCATGTCTGTTTACCATCTATTCTTCTATGTTTCCTATCACATTTATCCTTAATACTCATTTGAAAATTCTTGTCTTTCATGTCTGATGGTTTGCAGAATAAAGCATTTTTACACATCATACCTGCACACAATTCATCATAATGTGTATTTATCCATACATCTAAAGGATTTGATGATAATTCAATTAAATCTTGTTTGGCTTCAGTCATCGGAATGATTCGTACATTAAATGATGAAAGGTCGTAATTGATAAAATACGTCAGTAAATTATCATAAAATTCCTTTGTGCATGAATCCATCAAATTCTTGAAATAATCAAATTGACCCTTAAATTTACCATTAACTCTTAAAACTACATATCTTCTGTCACCAACTTCAATTTTGACAGGGTAAACGTTGTTAGTTACGAAAATGAAGTTTGCAACGTTCTGAGCAGTTCTTCTGGGTTGATTCTTTTCATTAATTCTTATCTCATTATCCGTTATAATTGATTTCAAAGCGTTGAAGTTTGCGAGTCTGTCTTCACCTACATTCTTGAGTTCATTAAGTACAAGAAACATTTTATTCTCAACTACTGAGTTGAAATTACCCGTTAACTCACTTATTTCAGTAATGTTTTTGCATGAATAACCAGCGAGAAGTTCAGAAATAATGTCAGTGAATCTGTTTTTACCTGTTCCCTGAAGTCCTTTCAAAATAATTGCTGTTTCATTCTTGATTCCAGGATGTTGAATCATTGATGCAATCCAGCCGAGAAGGTATTTATACACTTCATCATTATTATCACAAATGGCTTCTTTAATGAAATTCATAAACATCTCAATTTTTGAGTAATCAGGCTTTTCAAGAATGTTGTATTTATAACCCTGAAACGTTGAGAAAACATCTGGGGAATCAGATTTAAAGCAAACACCCTTAACGGTTAATGAAGACAATTGATTTAGTAGTACATCCCATGCTGTTATTGTTTTACCTTCTTCTTTAAATAATTTAATCATTTTAAGTGACTCTTTCATGTTTGATTGAAGAACGAATGATATTTGATTCATTTTGTCGTGTATGTTGTAATCTTTCTGAATGAAATATTTGTTTCCACAATCTACAAAACGGATTACACGTGATAAATCCTCAATTACTTCAGAACTGTTTTTATACTGATGATTTTCAGCCTTGCGTCTAATATCTGTTATCAAAAACGAGTCATCAAGTTTGATGTCAAATGTTATTTTTGGCTTACGTAATAAAGGTAAAACATATTCATCATAATATTCCTTTTGATATAGTTTTAGAATCTTCACCAAAACAAATGGAGAAGTCATTAAATGTGCATATCTTTCACGTGCTTTTTCAAAATTACTTTTTGCATTTTCTGTTAAATTGCAGAAGTTATAAACGTTATCGTATGCTTCATTAATTAAATGATTAGGTAACGAATTAATTGCTTGAAACAGTGTGAATAATGTAACTTCTTTTTCTAAATTCATGTTTCCACCGTCATTATGTACTTCAAAATCACACATGCCATCAACTATGCTCTGAGCAAGTTTATCGTCAATGTTTACATCTTTGTTTTCATTCACGATAGTCTTTATTTCTTCGTTCTTTTGTTCAACTCTTACCTTAATATTCAAATCATTTAATATATCATTCACTGTTCTGGTTAATGTTGAATCATAACTTCCACGAATGAATGAGTATGTTTTTATTGGTTCTGTTGCATTCTTGCGAACTCTTGAATCAGCCATAACCACTAAAGAACGCTTTGAATCATCCATAGAAGTCATTATGTCAATATCATAATCATTGCAGGAATAACATTTAATCATTCTGTTCGAAACTGAATAGAAGAAATTAGTGTTGCAATAAATGTGAAGACCTCCTGAAGCGGTTTTAACGATAACATCTTTATCCGAAAGTTTTGATAAAATATCTTTTCTAACTGTTTCTTTAAGTTCATCATTGTACGATTTATTGATATCAACATCTATAATCGTTAAATTTGATATTTTATTTACTAATAAAGCCATACCAGTTTTCCTTCCTCTTCCTCCATCATGTTTGAGGTAGTTATGTAAATCAATCTTGTTTTCACCAATTCTTTCGTTGAGGGTTTTAGTTTCTGCCATAACTAATTCCTCAACTAATGAATCAATAACTTTTTCATCAGAAACGATATAGTCACTATTGTTGTTTGTTGCTGTCATTTATATAGGAATAAAAAAATAAATATAATTTTAAAACTAACTTTATTTTTGGGCTACATCAAATTTCCTATGTTGTCAAAATGTCATGTTGTCAGTAATTTTAAGAGAAGTTGAATTACCTGGTAGCACATGGTAACATGGTAGCACCTCCAGTTCTTCAAAAATAATTCATAATTGAAGAACCTAAAAACATTAACGAGGAAGGCATTCATGAAGCATTAACGAAGAACCTATGTTGTCAAAATGTCATGTTGTCAGTAATTTTAAGAGAAGTTGAATTACCTGGTAGCACATGGTAACATGGTAGCACCTCCAGTTCTTCAAAAATAATTCATAATTGAAGAACCTAAAAAATTAACGAGGAAGGCATTCATGAAGCATTAACGAAGAACCTATGTTGTCAAAATGTCATGTTGTCAGTAATTTTAAGAGAAGTTGAATTACCTGGTAGCACATGGTAACATGGTAGCACCTCCAGTTCTTCAAAAATAATTCATAATTGAAGAACCTAAAAACATTAATGAGGAAGGCATTCATGAAGCATTAACGAAGAACCTATGTTGTCAAAATGTCATGTTGTCAGTAATTTTAAGAGAAGTTGAATTACCTGGTAGCACATGGTAACATGGTAGCACCTCCAGTTCTTCAAAAATAATTCATAATTGAAGAACCTAAAAACATTAATGAGGAAGGCATTCATGAAGCATTAACGAAGAACCTATGTTGTCAAAATGTCATGTTGTCAGTAATTTTAAGAGAAGTTGAATTACCTGGTAGCACATGGTAACATGGTAGCACCTCCAGTTCTTCAAAAATAATTCATAATTGAAGAACCTAAAAACATTAATGATAAAATAACTGATAACAAATTTTTATTTTTATCATAAATGAATACCCCACAAGCTCAAAATTTACCACGAATCATAACAAGGGAGGAAATGATAAAAATGATGCAAGAACATGTTAAAAATAACAAACCACTAAAATTGAGAAAATGTGGTTATGCAGTAATGATGGAAAGAGAGATGTTGTCGAAGAGGAATAAAAATTAAATTTGGATTGAGTTTAAAAATTCATCTTTATTAAATTCATCTCTTCCAATCAATTTATTTATTCTATTAAATTCTTTTATTTTTGCTTCACCCAGTTTAAGGATTGAACGGTAAGTTTCTAATTTTTCGATTATTTCTTTCCTCTCTTTATCGTTTTCAACCTCACCACATTGCGGCTTCTTTTTGTAATAGCATATTTTCGATTTAATTCTGTTTAGTTTCTTTTTATATTCATCGTCTGGACTCTTGACTGCTTTGTTGTCACTCATTTCTTACGAAATAAAAAAAAAATTAAATGTTATTTAAATATAATGGAGTAATAAAATAAATCGGAATTTCTATTAATTTATTGTTAACCTCAACTAATGCATTGCCGTTAATATATCTAACAAATTCAGCTATCGTGTCAAATCTTCGTCTTCTTTTTGTCATTGATTTATCAGTTTTTCCATAATCGAGATGAATCAAAACTTTATCCCCTTGTTTAAAATTCATGAGCCCCGAATTAATTTGTTCACGTTTAACATCATTTAACTTTTCCATTTGCTTTCTAATATATTCCCATTCTTTTGAAATATCATTTTTCATTTCCACTGGTTTCATGTTTATAGTTCTATGCCATGTATTATTGTAATAATATACTAACTGCTGTATGATGGAGTCATGATTTCCATCCCAGTATCTCTGACCGTTAACCCCTAACGCATCTCTAAGAGTTCTCATTACTGCATCAACTATTTTATTATGAAACGTATATGGAGAATGAGAAGTAAAAATTAATTTGTGGGAAATAATGAGCCATAGCTGCCTGAAATCCTTTATCACCATCACCCCTGATATTATCTACTCTTTCATGATCTAGTAAGTATTGAATAGCTCTTCTTGTTTCCTGTTCTGTTTTCCCTTTCACTGGAATGCAATATAAATATCTAGTGTTAATGTTAATGGCAAATAAATAAGTAACGTTTCCTTTTGAATATTCCAGATGATCGATTTCGTATGAATATGGATATGGTGCAAATGAAGGTCGAC